GGCGTGTGGGAACTACAAGGGGCGCTTCTCTAGCTATCACCATCGCCGTTTGTGACGTTACGGGTACGACAGACTGGCACAGACCGCGCAAATCTTGGATCCCTCGGCTCATCCTCTCGCTTCATAGCTGTGGGGGCAACGCGCGGCAAAGCCTGTTTCACACGTTGTGTTTATTTCGTGAAGTGATATTTGGAGTAGGACATTTTACCAAAGCTTGAAACCGCACATGGCACGCGTACGTAGCCGTGCACGTCTACCACGGCGAATAGGGTGTATTTTTTTTATTATGATTGGGACAAAATAAAACTGAGAAAAGAATGTCGTACCAAACTGAAAAGGGAAAGCTAGATTCGAGAACCTCTCGCCGTGTGTAGTAAACACTTCAGTAAAAGCGAATCTGTGAACGTGTTCTGTAAGTGGTGTTTTTTTTTTGTTTTTTTTTGGAAATTAATAAACCATTTTTCCAAAATAGCCAGCAGGAAGAAGCGGTGGCTGGATTCCGGAGTCGTTTCAATTAATTCTCTGCTTATTCACCCCGTCGAAGCCAAACGTGAGAGACCCCCTTGCGATCTTTGATCGCAAGGGGGTCTCTCACGTTAATCTAGTAAGTCAATGAGACTTCAGCATCTAAAAAAAATAGGTTATACACCTGCTATGACTTACTACTGTTCAGGGGCGGATCCAGGCCTCCATTTTTTTTTGGGGGGGGGCATGTTTATATTTTTTGTGGAGTTATCGTTTTTACTAAACTCTGATAACATAATATAGATCTTGAGAGCTTTTGTATCGGTTTATTTGTCGGGGATGAACTCTTTGAATTAAAACCTTTCAGGTGACCACGCTAGAGGTAAGTATCTCGAAAATTGTGGTGACACTATCCTTTCTGAAACTTGGGTTTCAGACCGACACTACGTGAGCAGTCGATTTAGGGCAGCTTAAAGACATTGCCTTGGCAGACATTCTGGTTGGAGCTAGTGCTCAACTGCTGCGGCAACGGGAACAGCGGTAGTAATGTAGAGAGTTGAGCTAGCTGGTACTTAGAACACATACCTAAAACAGCGCACACACACAAGAGGAAGAGAATAGACACAGGAAAGAGCGCCGACTCCCAACTTATATATTGTGAAAGAAGGAGAAAGAAACCTACGCGCACCCTGAGGGTGCGCGTAGGTTTCAAACCTGAAGCTTCATCTTTCTCCTTCTTTCACAATATATAAGTTGGGAGTCGGCGCTCTTTCCTGTGTCTATTCTCTTCCTCTTGTGTGTGTGCGCTGTTTTAGGTATGTGGGAACAGCGGCAAATCAGCGGAGCGAGTACAGCGCAAACAAGCGACAAAAATGGCCCGGCGGCTTCGACGCTGCTCGCGGCGTCAAAACACTGTTGACGCAGCGAGCGAAACGAACGCTGCCATGCAAGTTCGTCGGTTGTTCGCCGTATATTTGGAATGTCCAGAGCACAGCACATGCGGCATTGCCAACCCAAACTCGTGTTCTCACGTGTTCTGGATGCAACTCGAGAGAACGAAAGCGAATAATTGTTGAATATTTTTTAAAGCATGTTGCAGTTCGGCAACTGTAACTTTTGAACTTAGACAAGACCTTAAACCAGCAATGGATCCTTCCAAATTATATTCGATTGTACTTCGTCTGTATATTTTCTGTATCAAAGGATCACTTACTTGTTTCTGGGTAGTTAGCTCATTCGTCAGGGTCGAGAGGACAGGTGCAGAGATATGATAGGGCAGTGCGGTTGTAAGGTCGGCGAATCTCAACTGGGCTAAAGGCCGATCACGACTGCAGCATGGATGTTTAGGAGTCGGTGTTCACTCGAACGGGCACAGGTACTGTCTATTTAATTTATGTATAGACGCATCTTTGAAAGGGCTCGTTTTCCCCAAGTCCGTTCGACACACACATATTCGCTCCTGCAAAGCCGCGCGAAAGCTCTGCCGTCAAATCTACAGAAGACGCGTTTAACTGGAAAAGACGGCGCCAAGGGGAGACAATGGGTAGCGGGCGCCTTTCCTAAAATATGTCCCGCCACCCTAAGTTGAAACGGCATTGTATACATATAAATGCCTACGGCATCGGCTTGAGGACCCCGTGTAAGCAGCCCTTAGCCTTTAGAGTGCTCGTACCGTTTATCTTTCTTTTATTAGCTTCCCGCCACGAGAAGTCGTACCGTAGGCGGTATGAAGCCCATTAGAGGAAACATCACCCCCTTCTGGCACTCGTCGGCTTCTTTCTGTATTCTGCGCTGCGGCGCTGATCCTCAGTGAGGGATGGAGGCAAGGACGTAAGCGGGCTTATGTTTAAGCCAAGGTCGTGGGGAAGTCCGGATCGTCTTCAGGAGAACCTCAGACCCAGACTACATTGTACCCAGAGCATTTGCTTCCTCTCTCAGTTGAGAAGAAAAGCAATTGGTCACCTGGTTGTACAAGCTGCATCCCCATCCCCCTCCCCCCCCCCCCCCTGGAACGTCTCCTCCCGGTACGTCCCCTCCGCACCTCCCTAAAATAAGATAAGATACCTTTAGTGAGCCCGTGGGCGACAGCATCTCAAAGCAAGCCAAAAAAGACATGGCAAAAGACAAGCCCAGAACCACGAAGCAACCATCAAACGAAAAGTGATGAAAAGGCGGCCGCTAGAGAGGAAAAATAATCCGCTACCCTTGAGGAAGGATGCTTGACGTCTGCGTTTGGGAGCTTTCAGGGCACACATTTTTCGCAGACAACCCCCAGAAAGAGGGAGACAGAGAGAGAGAGAGAGAGAGAAAGGGGACTAGATATGTTGACGGTATTTTCCCCCCATGCTCGACGTGCTGGCTTTGTTTGGAAGTGTGCCTGCAGTCGAGGACCCTGATATTTGGTGCGCCTCCCCACTCTCTCTCCACTTCGAAACTCCTGGCGCCGTCCCTGTCGGGAAGACGTACCGTGACCTTGACGGAGATAAACCCCACTTTGGAAGCGCCCAGCTGGCCCGTCCACCCACCGCTGTTTTTATCTTTTATTTCTCGCGTCGATTGCTTACGTTTTTTCTTCGAGCTGACGAAGAACCCCCGGGGGGGGGGGGGGGGGGTTGCCTGGCGAGGCGTTTGGGGGGGGGGGGGACATCGCCCCCACCGCCCCCCCCCCCCCTTGGATCCGCCACTGCTACTGTTTGTATGTTTAATTTTGCGGATCCAAATGTGCATAATGCGTGATGCGCTTCTCAGCGAGCGATTTTAAATTTGTAAACAGTTCTTAGTTAAAATTTGATAGAACAAATTAATCAATCGCATGAATTTGCCAGGCCAAGGCGATGTCCTACAGTTGAAGAATTTAAGAAAATTTCTGATTTTCTTTCGAGCAAGTCACGATGTGGCAAACGTTTTTGCCACGTATTCGATGCGGTAGGTGCTAAGCGTCAGTTGCTGACTGGCCTTTGCTCGTCAGCAACTGTTGAGTAAGACTTGATTAGAAGCGTCCGTACCGGCAAGCTGAATGTGTCTATACTTTGTTACAGCTGAAGTGCAGACGCAACCGATGCTAAAAGGGAGAGCGGCGTTTGCACTGCACGAGCGCGCTTGCTTGGCAGGGACGCTGAAAGCCCGGAGCTCGGTCTTGTAGCGTCTGCTACGCTCACACACTGAAGCTAAAACAAGTGTGCGGCGCTTAGCATGCTGTGCGCGCGTGCACAGCTAAGAAAATAGCACATTTACTCTTGTGAATGCAAAACTTTTTTCTACAGCTGCCTCCACAGATCCGAGAAAACAAGAATCGGAGAGGCTGCGAGTAGCACGACGCACACCGCGCAAGGCGTTTTTGGGACATTTGTAAATTTTTGAATATAAAAAGCAACTGCGAAAGGCTGTTATTCATTGGAAAGACCGCTCAAAAAAAAACGTCATGCACGTTGCCTTAATAAATAAACGGTTTTAAATCGGCATAGGTGCGAACTAGCATAGCCACTCCGTGCGTTGCCATAGCGCGTCGTCTGCTCGCATCCTACCAGCTCCGTCACAGGAGGGCGCCCTCGAGGTGGCGCCACTAAAGCCCCTCGATTAAAGCCCCTTGATAAAGTCGTTTTTTACAAGTACCGCCAACCATTCTTATGGAAACGCGCGAGACACGTGGCGCAAGCGGATGCTCCGCCGCCATTTGCTTCCAAATGACGCTCGAGACACGTGCCCCGTGCACTCGCGCATTTGACGCTACTTGTAAGACAAACGCAAACACATCGAGGGGCTTTACCCTCGATATGTTTCCGTTTGTCTTGCAAGTAGCGTCAAATGCGCGAGCGCACGTGTTCCATGTCTCGAGCGGCCCTTGGAAGCAAATGGCGGTGCAGCGCTGAAATGAGCGGCCCTTGGAAGCGAATGGTGGCGGAGCGCCCGCTCGTGGCACGTGTCTCGCGCGTTTCCACAACAATGGTTGGCAATACTTGTAAAAAAACGCCTTTATCAAGGGGCTTTAGGCGCCACCAAAACATGTAGTCGCCATTCATTTACTAGCTAACATTTGTGATGAATCGTAAGATACAAAGGTCACCACAACGTCAAACGTACCATGTTTGGCATTTGTTTGTTTCAGGCACAAAATGTGCCAATTCAGCTTAACAAAAACGAGAGCGAGTGTTGTCTCTTACGTGTTTCTAACAACCAACAAAAATGGGTAAAAACATCAACAAAGAAGCAATCAGTCCAAATCTAGCATTTCACCATGCTCCACCTACCAAACTTTCTGGAGAAAAAAATATAACAAACTTAAGAGTAGTTTTGTTCCTTGGAGACATGAGGATACGTATGCGCATGCGACGCAAATCAAAATAGTCACCCTTACGCTAGTGTTCAATTTAAAATGAAACCCTCCCAGAAGGTATATTACCACTAGCCTTTCTTGTTTGATGATTGTGGCAACATCAGTGGAGTGAAATTTGAATGCAGTGCAGAAGTTTCCCAGCTCCGTTTAGATTTGCACCAACATTCGACAAACAAGCAACAGCAACAAACAATGACACGAGTAGAGCACCGTCTCTGCAATCCATATTTATTCACACGGTCCAACAGAGTAAAAACATTTTTGGACTTCTAACCAAGGTACTATGACAACATATCAGAGGGAGGAAGGGCGGGAGTAGTTGTTTCTGGAGAACTTATCGGGCAAGACAAAATCTTGCATGTGACCTGAACCTTTGAGGCAGCCGGCACAAGCCACTCGGGACTCCGAACAACGATCTACCAACCCGGACACTAAGCATGATCACGAGCTGGGAGAGCGATCCACAGGATACATGCTGGTGAGGCTCCAGCTTAAATTTTTATTAGCGCTTCCGAAGACTAGCATTAAGGGGGATGTCCAACACGGAAGGATAGATGGTAGGGGCTGGCCGCAGGTAGTCGTCTACTGGGGGTTACGGAAGTTCTTGCCGGCGTAGATCGCATTGGCTCCGAGCTGCTCCTCAATGCGGAGCAGCTGGTTGTACTTGCAGAGTCGCTCCGAGCGGCAGGGCGCTCCGGTCTTGATCTGTCCTGTGCTCAGGCCCACGACGATGTCAGCGATGGTGTGATCCTCCGTCTCTCCGCTGCGGTGCGACACCATCGTGCCCCAGCCGTTCTTCTTGGCCAGCAGGTGCCTGCAAAACCGAAGAACAACCTCGTTCAGAAAGCGCTCTTGGCCGGGCCACATCCTAAACAAGCGAAGTCAAGTTTAAATAACCGGCTTTAAAATGTGGGCAACGGTAAGTATAGAACATTCACACGCCTCTGCAATGCTTTATTAAAAAAAAGTAACCCAAGAAAGCTAATCTAAAGCTAAGTCCTGCTGGGCCCTATTGTATCTTGAGAAATACGAAGAGAATGAGTTCGTAAGGAATCTGGTTAATTGACTGGAATGTTTGGAAAGTGCACAAGGGTGGCAATTATATGTTATTACAAAAGCAGAATATAAGGTTGCCCTTTTCTCTTCATATTGTTTTCTTCCGTTCCTTTGCACCACCGTTACTTCAAGGAACTATCCCTGTCAGAAGTGCTCTTGCAGCAAACAGCTGGCTGCACTGCACAGTAAGGCTAACCATCAGTCATGGCCCAGTGCTCAACACATTTATTTGGCCCATGTATTCAGCTGCCTGAAAAGAGACTAAGCCATTGCAGAAAGGGTAAAAATGTCCTCGCAATTCAAAGAGGCCCTTTATAAATTCATCCGTTGATTACTACTGTCTAATGCCGAAGAAAATAACTTAGCTTTGGGCAGGCCCAGCTAGCAATGCAGCAAATTTGTGTCGATACAGAAGGTAGAGCATCAGGTGGTACGTACGCCCGGATGGACTCTGTGACGGTGCCGATCTGGTTGACCTTGAGCAGCAGGCAGTTGCAGGCTCCCCTCTCCACAGCCATCTGGATCCTCTTAGGGTTGGTCACAGTCAGGTCGTCCCTGCCGAAAGACCCTCAAGCTCAAGCAAGCCTTTTTTTCTTCCTTCGTACAACTGCGCAAACATTAAAACACTCCAACGATAAATAAGAAAAAGGTTTGACTTTGACCTTCTACTCTATACAGTGAAAGAACTTGCATAAAATGCCTCTGCGCCGACTGGATAATTATATCAATACTATGCAAGTCCTACCTTACTATGCATTCCCCATTCCTACGCATCAGAGCAGGAAGGGGAAGTGCTAGTGCACCGCTCATCTCCCCTTCAAATACCTTGTGTTGACTGTATGATTATTGATTTGCCACGGGCCAATAGTGAAATTTGATTTTGAAGTGAATTCAAAGCGAATAGGGGTTTTGGCCGAATATTGTAGAATAGTATATTGAATAGCTTCTTCAAGCCTTTCAGTACTACTGTTGCACCACTCTTAAACGAAAACCCAGCTAAACGAAAACCCAGCTAAACTCGTGAAGGTTGTTCCCAAGCTTTTACTTGTCCATTTGTAAGCCAATTTTAATCTAACAATATTTATGGATTGCGACCTCAGAAAGTGCAATGCCTAGGGATGGCAAGTAAAGAATGAATATGACATAAAATTAAGCCTATAGAGATGCCCTGCTAAACCTAATTGAGTCGATTTACAAATCTTACTCTATGCAAATATTCTTTTTGTTATAGGGCATCTCTGCCAGGGGACACGGTGCAAGAAACCGTGATTTTTGGCCAAAAAACAGCTTTCCAGATTATTTCAGTTTTGTGTTTTCAAACTAATAAAGAATATATTTGCAAAATATCTTTCACATATGTGCCATAAAAACGCAGAAATTCGCGATCATTGGCACACCGGTGGCACCTCAGACTCCAACAAACTTTTCACAAATGCCATTTTCGAAGCGTTTGCGCGGCGAGAGGAATAGGCCTACCGCGGAGCATTTACCCTCGTTGGAAGCTGCGTTTCTTTCTCTTTCCAACATGCATGCATGCTGCTATCGAAACTTCGACCACAAGTGGTCAGAAGGTGATAATACAAATGAAAAAAAAATCTAGCAGCCTTGATTGCCCAGAAAACCGAAACTCAGGCTGTGGTTGGTGGGAATGCAACATGTGACACCTTTTCGCGCGTCTCGCGCCGTGAGGCCTTTCGATTTTACGCTAGACCTCGTTTGACTCTCCATGACGATGGATCTGCGTGCTATCTTTTTGACACCTTGAATCAGCATTTATTTTGTTGCAAAACGCCCAATACAAAGTTTTCGTTTGGAAACCGAAATCGGTTCTCGAAGCCAAGAGGCCAACGCAGCATTGGCCCACCGCGACTGACGACCTCCGTGTCTTAGACTGCCGACAGCGCCGCTGGAGCTTTGACTTCGGAAATCTCAAGTGCTTCAGTCAGCGATGTTGCGACCCCACTAACTGCTTTTGAGCGGAAGGTAGCGTTAATACAGCAGTGCGACGACACATCGAAAACCGCCACGAACGACGCCAGTGACGACGCAGAATGGCTCGGTGGTTACCGTTTCGTTTGAGCCGCGAACCGTCCCTTGAACTGAAAGAGACTAGATCTGGTGCAGATCTTCAGTTTGTTGCAGTGTGCGATGGGTGCGGCGACGTCGCAAAAGTTGTGCACCCACGATCATGAGGTTGAGCCGCCAACCCGAACTGCTTGTATGCCTTGCTGTAGTTAACCGCAGTTGCGGGATTAACTTCACCAAGTTGTCAAATTTCTTCGGCAGAACGAACGCTCCACAACCCATGCAGCATGAAGACGTTCCAGGGAATTTCCCGCAAGGCGCACCGTGGTGCGATGGACGCCGCGCATGACGTGATGCGTGAAGCCGCTCAAGCGGTTAGAAAAGATAAGGAAGCAGGTGACAGCAACGAGTTGGTGGACGTAGCAGTCAGCTTCGATGGCGCATGGCACAAGCGAGGCCACACTTCGGTCTGGGCGCAGCAATTAATCTTGAGTCTGGTCTTGCGCTCGACTTCGCTGTTCAGAGCAATTACTGCCATGGCTGCAGCCTGGATCCCAAACCAGCTGAATAAAAGCAGGAAGAGTGGATGGAGACCCACCGAGAGGTGTGCCAAAAAAATTTTCATGGCTCATCCAACGCAATGGAATTGGAGGCCGCTGGTGCCATCTTCGGCCGCTTAGAAGAGCTCCACAACATGCAGAACACAACAGTACTGTGTGACGGAGACAGCAACGCGTCCTTGCATGTTGCCAAGCTTGACCTTTATGACAAGCAGATCACCAAGGAAGACTGCATTAACCATGTAGCGAAGCGTGTTTTTGCAGGTATCGACAAGCTAAAGAAGGCCAAGAAGGGCTTGGGAGGGAGGGGGAAGCTTACAGTAGCAGCTGCGAAAAAACTAACAACATACTATGCAGCAGCTCTGAAGGAAAGTGCTCCAGACGTCCGAAAGATGCAGCGTTCAGTGTTTGCAAGCCTTCTACACTCATACTCGATGGATCAAAAGCTCTGCCATTTTGCCTGCCCACAAGGTGAAGAGTCCTGGTGCCCCTACAACAGGCATCAGGCTCTGCTCAGCGCTGGAAAACCATCCATTGTAAAGCCCCACCGTCCTCTGTTAAGCAGGGACATTGCTAAAGAAATTGTGCCTCCCTACAACAGGTTGGCCAAGGCAGACATCCTGGCACGCTGCTCGAGGATGCAGACCCAGAACTCTAACGAGTCATTCGACGCCTTGGTATGGAAGAGCAGCCCCAAGACAGAGTTTTCGTCCTTGAAGACTGTTGAGACGGGTGGAGCCCTGGCTGTTGTGGAGTACAACACAGGCACAAGGGTCCTCGACAAGCTAGGCACGCACAGATGCAAGCATGTTGAGAAGACAGCAAGAGGATGCGTATCAAAGGCACGTGCGAAGGCTCTTGACAGCTCGAAAGCACCCACAAAAAGGCGAAAGCTTGAAGCTATTGCAGCTCAACAGCATTGGGTTGAAGATGAAAGCCCCACCTATGCTCCTGGGGACTTTGTTGGAGCTTGTGCGCTGTTATTACGTTATTACTTTATTATTACATAACTTTTCTGGGGTGAACTTTTTAGGAAAAGATAGCTATGAGCTTGTATTTTTTTATTTTTGTCATTTTTCATGCTCAAAAACTAACATTTTAGACAAAGGGTGAAAATCTGGAAAACAATATTTGTGTTTATGTGGCTTTTTGGTCATGGAAGATGGCATAATATAGAAATATAGCTCCATATCTATCTGCTCTCAACTGTCCTACAGCAATATAACACATGAAAACGACAAATTTATGAGTAATTTCAAAACGATAGTTTTCCTATACAGACCCGCCCACTTTCATCTTTGAACATTTGCAATTCTTTTTGCACTTCACCCAGGTAAACAAAATTTGGCACAAATGTTCCCAACATCAACAGAAACAAGCCCTATAAATCTCCTTCAAATCAGACGAGTGGTTCAAAAATTCATTTTTTTGGGTAGTGTCGTCCTTTGCACGATTCTACGCGCACTTTTTTTTGGTAAAATTGGTGGCCAAAACTACATGCGTGTTACAATAGAAACCAAAAACCGGAACTCCAATGCTCGGTATAAGGTGGCTAGCCCCATCGCCATCGTGACCGTTTGTTTACATTCGCCATTTTGGTATCTGTATGATGCGCATAGTCTCGCATCTACGCATCTGCTGTTTCAAGAATGAAAAACAAAAGAAATTCCACTAGGAGGCTTTATTTAAACGAAAGGCCGCCACGCTGGCGGGAAAAGATAACGGAGCAGCACTGCATGGCCTCGCAATCCCAGTGACCTGACGAGCTTGCAAAGTGTTGTTTGGAAGACGACCCTTCCAGGGGTGAAAGTCGTGCACTCATACAAGCTCAAAAAGCAAGGATTACCTTTGTGCACAGCGAAGAACCATCTTCGAACTCTGACAATAACGACTAGTGCACGGTATTTATTTTTGTGTTGGCGTGCATTTCCTAAAATCTGTTCTACGAGTTACCGTAGAATACCGGGCAAGCGCCCACTCAAACTTAGGAGATAATCACAAAAAAATGGGGGATGGGCCCTTGTCTGGTCATAAATTTTACATTTAAATGTACTGTGCATATTTTCTCAGATCTTACAAATTTGGAAATGGGTGTTTGGTGTGGAGTGGGCAGATGCACGGCATTCTACAATATGTATGGGTTCAATCTTCCATTATTTTACCTGCGTGGTAGAATCGGCAGATACTTGGTTTATGAATATCTGGAAGTTAAACCTGCCTGCGCGTTAGGATCGTGCAAACACGGTATACTCTTGCATAACAGTCACAGTTTAATATTGAAAACTTTTACTGCGACGTAGATATTAATATTTACAAAATTTCTGTCACTTTTTAAATACACCATCCTGCTTTGAAAGTGTGCTTTTCTCGCAAGCAAGCAATTGAAATATTCATACTTTTCCAAGTGCTGATTGTGGCGGGTTACCCCACTGAGTGCGCCTCTTAACACACACCCGTGCACTGCAGAGAACCAACACCCACCCGCGGAGCTCGCTTTTGCAGGTGCTGCTTCTCTGCGGTGTACACGTGCTCGGTAAGAAGCACGCTCAAAGGGGATAAGGGATAAGCTGCCGTAACCAACACTTGGAAAAATATGAATATTGCGGTTCATTTTGAAGTGAATATCGAATAGTGTATTACTCGAAACTACTGTTTAAAATTTTGAATATTCGTGCAACATCATTATTGATTAATAGCCGGTTCGCTCCTTCGTAGGTGTCTACCAGCTTTTGCCCTTGAGGAGATGCTATTTTGCGCTTCCACTTAGCATTTGCAGCTAGGAAATCTATGCAAATCGAAAGTGTTCTAGGGCTGCCATATAGATGGTGCTAGAATGATCTCTCTCATTTTAAGCAGTCATAAAGGTTTGCAATACATTCCGTCAGACTCAAATCAAGGGTGCGCAAGGGACTTGTGTGCTGGCAGCTGCACCACTCACCCGACGATCTGAATGGGGTTGGAAGACGTCATGCTGGACCAGGCATCCCAGTCATCCTGGTCAAAGGGGTCCTCGATGGAGACCACTGGGTAGTCCTGGATGAACCCTTCGTAGAGCCGCTGCAGGGACGACCTCTCCAGGAAGTCTCCGGGATTCGAATTGGGGTTCTTGAAGTCCAGGTCGTACTTCCCTGTGCACCCGGTCGGGAGAGGAAATGCCACCCACAACCCCTTTCAGACACAGGCTCCAAAACGCTGGGACCGCACGACGCACGCTAAAAATTCCTGGCCGGCATTTATGCTGCCCAGAGAAGAGCCAAGCTCTGCAGCAGTGAGCCAATACCTCAAAGTGAAAGGGAGACACGTTTGCGCTATATGTTCACTTACTTGAACTCCTAAGGCCGGTGCACACATTTGCGTTTTGCTCGTAAGCACCTACAACGAGCGCACACAATCGCATAATCTATTACACGGAACTCGAACCCTTCCTATGTGCGCATAATGAGACTCAAGTTTTCTGCAGCATTTGACAAGTCAAACCTACACACAGTCTTGAGAATTTGTGGCTTAAAATATTTTCGAATTATTTCGAGCCCAGGGTGAAAGAATGATACATAGAAACAAATGGAACTGGCCCCCATTCTCTCACTGAAAGCGGTTCTAACGTGCTACGTCACACTCAAACACAAATGTGTGAACCAGCCTCTAGACTAAGAAGGGGCTGACGTAACAACAAAAGTAAAACCAGGAATAATAAAGGAGCTTGCTCAGAGCATTAGCTTTACTCAGGGCAGGCGTGTAGCCAGGGGGGGGGGGGGGGGGGGGGGGGGGCCCCATGGGGCTGCCCCCCCCCCCCCCCCCCTCAAAATCTTTGATTTTGCTGGGACCTCCTCTTCCCCCTCCCCCTCCCCCTCATACAGCATTTTGCAGTGGGCAACACAATGTCACTGATCACCTCATTATCATTTAAGATGAAGAGATTGGCTAGTTTATACATTACAAGAATACTGAAAGTGTCAGGGAACAAGAACTATACAGAGTGAACTGCTTGTATTCCTTCTAGTCCTTGTTTCCTGGCATTTTCAGTATTCTTCCATCTGTCAATACCACCATACAAAAGAGGTAGCTCACAGGTCACATGTAGCTAAGCTTTGCATTTGAGAGTGAGGAAGATAGGTCCAGAACTCTGAGCTGCGCCGCTCTTGCTGTTTGTCATCAAGACTGGTTCTCACACTTGTGTTTAGGTGCAATTGAGTGTGCTACAATAGATTTTTAAGCCACTCGTAACTACTTAAGACCGATTGCGATGCTGTGCAGTCAGTTGTGGCAGTCGCAAGAGGCTTAAAAGCGGTTGAACCGCACTCGGTTGCAACCGAATGCAAATGTGTGAACCGGGCTTTAGTCGTTTGAAAAGAGCACCTCCCTCATCAAGCCTGTCTGGTTGCATCCTCGAGCAAAGAAAGTAGCCAAAACGAGGCAGCCTGCACCCACCTTCCTTGTAGAACTCAGAGGCAGCCACGTCCATGCCAATGTCGATCTTGCCCGTGTAGCCAGCGGCGCTGATGGCCGACATGATCAGCTCCAGGGCCTCCTTGTTCTCCAGAATGTTGGGCGCAAAGCCGCCCTCGTCACCCACTGCCGTGGCATCCAGGCCAAACCTGACGAGCATATGCGCGTAAAAACACTGTGTCCCCCAAGTGCAGCATATACCTCCTTAACGACGGAGTAAGGAGAAAATAGAGAAACGATGCCAGGTTATTCAGACCTCAAAGGCATAACACAAAATATTGTTTGGTCTTTACACTCCATCTCATAAATATCTGTTGTGCTGACAAGGCCTGGGCCCGAGCATGTGGCTTTTGAAATAGAGCAGGAGCAGAATCTATGTACTCTATTGGGCAGGCAAAGGCACATGTGTGCGAGACTAGCTGAGCAGAATGCTTTGTTTGTGCTAAAGCCTTTGCATAATAAGCACTTTCCAAAGCCATGAGCCTGCACCCATGCAGATGTTTGTAAAATGGAGCATATAGACAGTCTAGGAGAAGTCAAATATGCAAACACAATCTGTCTATGTGCCCCGCCCCTATCCTACAAGAAAAAAAAAAAGGGCCTATTTGGCCCTGGCAGCCAAGGAGAAAGTCAATTACAACACTGAGGTTTCATAAGGCAGTTTCCTCCTTATATTTGTTGTCCTTTGTCTCACACCAAGGTCAAGAGGGACCATTCCAAATCTTTATAGGGCAAGACGACCTTCTTTACAAACTAAGAAGTAAAAAAAAGTTCAACACAAAGGGCACAGAAAACAACCCAATATTTATACAGAGAGAGCATAATAATAGATGACCCTCCCCCACCTTAGCTAGAGAGGGAAGATTTGCAGGCCTCCCAAATGCTGCAAACATAACCGACAAGGGACAGGCAATAAGGCATCCTAGCGTTCGCAAGGGCGACATTGTCTAGCCCAGTGGTTCTCAAACGGGTCAGCAAACCTTTTGGCATCCCTGAAACAACAGTTAAGCCAGGTACTAAAGCTTTTTTGTATTGATGCTGGCTATCCCACAAAGCTAAATAGACAAAACCATGAGCACCGAGTGAATGGGATGATTATTCTTTATTTCAGGGCTGCAAAGTTGGTTTCCTTCCCTTTTCCCTTTATCATTGCAATCATAAAATAAAGGGTAGATGGGGAATTCCACCACTTCTGGAGATCCAGAAGGGGCTCCTGAAACATCAGCAATTAAGAACCACTGGTCTAACCTCAAAGTTATCAAGCAGTGGAGTGTCAAACTTCAACTGACTCTCACACTATTAATAGTGAGTTGTTTCCAACAACTTTTTGTTGTCCTATTTTCCTCCTATTTCCCTCTTTTCTTTGGAAACATGAATCTGCTAGTAAACAAAATTTGAACTTTTGACTGCCAGGGGCTATATGAAGGAGTACAGAAACGAAATTGAAATATACAAATTTTGTTTGGAAACGAGTCAAGCATGACGAATATTAACCGTAAAAGATAATTGCAAGCTTGTATTCTGAAGGACTGGCTATATTTTTCGTTCCAAACGGTGCACTCAAGCAAGTGCTCGAAGAGAAACAAACAAAGAGCGCAATGCGTCGTAAAATATCCAACGCAAAAAAAAGAAAATTTTTTGCATTAGTGACGTAGCAAGGCTGGTGGGGTTATGAGCTTCGCCGCTGGTGGCGTTACCAGCGTTGAGGTGGCGTCCACAGCGTCAACGCGTTACAACCGAGCCGTTCGAAGTACCTGTGGGGTGACGAGCGTTTCACATGTAAGATCACGTCAGTTGTACACGTCGTGCTCGTGTGGCCCACTCCAATGGTGCTTCAGGACGATTTCTTTGGGAACATAAACCTGAACGACACAAGTGAGGATGAGGACACCTGACACTGCCCTCTCTGTATTCATTTCGGAAAGCGAGCAGCAGGAGTCGGAACCCATGTCGCAAACGATGGACGTGCGAGCTGGATCCACAGGGCACAAAGTTTCTCGTCGTTTGGAAACTTTGATCGGCATATCGCTGTTGACCAAGTCGTTACCAGAGTTCTCACCCATGCAGAAGCGCGGCGGCATCTTAATGTTACAAAGCGCAGAATGGCTTCGAACTGTACAGCAAAGTCACAAGAACGACTCTGCGACATTCCTCAATGAGTTCATCATGGCATCTCGTTGGCTTGCTTCGCAAAGGGGCAAAGCGCATGGGCAAAAAAGGCTTTGCAATCGCATTCAGCTCGAGGTAACTTACAACAGTTGAACATACTTCCAAAGAGCGACGCTGCTCCGATGTTTCGTGTGGCTACGTAACGGTTCCTGCTACGTCATGACTACGTAGCAAGATTCCCAACTTTGCTAGATTACTTCTCAATTAAGCTTCACAGGCATCCACCAGGTGCACATTGAAAGATTGTTTAATAAGCTTTAAATTAAGTTTTCTCGTGCCTTTCAGTGAAAGGCTGGTGTTTTTGAGGTTATGGTGCAACATGCAACTCATTTAAGCTAGAAAATGAGTGCTGGAATTCCGTTTTGATACTCCTTTAAAGTCACCTTGGCAGAAGCAAAAAGGGCAACCACAAGCTGATGCCTACTCCATGTAGGTGCACATGCCCAGTGGCCACATGGAGTGGAGACACATTTCAAGGCTAACAGTTTCCAATCAGAAAAAGAATGACCGAATGGAGCTGTCCCCTTCGCAGGGGAGAGCATCATCTCAGATTCTTCCTTCCCTGTACCTTTACTGCAGGTTATAAAAGTTCCAAAGTCTTTCGTTATAGAAAATTGTCTTAAAAAGAACATCCAAATCACTGCAAAGCCCACTGCTACAAAATGTTTAAGAGAGGAGTTCATGATGACCCACGATTTCGGTACGCATTCAGAGAAAACTTTCGGCATAGGCTGCGTGCACAAGAGCAAAGTCTCATTCAGAAAAGCAAGCGACAATCAAGAGCACTTTCTGTCGCGTGCGCTAAAAATAGGTGTTAGACCTCCCTTCTCTGCGCGGTGGGGTGGAGGAAGAAAAAAATGTCAAGGTACTGCTTGCTTCCTGCGATGGTGCATCTGGAACCTTGAACTGCCAGCTATTATTGTTCCCCGTCTGTGGTCCCTTTGCGGCTGTTGCACCCGGTCTCAGAAAGGCCCCTATCAGGGCCCCCGCTTCCCCGTTCTTGGAAAGTGCCCCCTCCAGTAAGGACTTAGGAGAGTGCAACACGACCGACGATGCAGAAGGCACTGTCATTGCTTTGACGAGTGCTGTCTTTCATACATCTTTAATTTATTAACAAGAATGAACTAACCAGTGGCGTAGCTAGGCCATCCGGTGCCCTTAAGTCTTTTGCAGACCCCCCCCCCATTTACTCCCAGAGATCATAAGCAATTAGTAAAGCAGGAGGGGGGGGTGCCAGGTGCCCCCCCCCTCCCCCTTCCCCCCCCCCTATGTTACTGGGACACTTGTTAACCGGGGCCCAGGGCCCCCCAGCGCTCCCCCCCTCCCCTCCCCTTGCTACACCACCAATACTAACCTAAGTTTGCACTATGGTGTGTAGTGCTCGACACTACTAGTGCGAAAAAGCAATCACCTGTTTTTTTGTTTTTCTTAATTGTCATTAAAATTGTTATTGTGGTGAAAAGAGTATTTTGGGAACTAACACAAACAGTAAAAGTTGACGCCTTTAGAAGTAAAATGCTGGAATACATGTGAGGTGGCATTGTGGTGGTGTTGTGCAGAGTACAGTCGCCGCAGTGCAAGAAATTCATGGGGGTCCGCATGCTGAACAATGAAAACAACCTCCTTTCATCCGCCATAGTTTCCTGGAGTCGCGAATAGAGGGCAGCAAAAATAGCTGCTTACACGAGTACCTGTTGGAGGCACAGCAAAGTGTCATCTTTGGAGGTGCTTGACTGGCAAAACAAATGCACAAACCTGCTCTTTTTACTTCCCAGTGTTGTCCCGTGATGAATTCGGTGATAGAACAGACAATCCCGAGTTTATTGGCAAGCTGGTAAGCAACAGTAGCATAATTTGATTCTAGAAAATTAACATAAAGCTTTAACTATGCCCCTAACCCCACCTTTCAGTAACATTGTGTCCCAAGATTAAAAAAAAAACAATTACGCTGGACGAAATGAAAAAAAAATTAAACAGCATCATATTTGTACGAATGAAATGCTTCTTTTTATTGCATATAAAATTTAACCCCCCCTCCCCCCCCCCCCCTTTCATAGAGGTATTTGCACTGAAAACTGAGTGGGTGTCTCACCAGATTTTACAATAAAATAATTTTCAGAGGCAAGCTTCTCGCCCTTTGAGCCCCAGTTAGTGAGTAGATAGCAATCAACATAATTATGCAATGAGACAAACGTTTATTGTAACAAAATTGTCACGCATACTTTGTTCATTGCTAAGCCAACAGGGCAGTGCAAGCTACATGCTTGCTGGTTCAGTCAACTCTCGGTTATGCGCCATGCAATCATGCTTGAATACGCACAGGAGCGGACTCAGGCAATCAAAGGCACAATGCTGGTTTGACCAGTAAGCACATAGCTGCTACCGTCCTATTTGCTTGACGGTAAAGGGAGTATAGATTTCATGTCAAATACCAGAGGTGATCCATCTCTCCGAATTGATAAGCATGGAACTCTTCCCGGTCTCGACATTGATGCGACAAAACAGTGCAGAAGCTGACACACCTTGTCAACAATAACACACATACTGTGGAGTAATTGCTAAGTAGCGAAGCACTGATGGAAAGCCCTATCTCCTAATACACTGTTTACTCAAAAGTTTGGGGAGCCCCTAAAGATACTCCTGGGAACTCGAGAGTTCCTTGGAACCCAGTTTGAGAACCCGCATGCCGAGCGTCGCATATGCCCCTCGTTCCTTCGAGGTGTGAACCATCAGAGTGGCGTATTTGTTTCGTGGGACAAGAGAGACGGGTGGCGAGAGACACGGGTGGTGAAGCGGCACTCACTTCTTTTTGATGACGTTCTTGAGGTGATGGTAGACCTCGCTGCCCATGCGCATAGCCTCCGAGAAGCTGCTGGCCCCCGTGGGCAGGATCATAAACTCCTGCATGGCCAGCTTGTTGCCCGCATGGCTGCCGCCGTTGATCACATTGAACGCTGGCACGGGCAGGATCACCTTCGAGTTGCCGGCCAGGTCGGCAATGTGCCGGTACACCGGGACTCCCTTCTGGGCTGCGCCTGCCCGGCACACCGCCAGGGACACCCCCAGGATGGCGTTGGCTCCCAGGTTACCTGCAGAACGTGGCGTCACGCGGTTTTTATGCCGTCGGTCGACGAAACATTTGCACGAAAGGTTTTTTAACCTGGGGTATCCAAGAAATATGTCGCTACATGAAAGGTAGGATCCACATGCTGTGAAACGAGCTTGAATTTACGGCGAAACTGCCAGACGAGCAAAATTTCAGAACACGTGGCATAACGTTTTAAGGGGTGTCCAAACAGGACACTACAAAACGCACGACTCCGACAAATCGTGAAAATTGAAGCAGACGCTTCTATTTTTACGATTTGTCGGAGTCGTGAAAATGTTTGCAGGAGTCGTGAAAATTTTTACGATCACGACTGCTCTCCTCGTCAGATTGACGTCACACGCCATGTGCGTCTGTCTCACCTCGCCAACGCCCTCGCGTACCGCCCTCGCCTCGGCTCGAAGGCCAAGGAGGTCCGGCTTCGGGTGGATTTGAGACATTCCTGCATCGAAGGGTGCGTTTTGCCTGCCTTGGATCTGCTTTCTTTGTCGAGATTCACTTTCGTCATGATGGCGTCCGATGCGGTTCCGTATTCTGAGCGGAGGCCTTGAGCGATTGACCGACAGCCAACAAAGCGTGTGAGTGGCTCTCCGGACGCACGTGATGAGCAGAGCAAGGCCGCCGTGGAGGAAGCGAGGGGGAGATTTGACGGGGGGAAGTTTCCCCCCGGGAGCTTTGACTGAGGGAAATTTCCCCCCGACGGCCGGAAGCGGAGCGCGGCACGATTTGCCAGAGTCGTGAGTTTTGTAGTATCCTGTTTGGACAGGCCTTGATAGGCACAAACGGCAAACGTAAAGGGTTTCATTACAGTGGCGAACATATGGACTGCTTAATAGATTTTTGCAGAACTTATTGCCCCACTAAAATGTTTAGGATATTTACCGTCAAATACTGAGCATGCGCCTAGGTCACAATAAGCGCACACGCACTACTTTTGAAGAAACCGAGAACTAAAAGGATATATCAGACAGCCACCTCAGACTTCTGAGCTCACCTAGCTAACCAAGGTGGTTCTCCTCATCATCCCCTTCTCCTTAGCAGTCTGGTGTGTGCATTATCTTTAGGGAGTCTGTAGGCTCCTGCACTGCCTGATTAAATCAACGCCGAGAAAGTGAGAGATTTTTCGGCTATCGATCAAAAGACAGAGGGGTTCCTCGAAATTAAAAAAAAATGTTCCAGAATTTCTGCTTCAAACTATGATAAACTATAAGAGAGCAAGAGAGAAAGAATCCATACTCCCCCCACTGTCCTAGTATTTCATTCTGTGCCAGTGTCTCAGGTTTTCCAAAATTGACATTGTTGGTCAGGCAGCTGAACGCCATCTCAACCTTGAGACTTCTGAGCCGACCCATACTCGGCGTTGACTATTTTCTTTATTTAACATACCTCATATAGCCTGGTTAGGGCATTAAATTAGGGGGATACAAAATTTTATACAAAATACAATGTGTATTTATTTACACACACACAGACAAAAAGAAACATATCTAGAAAGATTTGTTTTAAAACAATAGCAATATTGATTCTGTGCTACGCTGTCAAGACTAGCATAGCTTCCACAATGCTCAAGCCTCGCACTGCTGCAAGAGCACGTGGCCTCATTTCGAGTCTCATTCGCATGCACTCGTGCAACTGGCTTTGACAGAGTTGGATCACCGCGGAAGTTACGCTAGCTTCGACGACATAGCACAAAATAGTTGATGCCGAGCATAGCTAACCAAGGTGCTCCTCAACATCAGCTGCTTCTCCAAGCACTCCAATGCAAAGTGTCAAAGCCCACCCTACCAGCGCCCTTTCTACCTTTTTGCCCTTGGAACTAACAAGGGCACGTCCCGCAGTTTTTCGATACTGTCAGAAAAAACTGACCTTTGTTTTCGGTGCCGTCCAGCTCGATCATGAACTCGTCGATTTGGAATTGCTCCCGCACGTCGAAGTTCTTGGCAATGAGCTGCGGGGCAATCACTTTGTTCACGTTGTCCACCGCCTTGAAGACGCTCTTGCCGTGGTACATGGACTTGTCGCCATCCCTCAGTTCGAGAGCCTCGTGGATCCCCGTGGAGGCACCGGACGGAACGGCGGCACGGAACAACCCTGCAACGGAATGGGGACGGAAAGGTTGTGAACGAGACGTTTCGCCAATAGCTTCAATGGCACCTTTGTACGATCGTCACAAAGTGGAACCACAAAGTACAGGGTGAACTACTTTAAGCTCCCGTCGATGTATTAGATCGCATAAATTGGTTTCTTGAGTGATCATCTTGCAATTTCCTACAAAGATGAGACTTTGGTGGTGGACACCAGTGCGTGGCTGGGGGTCATCAATAAAAAAAAAAAAGAAAAGCTATTATTGTGAAGGTAAAGACAGTTCTGCAAGCTGTGGTTCCATAAAGCAATAGAAGCAGGGGAAAGGAGGTATGATTGAAGTTCCCATCAACTCATGCCTCTGTCATTTTTAGGGAATCCAAATCTGACACTCAACAAGAAAGTTGGCGATCTCACCGATTTTTTTTTCCAGAGTGTCCCGTCAACCTTAGAGCCTCAGAACAACCTTTTTATCTTCAGAAATGCATGCTTATACTCAGTCTCACCCTACGATGAACTAGGGCCCGAAGGCTGGCGGGCGGAGCACTGCCTCAGAAAAGCTTGCATTTTTTTCTTTATTCTTTATTCATAAGTTACCCCGCATTGCCCGAAGGCGTTACTGCAGGGGGGTTACAAACGTGAAAAAAACAATTCTTCGGTTGCAGAGCACACTTGTTCCTCCGACAGCTTGTTCCATTGTTGGATGGTCTTGACAAAAAAAGAATTAGCGTACATGTTTGTTCTGGCACGGTATTCTCGTATTTTAAAACAGTGATCGGTCCGGCTTGAAATATAGTGCGGTTGCTTTAGGTAATCGTCTTTGTTAATGCCCAGTCGACCATTAAATATTGAAAACAAAAATTTCAGTTTTAATTTGTTCCGTCGGGCTGAGAGTAATTCCCAATTTAATTCTCTTTTCATGTCAGTACAACTATCCTTTTGCCCATATCGTCCCAGAACAAACCTCGCTGCCCTATTTTGAATTTTTTCTAGTTCTTCAATTAGATACTTCTGCGCAGGGTCCCATACAACACATGCATATTCTAGAATTGGTCTAACACATGTCAGATATGCCGTTTTCTTCAAGTTTGTTTCGGAACATTTTAAATTTCGCTGAATGAAGTTTAATGCCCTGCCGGCCCTTAAGACTACATCATCGACTTGGGCATTCCATGAACAGTCATTCGATAATATAACACCCAGATATTTGTACGTACATTCTGTTTTGATGAAGTCATTATTTATACTGTACTGAGTATCGATTTTTTTCTTACTCCTAGTAAAACTTAAATGGACACACTTTTTTGGATTCAAATTCATCTTCCATTTACAACACCAGTTTTCAACACGTACCAGGTCACTCTGTAATTGTTCTGCGTCATGCTCACTCGTAATGCTTCTATATAAAACACAATCGTCAGCAAACAGTCGAATACGGGATGTTATTTGGCTAGAAATGTCGTTAATATAAATTAAAAACAAAAGGGGTCCCAAGACGGAGCCCTGGGGGACTCCAGATGTAACATCAACGTAATCAGACTGCTTGCCGTTCAAAACCACACATTGACGCCGCTGGGACAAATAGCTTTCAATCCACCTAATAACAGTTGAATCTAAATTAAATATCTTAAGTTTCTGGAGAAGAAGCGAGTGTGAAACCGTGTCAAATGCTTTACGGAAGTCTAAGAAAATACAATCTGTTTGTCTGCGCACATCAATACCAGATACTAATTCGTGAAAAAATTCCGCAAGCTGTGTTGTACAAGACAATCCCTTACAAAAACCGTGTTGCTCACTGATAATCAAATTGTTTGCGTTTAAGTGAGACACTATCTGTGAATAAAAAACGTGTTCAATAATCTTACATAAAATAGACGTCAATGAAATAGGTCTGTAATTAGAGACATCCTTCTTCGGACCGCCTTTGTGGATAGGTACAACGTGAGCAACTTTCCAGTCATCTGGTAGAACGCTCGTAGCCAGCGACTGGGTATAAATTAAGTATAGATAGGGCGAGATTGCCTGAGCGCACCTTTTTAAAACGCGTGGTGAGATGCCATCGGGACCACTGGCTTTGGTTTCATCGATGTTCTGCAATAAGGTTTCAATGCCACTTACACTAAATTCGACTGGTGGCATTTCGGGAACACCGCTAGTGTATGAAATACTTTGGTAACTGCATTTAGCCAAAAAAACGGACTGAAAGTAATTATTTAAACACGTGGCTTTCTCTGCATCATCTGAAATTACCTGGCCATTTTGCACAATTTCGCTGATCTCTTTCGCAATCTGCATTGCGAAAGAGTGCGCGAGAGAAATGCCGATACGCAGACTACACTGACCATTAATCTAACGCATGTAGTTTTCTGTTATAATAGCGTGCTATTTTATATTGGCAAAACAAAATGGCACATGGTATTTAGTTTCATAAACATTCTTGCCATATTTCGTAAACATGTCAACTGTTCGGAGAAATTGGACGGTGTGCAGGCAACAATGACATAAAGTTGTTTCGCCTCAGTCATAATAATCCAATTCAATCCAACTTTTGTCTGACCCGGATCTCCCTTCCGCACGCGATCCATACATACGCTCCTGTGTCAAACACTCTACTCGACTCGTCTTCATTTCTTAATGGCCACTGGCTCTGATCCCGGGTTCTCTTCGCCCCATCGCTTCCAGATGGTATTTAATCCCTTCAGTAGTAGCAAGCAGATGGAGCCGCGACGAGGGCTCGGTAAGCAGACGAAAAAGTCACCCGCGTCTTGGCGCACCGATACATACGACCGAGCAAATATACCACGTGGTTTCTAACAGGCTCGTGATTGGACCCGGGGCCCTGTAGCATTGGGCTTTAGTCCATCGTAGGCTGAGACGGAGTATAGAAAGACATATGTCCATAGGAAAATTTTGCTTTTCTTTAGATCATGGCCCTAGGCAGTTATAGAGTCATATACATACTTTGAAATATTGAAGACATCATGCTATTACATCTTCACAAAGAATTACACTGCAGGTAAACAAGAACTATTTCTTATGCCCAAAACATTGAAATTAGCTTGAACTCTCTTTTGCAGCTGTCATATTTTTTTTAATTTTGCTTTCTTTTTAAGTTAATCTTCGTCTCAAAAAAATTTACACCATCAAATGATTATTAAAAGAATCTATTGGTTTGTTTTTTTATTTTAAGACCCAGACACTAGTACATAACAGTAGTACATTACTGCCTAATTTCGCAATAGACTAACACAGAGCGCAAGTTCGTCTGCTTCTTTTGCAAGGGTTGCGGCGACATCAGAACGCTGAGCTCTGGATGAAGGATAGTGAGGTCTACCTACTATCCTTCAATCAGAGCCAATCAGAGCTCTGCATTCTGATGTCACCAGAACCCCTGCAAAAGAAGCAGACGAACTTGCGCTCCGCATCGCAATACAAATGTAAAAGAAAACAACAGTGAGAGTGCAGGCAAGCTGCTGATAATTGTTGATACATGTCTATCGTTTTCCGTTTTCAAGGTCATGATATTAAAGGGTCATTCAGTTGTTGTGTCCACACAGAGTGTATCGGAGAAGAGGATGGCGATGTCAGCATTGGGTGTACATAGAAGCAAGAAAAATAAATTATTTTAGATGCGTTTGAGGCATTCTTCTCTATTGTATTTTTTTTTCCTTCGACTTGAGTTTCTTTATTTTTCCGCACAATCGGGTGTACACAAGGAGCGAGAAAAATAAAAGCTTTTAGATGCGTCCTCCTTTGTTGTCTTTTCCTTCGATTTGAAAGTTTCATAATTTTTCCGCATCACAGTCTCAGGTGCTACATTATGATCAATACAAATGTTTTAACAACAAGTAAGAGACAAATAGTCACCACCGTATGTTTTGTTGTAGCAGTTCATCCCAAGTTAACACCGCGAAGATTGCTATATTAGTTAAAAACGAAGTAAATTTCCTCGTAACGCAGGACTGCAGAAGAAGAAAAAAAAGTAGTTTGAGGGAAGCTTTTTATGTTTACTTCTGTTATGCAACTCGGTATTACCATACTTGGGATCAATCACGTCAGACTTAAATTACAAGAAAATACGAATTCGTGTACCTTTTTCTGTGGTCAAGTCAACTTCCACGGTCGGGTTGCCCCTGCTGTCGAAAATCTGGCGGGCAAATATCTTGGTGATCGGCATCCTTGCACTGGAAACAAAACAAAAAGTACCAGTTAGCAGCTGGTTACAACTTTTGGATAGCAATACTCGCGTCAACAAGTTCCCACCCTTTAAATGTTTTGTTTGTTTAGGACGCTCGATCTGCTTGATGTCTCCGAGTGAGGCGATCGGGACAGAGGAATAGAAAATGACACTTTTTCCGGTATCACGCAGGATCGAAAACGTAGCGACTTGGTTTCAAGGCAGAATTGGTTCAATTCGCGAAGCCGGCCCCGATGAACTGTCAAAAAAGCCGACCCGTTGCATTTCTAACTCAAGGTCGAGCAATGTCACCGCCAACACAGCTTCAGTACGTTCCAGAGGCTGGCACGTTCCAAGCAGCGAATCCTCTCGCATTTCGAAAGGCTGAACTCGTTTTGCGTTCGATTAACAGCGTATTCCACAAGCTACTCACAGTGTTTTGCTGCGAAGAAGCCTGCAACGGAAGAATATCACGAAGGAACTACCCGGTAGCAGCGAGGGCGCGAAGTCAGCGATGGAAGCAGCCGAGAGAGCGGAATGGCAGCGGTGAGGGCCAGAATTTCCACCAGGGGAATGACACGCCTACTTTTACCGCTCTTACAATAAGTAAATATATAAAGCAATATTTAAATTTGGACGGTGACTGGCGTCCTCTTGTTTCAATTTAAACCTAACAAACTGCCCAATATTATATTTCTTTAGGAGGACATTGCTTTGCTTGTAAAAAATAAATAACTAAATAAATATTTTTATAAATTATAAATTTAAACAAAACTAAATGCATAAATAATGTTTTGAAGAGATTCGTGAAATGGCGCGCAAAGCCACCCAATTTCAGAAGCAGTTATTACCAGTTATTACTAAATGAGCACTGAAATTAGAACTTTCTTTTACTTGATAATGTGCGTAAGTAGGTGTAGTTTATTTTACTTTTCACGTTACGTGCAAAGTATGCAATCCGTAGCAGAGTGGCAGCGTATCAAATGACCGCAGAGAATTTGTTCTCGTCGTGGATGGACGCACGCACACGCAAACCGTTGACGCAAACGGCAGCAGCAAGCAAGCTGGTCAGCTTGAGAGGCTTCGGCGTAAGTGGGGGGTGTCTGTGTCGACCGCATGATTCATAGGCGGTAGTGATCGTGATCGGGCCAGTTTCTTTGCGTGGTATCTTTCGTGAAAATACTCCAGATGGTCTGACACGCTGACCAAGGCGCAACCAGTTCATCATGAGGCCAATCGTGAATCTCGACGAGTGCATTCGGGACTCTCCCAAGTTCAGGTGAGCGTCGATCACTTTCAGATGGTCTGCCCATCGGACATCTCTGTCTCTCTCGAGCAGCGATGACATATCGTTGATATTATCGCGAACGGAGACAGTCTGAGTGATTGGCCCGCTTAAAATAGAGAGGGCGGGGAAGAGATTGGGTCCGTTGCTCCGATCTCGCGCGGCATATATCGCACATCCGCTCGCCTACAGGATGATGAAGATGATATAACCCGGCCGCGGAATGTGACCTGGTTTCCGTTATTAAATTATCAGAGATCGCGTTATAAGTGGGCATGTGTAAGCCCACGGCCGCCCGGTAACTAGGTTAGTGGTGGTGATCTAACGCGTTGACCGTCGTAGACGTTGCATAGCCAAGTCTGTCACCTTGCGAAAGTATCAGCTGGGAGGCGTTTGTACCCTGACGCTTTGAAACTTCTGTCTTGGCAGAGAGGCGCTCGAAGAGAATGAAGAAAACATCGATCAATTGGAGAGCAAGCTCGACAGAGTAAGCGTATTTTTCTCCTTTTCCGACGATGCGTCCTTTCTGCTGGAAGCAGGTTTTCAGCCTTTAGTTTTGTTGTTGTCGCTTGACATCGCGTCTGTGTTTCAGTTGGTCAGATTGTGCAGCACAATGGTCGAGACGGGCAAGAGTCACGTCGCTGCACAAAGGTGGGTGCGCCAATCGTTTTGCAGTGGTTTGTGTAAAATCTTGTTCTTGTCACTTTTTTTATGTGAAATATTTTGGTTGTGTTCCAGTGGTTTCATCAATGGCATATGGGACTTGGTTGGATACTTCAAAGATGACGTATCTATAGTTGTGAGTATAATCATAAATCTACGATGATCCAGGCATGTGACTAAAGGCTTATTCACACGATGCATCTTTTCAACGCGCTACAGTTTAGTGAAACCGAGATTTTGCGAAATCGGCCCGTTCACACGTGGAGTTTGACGCGCGAAAGCTGTGACGTATTGACTTGCGAGAATTTTGCCAAACCTTGTCATCTGCACCAGGAATACAAAGCGTTTCGCATCAAAATGATATGAAGTACGCACAGTGTGAAGAGACAGTCTATTTTATTAATGCCACTCAATAAACTTCGTCAGATTTGGCTCACCGGGTTTACAAGTCCTGCCAAACCAGGTAAAGACCGCGAACGTTAAAGAACAGGCAGGTGATCTCGAAGCGTTTCGGACATTTTTGCACCGCTAATGAAGAAAGTTATCTCCAGCCATCATGTTTATATGTGGTGCTTGCACTCGTTGATGAATCTGCACCGCGCCACAAACCCGTACTGCTAAAGCGCCGTTCACACACCTGCAACCGGGTAGGAAAAAGACTTACTGTCCGTATGCACCGCTTCTTTGCTTGTCGGTTGCCATGTTTGCTTTTTTTTTTCTTTCGGCTTTGGCTCAAATGATACGGAATCGGCGAAAAATCAAACTCCTCCAAAAGCTCGCTCCTCCTCGAAAATAAGACGTCATAGCGAAGTCGAGCGGCCATTGGCAGCGTCCGCGTTTCTCTTTCGGGTAATTGACAGGCCTCGGTGAGGTTTCAGTGAAAAATTGCTCCAGAAGTGAGGAACACGCGCCACTTTTTTCGGAGGCGCGCCACTTTTTCGGTCGCGTTCAGACGGGGAATCTGTTTCCGGAAACCTAGTTTCGCGACACAAGATTCGCCAACAAGATGCATCTTGTGAATAGACCTTAATTGTTTGTATGTTCCATGTTCCGTAAGATCAGTGCCTGAATGTGCCTGACTGAAAGTGTAAGGTCAGAAGACAACTTAATTAGAGAGAACTTCAAAGTACAGCATGTCCTAAAAAAGAAAAAAAAAAGTGCATTGTTTTCTTCACTGGCAAAGTATAAAGTATGCATTGCAGAACGCTCAGTTTCCACCCAAATTTAGCATTATTCTATGTTTTACCTTACGTCCGACCACAGCGGACGCTAGGAGCCATCTCGGCCAATCCTGGTCTGTGAACGTAACACGTGATGCGCTTTTGCTTGTCACTGCGCCCCCTCTCCAAGGTCACGTAACACTCACGCGGCCTTGGATCGGCTCCGTTGGCTTGTAGCATCTGCTGCGGTCGGTCGTAAGGTGAAACGGAGTATTGAAGTCCAGACCAGGATGTCAACGTTTCAGAAGAATGACGTCGGCTACCGAAAATGAGTTCCATTTTCCCTGAAGGTTTCAGAAAACCACTTATATTTTTTAACAAGATAACAGTTTCTCTGAAACGTTGGCACCCGTTTTAAACTGCTAGTGCTACTTTCGGGTGGAGGCTGAGTGTTCGGCGATGCATGTTTTATTTTTGCGGCAAAGAGTATGTTTTTTTGATCACATGTTGTGCAAGTTTGTGTGTACAAAAAAGCGTTAGTGTACAAATGGCACCTGTCTTTAGATGTCTGGTTGCTCTGTTCAGGGTAGCATCCTCACACTTAAAATGTGATTCTAGATTGTTCCACATATAATTAGTTTTGCAGAAGTGAGACCATTGTAATCGGGCAGTCTCACTTCAAAGGCTAGTCTCCTTGAAGTCTAAATCCAACGTCGCTTAAAGGGACACTGACAGGGTCTTTATGCTCACCAAGTGTTTTATTTGTATGTGACATATAAGAGCCCAACTACCCAGAACAGAATTTGCAGCTCGAAATTCGTATTCGTTTTTCCTGAAAACCGCCGATCAAGAACTGGCCGGTTTGGTTTGTGCTCACTCTCTTCTTTGTGTTCATGCACTGTTTTCTATGGTATAGGCACAACCACCAAATATAATCTAAGTCATGGATCATCGAAAGCACACACTCAATATTAAAAATAGAAAAGAAATATGATAGTAATTTTTTGGCGCTTCTAAACAGCTGCAGATATGTTGATTAAAAAAAAGTTGTACAGCCACGTGACTTCCGCCAACTCTCTCCTCCTCTATATTTCATCTTCATCCCCAGTGCAATTTCAGTTTTGGTTCTGAGCAGTTGAGTTTTTTTTACTTTATTAAAAGTGTACATGATGCTTCAGTAAAATATTGATTGAATAGTCTTCTTACACCATAACAAATCACCTGGCAAAAAATAAAACAAAAATTCTGGGGGTTGTCAGTGTCCCTTTAATGTACACTTGGCGTCAAACCTGTCTAGAGGGCGGGAGCGGTGCGCTTTGGGGGACTGTGTGTGCGACATCTGCCGGCGGGTGCTGGACGCCAGATAACGTGCCTCTGAGCATGCGCCGCCATTGTGCAGCGCTGGGCGGGCGCCAGCGTTTGTGCTGACCCATCTGCAGACTCCATTGGCCGCCAGAGGAGCGCTTGGCGCCTCCAGGCTGCGAAATCTAGGAGCTCGGTGTGGCTGCCCATGCGCCGCCGGCTCCACATTATCTCGCGCATTCTTTTGGGAGGAATTCAGCCGCTAAACTCACGCACTTGCTTCCGTACTCGTGCTAAACCGCTCATGGTGTGCACGGGAAGGTATGCATTTTCTTGTTTGCACGAAATGCTTCCTCACTGCTACCAATTCAAGTGCTTGTTATCTCTGCATTTTCGATAAATTGCTCTCACAATGAGAACACATCCATGGCTTGTCATTCCGCGTTAATGGACGCGGGTAGCACACTAAAATTATTCTGTTCCTTAAAGCTTCCTTCCACTTGTGAGAGCAGCACCAAGCTTGGAATGACACTATCAATTGAAATAGTTGATATCTGAATAAGTCTTCCAATAGATAGCATGTCACTAGATGCTTGGGTTTTCATGCAAATAACTTAATTCAGTTGGCTTCGATCTAGAGCACAAATTAAAAAAAGAAACGTGATGATTGAAAAGCAAGAACTAGTCTCGAGGGAAAATAATTTCAAGTGTTCATACGTGACATGGCAACGTAGACTGAGTAGCGCGTAGGACTGCCTTGAGCTGCTTTCAGGCTTGCAATTCTTGATGGAAGCAAGCATTCGAGTTTAGTGGCTAAAGTTTTCTCAGAATAACGGGTGATAAGACTGAGCAGGCGGCGCGTGAGCCGCCACTCTGAGTGCATTGATTTCTCAGCCTGGAGCCGCCGGGCGCTCCTGTGGCGGCTGGCTGATTCTGCAGAACGGTCAGCACAAACGTTGGCGTCTGCCCTGTGCTGCACAATGGTGGTGCATGCTCAGAGGCACACTATCTCGGGCCCAGCATCCGCCGGCAAATGTCGCTTGCGTAGTCCGGGGCGCACTGCTCCCGCTCTCTAGACAGGTTTCATGCCGAGTGTACAACTCAGACCTGCTAGGAATGGGGAAAAAACAACTGTAAGGGAAACAGCAGGAGATTTGGGGAGGGTAAAGCTGTGAAAAATAAAAGGCAAAAACGAACACATTACTTAGTGTCCCTTGTGTAAGGAGGAGGAGGAAGGGGCCTTGAAGCTGGCCCAGAAAAGATATTACAAATGCAACAAAATCCAACTTTTACTGTCGCACGCCACCCCACTAAATTCAGCTGATTCCACTAAGTGGAGTAAAGTGGCAAATTGAACGCCCTTTTTTATCTTGTTATAGGGGCATATTTTTATTGTATTGGTTTTATTATGACATTTTAGGCAATGTTAAACTGAGCGTCCTTAATCTTATATAAAAAAAAATATTGTGCTGAGCTTACTCTTAAAAATGAAAGACGTTTGCCGAGCGTGGACAGTCCCAGACATTTAAATATCATCAGGTGAACACAAGCCATAACACAAGAAAAGTTTCATCACTAGCTAGGTTAGACTACCGATTTTAAAAAGTTACTTAAAAGTGTTCTTGCAAGATATGCTTTGAATGCACTAGTTATATCTAAATGCAAAAATAACTTGTATGTTTCTTCTCTCGTGTCAGTGAAGGTTTCAGGCTTTCTCTTCTCCGTCTTGTCAAATATGTGCTTAGCATTGTTCACCTTTCTGATTTTCTCTTTGATTGTAGGCTGGTCAACAATTAATTTCTTAACTGGACTACACTAAAAAATTTGTATTATGTTAATTGGTTACTAATTAACATAGAAAAGAAGTCAAACAATTCTTTAATTTTTGTTTTATGTTTTGTCCAATTATTTTCTCCACTCCTACAATAGTTCCAAAGGGGCTACGATATTTAAAAAATAAAATGAATAAACAAATAAGATGTAGGACCTTGACTCTCAGATAGTCATCCTTTAATTTTTAAGCTTAGGCTTTCTTCCCAGTAGATTTTTTATCTCTTAGGGTTTGGGAAGGATTTTATGACCTAATCTTGTTTCCCTGTCATTTTACTTTTCAGAACTCACTGAACCGGTTCATACAAATCCTCACCGATGTTCTCAAGTATCAGTCGGTAAGCATAGAAGCAATGTTGTTCTGCTCATTATTGTGCAGTGTGGTCCTGGTTGGTATTCGCTTGCATTTCGCTTGTATTCAAACCCCAAATTATTGCACATGCTCTTTTTTGTTTCTACATACACAAGTCCAATGCACCCAGAGTTTTGACTGACAGATTTGCAAAATGTGTGAAATCTGCATCACACTAACTCTCGTCATGTTGTGACCCTGGCCACCAGTTTACTGTTGGCATTTAAAAAAAATATATTTATAGGCATTGTAAACAAATGTACACTTTGCAAATACTGTTGGCATAAACAAGCCATCGGGGGGTTTTCTCGGTTTTTCTCTCAGTATCGAAGGTCTAGCATCCAAGCTAATTTGACGTTTGTGTTTACACAGTGGAAGGTCTGTCTGTCTTTGAGGTGCGGCAACACTGGTTTGCACTGTGGATAAGAAGTTAGCCAGTGCAGTATCACTGCTAGCCTGGGTTCTTTAGCATGCACCCCGCAGTAGTGATACACGACTGCACGCCGGTACAATGCTCATCCAGATCGAAAGGGGAAGAGTAGAGATTGAGCCCAGGATCCCTGGGTTCTGTGGCGCGAGTTTTTGCTCTCCGCACTCCGAGCTGCAGTGCTCTAACACACTTGGCCACCGATCCCCCTCAAAACTACTAGTACTGTAGCACTAGAAAGGTGCTCAGTTGGAGTACTAACCAAAGTGATAAATTTTGATGCCCTCCAGTACCCTTTCGAAGTAAAATGCAAAAAAGCGTGGAAGTCGTATTGTGCATTAACAGTATCACGTTTTGCCTTGTTTACGAATTTTCGACATTGGTCATTCTTTCAGATTCTTCTTGAGCAAGCACAACGATCGGTCATCAAAAATCTGAACAACTTTATCAAGAAGTGAGTGTGCATGCAAATCAAATTTTATATACAAGTTAATTTTCACATATGTCCCAGGGTGTTCCACCACTTTGCCACATGTTGCGGGGTATCGACATAATCACTCACCTTTCCCCAGTCGGAGAGACAGATAGACAAAGCGAACATACAAAAAAGTTTATGGTGGAGGCAAATTTGTAGAGACCACAGGGGTAATTATCTATGAATGCGGTAGTATATATTGCACATATGGGCAGGCTGTTAGGTTCCCCGCTAAATATAGCGGGGAACCTGAACGGGTGCACAGGTCACGTGACTTAAATTTTTAGCTAATTTAAGCTGGAAACTAAATTGGTGCATAGGTCACCTGAAAAAATTTTCCACTAAATTTAGCAAGGAAACTGAATTGGTGCATAGATTACGTGACGTAAATTTAGCGGAGAAACTGAATTGGTGCATAGGTCACCTGATGTAAATTTTCTGCTAAATTTTGCGGGAAAATTGAATTGGTGCATAGGTCATGTGATGTAAATTTTCCGTGATATTTAGTGGGGAAACTGAATTGGTGCGTATGTCATCTGCCATAAAATTTTTGCTAAATTTAGAGGGGGAAAGTATTTGAGGCAAGAATATACATAGGTGAAAAACTTGGGTAGTAACTTAATAATGCTGTCACATTAAAAAAAGGTACATGCAATATTACACGGATAAGATATACTTTACACTGTATAACATTTACAAGTCAAAGATCCGGAGTGTGATACCAGGTCTGCGCTATTTGCAAACATCTCTTACAAGCTGGACACAGTGGTTCTGAGTAGGGTTGGGCGTCGATTAAAATTTTTAGCCCGATTAATCGCCGCCTTTTAGTCAATTAATTAATCAATTAATCGGTCTCATTCATTTTCTTACAAAGTTCTAAAATTTTTTTTTTTTCGCTTTTGTTGTTTATGTGATAAAAAGCGCAATATAGAATTTTGATTATGAATCATCCTCATTGTCTAAATGAGAACGGTTCAAGGACACTCACTTTCACACATACTTCATCGGCATGAGGCAAAAGGGTTCAATGGTATTGTCACAGATGGAAAGGGGTTTGACAAGTGTAAACTGCAAATAAAGGTTTAATTGGCGAACTTGTGCCAAAACATGAAATAAAGAATGAGCGTCGAGACACCAGAAAAGCATGCTGCGTACAGCAAGCGAGAGCAAGAGTGGCTCGACAAGGTCCTGCACAGCTTTTTATCTAGTGTGCGTCAGCATCTCGAAAATTCCGCCCAGAAGGTTTGTGTGTTTGGGTGTGAATGAACAGGCACTTTCGAGAACAAGGAAGTAGGACAAAATGGTAAAGGTAGAAGTTTGTGACCAAGCGTTGCTTGCTCGGCCCTGTGCGCGGCATCATCCGCCCCTTTAAAAGCGCATTGTCCCAATGCAATGCAAAAAAAAAAATAAGGCAAATAGAAAAAAATTTGGCGAGACGAAATAAGCATGCAGCATCACAGTCCTAACGCCCGTGGAACGGTTTGAGTCAAACGACGTGGACCACCTTCGGGTTGTGGCTGGCGGCATCCTGATGGTATGGTTCCGTCGGGGAGCACCTTGTAGCATACCTTGGCAAACCTCACTCATGAGGGCCCTCACTCACCCTCACTCACCCTCATCTTCACAGGTGAGGTGAGGGTGAGTGAGTTTCTGAACCAGGAAAATTCATAAGTGTAAGGGTGAGTGAGGGCGGTGAGGGCCGTGAGGGCGGTAGGGTATGAGGGCCGTGAGGGCCGTGAGGGCGGTAGGGTATGAGGGCCATGAGTGCGTGAGGGGCGTGAGGGCGGTGAGTAGCGTGAGGGCCATGACCGCGTGAGTGGTGTGAGGGCGGTGAGTGCGTGAGGGGTGTGAGGGCCGTGAGGGCGGTGAGTGCATGAGGTAGTGTGAGGGCCATGAGTGCGTGAGGGCGGTGAGTGCGTGAGGCCCCCTTCAGATCGAGCATCTTTCTCGGCAATTTTGGTGTTAATGACGGTTTGTTCTCTAGCTTTCCCTAGATCGACACGAATTGCTGAGATCGGGTCTGGCTCGAAATAAGCAAGCAATCTGGAGCAATTTGAATACGTTTGAAGCGGCTGCATCCAATCAGGGACGCAAAATTTTCACGTAATACCTCGTGCCGGTGATGATGACACCGAAAGACTTGGTTCTGGTTTGAAATCAATCGTTTTTTGGAAATAAACTGTTTCAGAAATGTGCATTAGTTTTCTTAACGAGATTTAAATGCATAAAAACACGTTTATAACGCGTAATTGTGTCGAAATAGTGCAAGAAAAATAAAATGTGATGATGACGATGGCAAATTGCAACAATTGGTTGCTGCGTGTGATCGCGGGCGGCCCGTGTTGCTGGTGTTGCGACGTAAAGCTTCTGGGCGAAATTGCCCCATCTGAAGCTGGCCTGAGTGGCGTGAGGGCCATCAGTGCGTGAGGGGCGTAAGGGGTGTGAGGGCCGCAAGGGCGGTGAGGGGCGTGAGGGCGGTGAGTGGCGTGAGGGCCGTGAGGGCCTTGAGGGCTATGAGTGCGTGAGGGCCGTGAGGGCCGTGAGAGCGGTGAGTGGTGTGAGGGCGGTGAGATTCGTGAGGGCCATGAGTGAGTGAGGGCGGTGAGGGCCGTGAGGTTCAGTGAGGGTGAGTGAAGGGCTGAAGGTGACTGTGAGGGTGAGGGTGAGTGAGGGGCTGAAGGAGAGTGTAGCTGTGAGGGTGAGGGTGAGTGAGGGCGACCTAAAATGCCGACCTCTGCCTTGTAGTTCAAATCCCCAAGGTCGGCAAATGACGTTGTAGGGTCCGAAGTAGCATTTTAATACTTTCTCGCTGAGACCGTGGCGGCGAATGGGCATCCATTGGTTATGCAGCGCCACCCGTTTGTATTGATGCAACCAATCTTTGTAAATCTCCCCCTGGAAGGGGTTCAAGGGGCGACGGGCAGGTAAATGACAAGGGAGGCAGCGGTGGGAGTCTGTGATGATTGGTTGCTTATTGTTGGCATTGTCTACTGGTGGGTCTTCTCTGGCAGTAGACCAAATTCTGGGGGCAAATTTTGAACACGGCGACTTCCTTGGGTCTCGGTAGCCTTCACGGACGGTTTTCTTGAGCCAGGGACTGCGTTTGCGCTGCAAGGCCTCGGAGGGGTATGCTTTATCGGCTGTGGTACCCCGCACCTCCACTAGAAATGTCACGGATGGGAAAAAGCTCGACAAATGTAAACTGAAAATAAAGGTTTAATTGGTGAACTTGTGCCAGAAAACAAAATAAAGAATGAGCGTCGAGACAGCAGAAAAGCGGGCGGCAATTTGGCGGTGTAACAGTTAGCGAGAGCGAGAGTGACTCGACAAGGTCTCGTGCAGCTCCTTATCTAGTGTGCATCAGCCTCTCGAAGATACGGCCCAGAAGGTTCGAGCGTCGAGTGTTCGGGTGAGAATGAACAGGCACTTTTGAGAACAAGAAAGTAGAATGAAATGATAAAAGTTACATCCAGAGCAATAATAAGCACAAATCTTCTAGAAGTCCGTGACCGAGCGTTGCTTGCTAGACCCTGCAGGCGGCAATATTCTCCGGCAAAAGCGACCTCCTTTGGTTGTTCACAGTAGCCTCTGCTGTGCTAAGCGGTCATCGAATGGTGTTGAAGTGATCGTGACACGTGAAGCCTACACTCGTCTGGAGTTACAAACCTAAAATTTTCCATTCATACAGGTGTACTCGTCCACGTCAGCATGGTGAAAGCGTCTAATTTTTACTTTCTTTTGGTTCCTCAAAATTTACCGATTAACCGGTTTAAGAAATTAATTGCCATTAAAGCATTCATTGATTAATCAGTTAGTTAATTGACCAATTGCCCAGCCCTAGTTCTGAGTGATGTCCATTAAAGTGTCTGCTGGAGAAATTCATACATTTTTCTTTTTTTCGCGGATAGACACTTGAAAATATTTTATTTATTTATTTGTTTATTTTCAATGCTACTAAACCTGTTTGGAATTGTCGTAGGACGGCACAGAATGAACACAGTATAAAATGATAAAAGATATGCTACTGTGGCGAGTCAGTGTTTAGCTGAGTTACTCAGGGGTGCGTGCGTATTTTGAGGCAAGCGTGCGCTGCCGCACTTGAAGGAATGTGGTGCATCTGCGCTTGTGCCGCTCTCAGCTTTAAGGTTGGTGCCAGGTTACCGGAGACGGGCGGACGCTCCACGCTTGGCGAAAAAAAATAAAGTTAGTTCTGAAAGTACGCTGGAGGTGTTTTTAGTGCTCTCTTAACCTGGGCTTGGAGCTCATTGTCAAGACGAGGACTTTAGTTTGTCACAGCTACGTACATGGTACAATATGTGCACATAAGCATACAGTAGAACCTCGTTGATACGTTCTTGGTTGATACGTTTTCCTGTCCGTTGCGTTCAAAAACGCCGGTCCCGTTTTACTTCCATAGAGATACATGTATTAGTTTCCTGCCTGTTACGTTTGCTTTCCCGGTTTTTACGTCCAAAAGTGCCGGAATCGCGGCGCCTCGGCGCGCCGTGCGCCAAGGTGCCACGCAGCCGAACCACGCAGCGCGGATCGCGCGGCCGCGCGGCACGCGGGCGCCCCCCTTCCCTTTACCTTTACTACTTTCACCCTCTTTCCCGGTCTCCTCACTAGGCTTTGCTGAGCTCTGCGAAACGCTCGTTCTCTCTTGCTCTTTCTTTTCGTCTGTCCTCTCTCTCCGGCGCGAGTTGTTTACGCGCCGCACGCACGCCGGGACGCTGCACTTCCAGTTTCTGTTCCGCTCGACAGCTCGACTGCGTGAACAGTGCCGTTTCTGAGTGCGTGCGCGTTGACGACGGCCATGACATCCCGAAAAAGAAAAGCACTCTCTTTTAAAGAGAAGTTTGACATACTTCGCACGGTGGATCGAAATCCCAGCCGGAAGAGGTCTGAGGTCGCAAGAGAGCTTGGACTCGCGCCGTCAACTTAAACAGTGTCGTCGCGAGACGAAAGGAGATCGAGGCGAAGGCTCCTTTCTACCAACCAGGCTTTAAACAGGCTCGGGGGGCAAAACACGCAAAGTTAGAGGAGGCCCTGTTGGTATGGTTCAAACAAGCCCGGGCATCTTGTGTCAACATCGACGGAGGCATTCTGCGAGAGAAGGCGCAAGAGATTGCTGATCGTTCGGATATCGAGCATAGCGGACATTGTGGCCGACCTCACTACTGCCGACAACGAAGAAAGTGATGAAGAAGACGAACAAAAAACCAACGATTACGCTGCACCCACGTTTGCGGACGCGATCGCTGCGTTGGACACCTTGCGCTGCTACGTAAACGTTCATGACTGCGCGGAGAGAGAGGGGACTGCGGCTTCTGGAGAAACGACTTTTACTGCATACCATTAATTCGAAGCGGCAGGTGGATATTACGCGTTTTTGTGAACGTGTCTGAGTCCAAAAGAGTTCGGTAAGTGCATAAAATAAACCATTGCATAAGAGCTGCTTTCTATCTTATATAGAGTGCCTTTAAGTGCGTTATCGGTTGCTGCGCTTTCCCGGTTGATACGCTTTTTTTCCGCGGTCCCCTGAAAAACGTATCAACGAGGTTCTACTGTATGTTTGATAGCCTCATGCGTGGACTTGGGCATAAAGGCGTCGGAAGTTTTTGAGGAAGAGGTATTCCTTACCCAAAGTCCTTTGTTTTACGAATCCCCGATGGCAGAGTTTTTCGGTATGAAAATATGGGACTATGTCATAAGGGATCGCAAACATGTTTTTGAGCAACAAAGCTAGATCTTGTTGACTTTCTTGAGCTACGGTGACCTAGTTTGAGCTTTTAATACATTGCTTTTGTGTCCATTGTAGCTTATTTTTTTCACCCAAGCTCGTACAAAGAAGCTTCTCCCCTTCTTAAAGGGGCGATGCAGCGATTTTTGTATTTTGCGCAAATACCGCTTAGAACGGATCCCTGACGTAAATGACCTGTGAAATACCCGTTCATTTTTCACCACAGCAATCGAAGTCGCCGAAACAAAATTAAGAAAAACGAGCAGAGTTTACCCCCTCAACTCGCAGCCAGAACGAGCGGCCACGTGATCTGGAGCCGATTATATGGCGCCAATGTTGATCGTAGCCTCGCGCTGCGGTTGGCAAGGCACAGGACACGCGCTGAGTTCTTGACATTTTTATGGTTCGGTTCTTGTCGTCATTGCAGCGATTGGACAGAGGGCGCTACCTGAATGCTTCTCGAGCTATTGATTATCACGAGCCCAAATCAAGGGTCCACGCCATGCTCGGGTCCAATCTATGAGCCGCATTCAAATATCGTCACTGGGCGGTACTGCTACCGCCGAGCTACGTCATCAGGTTTTGCGAAGGAGAGATTGAAAGAAAACACTCGGTTTTGTCCTCGAAATTACAGCGCAACAAAGAAGTTTCTTGGTCAGTGGCGTTGCGTGCGAGTATCCTTGAGTCCCACTACTGCCAATAAGCTTGTGTAAATTGAAAAATATTCCAACTGAATATTGTTGCACCGCTCCTTTAATGGTGCCTTTTGTTTTCTTGAGTTTCCTACCAAGGAATCCTCGAACAGGTCTTCAACAGGGGGGCACTAGTTCCTCGGAAAGTAGTAGATTATTTGCTAGAAGTATGTCTAGACTAGAAGAAGGGTCACCCTCCCCAATCTCCCCTCTTTTTCCATGGCCACTGGTTGATCACCTTGAGTATGGGACTGTACAAAGCCGGATGCTCCTGATGTTTTTAGCTAAACAAACTTGAAAAAAAGAAAAGATTTTTTAAACAGCCTGGTTGGGACACGCACATAAAAATAAATTTTATGTGAAAAAAAAGAAATTTAGAGCAATATAGACGGCGAGAGATTTATTGGAAATTCCGCGTGCGAAGTCCATGACCTTGTGGGTCATTCCGGAATGGCCATCTCAGTCGTGAAGGCAATGCCAATCCAGCTCTCCTCCACGTGCCCGAATACCGAGAGAGAAAACAAGTGGAAAGGAGGTGACTGCTGACTAGTTCGCGTCTCGCGCCGTCACTACTGCTCTAATAAAAAAAATTTTTCCGCATAAAATTTATTTTTTACATCCCATATTTTTAACAATCTGATTGTGACACCAGTCTGGTGTCACAACCAGACTGTTAAAGAAACATTTTTTTTTCTTTTCAGGGGCCCTTTAAGTCAGTACTTTTCTACAAGAGTGTGTCTGAATTAAAGCTTTGTACAATGTCTGACCCTTGTTCCACATTCAGCTTCCCCTTGAAGTTGGCAACGAAAAACTCTGGGAGCCATCTATTTCGATCAGTGCTGGTGACATGCAGTGGTGTAATTGCTGCACCATTTGTGCCAAAGTGCTTACCTTGCTACATCCTGCTACATTTTCCCAAAATGTGAAGCATTTGTGCCAATGTCATGCCAAAGCTTAATTTCACTTTACTGATACCCAAATATATTAGCCTAGGCTTCACTGCCTGTAATGACCTTTAAAAGAATATTTTACCTGTACGCAATGTCCTGCCAGTCTGAGGAGGCCAAATGTATGGAAAGAGGACTAACCTTTTCCAAGACGGCATACACGGATGTGTCGGCTACTCTTTCGTAGACAAATCTTTCGCTTCAAAACGATACCTCAGCTTTTTTATTGGACTGCCTCGAGGTGTGCGTTGCACTTCTCGTTGAAGCTCGCCCTGCTTGATTTGCCATGTTGAAAGGCTTTATTCTTCGTTGATGTTAATTCACATGCCGCAAATAGTCATGATTAGCTAAAAAAATTTCCCGAATTCTGCGCAATTTACGTGCGTGTGCAGCTGCATCGGCGAATTATTTTGGGACCAACTGTTCTCCTCGAAGCTAGTCACTGAAACTTTTAACAGTCCTACATCATTCGGTATCTTGTTTCCGTGCCTGGTGTTACTACTCGCAACTAAACAGCTAGTCCCGTGTTTGAGGGAATCAAACCTGCCGTGTAATTAATACTAATGAAAGGTTATTGTCTTTTAGTTGGACATGCTAACAGATGAATTTTTCCATAATACTCGCACCAGTATGAATGAAAACGAAACGTGTTCTTATGCTCCAAAGGTTCTTTTTGCTGCCTCACAATGGACTTTTGGTTGTTTCAAAAGGTGCTCTAAAATGACTCGAACCAGTCGCATCACTGAATGTGCCACATGACTTTGTGTTCTGACACGGAAAAAGCAGTGTTGCGAATGCCCAACATGTTTTAATGCAAAATTACTGGAGGACACTTAAATACGGTAGCTTTATAGGGTGGTTGGTTTTCTTAGTTTGGATGGTGCCTAGGGCACGATGACCTTTAGTCTTTCGGTGCCTGGGGTGGGTGGTGCTCTTAGTTCAGGTGGTGCCTAGGACGGGTTTGTACGGAAACAGATTACGTCATACCATTGTCTCTTTGTGACACTGCGTGCACTTCCCTTTAGCACCATTAGATACAAAGCCTTTGCACTGAATTTTCTGGGTCACCAATAGAGAGGAAGCGCCCTTCCCTGCCCTTTTAGTTCCCCCCTCGTCCTGCGTGCTCTTTTTACATGATTTGTTTCTGCTGCACTTTTGCCCTTTTTACCCCTCCCCACTCCATGCACTTTCTCACACCACCTGCTTCTGCTCCTCCCGTTCCTGCATGCTAGGTTCATAACTCAGTCAGCAGGGCAATCGGCTTACACACCGGTGACCAGGGTTGAATACCTTGCACCGGTTGTTCTTTCTTTTTTTCATGATCATTTAGCGATTACGGACTGATTGACCTACACATTTCTTGCTTACACGGCTCCTGAGGTTGGTTGGCCCTATAAAGCTACCGCTTTCAAAAGGAAACCGAAAATGAAAGGGTGCGAGACCCAGGCAGAGGCGGAAGCAAATTAGGTTTCTGTGATTAGGCAGTCCGCCTTTGAGGTGTGGTGACATTGGTCTATGCTGTAGATGAGAAATTTAGCCAGTGCAGTACGACTGTTAGCTCGGGGTCTTCAACGTGCATTGTGCAGTGGTGATCCACGACCGCGTGCGGGTATGACGGTCATTGAGATCGAAACGGGCAGGGGTAGGGATTGAACTTAGGATCCCTGGATTCTGCAGCGTGAGCTTTTGTCCACATGCTCTGAGCTAACACACTCGGCCACTGATTCTTCTGGGTACGAGACCCAAATTGTGAACGGCATAACATTCAATACTTAAGCGCGTCGACCGTAAGAGAGATCTCGTGGGCACCAGAAGCGTCTTTGGCCAACCTGCATCGTGTGCCTTGCAGTGACATCCGGCAAAGCAAGGAGACGCGGCGGCACTTTGAGAAGATGAGCGACGACCTGGACAACGCGCTGTTCCGGAACTCTGCGGTGCCGCGCAGCAAGCCCGCGGAGTGCGAGGACGCCCACAACGTCCTCATCGCCACCCGGTCCTGCTTTCAACACCTCGCCCTGGACTATGTCCACCAGGTAGAGAATTGCCCCAACCTGTCCGAACTTCATTGGCCCTCTCGGTGCCACAGTGATTCAAGTTTCTTTGCGTCCAGGCAAATAGTTAACGCGTTAATACCGAGGTGTCTACTAACCTGGAAAACCTGAAGAACCCGGAATTGTCGGGGAATTTAAAAGTATTTGGAAAAGTCGTGGAAATTGAGAAAGTTGAGGAAATCGTTGCAAATTTGGTGAAGGCGGTCATCTTGAATGGCTACAAAATTTATTGTAATTCATTAAAAGAAATGTAACAATACATACTCAAAAGTACCTTTGCTAGCATATTACTTGTGTTCTTAGGGATTCTAGAGGAAGATAATTGAGTTGTAGGTTAATTAGATGCTTAATGATGTTATATTGCCACTTGCTTCTTATTTTTCCTCTTCAATATTATTTTGTTAAAAGGGTGATAGTTTTTCACTGCATACAGAGTATTATGATAAAAAAATTGTAGGCACGGATCACCCAAAAGCTAGATCAAAAGAAGACGAGCTGGAGACGCGAGCTCATGCCAGAATCGAACGAAAGAAGCATGGCCGACGGTCACGGCAGGTTCGTGGACAATCCGTTTACTCGCTAGGTTTAATCAATGTAAATAGTAAATAAATAGATATGTATCCCCTAATTGTGGTCGCTATTAAATAAATAAGGGATTTTTCATTTTCATTTTTTTAAACAAAAAGGTTTTTGGTACAAGTTACTCCTATTTTAAAACACAATTTGAAACAAAATTTTCAGAAAAAGCTCTTTTCACTTTTTTATTATAATACTGAGTATTTGCAAAAATTTTGATTTTGGGTTTTATTGTCACACATTATTTTTGTTGTTCGTTGCTCTCTGTGGTTTAAAAGGAGCAAATTAGTTTATTTTACTGGGTATTTATAAATGTGTTTTCACGCCTCTCGTAGTTTTTCTACGTGTACATTGAGTTGAGAATCTAAAAAAAACATGCTATGTAAAATCTAACACCAGATTTATACAGAAGATTAGGCATCATGAACTGTAAAAATTTCATTTCAACATCTTAAATAATAAAAGAAAACTTTCCCCTGGCACATGTCTCCTTAAGTGAGGATGTGGCAATATTTACTCTCTCATTATCTTGCTAAATAATTACCCTAGACTATAATAGCTTGCCCTAGATTCCTGAAGAACATTGAGAATATGTTAGGAAAGTTACTTTTTGGTACTTTACACTTTATATTCGTGGGCTTAGTATTTTGCAAATTCGGCAAAGTGTTGTTTCTTGAGTATTTCATGGGCACAAAATTTTGTGAATTGGTGTGGTTTGCTATGTATTCGTTATCACAGAGAAACTTATTAAGGGGACCTTTTTTTTGTTATATTATTTAAGTCGCGAAATTTGATAATTAAGGCATTTATTGTATGTGTTTTTAGACATCTTTTAATAAATTAAAAATCATCTTGTACCCATTTAAGATTGCTGCTGTGGGCCCAGAACCTGAAGTCGGGGAAAATAACCAATGTGGGTAGCGCAGTGACGTGCAACAAAGCGGAAGGGTGTGGCACTGGCTAGCGGTGACAGGGGATGGCTTTCCTGCCTAGTAACAGTTGCCCCCTGCATTTTTTTGTTTTTTTTTTTTTTTGGTAATGGTCAGGAATTTATCGAAGATTGGATAACAGTAAAGGTCTGAAGATGAGATAAGATCTGTGTTGCTAAGATCTTTGCCCTTATTATAGTTTACACTTATCACTCATCTGGCTACTAGGTGAAAAGCAGTGGTGGAAATAGGTTACCCAGACCCAATATTTAGAGCTGTGCAAATATAACATTTTTTGCTGTTAAGTGAATATTAATATTAGTAATTGACTACTGATTGATTTTTGACTATGAATACTTTTGAAATTATTGTAACCTGAGACTAAATATTTTAATAGCTTCAGCTGAAATTTTCCCCCTTAAGTGGAAAAAAAGTTTTATTTCATGAAAAACATTTTACATACATCTGTTCACTGAAAGAAAGGTTCCTGACGATATGAGTCGGTTAAAACATAATGCAACATGACAGGCAAAGCAACAAGTACCTCATTCATCTAAATATAAATTATTGTTTTTTTTAGCACTCTTCTTTACAATAAAGTTTTCTATGGTCGCAACCAAAATTTCTGAGCCTATCGAGTTAACCGAGATGCTTCTCCGTGTCAGCTGTTTCTCCGAGCGCACCAATGCAAAGCAGTGAAACTTTACACATGAGCGCTGATGTGAAGCAGTGAAGCCCAAGTATGCTGGTGCAATGTGGTGACTCTCCGTGTCGAGCTTCACTGCATCGCACCAGCATTTTCATGTCGAGCCTGACACAATAAATCGGGGAATTCTGAAGTCATACATCATCATTTTCAGATATTCGAAAAACTCAAATACATTGAATAGTAAAAGTGTGTTGTGAATTGTATCAAATAGAAAACATTATTTGCAAATTATTTTAAGTTCCAAATATTCGCGCACCCCTACCAACAATAACCCTACCAACAAATGTTCTCTAATGTCGGTGATTTTAAAATTTTTATTGGAACATTTTAAACTGTTTGATTTGAATATTGTAAGAAATATTTAGGATTGTTTAAATATGATTGTGTTCCCTGTACATGCAAGGGCACCGGACCCAGTCAAGCTAGCTTCTGTTAGCTTTTTGTCCGGTGTCCTCGGCATAATGTTGCTGAAATAAAGTTCAAAGTTCAAAGTTCAAAGTTCAATAGCTTTTTCACAAATTGCGTGCAGTGCGAAGAATATGGTTTGTCAAATCAATGATAAACAGTTGGGATTGCACTTTTTAAAAGTATATCCTTGTAACTTAAAGCAAACATTATAATCTAAACACCAATTAATCAAACAATGTGAATTTGCCGGTAAAAGGAAATGGCATTAGAAACTCAAAAATGACTTTTTCAGGAACACAGTGTCATATCGGAACAACTTTTTTGTCCGACAGCATATAGAGAAACTTAAACCTGCAAAACAATTCTTACAACTGTACTATATGTTTTCCCATTGATAACCGGTGTCTTCTTTTTGTTTTCAGTTGAGCTGCCTGCAGTCCAAGAAGAGGCACGAGGTGTTGCAGACTGTAAGTATCACTCATCTTTCTTAGAAGGAAGGTTGAGTGAGTTATCCGAGGCAATTTCAACATCGGTCCACTTCAATAACAACCGCTTTAGATTAAAAAAAGAAAAAAGAAAAGCTAAGGGGGCTGGTTATCTTTCAGAATCTACAAGACTAATAGTCATGGGCTCGGCAACACTCAGGGAACGGTGAACCTTAAAATGTTGCTCCTCGTCATACAGATTCTGAATCACCTGGAATATGGCCCAGTCCCGTCCAAGCTTGCCCAACTGCCTAGAATGGAAAAAATAACCAGCGCCATCTTCGAAAATGCCACGCTGGATTATCAGCATCTCGCCACGGTGGTGCCATCGGCAACGACAGCATTGGCTACAAAAGACCCCGCGCTTCGACAGATCGCCCATGGGCTCACCAACACTCGTGGAACGATGAACGTTAAAATGTTGCTCTTTGTCATATAGATCCTAGGTAACCTGGAATACGGCCCTGTCCCTTCCAAGCCCGCCCAACTGCCTGGAGTGGAAAAAAACGCCGGCGCCATCTTCGAAAATGCCACGCTGGATTATCTGCATCTCGCCTCGGTGGCGCCATCGGTAACGACAGCATTGTCTACAAAAGACCCCGCGCTTCGACAGCTCACCCATTGGCTTGGCAACATTCGTAGAACAATGAACGTTACAATGTTGCTCTTCGTCACACAGGTTGGTGAACCAAAGTCCAGAGGCATGCCTGACATGTCTTTGGAAACTACTGCTTCTGATATTATGTGGTGATGTAGAATCCAATCCAGGTCCACTGACCAAGGCCCAAAGCGAAGAACTTTTACTAAGTACTATACATGCAATAGTGCAAAAACATGAAACTAGACAGTCTGCCTCGATAAATCAAGTAAAGGAATTCCAGGAAAAGCAAACACAAACGGACAAACTTGTTTCCAACCTATCTTCGCGAGTCACCAGCTTAGAGGCTGATCTGGCTGCCGTGAAATCAAATCCTGTGATGGTTCACACTGAGGACGCTAACATTGGTATCACTGAGTCTCATCTGAAACAATTACAAGAGCGTTGTGACGACGCAGAGAGCCGAGCACGCCTGTCTTCTAACTTGCTATTTTATGTTCTGGACGATAGGGAATCAGAAACTTCGGCTGAGTCAGAGCAGATTGTCCGAACTATGTGCTCCTAAAGCCTTGGCATTGCGCTAGACGATTTCGCTAACGACAGAGCACATTGTCTTGGCTCCTTCAACCCTAACAAATGTATGCCCATTATTAAGTTCTGCTTTTTCAAAAATAAACAGTCCATTCTTTCTGCCTGTGTCAAACTAAAGGGTACTAATTTACCGGTTGGGAAAGATTTTACAGTAAACATACAAACTGCTAAAAGGGAAGTGCTTGCCTATGTGAAACCTAAAAACTGCCAATTTAAGCTTCAATATATGATAAACTTGACATAGACAACAACTGTTTTGTTTGTGATTATGCTAACCGATGTGTAATGGCTAAAACTAAATAGCAACACAAGAATAAAAAAAGAAGAGTTCCTTCTACCTCGTCATCCAAACAAACTGAATCGTTCTACGCTTACTCTGTTCTATTCACAAACATAAGAAGTGTGCTTCCTGAACGTGATGCTTTGTGTTCACTAATCGATTCAACGCAAGAGGACATAGTCCTTTTAACCGAAACATGGCTTACACCCAAGGTTCGTTACTGAAGTTTTTTCCTCGTCTATGAATTATAATCTGTATAGATGTGATAGGATGTGCAAACGGGGCGGGGGTGTACTGGCAGCTGTGAACAACCGCCTGACATCGTCACTTGTGACTACGGCACAGGGTTTAGATATGGTTTGGTTACACATTTCTTCACCCTCTATTCAAACAATCATTGGCCTCTGTTACAGAGCACCAGACAGTATTGATGCCTTTGTGCCTTTATTACAAGAGCTGCCTCAGTAATATATCCTTAAAATTTTCTAAAGCGATGCTTATACTTCTTGGCGATTTCAACTACCCCTCCATCGACTGGAACAAGTTAACAGCAAATGACAAAGAATCAAAATGTTTCATCAATATGTGTGGGGATTTCAACCTTACAGAACTTGTTTGTCAGCCAGAAAGAATCACTAATCAGTGTAGCGACATACCTGATCTTTGCTTATCTACGGATCCCAATGTGATTAACAACCTTTCACTACCACCTGTGCTCAGCGACCACCTCATTGCACATTTCAACTTTCGTTTCCTATTCTGCGCAAATGCATTCTTCATAAACAAATAAGGGATTACAACAAAGCCGACTACAATTCTATTAACACTGAACTAGAAGCATTTTATGAATCTTTCAGGGAGGCATTCCATAGTTACTCGATTGAAAAAAACTAGCTTAGATTTAAAAATAGATTATCATTCCTTGCAAGAAAATACATGCCTTTGATTAGCATCAAGACAGATAGTCACAGCCCTTGGTATACTAAAGCAGTCAAGCGACTAGGTAGTAAGAAAAAAATGTGTGCTAAACAGTGTCCCTCAGACATAGAGGCATGGAATAAATATGAATAATGCAAAAAGTTCATAAATACAAAATTTCAAAATAAAAATAAAAATATAATGGCATCGACCTATTAAAAGTATTGTCTGACAATGCCAAACAGTTCTGGAATGTAATCAATCCTAAACCGTTCACCACTCTTGCTCTAACCGATGATGAAGGTCAAGTTCTGTCTGATGACCAGTGTGCCGACTGCCTAAACAACTATTTTTATTTCATCTTCACCAACGAAAATCTTAACGTCATTCTGGAGCTTCCTGCTCTCACTCATCCGTCTATGGAAACCATTACCATAGACTAGTCTGGGGTTATCAACGCCATTGAAAATCAGAAACCTTCTTCAAGTTCTGGCAATGACCTCATCAGCTCAAAAATACAAAAAATAATACAAAGCATGCATCATCTCTGTTTTTAACCAATATTTTTCGTGAATTCCTTTCATCTGGTAACGTCCCTCATGACTGAAAAAATAGCCGTGTCATCCCCATATATGTCGGAAATTTAAATTCACCTTTAAATTACTGTCCTATATCACTGAGCAGCATTCCTTCAAAAATCTTGGAACATATCATATTTTCTAATGTTATTAGATGCTGTTAACGACTTATTTTTCACGGGCTCAATATTTTGCGATTTAAGCGAAAGCCGAAGGTTTGGGATAATTTGCGGGTCCTAATTTTTGCGACTTGGTGGGATCTCAATATAGATTCCCCAATGTGTTTAATAAGTAAATAAATAAACATTAGTGGAGCAAATAGACATAATGTAAATGTCTCGAGTTGAACATCTTACATCTGAGCTTACCAAGTTTACATGTTGCTCACTCCAATGATCTCATTGTCGTGCTGATCTTGCTCATAGGTATTATTCCTTCTTTCGTCCCCAGCTCTTGTCCCTGATGAGTGCTTACAGCACCTACTATCATCAGGGCTACGACCTGTTTGAAGACTCGGAACCATTCCTGAAGCAGTTGGGGGGCAGCGTAAGTCGAAAGCACCTTTTCGTGGGCTTGTGAAAATATGATTTGTATGTGAATGAGACAAGAATGCCGACCTGAATATGCACCGAACGGAAGAAGCATCTAGAGATTGCTAGCAAAAAATGTTTAAAGCTTTGCTGTCTTTGAAATTCAAACGTGCTTCCCCGAGCCAAGAAATCACGTAACACAGAAGGGACTGGGTGCATGGGACCTTGGACTAAAAGGTAGAGCAAAAGCCTCATGCAGATGTCTAGATGTTAGTGATAATTTGCCCGTTTCCTGCTCTATCGTTTTAAGGGCAGTGGTTACACAGAGTGTACCCGTAATATCCCGAGTCATCGCCCATCCCCAAGCCATCGCCCACCCCATTTTTTGGGCCAATATCAATTTCCGAAAAACCACCGAGTCATCGCCCACCCCTTCAAATACCCCAGCGCGGACTCTGCGATCCGCAAACACTCATCCAACCCGAATGACGCGGCCGCGGACCTTACAGTTCGAGGACGTCCGTGACAAATTAAAACAAAGGAGGAAAAGACACTTCTTTTTGTTTACCTCCGTGAGCGACCCCAAAGTGGTCGTCTATCCGTGCGAAAAGAAAACGATGGAGATAACAAAATAAGAGTTTGTTAATGTAACCGCGGAGTGTTAGGTCAAAGTCTGTCTCCGCCAAAGTAAGGTCACCGCGAACCCGCTCCTTCTTCCCGCCCGTCGCGACCGCGGTTGTGCAATATTTTAGGCAAAGCCAACGCGTAAATAAAGCTTTGCTGGAACGCCCTACAACGTTTGCAGAGCGTCCCTACCGTGCATTGATAGCCCGCCGTGCACGGACGCACGTACGTACGCACCAAACAAGAAAGTTGCGCAAGAGCTTGCAATTGACAAGGCGCCCGACTTGGCCCGACGCCAAAGTATTTGCCAACGCGACCGCCGGCTTTTCCGCTTTCCCAGCATTGCTCTTGATCGCTTCTTTGGTCCGCTCGCTCGCTCGCTCGTTGCGCCTGGTCGGTTTTTCTATTTTCTTGTAGACTTTTCTTTCTTTTTTTTCTTTTTTTTTACTAACTAGGAGAACATAGTGGTGGCGTTCTTTCAGGGAACAAACGTTCGCGCTATATGCAGATCGGCGGTGTTTCTAGCGCGTATGCAAGCAACGGACTTCGCTATAGTAAAATATTCTTTCGTGAGCCTTTTTTTCTATAAAACAATGAAACTAAAACGAGTTTTGAGTTTGATGTATCTCTTGTGCATCAGCGCTAGATACGCAGAGAAAAATAGGCGGTTTTTTCCGCTTTTTTTCAAGTGTTTGTGCTCACCCACCGAGACATGGCCCACCCCACTTTTTTTAATGAATTTCAGGTGGTAGGGGGGTGGGCGATGGCTCGGGATATTACGGTAATATTTTATGTTGCTTCATGGTGATGTTGCACGGATTTTGTGCCTCAACGGCATAAATATCATTGTGCATAGCCTCCCCGAAAGAAAATCCTGCCAAAGGTGGTGCTCATGTGGGAGGGGAAAGTGAAGTTTGCATCCCTTGGCGGTTGCACACCCCGGCTTTAACTCTGCTATTTTGGGACTCTCTGTTTCCCCGGAAGCACTTGTTTGCTCTCTTCTCCCTCATTTTCTGTACTGATTTTGATTTACAGAGAATTGAATAAATGACTGATATTGATTTACAGAGAAGTAGCACAAAATGTACTGTTACTGGAACGTTATCAGCTGACGGTGCTAACGACCCCGTATTCTACAATCCAGTAATGTTACACCTCAATGTTGCAGTACCATGACTGCATACGTTACCTGGACGTTACCTACACAATGTTACTGGATTGTTGTCGGCTAACGTTGCTAACGGCCACCAATTCTAACTTTCACTTTAGGAAAATTATTGTTTGTTAATCGGACAAGAGGAAAGGCTCACTCATTGTTTTTCCTAACTGGAATTTTATGGGCAATGCAACTGTGGAATTGTGTTTTTTTTACCTTGTGGATATCTTGTAAAAGATATTAAGATTTTGTCGACAACATAAAAGGCAAAAAAATTATTTTATTTTTCACTGCAATGTTTGCATAAACTAAATTACTTTTTAAAAATTTTGTTTACACAGTTGCACTCTCCAGGCATTCTGCTGCAGGTCTAGAGTAGAAAATGTTAAGTATTACATTAGTTTCCTAATGATAGTTTTGATTAACAAAGTCGGTGTGTTCCTGATAAAACTGGCTACCCTATAATTTATTTTACAATTCGTGTATGCAGATGAAACTTTGCACTGCATTCTGCCTTATATACTGTAAATTTCATTTGTATTCCAAAGGTTCAAAAATTGACCCTCTTGGGTGGTGTCCCCCCTTTAAACAAAAAGGGTAGTGTCTATTCTTCCGGCAGCCAAGAGAATAAATTCCCCGAAATTCTACCGGCAGTCGCCTTTCATTTGTGGTTGCATCAGTTTATGAAACAATGTTTCATCGATACGCAGTGTTTCATTGACAGATGCTTTCATCGTCAACTCAGATTAGCTTTTTTGTGTAATGAGCCGCGAAGCGGCATGTATGGGTGGGCCAGTCAGGTTAACATTTTTGTAATGAGCCACCGCAGACTCTCGGCATGGGGCGGCGTGAACGGGTGGGCCTGGTAGGTTAACAAGTGCCCCAGTGATGCACATCCGATGAAATGTCCCTACCGCTTGCAATTCGCATAATGATGTTCATGAAACGTGTATCCATGAAAATTGGTCCTTGAAACATGCTTCCATGAACTGCCAGGCGAATAAAGAAGCTAGTATTCTACCGGCAGTTGTCAAAGGGTTTTAGACAGCCAATGTGAGGTGGCTGCCTGTAGAATTTCAGGGCAATTATTCTCCCAGCAGCCGAGAGAACAGACACTGGCAACAAATAAACGGACAAACACTCGCCCGTCTCAAAGGTACGAGTCGAATATGAAAAAGTGCAGATGTCGTGACCATGCTAACCATGTCGCACAGTGTGAGGAACGTTTCATATATCATACGCAAGTGCTTTGCTGAATTGTCAAGTTGTAAATTTCATTCTCTGAATATATTTTCAGCTAGACAAGCTTGGTAAGGAATCCTCAGACTTGTCCAAGCAACTTGACTCAAGGCACCTTCTTGTGACCTCCAAGGTGAGCTCTTCCTTCTCTTCCTCTTAATTTTTTTTTTCAACTCGATTTTATTGAAGTGTTTGAATTTCACTGGGAAAGGACTAGGTCATAGGAAGATTCAAATGTCTTAAAGGGCAAGTCCAGCAGTGCTTACAGATATTCAAGCCTTTACTGTGAAACGGAGGGGGCTTAAAAAAATACTGCACACAAAATTTCCCTCACTTGACTGAAGGTGTAAGAAAGTGATGTCCTAAATTGGGCTTTGAAAACCCTGTATCCATCTAGTATATGTAGTATAATTTCACTATATGTTTTTGGCAATGAAATCAATTTCACTTTGTGTTATAGAGAGCTCGAGGTGACCGTAAGAAAATGCAACGTTTGTGAAGACTGCTGAGTTTTAATAGAAGCAAGAAAATAAGCAGAGTATTATCTGCCTGAGATAAGCATTTGTTCAGCACCATGCTTTTTTGCAATGTGAAAGGAGTACAATGACACAAAGTTTAACAATAAATAGGCTATAAAGGAGGCTATGTAGGGAAATTCAACACAAAAGCGGCGAAGAACTTGAAAGCGACGTTGTTATCAACGTCATGTGACTGTGTCGTGTTATGTGATGTGGTACAACACATCTTGCCCGAGTCTAGTCTCAGTATAAACATGATTGCACCAGCATTAATGACCCTATAATGTATTCTGTGTGCAAGACTTTGTCTCGGCACTTCCATTCCAATATGGTCATACAATGTCAGTATTTTTCTTTCTCTTGAGATTACAAATATTCCTTTGTATGGCATCATTACAGGATGTAATTCCAGTGGTTCACAAGGATCCCTCGACCAATAATGGCATCAGCCTCGAGGGGTACCTCTTCAAGCGCACTTCCAATGCATTCAAAACATGGAACAGGTGAGCCCCAGGAAGCAGCCCCCAGACCTGCATGGTTCTAAACAAATCACGGTTCACTTTTGATATTATAAAGTATATTTTACAAGGTAATGCAAGTAGGCAGGCAAGCTGGTTAAGGATAGACATAGTAACCCTGAAACTCTTTTCGTGTCTGTCCGTCCCTTTTTTGTCCTCTCGCTCCAGGGTTACTATGCATATTTTACAAGACCATGCCACTTACTACACAAAGCTTTTCCTCTTTCTGTTTCACAGCATAGTTCTCTGATAATGTCTTTTGTGTATAACAAGAATACCAAACAGAGGACCTAACCTATTTCACACATTCTCCCATGGCAAGTGGATTTTCAAACATTGGCAACAAGATGTTTTGGTGGCTCCTCCTCTAAGTTCCTTCCCACGACCAGGATTTTCAGTTGCGAACAACATGTTCGGCAATGTGCTTAAAAGGGGTCGTGGGAGCTTGGAAGGATTGCATTCTTAAAACGACACCGTCAAGGTTGGCAATCTGACATAAACGTTATTTTGTCATTGAAAGCAAAATTAGCCCCAATTAAAGACATCGTAGTGAGCGTTTGACCAGTTGTGGAGGCCTACAACTGCAACGCTTTTGGTCGGGCCCTTTCATGGTCAGGTTTTTTTTTTGTTTCTTTTTTCTAAAAACCAAAAAAAAACATTGTGTGTTTTCATGTTTTTTCTTTTTTTTTTTTCCCAAAGCGATTGTATAAAGAAAGAGTCAATGCACATACAAAGCAGAAAGAATCTAGCAGATGCACATGCAATGCTTTCAAGCTGTCCAGATTCAGAAGCATTAAATTAGAATATTGAGGGCAGGAAGTTATCACTTTTCTTCCATTTGGTTTTATTTTTGTGCGTCTCTTCCCATAACATTCCGGCAGTATTAAATTCCGTACCAGACATACTTTACAGAGTTTCTCCGTCAGGCAGTGAGCTCTGATTCTCCAAATTCAGTTTTGAGAAGCATTAAAAGTCTGGATTGGAAGAGCCGGCACTGCGATTGGCCACTACTGCCAGGGCAGTCAACATGCGAAGTGACCATCTTATGCATGGAGCATCTAATTTTGTAACAATAAATAGCCCCAGCAAGGCAAAATGCAGTGCAAATACAACATTTTTAGTTCCCCAAAGTCATAACGAATAGCAGCACCTTCCGGAATGTGCACGGTTTCGCATTTAGCCAGTAACTTTCAGACAGCTAATTGCTGCCGTAAACATTACAGAAACCCTCAAAAGGTTAATACCTTGCCTACTTGGGCATCTCCCACCGTCCACACTGTTTCTGTAGCTACGAATACGTGGACGATGACTCTGCGTTGTGTCCCGGTTGCCGAGCGCAGGCGCTGGTTCATCATCCAGAATGGGCAGCTGGTATACCGGAAGCGCTCCAAGGAGGAGATGAAGACTGTGATGGAGGAGGACCTGCGGCTGTGCACCGTCAAGCCCGCCCAGGAGTTTGAGCGTCGCTTCTGCTTCGAGGTGCTCTCCCCTTCCAAGTGAGCACTTGCCCTCATTTTCCCCCATAGCATTGTCGGAGAAATGGCAGCAGATCACTCAGTAGTACGATGAGTACGGTAAATGTATTGTGCCTATGGGAGTTCATTCCATGACATGAAAATCTTTCGACTTAACCAACATTTCGAGATAGGTGATTACGAGGCAATGAGGGATTACTGTACGTAGGGAAACCTTCACGGACCTTGCTTGCTCATGTTGGCGTTGGTCGCACTGCAGCAAGGTCACGGAAGAGAGTGTCAGCAACGAAGCGCAACTGTCGGTGTGACGTCATAGCACATGCGACCAATGACGTAGCACCACGTGGAGTGAGGAAAGAGCCGTGCACTGTAGTAACACTCTCCTCTCCATTGGGTAGGAACAAGGGCTGCACAGTAGGGTAGACACTGCATATTAGTAGAGTAATCTAATAGGTACGGAAGCATTTTACGGACTGATTGTATGTGCGGCACCATCTTGGGGAAAATGATGCATTGCCCCCAAAGAAGGGGTGCATGGATAAACGAAAGAAGTCTATTGCGCATTCAAGAATTCCTTCATCATATGTCACATTGCACGTCAGTCTGATAGACATTCGTGCTTGTTAAATACCCCATCCAGTGCTATCGCACCTTTCTTGCATTTAATGCAACAAAGCAAACGAAGATTGAGTACTAAGAATCCCATCAAGGTTGGCAAATAAGGATTCCTACTGTTTAAGTTGTCTTTTGTATATTTTCCACGTGCTTGCTGTTGACCAGTGTAAGGGGCCCGAAGACTAGCCAAGCTGCCTACTGCAGCTTTTTTCCTTTTGGGTCTTCCATCATAATTGATGGAAATAATTAAAGTTATAAAGTAAATTCTAATTGAAGCATATCTTGGCTTCTGTTAATTTTCTAAACGCGTCTTCAAATCCTGTGTTCAAAATTCATTGAACTCTTAAACTTCACAGGTCCGGAAGTTTGAAATTTGCCGAACCTGCCATAAATTGTTTTGCCACGAGCCATAGAATTACGAGAGTGAAAATCATTCAATTTTTCAGTGTGATGAGTGCAAAAATTTTTGAACCTTTCGAACCTCTTAGTTCTATCTTGTAAGTGTGGACGTACAGCAGGCCCGTGATAATTAAAACTGATATTTCATACTTCTGATTCTTTCAAACAAATTTGAAAATTTTAATTTTCCCGCTATATTTTTAATTTATTTATAAGCCGCTTAATTCTAATGGTTTTTCGTGGAATTCATACTTTTTGTTCTCGTGGCTTTCCGAGCACTGGTGCACTGCGGAGAAGCAACACCCGCAGAGCTTGCTTCCGCGGGTGTTGCAGTCGCTTTTCCTCAGTCTACCTTTGCTCGGTAAGAAGCGCGCTCATCAAAGCTTACAGGCCACAGTAGACGACTTCTTTGCTGGGTGAATAAACTTAATTTTGTTTTGAGGTGTCATGTGTGATCTAAACAGTCTACGAGAGACAACATTTTTGAGGGATAAATAAACTCATCTCGTACATTTCACCGATGTTTCATGTGTGGCATTCCTGCTCATTAGTAAGCCTGTGTAAAGAAAATCATCAAATCTCTGCTTTGTATGTGTAGCCATCCATATAAGAAATCATAATTTTATCTCGCATCATATTTAGAGGAAGTTCTGGTAATTCTAACAAAATACATTGCTTTCTGGAGTTTGAATTTACGAGAGTCTACTATATCTACAAAGGATAATAACTCTTTCCCTGGCTTATTCGACCTGCCTACTCCAATGTTGTTGAATGACGAGTGGTAAAGTTTTGTTCTCATATGCTTTGATGACATTGATCCAGGCTTACGTCCGTCTTGCAAGGATCTTAATTTAAATGCTTTTGCAAGAAAAGTAACCAAAACCTGTCATGGTTATTCTTCCTTGTGAAGCGAAGTACTTATGCTTAAAGGGGTACTCCAGCATTTTCTTCATAGTCCCTGATTTGCCTGAAAATTTCATAAACACGCGAACAAACATCGTTGAAATAGTAACCCAAATATTTGGCCAAAATAAATATTTTTCGCGAAGTTATTGAATTTACAATTTTGGTCCTGACCGTGTTTTCCAAAGTTAAAAGCTCTACTGGCAACAATGAAAAACTGACGTCAGGGGAAGGCAGGCGTTCACTCTTTGGGCTGTAGACTTTGTTCCCAATAGATTATTAACAGTTTCATGCTGTCAATTGAATGCTTTGGAAGGTCGCTCCAGCTCCCGAGCAGCAGCACGAAACAAATGCTTGGCATAGTTCATTTTTAGACTTCCCGCTCGACCCGCAAGCCTGCCTTCCTGTGACGTCACGGCATGAAAAGCGCGGGTATATGTGAATCTTGGTTTTGGCGTCATTCTCATTTGTCGATTTCACAATAACTATTCTAATTTTGCGATACTAAATAGCATATCGGAAAGAGTAAAGGCCGGTGATTTCGAAAATATAGTTACTTAATGTAGCTCAAAAAATCGCTGGTAATTAAACACCTTTAAACATCTTTTCTCTTTGGAAAGAAAAAAAAACAACAAAATTTCCTTTTTTCAAGTTAAAGGAAGCCCCTTTTTGTTATCTACCAGATCACGTAAACAAAAGTAGACAGGTGCAAATAGTAATATGTATACGTTCCTAAAAGAATGGCACCGTCACATGCATGCAGTGTGTGGAGTAATGCAGCGTATCCCATTTGGCACAAACAGCTTCAACTCTACATAATTGATTTTCTATCGCAAGGCTCAGCTTTTGTCGTTCGCACAAAAGAGCTCTAGCTTTTGAACTTTGACTTGTATAGTATCGCAGATGGCTATGCGATCTTCAAAATCACTAACAACTGGTGAGAGCCTATCATTTTTCGTTGGCTTGCAGGACCCACATGCTTCAGGCTGACTCGCAAGAATCCTACAACTGTTGGATCACCGCTTTGCAGTCCGGGATCTCGCATGCGCTCAACCACCAACCAACGCACGATGAAGATGACAACGCCCTGCCCACAAACGTATGTGACGCGGGAATGGCTCGCAGTTCACCATTGCCTATTAATGCGTTAGCATTGCTACCCACATGACAGGGAAAAGTCGATGGCATCCGTCTGTGGACAAAACAGTGGAAAGGGAAGCGTGACGCATAGAGAGGAGGAGAGTGGTGAAGGACAAAAGCGAGAGGGAGGCTACGTCGCAAGGTGGAAGCCAATGCGCGCGCGGGTGCTGGGGCGAGCTTGAACTTGCTGGTGTGCAGAGTGTGTATGCCTTAGTTTGTGCTGCATAATGTAGTGTGAACCAAGTAGCTAGTCCAAGTAGGCGGCAAAAATATAAAGGAAGATTCATTGGTAGATCTTAAGGAATGCGTTAGCATGGCCCTTGGAAAACGCCACGCATGTCCCCCTTTGGGAAATGCTAACACTGACCCTGTAACGAGGCCAAAAAGAGGCAGAGAAAAATAGAGGAAGCAAAAGAGAAAGCCAAAAGAGAAAAGTGAAGGCGTTAGCATTTCCCAAAGGGTATTTGGTGTGTCCCAAGGGTCGTGCTAACGCATTCTCTAAGAATTCACAAATGGATCTTCCTTTAATTTTTTGCCTCAAAATTATTTGCTTTTGACTCAAAGACTTTTAGATACCCATGGGGTAAGGTGTTACTAAACAAAGATGGCAGAAATATTATTAGGCATCTTTGTTTAGTCCACCCGTCTTTGTGGAACTTCTCCGATTAGTTCTGTCAGTACAAAACTTCGGAAATTATTTCATCTCATCTATGGTCAAGTTGCGGTAAGTTGCAGAATCGTTTGCAATTTTCAGCATTGCCTATGGTCTGTGCCTTTTTTTTTCCTCAGTGGCATTTCAGTACTAGTGTCCCAGTCCTGGCACAATGTACGAGGACACCTTCCATCATCCCTGTTCGTGACATCTTTCTCCTCTCATTCCTAACATAATTTTGACATAGTATTTCCATTATTTGAAACCGGAACGGCTTAGCGTAGTAGTACAAGATTGGTTATGACAGCAGGCATGACTTGGGGCTCTGTAAGCACCGAAAAATAAGGACACCCCTGCAGGTCTTGGTAATGGTTGAATTTTGTGCTGAGGTGCTTTGATTCGATCCCTACCATTGGGTGCACACATTTAGGATATCCCAGGTTAGTGGTCGCATTGCATTGGCTGAACTGCCTCTCTACAGCGGGGGAAATAAGACACCATATTACGGCGATAGCTGTTACAGGCACTTCCCACCACTAAAGATGACGTCCGTCGTCGGCGTAGTGGGATAGGGCATCCGTTGTTGACATTGCCAAATGCCCGAAAAAGAATGCCCGTCACAGGGGTTCTCTCGAGACTAAATCCTGGGTCCGCATGTGTAGTGGGCACGTTATCACAGAGCTATGCCACAGCTTTGAAAATCGGCTTTATCTTTACTGTACTTCATCAGGCACTTCATTGGTACTTGAGTACCGATAAAAAACTTATCAAGCAGTTAATTGGTACTTGATAAACACAGCGCGCACGACTCTCGGGGCACCCACTAGATGGCCACGGTGGCTGCGGTGTCGCGAAAGAAAATTCTTTGTCATTCTAAATGGTGTCTAAATTTAATTGTAGTTAATTGTTGAAACTAAAAGTTTCGATTAGATGGCGTAAGCCGCTGTCCAATTGAAAAGGTTCAGCCGCACGCATTCGTCTTCTCATCTGTCGTCGCGACGACGATAGATGATAGGCCTTGTCTCCTGGGCGGACCCAATATCACCCAGGAGACAAGAGCCGTGCCATTCCCCCCCAAACGTCACCACTAGCGGATCCACACAGCGCCACTTAGCTCACGTCGACAACGCCACAAGCGCGTCTCACTGCTTCTTCCTTGCGGCGACTCGTTAAGCTTCGGCACGTTTGCCACTTAGGGTAAGTCGGGGTTCCACTAACGACGATGTCCGAGAGTTTTTGTCGTCAAGACTCCACAGTCCGTGAACGCGACACCGACGCCCAGCGACTTCGCCGTGATGTACCGTAGCTGTTGCCATGACTGTACCGGAAATTTCGACAGTACCGCTCGTTATTGAAAGCAGACTGCCCGCACTTTTTGTAGGCATGTGCGCAACAGGTTTAAAGGCAGAGAGCATGGCTTAGAACTATATCTCAGCAGGCATGTGTATCTTTGACGAAATGCAGGACCGGAAGACTTCTTCGGAGACGACGCTGACGTCGCTCTCCAGGCACAGTGCCAACCCTCTGCCGAAACCTCCACGTGCTCACATGTGAGTGCTTCTTGTGCTCAATCTTATCTTTAGTTATTAACCGGAAATGTGCTTTTCTTGGGACTGTTGTGCGTCTAGTGTTTGTTTTTTGCTTGCTTGCCATGTAGTCTTCGTTCTATTTCCAGTTAGTAGATATTGCTGGGTTGTGCAAATGGCAACTTTGGAGTTGTCGTGGGTGCTCATAGAACTCTTTTATTTTGTTGTTATTTATGATAATGACCTATTTCACTGCAATTTAATGTGCGAGTGTGGTACCTTCTGGTGCTGATTCCAGACCCGAAGTTTGTTTTTCACGAGGGTGTTTTTTGCCCAGTGCCATCAAAAATATTATGAATATACAGTCAAACCCGCATATATCGAACTCGCAAAAAAACAGGAATTAGTTTGATATATCGTGTAATTCGATATATAACAGTTTGGGGGATCGGTGGCTGAGTGGGCTAAAGCGCACACCCAGCTCGACGCACGTGTAGCGAAAGCTCGCGCTGCAGAACCCAGGGATCTTGGGTTCGAGCCCCACCCCTGCCCGTTTCGATCTGGATGAGCATCGTACCGGCGTGCAGTCGTGTATCACTACTGCGTGGTGCACGTTAAAGACCCCAGGCTAGCGGTTGTACTGCACTGGCTAAATTGCTCATCTACAGCGTGTGACTTGTCGCAACTTTAATGGCTGACCAACTACACGCTGTATAAATATCCCCACAACCCCAATTTTTTATAACAGTTTTAATGAATTTGGCTCTCGAAAATCCACTTTCTGGTGACATATTAAACAATGAAATAGTCATGCACCTTCTGCTGCTTTTTCTTCATTGCATGCGCGATAACAATATTTTTTTACGCTATCGACGGACTCGAAAATGTTGAGGCCTCTGCCTTCTATATTCGCGCATTAACGCTGAACTATACCGAGAGCACGGAGCACGTCCGAGCAGGAGCACCTTCTCCTGCAGGTGGATGGTTGGATGGATGGTAATGGCTATACCCTTTGTAACGGGCGGCAGCTTGCGCCACCTTGCCGTTTTGCTCTGCAAGGTGGCTTTCTCCTAAGGCAGGCGGCTGCGTTGGGGGAAAGCCAGCTAGCAGAGCAAGGTGCCTTTTTTTTAGAGACAAAGCTCCTTACAGTCTAGCCTTGTCCATCCGGCGTCCGTGCTCACATCGATCTTGTTGGTGCTCGTGCTCGTGAGCTCATGTGCTCACATGCTCGTGTAGGGCAAAAAAAAAAAATATGATGAAAAAAAAATGTTTGCGCAGTCGATAGGATTCGGACCTGTGCGGGAAGACCCCAATGGATTTCTAGTCCATCGCCTTAACCACTCGGCAACGACTATGGGACGAGTAGGGGGCTCTGAGATGTGGTAGTAACTCAAGAGCTGGGGTTTCTGTCATGGATGAAACGTTGCATGTAGCCGCTCAACGTCTATTCGCGACTCCAGCAAAACGGACGCCGCCAAGCGGGAAAACCGGGAACCAGCCGGTCCAGGTCGCTCCGCGTCTCTGGTGGCTTTCGCGGACACGTGTTGTCGGCGCGATGGCAAACGATGTAATTTGACGAAGGTTCGAATATTTCTTAAGTTTGCCTGAGTGATCATTAGTCTGGTGATGCCTCAGTAGATTGTTTTCTTCTATTACGTGTTTGAAAGCCCGTTTACTCCACAGCACACGGTCGCGTGCTTTCGATTTCTTGGATGGGGAGGAATCACGGAAAACTTTTTGATTTCTTGTCTGTCTCGAATCACATTCAAAGTGACGACTGCTTGGTAACTGATACTGGAGGGAACATCAATGTTGCAGTCAAGCGAATGGGAAGGTTTGATAGCTGCTTTTCTTGAGTTTGGTTGTGTTCGGTTAGCTTGAAGTTTGAGCCACCCACGCCGGTCGGTGCGTTGGCTATTCATCTTGGCTGCTTTTCGCCGAAAAAGCGTCTGGACCACACTGAAGGAGTTGATCTGATTTCGCAATTACTTGATTCAGGAAAACTTGCTCACTGCAAATGATGAATGAGGGAAATTATCTGTTTCCAAAAGGTGGGAGACAAGTCTCGCAACGTTAGATGCTGTCACAGCATTTTGACCTATCGCGCCTCCAATATTTATATTACGAGGATGTCGAAGCCAGCAGCAATATACGTCTACATTGGTCAGGCTGACCGGCCACAAAAAAAATACTAATTTTCTCCGTTCAATGCAGAGAGGTTCTGCGCGGATCTTCAATGAAGACTCTCTTCAGTTTGTCCCCGTGCTGCCGGCTATAGAACCATTTGGCTAAGTTTAAGTAGTATGTCTCCGTCTGTCAAATATACTTTTATTCAGCAGCTCACCTAATAGCTAGTCAACTAAGCTCATTTTTCAACCCGAAGAATATACTAATATCGCTTTAGTAAACCCCCCCCCATAGTACGTAATATAATACATAACCCGCTCGTCAAAATGACTTCTCGATTGCTACGAGAACCTGAATTGAAATACGAGTATCAGCTGCTTAGTGGGGCGCCGGCGGGTTAACATGGTCCTTGGCTCAAAAAGCGGTTGCTTAATTTTCGTAATTTTCCTGCAGCCTGTGTTGTTGGCCGAGCAGACGACTGGAGCTGTTTCGTAAACGCGGATACGCACAAAAGCTCGATTTCGCGGACAGATAAGTCGCATGGTCGAGGCATGCGAGTTAGCTGAAAAGTTACTCTCTGGGGAACAATTCTATAGTCATCGCCGCTTTCCTTAGATGATCAAAACTGATTAGTATATTACCGTCTCTCCGGAGCCCATAGTTTCGGTTTTGAACGAAATCTCCGAAACGAAAGTTTGACACGAAAAGAACAAAAAAACACCGGCAAAGCAAAACTATGCTTTGCAAGTTTATCTGCACCGGCTACACTTAACCGTTTCAGTTCAAATACCTATAAAATTGGGCATTAAACAAAAGAAAATCTGTTAAATTGAACGCGCCACCTGTTCAGGCGGCCCGGCCGAGCCGCCGCGACCTGGACTCAGCCGCCATGTTTGTTTGATGGGGGCGCCCCCTATAGGTCGCTGGAGTCGCGAATACAGGAGAGGGCACTGCAGTCAAATGCATGCAAAGTTAAACTTTGCATGCATTGGCTCAACGTTGATAGACGAGAGGGCGCTGCGGTCAAATGCTCAAATGCGTATATAACCACGTTCCATACCACACATTCTCTTTCTGACATGGATGAAAACGAACGAAAGGCTTGGTATGCTGCGGCTTAGCGTCTACGCAGACAAGCACCACCAGAGCTTTGCCCCAATCAACATCATTCACCACGTGGAGATGCGTTTTTCTTTTTTTTTTTTCGATGTAACCGTGGTTTTTGCTATATATTATCACTGTTACATTACTGTGCACGAATATTGTTTGATATAGGGGATAATTCAATGTAAACAGGTTCAATGTAGTCGGGTTTGACTTGTAATCAAACAGTCCTTACGAGACTTTAGCGCACTTTTTCTTTTTACAATGATGAACAAAACACATATGTTTCTGCTGTCAGGGACATTCGTTTAGTCAACCCCACTAATTTTATTATTTTCGAGCAAATGTGCCATAGTCTGAAAACCTTCAAAATAACCCCTTAGGTGGTACTTTTTTTCTTTTTGTGACCTAAAAATGCCACAGCTTTTTAATTGAGACTTTTATTCCTCTAGTATCACAGGTAGACTTTCAGAAGTTTATTCCACAAAAATCAGTATACAGTAACCCCTCGTTATAACGAAATCGCTTTTTTCGAATCATCACTTTATTGAAGTTCAATGTGGTCCCGGAAATGCACGCATTTTGAACCAGATTATTCTAAGTGGATCAGCGGCCGACCACGCTTATTACGAAGGCCGAGGTGCCGAAAGCACGCAAGCCTACACAGAGATGCACGGAGGCCCTTGTGTTCCCTCCCCCCTCTCCATCGTGGCAAACAGCAAACTGGGAAAACGGAGTAAATGAGTGACTGAGAGCGGAGTGTGCAGAGCTGGCAGAGTGCCGATGCCGATGCGCCGACAGGGGGACGCGGGCAGGGAGCAGCGTCAACGTTCTGACGCTACTCCCGGCGCCCACGGCCGACGCTGCCTGACCTTTGTCGGAATCGGGGAGATCATCCCTTTGGGAGCTCCCGATGCGCGCGCCTGCGCGGGCGCATTTGCGACGTGCTACACGCACACGTGCGTCGTATGGGAGATTGGGAGTGTTTACCGAAAGTCGCTTAGATCTGCGAGGTTGAGAAAAGTGGCCGGCCAGAGTCTGAAATTCGACATTCTGGCATTGGCTGTCCGCCACTGTCCACCATTTTGCGGAACAAGCAAGGCATATCGGACGAATTCGAGAAGTTCCTCATGCAGGAGAAAGCGCGCCTGCGACCCGAAGATAAAAGATCACCAGCTACTTCGCGCACGTCAGATTTTTTCTCGCAAGCATCCTAGGCAAGCCAGCGCGTTATTTCCATAGCTGCAACAATCTCTAAAGGAGTGTGTGAAAACATGTTCGGCAAAGCCACCGAGGGTAGTAGCTTTGATTCGCTCGTGCCTGTTGATGCGGGCATTCCTGTTGCTCCTGCCTCGAATGCTGCGATCGTAGACCTTGCGTGCAACCAGGGTAAACGCCAAGCAACATCAGAGAGGTACCTCGGGAAACGCCGACAACTGCGGAGGCGCGAAACATCCTACAGCTGCTTTGAGCAAGGTGGAGTGCAGCGGCGGTAACTATGTTCTTGCGATGCCTGGAACAGCTCAAGGAGAACTGATGCCCGGATGAAATTATCAGACTTCACTTAATTATATTTTTACTTGGTAAAGCTGCCATGAGATGTTTATGGCCAAGGTTTGTTTGATTAAATATACGGTTAGAGTGTTCCGGCAGGGTTCCCGTCCACCTTCAAGGCTGCTGGTACTGTTTTTTTTGCTTATCGCTTTTATCGAATTGCCGCTTCCATAGAATTTTTCTGCTGTCCCGTAGACTTCGTTATAACGAGGGATTACTGTATTTCTGTGTGCACACCAAAAATGTCCTTGCATTTCCGCATATTAAGCATCTTGCGTCCTCCGGGGTTTAGTGTAAAAAAAAGCAGTAAATTGGGGCAGTCCTGTTGATGTTTTCATGTTAAAACACCAATTGCGGTACAGCCACCTTATTTGAGGTTGCGGACTGTGTGGAATCGCTGCCACAACCCGAATCATTGTCACCGTCGTCATCACCGGATTCACTTGAAGAGCTAAGTTGAGCAACAAAGTCATCATCGTCTTCACTCGACAAACAAAACCCAACTTTTTCCGAGTCACTCGAGCTTTCCTCGGTGATTGCTTTTTTTTTTTTGTTGCCGACTGTAGCCAACTGACGAGCATTCCGGGCAACGAGTTGTGCTGCGACTGCCGAGCCCCGGGCCCTTCCTGGGCCAGCATCAACTTGGGCATCACCCTCTGCATCGAGTGCTCCGGGATTCACAGGTGTGTGCCCCCGCTTTTCCTCCAGGCTGTGCTTCAAATAGTGGAAAGTGGCTTACTGCTGGCACAAGCGATAACCCTTCCACCACAATTTGCAGCACTGCTTTCTTATATGCTATGCATTCTGAATGTTACAGGGCACGAAATATGTTACCACATTTTCTAGACAATAAGTCCATGGACCATGCATGTTTAAAAGTTTAAATTTTATGCGGTGCAGACTATCTATAGGTGCAGGCTATACGAGAACTTGTTTCATTTCAAAATCGTTCATTATGACGAGACGCTACATATTTTGTGAATGTGTATGTTAATGATGATTTATGTATGATAAAAGCTTCTTTGTGATCCAGTAATGCAGATATTTGTTGGGTGTGCTGTATATAAAAATGTATTAAGCGCGGACTGTACAAGGTGCGGACTTTCTAAGGAAAAGTTTTTTCTTTAACCGAAGTTTGCTTTTGTGGATTATACACCGGGTACCGAGCAAGCTTGTATGCACAATCACAGGACGCACACGAAGGGGTGGACAAAGACAAGCACATTACCGTAAAGTTCCGAAAGAACGCCCACCCAAAATGAATAGGTAAATGTTCAAAAACATGGGGTGGGCCTATCTTTGGGGATGCCAGAGCAAAATTTTATCAAACATTATTGATAAACACCGCGGCACCCACCACGTGACGCGGGAAAGGATACTCCAGATAGTGGACACCGCTAATTTGCGTTTCATGATGTGATAAACACACTGGAATTCGCTATCAATTCCTGTGTCACGGGAGAGGATACCGCAGGTTGCAGACGCGGTAGATTCACGTTTTGCTGTGCGAAGAACCTGCTCAAACCTGCCGAGAACTTGCATCTCACGGGAACGAATACCGCAAATCGCGGGCGCAGAAGATTGAAGTTGTATGGTGCAATCAACATGCGGGAACCCGCTACAAACTTGCCTGTCACGGGAACTGATATCGCGCTCTCAGATTGCCGAAAAAAACTCAAGAGTCCGCTACAAACTTGTATGTCCTGGGATCAAATACCCCAGATCCCGGATGCAGCAGAATCGTATTTCCCAATGCAATATACACGCGGGACCAACTCGCGTGTTACGGGATTTCGATGCTGCGCGTGCAGGTCGCGGACGAAAATGTGGAAATCCGCTCAAACTCTCATGTCACAGGAACGGATACTGCAGATCGCGGACGCAGCAGATTCAAATTTCATGCTGCAGTACACACACGGGAACAACTCGCGTGTTACGGGAGCCGATATCGTGCACATAGAAAGCGGACAAAAATGCGGGAACCTGCTATGAACTCGCTTATCAGACGTACTGGTACAGCAGATTATGCGGCAGATGCGATTCCAGTCGTCATCGCGTGACGTCCGACGGGAATCAAGGGTGGGCGATGTTTAGGAATTTTTATGTTACAGATATTTAGCCAGAAAAACGGGGTGGGCGATCTCTCGGGGGCTGGCATTCTCTCGGAACCTTACGGTAGGTGCAGACTATACACCTTTCCAAAAAATGCTCCTAGGCCGCCACCATGTTGCTGACGCTGATGCGGCTGGTGCGACTCTCGCGCCCTCTATCAGCTAGACATTTTCTGCCACCCTCGGGACTGTGAAGACCCGCTCAGCGCAGTTCTCTACCTACGTTTTTGCGGTTTTGCATTCAACGTTTTCTCGCCCCTCTTGAAAGTTTGCACTTATTTTTTTTTATGCGTGCTGCATACCCTTATTGTTATCTTCCATTGTGAGAAATATGGCTGGTAAGTGCCTGCCATTCAGCTTTTCTGCTCGACATTCACGGGAAACGAAGGAGGTGAAGGACGTCGAACGACCCTTTACGCGACTTTGCGAGCATTGTTCTCCCCCCTCCCAGAGATGATCCGCATAGAATCCTCAGTTATCTCCAAAAATAGTTGTCCGGGTTGGGGTGAGAAATGGGTCAGTCGCGTTCGTTTCTTTGCCTTGGTGCGGTTGTGAAAAAAGGAAGCTCTCCCCAAAACGTGCCCTAAAAACAAAGTCATCGCGGATTCCGTCCGATTGTCAAGATGTGACTGTCGTCGACTGTGACTGTGTTATTTGAGATCTTTCTCAAATAAATTCTTTTCGGATAACGCTGCATCGTGTGGTACGTACGATATATTGTTCGAATGTTCCTGTCCATCGGTAAACACGCTATTTGTGAGCGAGAGAAATGCATGTCTTTCGGCCCTCTTCTGTTGCAATTTATTTTTGACAGCGAAGCGCTTTGTCGTTTCGAGTGCGGCAAATCCCGCGGCGCCGTCAAAACTTATCGTAAAAAAAAAAAAAAAAAAAAAAAACTATACATTCCAGTTGCATTCGTTCTGTCACGCGCATACCCAACAAAAATAGTTTACAGTTTTTTTTTTTTTTTTTTTTTTGCTTTTTTGTTTTTTTAAATGTGGCACAATGCTTTCTCAATGTCCTCGGGAAAAAACATGTACCATGAAACACAAAATATAGCGGGAAAAGACGAGAATTTAGCCGCCAGCAGCGTTTGCAACTGCGCCTACGCAGGCTCCACCTATTGAAATCACAGTCCACTCGGTTAGGGTTAGGAGGGACGCCGGTGAGAGTCTAGCCTCAAACTCAGTGACTGGGCTCGAAAACGGTTTTGTTGCCTCTGGGGTCGAGTGTTTTTTGGAAAGGTGTATAGTCTGGAAAATTTGGTATAAGCAGATTCTTTGTTTTACTATAAACATTTTTATGATAATAGCTATTATTTACTTGAAATCTAAGAATTTTTTTTGTGGAACTTTAGAATCAATTTTTTAATGACAGCAACAAACCGGAAAGGACATCACATTCCTTTAAAAAGTTTTATTGCAAATTGAATACAAATTTTGAAATTTGACTGCGAATCGAATTCAAATATTTTTGAATACGCTATATATATTTAATGTAAATTGAGGATGGATACCATAAAAGGTCATGACTGACAATCTTGTCTAGATGACATAGCTTTGACAAAGAACAGCCTTTTTTACATTATAAATACTTCACATACTTATAAAAAGAAAAAAAAGGCATGAGTTGCATAAAACATATTGTAACGTGCCAAACAAGGCATGATGCAAGCAAAACAGTGAGTGTGTATTAAGAAAAAAAGTCTTTATCGTACATTCAAACCCGACTATATTGAACCCGTTTATATCGAATTATCCTTTATATCGAACAATATTTGTCCACAGCAATGTTACAGTGATAATACCGTAATATCCCGAGTCATCGCCCACCCCCCTACCGCCTGAAATTCATTAAAAAAGTGAGGTGGGCCATGTCTCGGTGGGTGAGCACAAACAATTGAAAAAAAGCGGAAAAAACCGCCTATTTTTCTCTGCGTATCTAGCGCTGATGCACAAGAGATACATCAAACTCAAAACTCGATTTAGTTTCATTGTTTTATAGAAAAAAATGCTCAATAAAGAATATTTTACTATAGCGAAGTCCGTTGCTTGCATACGCGCTAGAAACACCGCCGATCTGCATATAGCGCGAACGTTTGTTCCGTGAAAGAATGCCACCACTATGTTCTCCTAGTTAGTAAAAAAAAAAAGAAAAAAAGAAAGAAAAGTCTACAAGAAAATGGAAAAACCGACCAGGCGCAACGAGCGAGCGAGCGAGTGAGCAGACCAAAGAAGCGACCAAGAGCAATGCTGGGAAAGCGGGAAAGCCGGCGGTTGTGTTGGCAAATACTTTGGCGTCGGGCCAAGTCGGGCGCCTTGTCAATCGCAAGCTCTTCATCATCATCATCATCATCATCATCATCATCATTTATTTTCCTTGAGGGCCCGTGGGGCATTATACAAGGGGGTGGCAATAGAACAAAAACAAATAGAACAGTAAACACAATTATAACACTGTAAGCTAGCTAGGTAGGTTAGATAAAGAGAGGGTAATGGCTTCAACAAATTTAGTAGTATCATTAATACAAACGATGTTATGAGGTAGTGAATTCCAATCCTCGATGGCCAATGGTAGTGTGGAAGTCTGGTGAGAAACAGTTGATGATCGAATTGGACGTAATTTACATAGGTGGTCTAGACGCGGGAAAATACGATGGGGAGGTGATAGCAGTGATTCTTTAAGGTGGCTATTGTGATAGAAAATTCGATGGAGGAGAGAAAGGCGTGATACTCGGCGGCGAAGGGAAAGTGAATGAAGGTTAGCTGATTGGCGTAATCCTGATATGCTGGTATATGGTGAGTAGTTGTTATAAATAAAACGAAGGGCTCTGTTTTGGACGGATTCTAGATTATTTGCAAGGTAGGACTGCCATGGGGACCATATAGATGAGGCGTATTCTAATTTCGATCTTATAAGAGTAGTATACGCTAGTCGTTTTACGGAGGGTGTAGCAAGTTTAAGGTTACGGCGCAAGTATCCGAGAGAACGGTTAGTATCAGTATTAGTATCTTGCGCAACTTTCTTGTGTGGTGCGTACATACGTGCGTCGGTGCACGGCGGGCTATCAATGCACGGTTGGGACGCTCTGCAAACGTCTATGTAGGGCGTTCCAGCAAAGCTTTATTTACGCGTTGGCTTTGCCTAAAATATTGCACAACCGCGGTCGCGACGGGCGGGAAGAAGGAGCGGGTTCGCGGTGACCTTACTTCGGCGGAGACAGACTGACCTAACACTCCGCGGTTACATTAACAAACTCTTATTTTGTTATCTCCATCGTTTTCTTTTCGCACGGATACACAACCACTTCGGGGTCGCTCACGGAGGAAATGCGTAAACAAAAAGAAGTGTCTTTCCCTCCTTCGTTTTACTTTGTCACGGACGTCCTCCAACTGTAAGGTCCGCGGCCTCGTCATTCGGGTAGCATGAGTGTTCGCGGATCGCTGAGTCCGCGCTGGGGTATTTGAAGGGGTGGGCGATAACTCGGTGTTTTTTCGGAAATCGATATTGGCCCAAAAAATGGGGTGGGCGATGGCTCGGGGATGGGCGATGACTCGAGATATTACGGTATATAGCAAAAACTATGGTTACATTGAACAAAAATAGCAACCGCTACCTATATCGCTACCGAGAAGAAGCGGGAAACAGGCGCGTGCGCGTTGCTGCAGTGTATCGAGTGCAGCTTCGCTGGTCTTGCTTCTTCACGAGAGTGGAAAGGCTGAAGATTTTCTTTTTCTTGGGCGGCCGCGTCGACCGTTTAGAAGAAAAAAAAATCTTTTTTGTGGAGGGAGCTTGGAGAGGGTGCTCCGTGCTCCCTCTGCCCGCTCCGTCCGCAAAAGAAAATATTATTTTTTTTCTTCTGGGTGGCTGATGCGGCTGCCCAGAAAAGAAAAAAAGCCAGCTTGCTCTGCTAGCTGGCTACCGCCCAAAGTAGCCACCTGCCGTAGGGGAAAGCCAACTTGCAGAGCAAAACGGCGCTCTGCAGGAGAAGGTGCTCCTGCTCGGACTTGCTCCGTGCTGTCGGCGTAGTTCGTATATAGGGGGCAGCGGCCTCAGCATTTTGGAGTCCGTCGTAGCGTAGCAGAAAAATATCGTTATCGCTGATGCAATGAAGAAAAAGCAGCAGAAGATGCAAGACTATTTCATTGTGTAATATGTCAGCAAAAAGTGGAATTTTTTAGAGTCAGATTAATTAAAACTTTTATATTGAATTACCCGCTATATCGAACTGGTAGACTTTTTTTGCGAGTTCGATATAAACAGGTTTGACTGTATGAGATGAGAGTAAATGAAAATCTCAAGCTATATAGTTGAATATGGCTTCAGGTTTTCTTTTCTGATACTGTCCTTTAACATCAGAGGTCAGTCTATTGGGGAGGAGGACAGACCGTTACGCCCCAAGCGGTTAACTTATCAACTACACGGATGGGGACAACAAACACAATGACGCAGCGCTCGGCCGACATAACCGAACGCGGCGTCAGCGTTCGACTGGAGTTCGTGTTCTCCGGCGAGGGGGAGGAGAGGCTCTTTTGTTTCCACGACGGCCTGCATGAACAATGCAGCATGCACGATCCCAGCTTAGCACAAAAGCCGAAGTGGGTCAAGTTCGCATTCTCAGAAGATAGATCCGGCACTTAACGTCGCTTCGTCGATTGTTAGTATTTTTTACATTAAACTGTGCCCCGCGCTCTATTGTAGAAGATGACATGGCCATGCCCATAAGGCCTGTTGGCATGTGTACAGGCCTTGTGTTGAGTAAACACCGAGGGTGGGGAAAACAAACGGGTCAGAGCGCCCCCTATAGTTTGATCTCCTGCCCAATAGTTATAGCCAATGAAGACTGACACACCTCTAGCTTCTTTTCCTTCGTATAAGGTATCACTATTCTTGCCTTCGAGGTTGTTGCATGTTGAAGTAGTCGTCGCATCCACTTTCTGCAAACGAACACATTGTGATATGCAGGAGCCTTGGGGTGCACGTGTCCAAGGTGCGTTCCCTGACCCTGGACTCCTGGGAGCCAGAAATACTCAAGGTGATGGCGGAGTTGGGAAACACCGTCATCAACGGCGTCTACGAGGCTCGTGTGGACGAAAGCATTGCCATCAGAGCCACGGTCGACTCCAGCAGGTCTGAAACCCCGGCCCTTTGTTTTGCATTTTAAGGCGAAAGCCTTTTATGTCCCATTACGAGAAAAGACGGCGTCGGCGTTGTGCCCGAAAAATGGCCATAACAATATGTCATCAAGCACGCACCGCTCAATGTCAAAGTGGATGTGCCTCAGAAATAAAACACAAAGAAAGGCATAGCTACGCGGATGCTTCGTCACGGAAGCCGTGAAGCCGGCGGGGGCTCACGCTCCCCCGCTGCCTGCACAGTGGGGGAGTGTGATGCTACCGCCGGAGCAAAACATTTCACCTGCGGGACTATAATGCTTTCGCATTCCTGCACGTAAGCAGTCTTAAGTGTCTTTGGCGTGTTTTTGGGTGCTTTATATCTTTGCAATCTAAGCAAGATTAAAGGCAAAAAGCGCTTGCTGGAGGAGGAGCAGCTGATGCGTTAAGTCATTTTTGCTTTAAGTGTATGTTGTGAATCTCGGTGTCTGTTGTCGGCGTGTCATTCCGTTCTCATCCCGTAGGCAGCACGCTGCGACCCTTGCTTTTTATCGTTAGGATAAAAGCTGTTTTGCAAAAGTGTTCAAATAGCGTTAAGGATGGATAAATGTTGAGTCATCCGCAGCTTGTCTTGTAGAAGACGCAGCACTGACAGCAGACACCAAGGTTTACAGTTAACATCGAAAAAATAAAAACGAAAGATCAAAGATAAACAGCTCGATACTGCCGGCGGCGGTGCCTGCATGGCATGTGATGTCGTTACTGTGATGCTACGCGAAGCCGGAGATAGTGACATCACGGTCGCTCTTTTACAGCGAAGCTCTTTGTGGCTAGGGTTCTGTGGTTTTTTCGTGTGCGTGATTGAAAACTCTATGTTTGCACCGCCACACGCGCATGCCTTCCTGGTATGAAAGACGCAAAGTCTTTCATACCAGGAAGACGCAAAGTCTTTCATACGCTCGTGCAAAATGTCATTTTGTTTTCGGCAAAATGACATTATGGTGCAGCGCGTAGAACACCATTCCTTGCATTCTCCTTGATGCTTGGGTAATTTAGCAATAGGTCTATTCAGTAGACTCGTTATCAATAGGCACCATTTGCACGATCAGTAGACTCTGAGCTAGATAATAAAGGTTTCTCAAAGATTTGCCCCTGTGCAACCCGCGTCGGCCATGTCTGCGCTCCCTGCCGCCCTTTCTTGGTCGTCGTTCCAAGCGCATGCGTGCCTAGTTTCCTCTTTTTCCGCTCTCGCGGGGTGGCAGTCCTGTCGCGCGTGTCTAGTTTCCTCAGGCTCCTCGGGGCGGGTCTGTGTCATATGCTAAACAGCTTCGCTGGTCACCCACCTTCACCGAGTGGAATGGCTCATGATTTTTTTGAACTAGTTTCGGTTTGAGGAAGCCTGCAGAACTAAAATAATTTGGCCAGTAGTGTCCAAATGCTTGCATGTTTGTTTTTGCTTCGTGGTCTTTTTTCCTATCCATTCCCTCGCCAGTCTTCTACTATCTTCATTCTGACCTAGTTATTCTTTGCTGTTTCCGTGGCCAATTTCATACAACTTTGACCCTTTTCTGTTCGTTTGCCAGTTCTACTACTTTAGTCGAGTGTTCGCTCTACTTAAGTGGAAATAGGTGGGAGGAGCTTCCACCTTACTCTTAACCTGTCACCAACTATAGTATAGTATAACTGCTAACTTTGGATTTGTAATGGGCATCACACAGCTGATCGCATGAATGCATGCCGGCATTACTAATAGGGAACTGCACCTAATTGCTCCAAAGTTATGTATGTGCTGCTCCAAAGCTGCTCCAGAAAGCGATTTTTTACTGCGGAGCTGTTAAGGGCTAGTTTCCCCGTGATCTTGTCCCCCACAAAGAAATGAAGACACCGAACTTTGGACACCTACCGCCATCTATGAGCGACGGCGGCAAGCCACGTATCTGGTTGCCGCCGTCGCTAATAGATGGCAGCAGCCTTTCCACTCTGGTAGAGCCGTAAATGGGGAGAGTTTGGCCAGTCTATGATTTCGCTGTCGTAACGCCCCCCTCCCGAGTGAGCCAGTCAGTCCGCGGCGCAGAGAAGGAGGCGTGAGCGCTTGCGCGTGAACTCTCTGCTGCTCCGAGCTGAGCGGAGAGGGCTGCCTTTTTCCTTCGTTCGCCCGGCGGAATGCATGGGATCGACATCCAAATTTCGGTTCTTTACTTTTATTTGGCAGGCTCTGGCAAGAAAATGATATAATGTTACTCCTCGGTGGCTTAAGAAGCTAACGAGTTAAGTTTCTCCACGTTTGAACGCAAACTTTGAGTCATGCGAAAAAGAAATAAGCCCGTAGCTGACGACGCGTAGCCTCAACGTTGCTCGGCGCCGACAGCGTTGCGTCAAAACGGCGGTCGTCTCCTCTTTCTCCCTTCTTTCTCTCTCGCTTCTTTTGGCGCTCCCCTCCCTTTCTTTCGCTTTTCTCCTCTCCGGCGCCTTCGTCGCCACACCCACTGGCCAAACTCTCCCAACATACGGCCCTGCACTTTGGCTTGCCGACTTGCGGCCGGCCATTATTTTCCATTGTACAGCTCCGCTGGTCTTCCTTCTTCACGAGAGTGGAAGGACTGAAAGTTTTTTGATACAAAGGTGCTCTATAAAAAGCTTTTTTCTGCTCCAAAAATTGCTCCAAACTCAAAACTGGCTGGACCACCACTGCGCATGCTTAGAGTGTTCCTAAAATCCCCGTCTGCCTTGAATGGTAATCAAAGAACCCCTTCCAGTCTCGTCTTGAAACAGTAAAGCGGCGCAGAAGTCTACAGACCTTGTGAGAAATAGTGTACATACTAGGGTGTGTTTGACACACGGTGACGCATCAATAGGTGGTTCGGATCTATTAAAATATTGCTTAATCCGAGAAGACACTTTACAAAGGGGTAATATGGTCGTGGAAATTTGGGAGTTTGGGAAACTCGTTGGGGCACTCTGGGAAATCCCTGGGTCTCTAGAAATCCAGTTTGAAAACTCGCGTGCGTGGGATTGGGTGTCGGATTACTTTGGGAGAGCTCAGTGGTTCGATACCTACAGGGGGAGGCAGTTGCAACCTTCTGTCGCAACATCTCGCGATGCTGTAGGCACGAAACCCAGCCCTAGAACATGCTTCGTGTTAAAAATATAAAATCTGCTTTATTTGTTTGTTGCAAACTTTTCCCACTTAAAATTCTGCTCTAAACCCGGTCTTGGTTGGAAAATTTGAAAGCTCTCCTCTGTTCCCATGTGCGCCGCGCGCACGTAAACCGTCCCGAGTTTGAGGTTGGACGTCTGGCTGGCTGCACGCAGGAGCCTGCGCGAGGCCTGGATCAAGGCCAAGTACGTGAGCCGGGCCTTCGTGAAGCCCCTGCTGGGCTCGATGGCCTGCCTGACGCCCCCGAGGGACCGGGCCCCTCTGGCCACCCTGAGCGAGCTGCAGGCCTCCCACATGCCCCGCCGCTGGAGCGTGCGCAAGATGCACCGGCGCAGGAGGACCCTGCAGCTCGGGGAGCGGCACGCCAGGGCAGGTCTGCACACCCTCCACCCACCCCCTTTTTTGGCCTTTCCCTTCGCGGTTCGGTCACTTCTAGTGAGAGTAAGATGGGACCATGCAAAAGGCAGTCTAAATGCGCAGCATTTATGGGTCCCTTACAACATTGCAGTGTCGCACAATGTCGCGGTTTCATGTGACGGTGTCGCTTGTCTGTCGGTTCGGTGAACATTTTTCAAGTAACGAGCGCCACTTGGGGGGTTGTCTGCAAACTACAAATGAAGATCATCCCAATGTCATCCCAAAGTTCTTCCATCCGTCAAAACACATTGGCATCGTACCGTTGTATTGGTTTTCGTTGCTTTTTATGCCCTTTTTATGCCCCATACTAACTACACTCAAAAACAACAAAATATGTGGGGGGGTGGTGCCCACCAAAGACCAGTGACGGCTGTAAGCAAAGGCTAGGGGAGAGCGTGCATGCATGTGCGGAGGCTTACTGGAAAAGGTCCATTGTGTTTTTATTATAAAAGAATTCTGTTGAGTATAAAGGAATTTGTTTTCTTTTTTTTTCTGATTAACAAGCTACCTTTCAGTTGTACTCATTTAGCTGTCTCGCTATGTGAATCTATGAATTTCCTTTTATGTCCAAAACTGCATCTTGGCTGCTTCTCCTGATATTATGAGGTCTCCAAATTGGAAATATTCAAAAATATGCAGACGAATGAGCTATACTCTATCAAATACAACAAAAGTTACGAAGCTGCCGAAAGAATCTCTGGCAGAGCTGGGATACGGTCTCCGGGTCTCCCAATATCTGGTCGGGTATGCTAGCGATGTAGTATTGTGCAATGTTGATTGATTAGATATGTATGTGTTTACTCTTTCTGTTCTATCTCTTCTTTCTTTGTTTTTGTTTTCTGAGCAATGTACAAAAGTGGTTAGGCCTTAGTAAATTGTTTTCCACCTTTTTCTCTTCTCACTTGTGACTCTAGAAGTCCAAATAAATAAATTATTTATTTTAAATACTATCGGTCCTGCAGTCTGGGCCAAGATACTAGAAGTGGAAGTTACACAACACGAGGAAACGCACGCAAAATGCACTCATCCATACAATCATTCCGGTGCATTTTGATTAAATTATTATTACAGTGGGGCTGTTAAAGGCTAGTTTCTCCAGTGTTGTATCCGCGAGCAAACAAATGTCGACACAAAACTCGGGACACCTACCGCCATCTCTAAACAACGGTGGCAACCAGACAACCAGCTTGCCGGTTGTCTGGTTGCCGCCTTCACTCATAGATGGTAGCAACCTTCCCAGCCTTTCCACTTTGGTGAAAACCAGAGTTGAAAGGCTGAATTTCTCTAGGCGTCGTCCTAGAAGTCGTCCTTGATGTCGTCCTAGACGTCGTCCTTGAGGTCATCCTAGATGTCGTCCTCAAAGTCGTTCTAGACGTCCTCGAGGTTATCCTGGAAGTCGTCCTGGGGGTCGTCCTAGACGTTGTCCTCGAGGTCGTCCTAGAAGTCACCCTTGAGGTCGTCCTAGACGTCGTCCCTGAGGTTGTCCTAGGCGTCGTCCTCTAGGCATCGTCCTCGAAATCGTCCTCGAAGTAGTCCTTGAGGTCGTCATTGATGTTGTCATAGATGTCGTCCTCTAGGCCATCATCCTAGACGTCGTAAAGATAACAGCTTCGCTAGTCCTCCATCTTCACATCAAGTGGAAGTGCTCCATTTTTTATTATTAGTAAATGCCGGTTGCGGTTGTACTGATTGTGCGCCTCCCCTGCCAGGTGATGCTGTGGTCGAGGCCAACCGTCGCCGCACCACAGTGGTGTCCTCTCCTGTGGACAAGCCTCCCGCGAGTGCAGATGCGCTCTCGGTCAGCTCCCTGGGGTCCGAGACGCAAGCCAGCCTCACCTCCCAGGAGAGCGGCGGGGCTCTCAAGGACTCCGGCGTCGCGTCGTCTGTCCCGCAGTCTGACGCCGAGGGGAGCGGGAGCTCGCAGAACGCAATGGAGACGTCGTCAGATCCTTCAGAGGACGACGTCCTCGTGTTTGGCGAGTCGCTGGTCCCTGCGGTTCCGCCTCCGTCCAGTGAGTGCCTTGAAAGTCTGCCGCCTCTCCGCCCGCTCTCGGGGCACCGAAAACCATTTTCTAGTTTCCTTTTGATGCAAGTTCTACTATCGTATTTTCTGGAATATATAGTCCACACTTAGTGCATGACCTGCAAAAAACAAATATTAAAAAAAAAAAAAAAATTCCTTGGACAGCACATTTGGTGCATAGTCCGCACCTAAGAAATCCTTATATACCACACACCTTAAAGAATGCCCGCCTCATTAGCTCGCAAAGAAGCTTGTATCGTACGGAAATTGTTATTAAATAATCTGTCATTCACGAAATTCGTTGCATCTCATCATAAGGGAGAATCTTGAAAAAAACAAATCCTTGTATAGTTTGGACTTGTAGCTAGTGTGCACTGTGTAACATTTTAACTTTTAGACATGTATGCACTATAGCCCATGGACTACAGTGTGGAAAATATATTAGTAAAAATATTGTATAGTGGAACCTTGTTGATACGTTTTGGGAGGGATCGCAGTAAAAAAGTATGTATACACCTATTGCAGGAAAACGGAACGACCGATAATGCTCTTGGGGGGCCTATAGATGAGACAGAAAGCTTTTCGCCTGGCATTTTGGTTTAGTAGACATTGATGGCTGTGGAGGACCACCATCGTTATTCAAATTGAGGACAGTACTCTTTTAGGGGCGAAGCTCCTTAGGGTCTAGCCTTGTCCGTCCGTCCATCCGGCCGGCATCCGTGCTCACATAAAAAGAAAAAATGTTTGCGCTCTCGACAGGATTCAAACCTGTGCGGGGAGACCCGAATGGATTTCTAGTCCATCGCCTTAACCGCTCGGCCACGACTGCGGGACGAGTACGGGGCTCTGAGATGTGGTAGCAGTTCAAGAGCTGGAGATGTCGTGGATGAAACGTTGCATGTAGCCGCTCAACGTCTATACAGGAGAGGGTGCTGCGGCCAAATGCGTATATAATCGCGTTAAACTTTGCATGCATTGGCTCAACGTTTATAGACGAGAGGGCACTGTGTTCAAATGCTCAACAGCATATATAACCACGATCCATACCACATATTCTTTTTCTGACATGGACCGTTGACTTTAGCGGTGGAGATGCGTTCCCACGGCTTCTAGCGGATCCAAGCTGATCCGTTAGAAGAACCACTGGCTCTGCATTTCACCGACCATAAAGCAGTAATAATGAAGTCGAAACACAACCCGGAACTAGCACTACCTATGAGCAATAAAAAGAAATCGGCACCATCAGCACTACCTATGAACAATAAAATCAGTATCATCAGAAGCACTAAAGCTTCGCCCCAATCAACATCATTCGCCACGTGGAGATGCGGTCATTTTTTTTTTTCTTCTCAGTAGTAGTATTTAAAATTAGGGGCCTTTCTATAACAATCAACTCCAACTTTCTGAGCCCATTGAGCTAGCCCTAGTGCTCCCCCATGTCAGCTGCTGCTCTTAGCATGTCGGTGCAAAGAGGTGAAGCTCAACTTCCATGCAAAATGGTGATGCCTGTCGCGCGCACACGGTGCCAATTATGATGTTCGAACTCCACGCGGAAAGGAACTTGCGACACCAGGGAAACCGAGCACTGCAGCACTGCAGCACTGCACACACACTTTGGAGAAAGAGATGGAAAGATAAGAGCACATGCTGAAGTTTTTCTGTACTTTTTTCACAGGTTTGGAACTGGACAGTGCAGATGAGTCACCCACCCAGGATGAAGAGGATACCACTCTTGAAGAGGACATCTCCAACCTAAGTCCTAGCCTGCTTCTGTACAGGTACCACAACAGTACAGCTCTGTAATTTCCAGATATAGACCGTAAAACGCTCTGGCCTTATTTCCACAGTTGTTTGTAAGCCTCAGTGGAAATACAGAACTGCTGGGTGGTTGTGGGCTCCAAAGTCTGTGAGTTTTAACAAGGTGCAGATATTTTATGTGGCAGAAAGTCTTCACGTGCATTTTATTTCATATTGATTGAAGTTCTATTCTCATTAAATCATTTTATAAAAAGGGTACTGAGAGTTGCTGTCTCATCCATTTTGACAAAAGAATACTGGCAGATGCAAGCTAGACCGATTGGTTTTATGGTTTTGCTAAAGTGTTTCAATGGTTTATAACGCTGTTCACTTTTGGAGAAGTAAGGTACTGTGTGACTGACATTTATTTTTTTTACAAAGTTTGAGTGTGTGTAGCTTTCTATGCCTACATGCTCTTTCTTTTTAAACTAAAAAAAAACTCGAGGTACGGCTACGCACTTCTTATGAGTTGTGAATGCGAAAGCATGCATATCATTCTTCTGCTTCCTTATTTCGTCTGCGGCATATTTGTGTCGACGGCAGATCGCGTGCTCTCTTCGCCGCTCTGACCTTGGACGCTTCGTGTTACCGGCACGCTCATGGCGTGGACACGCAGCGCCATAGAATGGCGGTTGTCAAAACCAACGCGCAGCAGCCAATGGGCGCCTCATTCCTTGAAACTATGACGCGCGCCAGCCAATGGGACCGAAGCCGAAATCCATCAGCTTGACTCTGCTCCTTTGGGATCGGGGGAACTAAATGCCGTTTTGCTAGGCTTTTCGCGCGGTTTCAAAGCTGGGAGTCGGCTTCACTTGGAGAAAGGAGTTAAGGTGCCGTTTGGCGCGGCTTCAAAGCTAAGGATGTCGGCTCGCTCCGTGGGACAGTTAATGCTTTTGCATTAAAAAAGTACCAGTATATTACCAGCAGATTTCGAAAAATTGGCCACTTTTTTGCACTGTCATGGCAGAGGCAGCGGTAGCACCGAATGTATTTTGTTTCGCTTTGTGGTGATGTTGCGTAGATGAACTCGGTATGCATTTTGTGTCCCGATAGGGCAAACGTCGTCATGCATGCCCCGCCAAAGGTTGTGCTCGGGTGGAAGCCGAGCACAACCTTTGGCCCTGCTACAACAGTACACTCTCATTAATTCAAGCTCCAGGAAGCCACAAATTTTGTTCGAATTATCAGAAATTAATTTAAATATAATGCGAGACAAAATTATAATTTGTCATATGAATGTCTACACATATAAAGCAGATATTTGTTTCCTCTACATTGGCCTACAGATCATAAGCAGGTACGCCACACCTGAAACATTTCTATGTGTGCCCTGCTTGAGTCCGTGTTGAGTGCACCTCTCACCGAGCACTGGTGCACTGCAAAAAAGCAACACCCGTGGAAGCAAGCTCCGCAGGTGTTGCCTCTCTGCGGTGCACCGGTGCTCATAAAGAAGCGCACTCAAAGGGGTTGTGAGAACAAAAAGTATGAATTGCACGAAAACGCTATTTGAATTAAGCAGTTAAGTACAAAACGAGCGTGTTGGTAACGGTAATTAGACATGAGGAAGATACATAGAAAGGGGGGATGGACAACGAAGACTTTTTTCAAGGAAAGTCTTCGTTGTCCGTCCCCCCTTTCTATGTATCTTCCTCATGTCGAATTAAGCAGCTTATGAATATATCAGAAACATGACGAGACAACCTAAATTTTAAAATTTGTTTGAAATAACCACAAGTATGAAAGATTAGAGCTTTCATTATTGTGAGCCTGCTGAATTTCACATCTCCCCATTTCCTCTGAAGCACATGCTCATTCTCTTCTTTGTAGGCTCCTGCCCACTCTTGCACCATATGTGCAAGCAGGGCCATAGTGCTGGTTTTTCTATGTTGCCTACCGGAGGTCAGCGTGTGCACGAGAGACTCGAGATACGCCCAATTCTTAAAGGGCAGCTCCGGTCGAAAACGAAACCAAACAAAAATTACTGGTATCACTTTAGTGGCACGAAATATGATCACAGCCGAAATGTTATGTCAAAGTCAAGCTGCATACTCAACTAAAACCAATTTGAATGATGCGACCAGCTGCCTTTTAGCGGGCGGCAAGCGGGTTAGCTTTTAGACAAGGAATACTGGCGCAGCACCCCCGTTACGTCACGTCGTAGTAGACCTGCGATCAGTTGGTTGCACCGCGTACCGCAGCACCACGGTGATGACCCGTTGCGGCCGTATGGCCGATGATCAGTGTTGCTGTCCTTCTAACAAAAAATACCACAATACTGAAAAAAAAAAAAAAATTATACCTTGTAATTTAGGGACAGTGACTGAGCTGAAAACAGCGTAGTCTTAAATTTAAAAATATTGATCGGAGTTAAAGCAGCAGAAGGGCCAGCCAAGAAAGAGAGGCTGCAACTAGGACCTGGCACTATGGTTTTGGAGCAGTCGACTTTGACTATGGTGGTAACAGTGTGTGCCCGCTTGGCATCCCTTTGTCGCGAAAACGATGGCTCTTTTTCTGTCCGGGCGCCAGGGCTGCAGGTGCCCACAACCTCCCGGTCATGTGTCTGGCCCTGGCCAATGGGGCGGACCCCAACTGGACCAACCCCGACGAAGACGGCCGGTACCCGCTGCACCAAGCCATCCAGAGTGTGGGTACCTTTTCGAATATCATTTGCTTCGCTTCGAAGGCTGGTTCGCACATTTGCTCTCGAGCATGGTCGACTGCACTGCAATCGCTTGCAAGAAGTTACGATGTGAGAGCGCACTGGCACCGTCTGTGAGGTAGCCCCAAAACCCTTCCTATCTGCGTACACTGAAGGTTTTGTGGCATTTGCAATATCAAATCTGCAAGCCATTTACGAGAAATGGTCGCTTATAACATTTCAGAACTATTTCGTGCCCATGATGAAAAACTGACACATAAAACATAGATCAGAAGTGTTCTACAGTCGAGACCGATTTTTTTTACTTTGCAGGGACCTAAGAAACGTTCGAATAATAGAGCAGTCCGAAAAATCAGCAGATTCAAAAACTTCCCTTTATTACATCTAAGCGGGCTTAAAAGTGCCCTCAATGGTGCCTTGCTTCAAGTTATGCCTCTGTTTGCGTTTGGGTACTTTCTGCTAGTTTAAGAATTGCTGCCTTTTTTTCTAGCCTTATGGTTGAGTACTTTCCGCGCTTCTTAGCAACAGTTTGCGGCGGCGGAAGAACAGATGGGGCCATGACGTCCAAGCCAGCGTGGTCCCAAAACATGATTCACCAAGAATGGCGAATTAACAAAGCAAAATTGTAACAATGATGGTGATAATGATGCACAGCTAGAAAAAAAAAACGCAGCATAGCGTCCCTTAGCGGTAGGACTTGGCACTACTCAAGTAGCGCTGCCAAACCAAGCCAATCCATGTGCAGCCAACATAGAATCTAAAATGGCAGTTTCTCGGTAATGTTTCCCGCTGATCGCTCGCAACGTTTTTGTCCGAAAAATTGAACTTTCGGGCAAAGCTGTTTGAAACATCGGTCGTGAATATGCGCTATTTCTGTCGAGTAGGTCACGGTTCCTCTTTTAGGTCCGAAATATGTAACAAGTCCGAATTATCGGCGTCCGAAAAATCGGTCGGTGACTGTAAATGATAGATGGGGCCAGGCCAGCGTGTTACCCCGACGTAAGCCATCACAAGCGGTTGTAGTGCTGTCGATTGCAAACGTGCGAACCAACCTCAAGTTCAAGCACAATCGATGCTGCAAGCTGATGGGACTGATCAACCAGCACCACAAGCACAACTTCACAATATTGGTTGTCTTTCTCCTTGTGTGTTATCACTGCCTAAACCAGCCAAGCTCAGTGAATAAACCACGACCCAGCGAGTCTGTGCACCCATGTTTGTACATTCTCTATCCTTTGACTGCACTCGCAGTGAAGCAAAATATAGGACAAGTCCGGTTTTGGCGACACTCATTTCACCCAACATCCAGTTCGCATCCTCTGGCGGAGATTAACGACATAATACTATTACTGCTTTTCAATTTAGCTTACATTCTTCTTTCTCACACCCTTCCCTTTTTCACCCATCACCTTGAAAAGGGTGACTTTGAATTTCAAGGAATAAAGACGGTCCGTAGCTTTGGGCAGCTGAAGGTATGTTTGAAGAAAGATGAGCGCTAATCTAATAACAAGATACATTATGACAGGATATCGTATAACATCTTACAATGACCGGGCGGGTGCAAGTATCTGGCTGACCTCTACAGTGCTATTTACTAACTGGATTTTCTGCAGCAGGGTGCAGGCTTATTGCTGAATAAAAGAAGTTCTTAAGTTGCATTTCTTGTCCTGTCCAAATGGTGACATGCAGGGTTCGATCATGGCTTGCGAGTTCCTTCTGCTGAACGGTGCCAAGTCCAACAGTGCGGATTCCATGGGACGCACCTCGCTGCACGTGTCCACCCTCCTTGGAAACACGGGGTGAGCCTTACTCTTTCGTCCGACTCAGAAGATTGCTCGCACCAAGATTAGGTTTCCTCCCTAGGGACTATTCCAACGAAGTAGAGTTTTCTCGGCATGAATACAGGATTTTATGGGTCCGTTTCGAACCTTTACTAGCCAGCATTTGCCGGCGCCATGGTTGGAAGAGAATTTGTGCCAAGCAGTGACACAGCAGTAGTGTCCAATATGTTTTGAGAGTGCACAACCAAAACATGGCAATCTTATAGCCTCTTCCGCTAGCAAAGAGTGAGCACTCGGGGCATGTTAGGGCTGAGTGGATTCCTGTGCTCTTTGCAAAAGATGAGCAATCTTTTCGCGTGCCACTTGTAGACCTAGACCAGCGGAGAGTCGCCGAGCAGCTCCAACCAATCTGTTGAAAAGTGCGGAGTGTGCCGAGCGATCCGGAGAAGTTCACTTTGTCCCCAGAAAAGCTTCATCCGTAGTAACTGGCAGCATTTCAGTTTCGATATCTGCACTAGCGTTCTTGTCGCAGCCACGACAGCGATTGCACCGGACTCGACGATAGATAGTTGCGAAAATATCAGAGGGATGCTGCGCTGTTACAGGTCTAGTTATGAGCTGTTCGATGGTTGGCGAAGTGATACGACGTGGTACCAAGGTCTCGACATTCCTGACAAACAGGAGTTGCGATCAAGATCCCTAAAAGGTTCCATGCTTACTCGGGGATATGCTTACTATTCTGCGGGAAGGGTTGCTGGTCAGTTGCCTTCAGGGTTCCCCCCAGGAATTTTTTAGGAGTAGACATAACCACCACCTGAGTAGCGGGGGGAGGGGGGGGGGGGGGGGGGGGGGGTTCGTTGAGGTTCGGCTCTTCTCGTCGTGCCAGCGATTGGGCACGAGCCACTACCCGAATGCGCGTCGAGGCATTGATAGTCACGAGGCAAAATCAAATGCCTATGCAGTGAATACTCCCTATTGGGGGTATTCACTGGACGCCATATTTGTGGGCGATGTTTAGAGCGCTTGCTCAAAACAAGCTCATATTAATAGCCTGCTAAGACCGGCAGTCTGGATGGTGTGGAATCGGTCATGTATGTAACGCGTTACCTCTACCTAGTTATTTTTTGCATAACAAGTAACATATTTAGTTACTTTTTTAGAAAAAGAATGGGTAACATACTTATCTACTTTTAATGCCAAGTAACAAGTAACGGTATTTCGTTACTTTTGAGGAGTAACATGTACAACAAGATTTAAACAGCCTCATTTTAATTCTAACCTGAGTATGCGTCTATTGCGAAAAAGGCAGGTGGGCAATTCGAAAGACAACTAAATAGTACGACAGCATAGCAACGTTCATCGCTGAACACGTCAGTTGAACTCTACAGCTGGGAATGTCCTTCATTCAGATTCACCAACTCTTACTGAGGCACAACACTACCGTTTGTTCGAGTGCATCAGTAGAGCAGTGCTTCAGCGTCGCCGGAGATGTATTCTCTCAATGAAGCGGGGAAACACAACTGATGAAAGCTTCGAGAAGCATTCACCGCTTAAGTGCAACAACTACTGAAAAAAAGGAAAATAAACCGTGAAACAAAAGCAGTCGTGTATTTGGTCGTCAAAGTAACGAGAAAAGTAACTCGCTACTTTTGAGGCAAAGCGACACATTCCTTTTCAGAATCAGTAACAAGTAATGTATTTAGTTACTTTTTTGGGGTAATGTGTACATGTCCGTGTGGGAACGCACGTTTCAAAAGAACTGTGGAAGCTTGCCGTCGCCAAGCGCTCTGCAGTCATGCACTCGGCCATGGCCGCCAGAAAATACCTTATTTACTCGCAGAATGAACACACTTTTTTTTCCGAAAAATGATACAAAGTTGGGGGGGGGGGGGGGGGGGGCGTTCATTACGCGAAGTAAAATTTTTGCGTCCGTATTTACTCGTATAATGAACGGACCTTTTATCCTGAAATATCGAAGTAACTTCTTATCTCTTTGCGCGCGGCGCCCGACCCCCTAACCAAACTAAGCTGTGCAAAAAAAAAAAAAAAAAGCCTTTTTTTTTTAGTTTTTTGTTGTTGTTTTTTTGCCCTTCGCAAGCTGTTTTGTTTGCTTAGGCGTTGCTTAGGCGAGGGCTCTCCGCTTATCTTTCTTATCTCCTTGCGCGCGGCGCGCGATCTCCCGTAACCAAACTGCGCTGTGCAAGAAAAAAAAAAGAAAAAGCTTTTGTTTTGTGTTTTTTCTTAATTCCTTGGTCTTTTTTTTTTTTTTTGCCGTTTTTTGCAAGCTGTTTTGTTCGCTTAGAGCGCTTCTCCGCTTCTCTTTCCTACCTCCTTGCGCGCGGCGCCGCGCGAACCCAAAGTCCAGACTGCGCTGTTGCAAAAATAAAAAAGCTCCTCTCCATGTTTTTTTTTTCTTGCTTCCGTTGGATCTTTGTGAATTTTTTTAACGCCTTTTGCAAGGCGTTTTGTTCGCCCACGCTGCCCATACATTCCCGACCTCGCTGCACCAGGATAGAAGAGTGCGTTCATTTCGCGCGGGTGGGGGTAGGGGGTCAAAATTTTGACATCCGAGTTGGGGGTGCGTTTATTACGCGAGTTAAAATAAAAAGTCGAAATTTTGAGAGCCGACTTGGGGGGTGCGTTCATTACGCAAGTGCATTCATTGTGCGAGTAAATAGGGTACTCCCTATCGAGTGGTGCCGCAGAATCCAAGTCTCTAAACTCGGCAAGATACCCCCTCAGTGCCACGGGATCAGAGTCTCGCCGTCCAGCCCTCTCTAAATTCTGCTCGGTCTGTGCCGGGCGTTCTGAGTGGGGTGTCTGGATTGCAGGCAGGTGTGCCTGCTGCTGAAGCACGGAGCAGACCAGCACACCCAGGACAAGGACGGTGCGACGGCGCTGAAGATGGCGGTGGACAACGCCAACCCGGACATCGTGACCATGCTGCGGCTGGCCAAACTCAACGAGGAGATCCGCAGGGACGAGTTCGGAAACCCAGGTGACCTCACCACGGTCCCCCCGAGGCGCCCCCGCTTTCATAAGTGAAGACGGGCGGAGGCGCAGCGCTCGCGGCGTTGAAGCAGCAGCACGGACGCAAAAAAGGGCAGCGAGGGAAGCATTTGGGGACGGCTTGGCCCGGCATTCCCAGACTTTTCTTTGTTACGGATAGGCCGTAAATTTTCAAACTTTGTCCCCGTGAAAAAACTGCAACCATTTATGGGCGTTAATTTTTTCCCTTTTCCTTTGTTCGTGCAATTTCTTCGGAGTTTATACGGCTTTTTGTGGGGGCAGACGGCAAATTGATAATTGCACATTTAACGGCACCGACGGTTAATTTGGGCAGTGCGTTGCACCGTTTATTATGGTGAAGAGTCGGTGCGTTTCGGTAGATTCTCCAACTAGGGAATGAAACATTCATTAACTCCCGTTTTCAAAATTGAAACAAGATTCGAGGTACGGTAAGTGGAGAGGTTTGTCCTATCGGTGAAAACATAGTACACCTTTGAACGTGACTGCCGATTGATTGCCCAGCTTGTAATCTCCTGCCTAGTACAACAACAAAAGAACAGAAATGCCTGTGCTCTGTGCACATGAAGCCAGTTGTCCATTTTTCGTTTTTGTTCTAAGTGCACATGAAGCGAATGCAAGCATCACTACAACAAAAGAGAAAGGAAAGGATAGAGAGGATAGGAGACAGTGTCGCTCTCTGACTAAGCTGGATGGATAAATAATAGTGGCTAAACATTTTGTATCGGGCGATAGCTTGCACCAGCTAGCTTAGAAACATTTACTACACCCCTCCGCTTTAAATTTTGCCTTTCTTTCCAATAGTCAACACCATTTACCTCGCAAACTTTGTGCATCATCACACTTCTTTAGGCCTTTTCCACCAGTCTTTGAACTTATCTTTGTAAAGCTTAACTACTCTCTCTTTTACAATGTTACCAACTGCATCCAATGTATTTAGCCACAGCTGGAAGAAGTGAGTTGTCGGAGGTTTATTTTTTAGCTTACGTTGACTTTTTCAGCAGGTTTCAGGTAACTTTTTCGTTGCTTTCGTGAGCTGAATTCAAGATAATCAAAGTTTCCGATGGAAACCCTTTTCAGAAAGGCAGTTAATAAATATGTAGCAACTGTAGACAAAAAGACATCTTTCGCTTCTTAAAATTTCAAGTTATTCGGTGTCAAGTTAGTGAGAACAAGCGGCAGTTTATATGTTTAGCTATCGCGTTCTACTCTTAAAGGCAAAGCTTAAGCTTCCTCCAAGTTTTTCTTCAAAACATTGCAGCTATTTTTTGAGGGTGCAACAATATAAATGCAGAAATGGTGTCAGGCATTGCAATGTTAAAATAGGAAAATCATTAGTCCTGCCCGCCTCTTGCTTGTTTGCAGTACCTAAAAATTTGGCAACTACGACTGGTTCTTACTTTTATGTATTAACTTAATGAGATTACTCAGGAACCATTGAGGAGTTGCTGTTATTACTTATGGATAGTGGCGTCTTGAGATGTCGACCTCAATGTGCCAGACAAGGTCATTTTTCACGCAGTCCGGCAAAATTCGGATGCTGATCTTGAACGAGTTGGTGCGATACTGCATTGAAAATGTCGGCCGACGTCTATAGCTCAGACGAGTTTTCTGGTAGCAACGCGGTTTCATGTTTTGTTTCATGCTTGAAACAAAAGCATGCAGCCTGCAAAAAGACTGTTGCTCGACAGGGCAAGAGCTTGCCTTCTCTACTTTTTTCCGATTATCCGTCTTTTTGCGTGCTGTATGCTTCGACCTTTCTAGGCCGCTATTTTCACATTTATTTTAATATTGATCGCCTAGTGCTTTCACTTATTGTTTAGACTGTGCCACTACATACTATTTAACCTTGCCAGAGGTTTTCCTCTCTTCTTACGAGTTAACCCAAGTTGGACCTGTGATTTTGTTCAAGTATACTGACAAATTGCTGTTAATTGGAGGGGCAGTAAACCAGATTTGGTTTTGGAGTCAACTATGTCCCAAACATTACCTTTGACTTGAAATCAAGTCCAGATATACACTAATATATATATATATATATATGCTTTATCAATGACAAAAAGTGCAATAAGTTGTCAGGTTCCCTGTGATGTTTTTGTTTAATTTTGTATTTATAATAGGTATCTAAATATGCTAACATGTTAAGTAGGGGTGTACGAATACTGCTTCCTATCAAATACTGCAGCGTCATCCCTAGCTTCAACTCTGCAACTCCCTAGCACTGTGAAGACTATGAATGACTCGGCAGTGTTCGACCGGAACCATTCACACACCCCTAATGTTAAGGCTTTGTTATGATAACTTGTTCATAATACTGGCATCCAATGAAATATATACTGCAATGTGGCACAATGAAGTGCATGCACTTTCCATACATCTGGTTTCATTTTCGGTGCTGTGTAGGTGGTATGGCTAATAAATAACAAGACCCGTATTGAAAATAAAATATATTACACAATTGTAATGTCTTCTTTCATGTACTTTCCTCCCTGTCCCCACACCACTCCATGTGTATCTTCAGGGGTGGAACGGCTGCGCCATTTGCGCCATTTTTTGCCAGATGCATTTGTCTGTGCCATCCTGGTCCATGTTGCGAAAACTGCGCCATAGCCAATACCTCACGCCATTATGCACCAAATCGCAAAACTTGTGCCAAAAAAATTGTACTTTGTCTTGGTTTCGGTTTCTATAAACTCGAGTGGCAACAATGAGCGCGTTTAGTTTGGTCGGCCTTGCAATCCTTTGTTCTGTTTATTCTCCCTGTGGATCTCGAGTCGGAAGCGCGCGAAAAAACTCGGGCTGTATTCCAAGGGCTGCACCACCTGCGACTGAATTGTTATTCTTCAACCATAAGCGATTAAACCGGGATCTGGACGTCAGCCAGTTGAAAACAAATGAGCAAAAAATTCCTTTTAATACTTCATCGTTAGAAGTTTGAACCGCATTCCCGCAAGATAAATTGTGATTTGATTGAACTGAAACGCGGTCCGATCAGAAACCTTGCCGGCCAGCGGCTCTCACGCGAGCGGTAGATCTGCTCGGCGTACATTAACCTTGCTCCTGCTTATCGCTTTGAATACGATAACTCCGTTAATCGTAGTCTGCTGCTTCGATATTGAGTTGCACAATAAGTGTCCTGTCCTTATAAATAAGATAAACTCGAAATTTGTTGCGATATTGAGTTGCACAATAGGATAGACTCGAAATTTGTTGCCCTGTTCCTCCACGCAACTGCACATCCGTTGCTTACGCATGTCACGTGGTTCGCACATATAACTACTATGTCTAGTGCATGTGGGTTGTGCTATAAGCAATACTGGTTTGCATCTTGAGCACCTGAAAGCCATTCAGAAACTATCAAGGACACTATCTTCAGAAACATATGGTACTCATTAAAGCTCACAAAGTTTCAAGTTTTTGCATCTGTTACACTATTATCCCATCTACCTAGGTCCCTAACCACTCATGTTCATCTGTGCTGCTACGCACAATTGAAATTGCTCCCGTGCTTGTCTAAGGCACAAGCTGAAGTGCAATGAAAACTGATCTGAGCTGCTCCCAGCCTGCTCCAAAATGTAGTTTTAGCTGCTCCCGTGGCTCTCCCAAGTACATTTCACGAGTTCCACCCCTGATCTTCCATTGCCAAAAGTAGTGCTGTAAGTGACTTCTGTCACCCAGACTTGATCTTGGGGAATAGGAAAAAGTCAGGTGGGGCCAGGTCAGGCGAGTATGGCGGGTGCTCCAACAGTGATGCTGTGCTGAGCCAGGAACACTATGGCCCCGAATGGGGAGGAAAAATTCATTGATCCTTCATGAAGACAAGGCTCCAGCACACATGGCCTTGCCAATCATGTCGTTCCTGGCTCAGCATAGCATCAGCGTGTTGGAGCATCCACCTTACTTACCTGACCTTGCCCCATCTGACTTTTTCCTATTCCCCAAGATAAAGTCTGGGTTGAAAGGAACGAGGTTAGACCTTGTTGATGCTGCAAAAGCAAACGCGATGAAGCTCATGAAGGGCTTATCACTTGATGACCTATGTAGCACTGCATTTAGCAATGGAAGATTTGCATGGAGCTGTGTAGGGACAGGGGAGGGGATTACATAAAAGAAGACATTACAATTGCATAATTTTTTTTAATATTTTTTTTTTACTTTGTCATTATTTAGTAGCCACACCTCAGAAGCTGGAAAAAAGAATGACTCCTAATGATATATGTCCGATCTTGGCTTATGTATAAGTTTCTTGCAGTACAAATAAAGCATGGTGTGTGCTACAGTTCCCTTTGTGCTCATTCTTTCTTCGTAAGCCAGCTTTTTCAAAATTTGTGAATGCTTTGTGGTTCATAAATAACTAATGTCGGTCAGTTGTTGGGCAATTTTCTGGATGACCCTCGAGACCTATTGGCATGGTAAGTTTATGGAAGTTAGTCACTCTTGCCAAGTGCAACTAATTGGTACTTACATGCTTGTATACATCTAACACTCTCAAAGAACGTCCTTGGCCAAAAAGGACGAGGACAATCCTCAGTTTTCTTTCGATCCATTCCACATCAGTCTCGGGTTTTCAAAAAACCAAGTCTTTGAGTATTCTCGTAAACCAGCCGATTTGATGCGCTGAAGGAACGTGGAACGTGGAATTCACATTTGCTCCTGTAGGCGATTACAGGATGAGAACAGCTGGGAGGAGTTTCTGTAAACAGCCTCCAGTGCGAGCATCCGCCTTTGAGTGTGCACGCCCAGTGAAAGCACAATGGAAGGCAGTGAGCACATGCTGGAGGTGGGGCATCCGAAAGAGGCACCCCGCCGTTCTCATCTCGTCGGTAGTTATTGGGCGTGCTGCTGCCCGCATGTCTTAAGCGCTAGTTGTTCACTTTGCAAATGTCGTACAGAACTGCGTTAGACAAGTCGACTGACTGGTCACCGTTTGGGTTTTCCAGGAGACGACACGTTCATCGACGTTGTGCGCGACTTCTCTCACATGGCGTCCAACAATCCCGAGATACTTCGCCGCCAGCCCAGCAGGCATGCGGAGTGAGAACATCCCGCTTTACTCGCCTTCGTTTTTAGTATGTTTTACTTCGGAGGCAGAACTCGAGATTCGCCGAGCTTTGCGTCCGTAGCACCACGGAGCTCGCATGTCTACAATCGTTTGCAGCGGGGGGACCGCTGGAGATTGCAATTGTTGGCAACCTGTTATGTATTATCTTCCAAATGATCTGTGGTTGAATTTTTACACCTGCATTTTCAGTACTGTCGGTTTTCGCTCTGCCATAACGTGGGATGATTGTGCTGCATTATATTCTCGCAGTTGCGAGCGTGGCACCGTTGTTCGTGTCACGACGAAGGCCCCTTTGTACGGTAACGGAGCATGTAATTTGGAACAGGCCACAGTTTTTGCTGCCTCCACGTAAGTGTTTTATGGTAAAAGAAGACAGGTTGGTCATGGATTGTTCCTATATAGTTTAGTACAGTGTCTGACCTCTTTGGACTGTCATCTGTCTTAAATCACAATCATGATACTGAGGAAAAAAGAAAAATGAAGGTCTTTTATGTGTGTTGTGCTTAGTAAGTCACTGATAAAATCTTTCAAGTAAAGAAGCTTTCAAGATCAACAACAAAATGTGCCGAGAAAACCGTTGCTAGTGTCATGTACTAAGTGCCCATTCCCTTTCTTGAGAGCTGCATTTAATTTGAAGTCTGGTCTCCCAAGAGGGGACATGAGCACGTACGGGTCACCGCAGCGCTCGGAAACTTTTCCTAGGACGAGCTCTAGTTTTAAATGTGGCCAAAGAAAGATTTTGCTCGTGGTTTGACAGAGGGTTGCTGTGATACCTTTGGCTACGGGAACAAACGAGGATATCAGTCTTTTTTTTTTTATTGTCACAAGTTTAGTATATTACGACTTATGTACACACAAAATGTGGAAAATGAACATACACATTGCACGTGCCAGTGGGAGTCGAAAATTGCAGTTTGGGGAAGAGAAGACAGAAGGGGCCGTCTCTGTGTACACTGTTGGTTTTCTTTTTCCCCAGCGAGAGGAGAAAAATTAAATAAAGGTTCCAGTTACCTTTTGACTCATCGGAGGTGTGCACTCACTGTCTCTCCCAAGAAAGCTATCACAGTGGTCACTATATTCCGTTCACCCTAAAGCTGACCGTGGCGGGAGCTATGCACTCGCTGAATCAGTCAACCACTTCCCCTTCTGGGAGAGTTATCACATGGTGAAAGATCGACGTTGGAGTGGTTCAACGAGCTCGTAGCTTCCACCAGAGTGTCGGCTTAGTGGCGAACGGAGTATACTACCGCGTGGATTCCGTCGACGCCAGAGTCTTGCCGAGGAAATGCAAAAGAAAACATTGCGGCTGTTCTCGGGGGCCAAAGTTCATCACTTCCAGACCTTGACAACCCCGTTTTTGGAAGCGGACACGACGAAGGTCTGGCTTGTTTGTATGACGCCGAGGTCACTGATGCAGTCGTTGTGGCCTGCCGCGGGTTGCTCGGGGTATCGCCGTGGTTCTTCGGTGCCAGACGTCTTCTTGGAGTAGTTGTTGCGCACTTCTTGGATCACTCTCGTCCCATCGATCAGGCTGGACCTGCACGACGTTGGACGACTGATTCAGGGAAGACCCTTCAGAGGGACTACTGAGCGCCAACCAAATTAACACTTGCTGAACTGCGGAACACGACTGAGGCACACGTCGGATGCGGTGGCAGGTCGAAGAGATGGGAAAGGAAACTAATTGCCAGTAGGGAGGAATCGATTCCAGCTGAGAAAGCAGAACAGAACTGCAGCAACTGCGGCTTTCGTGAAGACTACTGACAACACAAAAACATTGCAGACAGTCCTCACCATGCCAAATGGCTATTTGCCGTGCTAGGACTATTGACTTGTAACTGCAACACTTCCAGCACTACCAGCGAAATTAAATACTTCCATAGATGCCGGCATAGACAGATCGCCTCTCTTTTTGTGGCCCGGGTAAGCCAGAAAGCAGAAAAATATTTTTGGTTTCAAGATTTCATTTGCAGGTGCACAAGAGTCGTAGAATGTGCGACAAAATGAGGGGCGTGCTTGGCCCCCGGGTGCCAACATTTTTGAAAGAATTTAAAATTGTGTTTATAGTTCCTTTCAGCTAGCCAAGTCTCTTCTATTGGGCTTTAGTTTTTCGAGTAAAAGTTAGAAGGGCACACGGGGAGGATTGGGGAAACGTGACCAGTTTTCCGGTAAGTGACTACTACCCTGCGATCGGACCCCTTTGCGGCTGACCGTTCAAAACAAGGACAATTCTGCTTTGATGGCAACTGCCAGCATTCTCTTGCCATCAATAAAATATAAAGGTTACTGGTATCAATGTGACTGGCATCCGACCTGCCCCCGCAGAGCATGCCACGCCATGACAAACCCACTCCCACAATGTGCCGCCTTGCCATGGGGTTGGGACCCGCAGCCCAAGGCCGCAAAGAAAACGCGGACCTCACTTTTTCTTTTAGGCAAGAACCCTGCACGGACCTCACTAGCTCATGCTGGAGATAGTTGTATCATAGCAAGGCCTCTCTCTCCCCACCCACTCCTCTGCATATGAACACAGGCTGCTGGCAGGAACTGCATATTAGTGCTATATTGCATCTCTATTCCATTCGATAGACTGTCTAAGCCAGATGACCTCTTGCTCCCATCTCACTCCGGGCCTTTCTTGCTCCCATTTCTATTGAGGTATGCTGCTCAGTCACATGTACAGTTGTCGGCTTTCGGGTTCACGCCTTCCATTTGCTAGTATTAAAGGTCTGTATGTACAAATAGCCTTTTCCCGCCCTCTACTTTAGCTTTGTGGCCCACATTACGGCGTTGCGTGGCATTGCGCACCGTAGGCCGGCAATGGTCGGAGACTTGCCTGTAGCTGACCACTCGTGTGTGCGTGTCGATGGCCGCTCCAGCAACGACGTAGGATGACAGCGGGTTGTTCATGTCCCAGAAGCGGATGTTCATGTCCGAACCTCCCGTGAGCATGAAGGGCCCGCACTCCACGGGGCTCAGGTACATGCTGAAGATGGAGTGTGGGGTGGCCTGAAGAGAGCAAAGAAAAAGTGGCAAATTTTGGGAGGTTTACTTTCCAAACCAACAAGAAGTAATTGTGCGCATGTTTATACAGCGGGAAGTCGGTCGGCCCTGTCAAGTGAGTGACACTGCTGCTGACTCTCCAGGCGGGAAAGTGCCGCTCAAGGTTTATTGAACCTCTTTTATAGTGGTGGATGCAGTGGTGCCCCCTAGTGGTACAGCAGTACACTACGCTACATCCTCCCTTCAGTAAAACAAAACAGAAGAACTCTTGCTCCTAAAGAAAACGTTCATAGGTTGAGCCTCCTCGACCTGCGGATCGTTCTACGGAACCTCGAGCCCCGCGGCGTAGAAGTAGAACTGCGGGATGCCTGTCCAGTTGGGGAGCTTTCCCCGAGGCGATGTGGTTCTCTGGTCTTGGGCTGTTCGAGCTGCTCCAGGCGTTGTGGGCATGGCTGTCTGTGCCGCCGTGGGAGTGCCAGATGGGCTGGTGGTGCATTCTGCGGGACTTCCCGTTGTTGGCACAAGGTGGATCAGGTTGCACTGGAGTACCCCCGTAAGCGTCTCTACAACGTACGAGCTGGGGGCACTGAGCTGGCCCCATGGAAATCGCGGGACAGTTGGTGTTCCGTACCCAGACCTGCTCGCCGGCCTGGAGAGTCCGAAGTGCGCGAGCCACGTGCCTCCAGTTGAAATTCGATGCTTGCCGTATCTTGTTGGCTTGGTCACGCTGAGCGAATGGAACTGACGGGGGCCAGGCTGGTTCCAGCCGGTGCGACGTCTTTGGTACCCGAGCCTGTAGGCGTCTGCCCATGAGCAGCTGAGCAGCGCTTACTCAGTTTACACCAGCGGTGTCCTGGTATACCAGATGCGCCAGATAGGGATCGTCCGCCTTCCGCAACAGGTCCTTGACCGTCCTCACCATCCATTCCACCTCCCTATTTGACTGTGGAAAACGGGCGCTGCTTGCGACATGGCAGAAGCCGTAGGACTCGGCGAAGGCAGAGAATTTTCTCGCAGCAAACTGAGGCCCGTTACTGCTGTGCACCAGTCTTGGGATTCTATGGCACGCAAAGACCCTCTTGATGGCATTGATGACAGCAGGTGCTGTCGTCGAGCGCAGGCTGATGACCTCCGGGAAGAGTGACCGGTAATCTACCGGAAGGACATATTCCTGGTCGTTCAGATGGAAGAGATCTACTCCCACCTCTTCCCAGGGTCGACTTGGAATCGTTGACAGCAGCATGGGCTCCGAGCGCTGCACTCTGGTTTCGGCGCACATGGGGCAGTTGGACACCAGTGTGTCTATCTGGTTGTTTATGCCTGGCCACCAGACCGACTCCCAAGCAACAGCGTTGCATCGGTTGATGCCCTGATGCCCATTGTGAAGGAGCTCCAGCATGCGGCGCTGAAGGGTGGACGGCACGAAGATGCGGGACCCTTTCAGAAGCAGTCCCTCGCAGACGCTAAGGTCCCCTGGGTACTCTCAGTACCTCTCGACGTGGAGAGGCAAGTGGGACTGCCGTGGCCAGCCATTGGTGCAGTACTGAAGCAGCAGACTGCACTGGCTGTCGTTGGCTTGGGCCTGGTGCAGGTGCTCGAGCTGCGATGAGAGAATGTCTGGGAGGGAACGGACAACTTCTTGGACGAAGAGCTCAACTTGATTCACCCGGGTGGACAAAGGGGAATCCAGCAGTATGCGCGAGAGCGTGTCGACAGTTGCCAACAGTTTTCCCGGTATGTAGATTACTTGGTACTGGAAAATCATCAGCTTCAAGTGAAACCGCTGGATCCCTGGTGGTAGCAGGTCAACGTCCATGAACCCCATAAGTGCCACCAGAGGTTGATGTTCCGGCTTGAGGAAAAAAATTGCAGTGGCTTAGCTCGGCTATGCCAGGATATACGTAGCGTAAGCTTAGGTTCAGCTGGTTATTCTTAGCTTTCCTGGTTGTCTAAGATTAGCTTGATTATCATACTTACTGCTGCTTCAATGACACACACACGGTGTACGCATTATGCACTACCTCGGGATCCAATAAGTTGAGCTTCTCCGCTCTTACTGCAGAAAAGGTGCCGTGTAACCGAGCTTTCAGTTGCACGTCAAAATATCCCCAGGTGGTCCAAATTAATCCTCAGTCCTCCGCTGGGGCGTGTCAGATGCCCGTCGTTGGTTAGGCCAGCTGTGCGCCGTGTTGTTATGTATCAAGCAACCAAGCTGCCACCCAGAACAACCGGACAGCGCGAGCCATGATCTCGAGCGGGTGCATGCACGCGGCGCGTGCATCAAGGACTGACCTAGGCGCCATACCAGCCCTGCCCGTTCCGTCACTGCTCCTCGCACATGCGCAGCACGGCTCTCCAGGAGCCACGCGAAACTGCTCAACCTCGGCCAGTATAGCTTACGCTACAAAATTCAAGTCCACGGACGTTGACTTGCTGCCACCACGGATCCAGCGGTTTCACTGGAAGCTGATGCATTTCCAGTACCAAGTATTCTGCGTACCGGGAAAGCTGTTGGCAACTGCTGATACACTCTCGCGCGCACCGCTGGATTCCCCTCCGACCACCCGGGTGAATCAAGTCGAGCTCTTTGTCCAAGGGGTTGTCCATTCCCTTCCAGACATCGTCTCATCGCAACTCAAGCACCTGTGCGAGGCCGAAGCCAACTACAGCCAGTGCAATCTACTGCTTCAGTACTGCGCCAATGGCTGGCCACAGCAGATAAACCAACGCTCCTGACACCATGTCGAGCGAGTGACACAGCTGCTGACTCTCCAGGCGGGGAAGTGCCGCTCAAGGTTTACTGAACCTCTTTAATAGTGGTGGATGCAGTGGTGCCATCCAGTGATGCGGCGGTACACTACATCACAGGCCCCACTGGGCACCTGGTGTCTCTGCTGCGGATGAGAAATATCGCCAGGGTACTGCCACTGCTAGCCTGGGGTCTTTAATGTGCACACTAATGTGATAGTTATGACGCTCGTCCAGATCGGAACGGGCAAGGGTGGCAACCGAATGTGAGACCTCTGGGTTGTGCGACGTGAGCTTTTGCGCCACGTGCACCGAGCTGCGGTGCATTAAACGAAAAGCATGTGGAAAAACGTAAAGCAAACAATGACGTAAGCAGAATCGGAGCTTAGTTTAGCACGTGCAAGATACCGGAGAACGTAAAACTTGCGTGTATCATTACTGAAACCGAAAATTTACTCTCGACAGAACATCAAATTTTGGTGTCGCTCTACATAGTGAGCTTGCTGGCTGCATTCTATGCTTTGCTTACAATGGACTAAAATCTTGCTTATCAAGATCTAGTGCTTGGAGATAATGTGACAGCGGAGAAAATGTAACTAACATCGCACAACTAGTTCTCACTGGAAGCAACTCCATCGTTGAAAAAATAATTCATTTTGTGATTTTAAGAGAAAAATAAGTGAAAGTGGAACCTTGCACATTGACTAGACATTCCCAGACTGATGTCAGCTTTAGAACTACTTGAAGCTACTTTCATTTTTCAAGAAGTCTATTTTTCCCAGTCTTCATGAGCAGATCTTTTTATGTCTTCCAGTTCCCTTAAAAAAAACAGTTTTTTCACGCAGCTTCTAATTCCCCAGAACAGTGGTTCTCAATCTGGGCTCTCGGGAACCCGGGAATTCCCCAGGGTGCCCCAGAAGGTTCCCCGAGCTCCCAAATTTTCCCGACCGTCCTTGCACCCATCAAGTATTTTTCCAGTTTAAAAAGAACTAACTTAACCGTTATCAGCCTTCCATTAATACGTAACAATGTTCCAGACTTCCTAGTATGTGCATGTTGCCTAAAGGTCTACGGACATCTGCACAGTTTTGTTGCATTTAATACCGAGACCAGAAGAGGTTCCTCGACATTGAAAAGGTTGAGAACACCCGCTTAGAAGCTTAGATCGTTTAGAAACTCCAGCTCAAGGCTTGCCTGTGGCATTTCATTGGTTTAATTTCAGACAACCCGATATATTCTGTGCTTGGGCAGGAAGTGTCCGGCCCCAATGTCGGTGCCACATTCCAGATCTCCTTTTCTCCGAAACATTTATTTGACCTCCGATTAAATCAGGAAATGAGGTATGGATACTCTGCTTATTGGCCCCAACTCCGACGGGCAAGTTGAAGGGACCGACCCGAGATGGGAGTTACGCTTGGGAGGGCCCACCTGGCATTCGGTGAGGGGGGGATAGCTGCTGGCCCAGAGGGTTCTGAGCCGGGCCTCGGTCTCCATGTCCCAAAGCGAGACTTCGTTGTTGCCCTGCACTGCGGCCCAGACCCCGGACTGGTACTGGGGGTCCACGTGCACCTGCCGCACCCGGGAGCCTGGAATTCAACATTCCAACGTCAAAGTTGTGGGATGGTCACTTGTGGTAGTAACCCTAATCGGGGGATGCCAAACCTACTCCCACACCCCGCACCTTTTTCTCGACAACACCGCTAGTTTATGTGGGGTTTAGCTACCAACAGAGGTACTGACAGAGTAACCAAAGGGTTATTTCAGCAGTGGCGGCGATCTCAAGTCGGGAGACGTCGCCTAGTAGCGCGGTCCTACGTCTCTGCGGCAATGGAGGCACCGTTTAGGCTACATTATTTATTTATTTGTTTGGACATACTGCAACCTCAATTGATGTCATTGCAGGAGTGGAATACCACGGGTTGGTTCGATGAAATACACTGGTGCCAATGATTGCTATTTTGCCTCTCTCCCAAATATGGCAGAAGAGAAGACACACATACCAAAGTGAGGACTGAGTCCAAGAGTATTTATTAAACACTCTTGAAGGCGCCACTATGTCCCTCTCGAGTTTCTCATGAAATCTCGTAAGAAGCTACATTGGAGTTTCTTATAAAATCTAAAGTGAAGTGTAGCAATATGCATTTGCTTCGAGATTTGCAAAATTTTATAGATTTACAAAATCGGGATGTATAAAAATGTGACCTCCAACTTGGATTGTAATTACTGTTTTGATGTTGTGCAAAATGCCCAATTTATTTTGCACGAATATTGTAAGTAATCAAAATTAAATTAGCTTTCAATGTGGACATGTAAGATGCCACACATTTTATTTATTATCTTTGCTTAGGACAGTTTTCACGATTTTATTCGTGTCATTTTAGAAAATCGTACAGGTTTTGTGTGGCAATACTTTATATGCAAAGTACAAGTAAAAGGTATCAATTGAGCCCGGTTATATTGCACCCGGGTATTTTGAATTATTGTTTATATCAAACAGTCCAACCATTCGCTTTAAAATCACATGTAATAGTATAGGAGCATTGTTTTTCTGTATGGAGCTCCCATGGCGGGGACACTCGATATAGCGAACAAAGCACCGCCGCCCGTCTTTTCCCGCAGTCCGATTGCGCCCGCGGCGAGCCCATAGCAGCTTGTGTTGCTGGTCTGGCAGACTGCCAAGCCAGCACATGTGTGCACAAGGATACGCAGCGAAAGAGCCGTTGTAAAAAAAAAGAAAAGGTGGAGGATGGCAAAAGCAAGGGGAAAGGCACGCGTAGGGAGGGCAGGGAGCGCCCGCTGTTGGAACGGTAGCGTGTGCTCTTTCCCCAAACACCGCTGTCCCAGCGCGACCCCTTAGCCCCAAAATAAAATAAGCAAAAAAAATAAAAAGTCTTGGGTCAAGTCGAGCGTGTCGAGAACGGTTGAGCGATCGCACTTTGAACACCTTATCTTTGTTTACCTTTTTCTTTTGCCGTTTTTGCTTTTTAATACAAAAGCATTAACTTCCCCATGGAGCGAGCCCACGACGTCATCAGCTTTGAAGTCGCACCAAACGGCACCTAAAATCCTTTCTCCAAGTGAAGCCGGCTCCCAGCTTTGAAACTACGCGAAAAGCCTAGCCAAACGGCACCTAGTTTCCCCGATTCCAATGGAGCGGAGTAAGCTGATGGATTTCGGCTTCAGTCCCATTGGCTTGCGCACGTCGTAGTTTCAAGAAACGAGGCTCCCATTGGCCGCTGCGCGTCACTTTCAACGACCGCCACCCTATGGCGCTGCGTGTGCGCGAGGCAGCTGCTCCACCGCTCCACGCCCAAGGTCAGTGCGCCGAGAAGATAGCGCGCGCTCAGCCGACGACGCAGGTACGCTGCAGACAGAATAAAGGAGCGGAAGAGATATTCACAACTCGTAAGAAGCGCCGAGGTGTGCCTCGGGCCTTTTTTTGCCTGCCCGAATTTGGTGAGGTGTCTTTTTTGTTGCTTCCTTAACTTTATTTTATGGATTAAGTTTTTTTTTCCTGTGGCTCGCTTTTTTTCATTTTTTTTTTAAATTTATCTTTGTGTTTTGTTGCCGGCACTGTGTGGAGGTTATGGCCAGGCGTAAACGATCGCAAACACCGCCGTGTAAATGCGGCGGTGTTTGTGATCTTCACCAACTAAGCTTTACTGTATTTCGCGGCTCTTAGAGGCTCTATTGGGTAATGTCTCATTTGTCGCGGCCTTCGGTATTAGCAGACGCGTATAAATCGATATATCAAATTATTTTACGATCCCCTTTGAATTCAATATATCCGGGTTCGACTGTACTGGTTTTCTAGTTTAATGAGAAATGAAATGTTTATCTAATACATTTTGATGCTATTACATATTTTAACATTTAATATAATTAGAGTGACGTGGCTACTCAATCCGATTCCAAGAATCGCCACCTGCATATGACTACCGTAAAATCCCGAGAGATAGCCCACCTAACATCAAGAGCAAAGCGGCTGAAAATATGGAGTGGGCTAACTTTCAATGTAAAATCAAGAAAAGTTTAAAAAAATTGCTATTTTTAGGTTGTGTCCCTTCCAAGCTTAATATGGTGATGAGGGGCAAGCAAAGATGACTGTACTTCCCAGTTAGCAACGTTTACTTATATTCCGCCGTAGCTAACTAGCTGCATTTACGCTGAGGACATCATCGATCCCAACACTACTATTACTAAGAGTGGGCTATCTTTTGGGTGTTCAAAAAAATATAGCAAATCAAGACAAAAATAGGGGTGGGCTATTTTTGGGGGGAGGGGCATCTCTCAGGATTTTACGGTATTAAGGAAAATGTGCACCAGCTCTCAATCACACTCAGAAAATTATAAGAAAACAAATCACTAGTTCATTACTGGAGTACAAAATGTGCAAAAGCTATCACTTTCTAATGACTAAATACTTTTTTTCCCAGAATTTTCACTTTTTTCTTTTATGCAGCCACAGTATAAACGAGCGTCAGCACAGCGAAAATTTTTGCTTTAGCGTTCCAACTTTAACCTCTGGAACAACGACCTACAATGTTTCAGATGACCACCCTAAAATTATGGTTGGCGATGTGATGTGAAACATGTGATGTGAAGATGTGATTATGTGTGCAATGTGAATATGCCTGCCTCACCGGAGGGATGGGTGATGGTGTTGATGGGTAGCTGAAACCTCATATCCCAGCAGACCAACTTCCCATCAGAAGTGCCACACACCAGCCAGCTGTGCTGGGGATCCACGCAGAACGATGTGATCACACCTACGAGCACCAGTGAAGAAAAGATCAAACACAATGATGACCAATTAAGGTTATACCCTAAAATTTCACAAGGTAATATCAACCACTACAATATATATCTTTGATGGAAATTTTAGATTGCTAGATTTTAAAGTGAGCCCCAGTACAGGTAACACCTTATACGTACGGAAGTCTGCCCACCTCGAATTATGGTGCCTCGTTACACCATGGCAAAGGGGAATTTGGCCAGTGCAGTAATACAACTGCTGGTAAGGTCTTAAGTGTGTATTGTGCAGTAGTGGTTACGCAAATGCCCACCAGTGCAACTATACCCATTCGCATTAAAACTGGCAGGTGCGGTTAGTCAACTTGTAACTACGAGTTTGGAGTGAGCTTCTGCCCCATGCGCTTCGAGCTACAGTGACCGTCGAGGTACAAATGATCGTCGAGCTCCCCTTTTGACCGGCGGCAGCAGCAGCCACTGGACAGAAACAGGTCACTTTTAAACTAGACAGAGCTTCGTATCAAAGTTCATGCCCCTGTGCACTGCTTTTTCTACACAGGATTACTGCACCTCTTATTTGTAGCACCTTTCAGTGGAGGTCAACTATTACCGCAAAGTCCAGCAGATAGCATGAGCTCTCCCGTGCATCTACATTCCTGCAAAGCATGTGGAATCTGTCAATGTCATTTACGGAATGAGATTAGCCGATGACGAGGCAGTGTTGGCGTTTTGGCTCAGAAATGTGATCTGCACTGGGATTATCAGTGCATCGCCATTTAGTTGCCTCTTTCCACGAGGGGCAGTGATTGGCTGTTCCAACGTTGTGTGGTAAAGTAGGCATAAGGGCCTTGTTCATAAAAAGCTTGTATTAATCTGAGGACCTTATGGTATATTGTGACCAAGATGAAGATGGTGATGAATTATAGTTCGCTTTGGTAGCTGCAACCTTGATATTGGCTGTAGCTAGCTCTCTCAGCTACACTTGCCAGTTATGTTTGATATATGTATCGAGTTATGTGTCTACATAAAAATGTGTGACTTCATCACAAAAAAAGCCGCCTCTAGCACACGCTTCCAAACACGAACAAAACAGCTTCATACCATTTCTAGGGTTGTTCTCCAAGTTCCATGCTGTGCTTGGAGATCGTAGGTCCCATCCTACTATGGAACCGTAAACGGTTGCGTAGGCCAGCACAGACTGTATGCCTTAGAGAAAGAGAGCACATGGCTTAGGGTTCAAGTCATCACCTTTGCTTCTGGGATCACAAAATCAAAATGAGCAAGTTAAATGACCGTATGAAATACAAATCAACTAGAAATAAGCAGCAAAATTTTAGTTTGTGTTGGGTGGTCCATCCATTAGCTAATTTGGTTTCTCTGGTTTTGAGACGACATCAAGGGGGCATGGCAAAACGTATACACCCTATGAAAACGACTATAGTTTTATGGTAGCAGCTAAACAGTCTGCAAACGCCAGAGCACTGTAGCTCCTTTTTCCGTGTCACTTTCAAAACTCAACGATTTCGGGATGAACAAAACCCATAGTCAGCACTGTTCAATATTCATTCTTTTTCAAGGCCAGTCAAGCTCCCAAGGTAGCTAGTAACAGCAAGCTTCACTTCCTTTCACACTCTAGGCCTCCTGTTAATTTTGCTACATCAACCCTAAAGGTAATGTTAAACTAACCAAATAAATTGAATTGGTGTTTGTTGCTTTATGCTCCTAAAGGGTGCCTTCACATAACTTCATATGCGAAATCGGCATCTCTTGGTCAAACACTTCCTTCCAGCTGGTAATTCCTTCATGCTTGCACTATTCAGAGGATGCCAACATTTCTGGGCACTCAAGTTATCGCTTCTTCAGACCTGGTGTAAATTGCACATAGTTGCCTTTAAAAAAAAACTCGAGGTACACCTAAGCACTCCTTATGAGTCGTAAATGCGAAAGCATGCAAGCCGCTCGTCCGCTCCCTTTTTTGTCTGGTGCATACTTTTCGTTGCCAGTCAGCATGCGACCTTGGACGCTCCGTGTTAACGCCGTGCTCGTGGACACGCAGCGCCATGGGGTGAGCGCTTGTGGAAACTGACGAGCAAGCCAATGGGCGCCCCGTCAACGCGCGCTAGCCAATGAAACCGAAGGCGAAATCCACCAGCTTTACTTTGCTCCTTTAGGATCAGGGAAATTAGGTGCCGTTTTCGAGCTTCAAACTGATGACGTCAGCTCGCTCCATGGCGAGCAAACTGATTGTGGTTGAGTATATAATGAAGTTAAGGGAAGATCCATTAAACATTTCTAAAACCAAAGACGGAGGCAAACACAAGACGTCTCAAACACAGCTACTAAATTTTATTCAGGACACTTCTTCTATACCCGTCATCTCCACATCGCCCTCCATTTGCACATGGCCCAAAGTTCGCTACAGCTTACACATGACTACAGAGGATGGTCAAAGGGTTCACAGGAAGGAAAGGACTATGCCCTCAGTACACATACACCTGCCTTTCCACTAATTAATAACTACACAATGGCCAAGGTCACTTCCCTCTACTGACGAAGCCTCCCAAACGCTTGCAATTGTAAACATCACTTGCAGATTATAACCACAAAAATTTCTTTGTTATACTATCGAGTGCCATTGATGGCTGGCTTATACAGTTTCCAACAGAAGCTATCCTAATTGTCTCCTTGAGGACTCTTTTCATACAATTGTTTTCTTTTAATAACACAGCTGTACTATCCCACTCAGCCACACAATTTCCACTCTTCAAGATGCTTAGCTATTTCGGAGTTAGGCGAATTATTTTTACTGCTCTCTTGTGCTCACTCAACCGATCATTCACACATCGTTCGGTTTGCCCCACATTTGAAAAACCGCATGCCATCGAAATGTTGTAAATAACGCCTTCGTGGCAGTCGACTGAAGCATCTCTGTTTTTTCTGACAACCTCACTGTCCTCCCAAAAAGGGTGTCAGCATGTCTAATCTAAAGTCAGTCATGAAAAGCACTTTTACACCGAAGCTCCCCACGACTGATTTAAGTTGTCGGACACACCATGAAAAAACGAAACACAGCCTGCCCTGTCACTCTGTGCCTTGTGCCTCTTTGCCATACTACCGATCTTCACTACCAGTCTCCTCGCTACCCCTTTCACCATACTGTCACTGTAACCCACTTCCTTTAGCCGAAGCACTTGGTTATCCACTGATCCCAGTCTCTTATGAGAACAAGATTTTTTGAGGGCACTATCCAACAGAGACATCACCATTCCTCTTTTGACTAATATAGAATGGTAAGTATCAAATAACAATAAAAATTTTGCCGCCACTCTTTTTTTTAACGGTTGCAAGCGTTTGGTAGGTTTTGTTGGTAGAGGAACGTGACCTTGGCCATTGTGTAGCTATGAACTCGTGGAAAGGTGGCCGTATGTGTACTGAGGGTGTGGTTCTTTGTTTCCTGTGAACCCTTTGAACATCCTTTGTAGTTGTGTGTAAACTGTAGCAGTGATGTGATTGGCCTAAGCCATTTTGGAGCACCTTTTGGAGCAGCCAAAACAGTGTTTTGGAGCAGCAAAAGTGGCTTTTGGAGCAGCTAAAACAGTGTTTCGGAGCAGCAAAAGTGGCTTTTGGAGCAGCTAAAACAGTGTTTCGGAGCAACAAAAGTGGCTTTTGGAACAGATATTCTTAGAAAAAAAAAATTGTTTCAAGTGCTGGACAAACCAAGGACACTTTGCTCGCCACAATAAACAAATTATAGTCCAGTTAGACCACCTTGGAGTCTCTAAACACGTAACTGAAATGCCAATGACATGTCACATTCTGCAATGCTTCAGTTAAATTATACGTATAAATGTACCCGCTATAGGTAAATAAGAACCAAATTGCACATATTAACATTTATTTGAAAATGACCAGCTCAGTATAAATAGCACAGCATTAGGTTGACGATACTCTGTTTCATACTTAGCGTGCAACGCTGTCAAAGCTACTGGCGCGAGCGTGGGGCTCGATCTCGTTGATCATTTGCACGCGTTCTCGCGCAAACAAAACCATAGATGAAGCCAAACGCTCGTGCCAGTAGCTTTGACAGCGTTGCACGCTAAGTATGAAACAGAGTATAGTGATAAAATAAATGAAAGCAGTCTCCAACTGATGAAACACGTGACGTAACTACTGCAGTGCAATACGAAATTGTCGCACAATCCGAGATGGATGTACGATTCGTTCCCAAAATTGCATGCAAAATGTAACTGTCCAGCATACGACAAAAGACTGTCCAGCGGCAAGTGCTTGCCAGGCCGGCAGGCAAGGTACAAGCTAAACACACAGAAAAAAAAATAACCTGAGCACATCGATGCAAGACATCACAAGCCAGGGTCAAAAAGTTCTTGGCGAGCTTTGTGCAACGGCTGAACTCGCGAGACAAACAAGTGCGCTGAGCGGGTTCAGCCTGCAGACATTGCATTCTTTTCTTTGGCTCACTTCCCTTCACCAACTTTCTTTTGCGGCAGATTTTTCACGCACCAGGGTCCCTCCCGAAAGAAAGCCCACCGAGAGAAACCTAGATAATCAATACTTCGACACAGAAGTCCGAGCTAAAAAGAGATTTTCGTAGTAGCATATTAAACAAGAACAGGAATGTTGATGAACATTCGGCGATATTTAGTTTCATTTTAGAAAGCGGCATATCTGCAGCGACGTGGGGACGGCAACATCCGACGTCGCGCGACCACGGTGACTGACAGGCAGGAACCAAATTGCTTTCAGGAGCGAGTGCTTCAGCTCACTAAGGAACTCCCGCCGCGCAAAAACGTGGTTTCGTTTCATAGCATGACGACATGGCTGGTACCCTAGCACGTTAGCGTCGGAGTGCCGCACACGTCCGTCGTCTATCACTAAAAAAATAATAAAAAATTTTAAAAACGCGAGACGATGGGGACGCGGAACGAGACATGACGGGAAAACCATGCAAGACCGGATGAACAATTGATGCAGGGTACTTTGTGTCGGGCGGCCGCTTGCGCCACCTAGCTCACCGCGTGCTTAATTACGGTACTCAGTTTAGTTTCGGCTTAGAAAGGCGACCAAAATTGGTACTTTGGCGCAGGCTTGCCGCAGATTACCCATATCTTGGCAAAATGTAGCAGGATGTAGCAGGGTTAGCCCCTTGGCGCAGTTTGGCGCAGCAATCACATCACTGCTGTAGCGAACTTTGGACCGTGTGCAAATTGAGGGTGGTGTAGAGATGACGGGTATAAAAGAAGTGTCCTGAATAAAATTTAGTACCTGTGTTTGAGACGTCTTGTGTTTGTCCCCTCTTTGCAGGGCTTTAGAAATGTATAACTTTAACCAGCTCGCCCGCCTTATTACGTTATCTTCAATCAAAGATCTATTGGTGGATCCTTAGGGAATCCCCTAGCATGACCCTTGGGAAATGCAACATACGTCCCCCTTTGGGAAACGCTAACGCTGACTCCTTCACTTTTCTGTTTAAAGACAAAAGAATTAAAGGGGCCCTCCGGAGCGTTCTGCGATGGTCTATTTATGGCGGCAACTCAATCTACAGGCCCTAAGGATCCTAAAAATCATGAAATTACGGTCATGCGCGGCAGATTTCCTTATTAAAATTGCTATCAAAGTCCCCGGCATTTCCCCCTTTCTGAGATGACCCCGGAAAACGGGAAGGGCACCTCTTTACGCGTCAACCAATAGCAAGCAAAGGATTCCGGCGTCACTGCGCGTCACCAACGCGGCCGACCGCCGACCCGCAGAGGAATTTCTCCGGACTTTGTGCTCGGCAGTCGTCGTTCGTCGCACCGCACCGTCGTGCTGCCACTGCAATACGTGGTTGCATTCCACAGATGACAAGGAAAAGTCTGACTCGTTGATGTGGAAGGATCGCAAAGCTGGCCTCGGAGTCGGGATCCACGAGAAGAAGGAACACGTGTCCCGCAAGCGCACGCCTGCAGACGCCCCGGGAGGCAGACGAGCCGACGCGCCGACGCATCACCCCCTAGCAACAAGCTTGCGGGGAGAAAACATAGTTCGCTGGTTTTGGAGCGATGATTGCGGACTATGTTTCCCGCACCACAACCAGTTTACGTTTTTCTCAAACTGTAATTTACAACAAGCTTAAAAAGTGTTGTAATAATAACGTTCGCATACACCGCGAGATGCAGCATTTCCATTGGTCAAGGTTTAGCGATGGGCAGGGAATGGGGGATTGTCTTCCAAGAGAAAATAGTCCCGATATATTTCTGCTGCCATCTGCTTAATAAAGGGTTATGTAATCTAAAACTTTGTATACATATTAACTTGCACCTACTACGCAATATAACAACATAAACAGACGATCACAGAAAGCTCCGGAGGGCCCCTTTAACTGCCCCATGGAGCGAGCCGACATTATCAGTTTGAAGTGCGAAAACGGCACCTAATTTCCCCGATTCTAAAGGTAACATTGGCTGGCGCGCGGCAAAGAGGCTCCCAATGGCGGCTGTGCGTGTCAGTTTCAACGACTGCCGCCAGATGGTGCTGCGTGTCCGAGCCGCCAGCGCGCCGATAAAACTAACCGCCGCAACCCCATGCCACTACGGGCCCCGCGCCGGTTAAAACAGGCACGTTGCCACGCTTAGAGGCTTCTGCTCGTCTCGCCGCCGACCAACATGCCGTCGCCTCCGTTGCCCACGTTGTCGGCGGTGCTTCTGCTCGTCTCAACGTCGATGAACATGGCACCACCTCTAGCATCCACATTGTCGGACATTCATGCTTTCGCATTCACAACTCATAAGAAGTGCCTAGCTGTACCTCGAGCTTTTTGGCTTTCTCTTTTGCTTCCTCTATTTCTTGCCTCCTTTTTTTGCTTCATTATGGGACCAGTATTAGCGTTTCCCAAAGGGAGACGTGTGTGGCGTTTCACAAGCGTCATGCAAACATATTCCCTAAAAATCCACCAATAAATCTTCCTTTAAAATTTTTGCCGCCTCCTTGGACCAGCACTAGTACTTGGTTCACGCTCCATTTTGTAGTACAAACCCAGGCATACGCGCTCTGCACACCTGCAAGTTCAGACGCCCCAGCATCCGCGCGCGCATTGGCTTCCGCAATGGGTAACGTCTCCACCCTCTCGCCTTTGTCCTTCACTACTCTCTTCCTCTCTATGCGGCGCGCTTCCCTTTCCACTCTTTTGTCCACAGACGGAAGCCGCCAGCTTTTCCCTGTCATAAGGATACTAATGCTAATGCATTAAAAGCGAAGTCAGGAAAAGAAATTATGGCTGCCAGCGTACTCTTGTTTATAGGGGGATGTGCATTTTATTGCACATCATCCTAAAAACAGTTTGTAGAGAATAACTGAATGGGCACTTAAAAAGTACCTATGTATCTGGTTTTTTCCTGATCCTCTAAATTCTTATAAATTGGTTTGAAATCAACAATTATCAGCAACTCAACAAAAAAATAGATGGAAACTCGCAACACTTAGTTGGATCAAGCAAACGAAACATCCAAAAACTTGGCACCATCGCTATTTTTAAAGATAAATAGGGTGCCTCTCAGCCAGGCACACCCCGTAAAATGGTTCTCAAATGGTACCACAAGTTGTACCATCTGAGAACAAGAATTCCTTCATGATTTTAGGACATATTGAAAACAAAGGCGCATTATAATGTATGCGGGGTCTGAAGAGGATATATAATATATAATATTACGTATTCCGGGCATTCCTGATTATATATATAATATACAGTAATATATAACAAATCATTACATATTATATACTCTGGGCAGACAAGTTATTACCGGTGTCAAAATGATGGAGGTCTACCACGCAGCCATCTTCGTGGGGGTCGAGCGATCGTGATCTGATCACCGTCGTCTTAGTGCTGGCGGTCTCGATCCTGAAAATGGGAAAAAAATGACCCTATATAGTTCAGATCACAAACGTTAGGGGTTCTTCAAGGCACGAATCACATACGGAAAGAGAGTCGGCACAATGCCAGAGAACATAAAAGTGTGAAATCACAAAAGCCACAGAACATAAAATCACAAAACAGAACTAAGTTCTGGCATTATAAACCAGTTCATAACTTTTTTTCTTCTCTTTTTCTTCTCGGGCTATATACCCCCCCCCCCCCCCCCCCCCCCTCCCCTCCCCCGAGATTGATTTATCAGTGCTTGCAAATGATTTGTGGCTCCTTCATACTTCAGTTTAACTAAAGGGGAACAAGCAAAGATAAAAACTCACACATGGAACAAGTGTCACTTAGTCTTACCTGAAAACCTGGATTGTTCCTGCGTCTGATGCAATTGCCAAGGACTGCATTCCTTGACAGACACACATGCAGGTCACCTGTCCATCTGCAGAGGGGGTTGCCAGTTAAACATCCACTAAAAGAAAAACAACTACACCTTGAAATTGGAGCACGAGCCTCAAAACTGAAATACCAAAAACAACCAAATTTTTCAATTTCAAAAAAAAAAAAATGAAAGCCGTTTACAACTCCCTGTAACGCCGAATTTGAGCGCAGCTCTTGAGGAGGAGGAGGGAAGGGTACTGGGGGGTGGGTCACGTGACGATGCCGATGACGTCATCACTGACGTCACTGATGACGTCATCAGTGACGATAACGATGCGGATACCGATGACGTCATCAGTGATGATGCCGATGCGGATGCCGGTGATGTCATAAGTGACGTCACTGATGACGTCATCAGCGATGATGACAATGACAATGCCGGTGACGTCATCAGTGACGATGACGTCATCGCATCGTCATCAGTGATGATGACGATGCGGATGACGGTGACGTCATCAGTGACAATGACGTCATCGGGGGGGTTACGTGACATCGGGGGAGGGGGGGTCACATGACCTCGGAGTGGTCACATGACCTCGGGGTGGTCACGTGACCTCGGGGGGGGGGGGGGGGGGGGGTCACGTGACTTGGGGAGTCAGTCACGTGACTTTGGGTGTCACGTGACCTTTGGGTGTCACGTGACATCTGGGGGTCACGTGATCTTGGGGTGACCTTGGTGGTCACGTGACCGTGTGGTGACCTTGGGGGTCACGAGACCTTGGGGTGACCTTAGTTTCGCCGACGGCGACGCCGCTCAAGCCGGGAACGGGCCCCTAAGAGCTGTGCTCTAAAAATACACATACTTTTTTTTTTATTGACTAAAAGTTATGCCTGTTTTATTGGTCAATTTCTTTTATCATCTGGCACACCTGTCATTTGTTTAGCTTGTTCAGAGTTCAAGCCTTGCGTGAAAACACGGAAAGTATGCAGGTCTACACATACTTTTATGCCGGATTGATTTCTTGAGAAGAGGCAGAAGGCTGTGAAATGGGAATAAGCCCATTGAATTCATCTGACTTAAAGGGGCACTGACACCCCAAAGGTCGTATTTATTTTTATTGTCTAAAACGATGCAAGTTGCAGTCATAGACACGCAAAAAAAACCGCATCGCAAAAAAAAATGTTCCCGCGCGCGCGCGCGCGCCTTTTTATTTTTGGCGTTTGATTTTCCCGCCTCTCGCCTCCTCGCTTCTTTTGATCGGTGACGTCAAGAATCATGAAATTTAGAAGCTTTGTAGGCGACATCTCTATAACATTTAATTACGGCAATCCTAAAACATGTTTTTTAACGCAATTGCGAACGCACTACGGCCCTTCTTTTTGAAATAACAAAAATCAGGAGTTCGTTGTGGTGCCGTCTCCTGGATTTGTATCCTCCAACGAAAAACAGGCGACACCACTCAAAACCGGTCCGCCGCAACGCGCCGCTCGCTCCTTTCCTCCTCGCTTTGGGTCGCCATGGCAACAGCAGGGAGTGGTGAAAGAAAGTCGACTCTCAGGTCTCCGCAATTTTTGACGTCAAGGCACCAGCGCCGATCGCGCGGGAACTTCGAATTGGGCATTTGGAAATTGTTTTTTTACTTCACAAATACTGAATTCCCAAATTTCAAATTTTGAGGGTAATGTCCCGGCATCGTTTTCAATCGTTTCGGATAATAAAAAAAAATGTGATTTTGATGTGTCAGTGCCCCTTTAAGTGGAACCCTGGAAGGTCAGTTGATGGATGCAGCAGGGGCCAGCTGACCTCTGCATAATCTCCGTCAAAAGGGAAGTGCTACCGCACTACAGTCCCAGACTTTCTACAGTTCAAAGCCCCAATCACACCCCCGAGGAAAGCACCCTGTTTAACCCTTTGCGGTCACGTGTCGGGCGTGGCCCGACATTGGAGAAACGAGTTTCCGGTCAGTTGTCGGAAGTCGCCCGACACGCGACTCCCGCTCTCGTTTAAACTTATTCCTCCGTTCTTTTTGACTGGATTGGTGGCGCCATCTCTCAGCATGTTTCTTTAACACTTCAATGTTTCAATAGTTTGAGCTTTTTTCTATTGAGGGCAGAAGCACTCGTAAGCGGCGGAGGTGCGGGTCGCTTCGAATTTCGCTGGCTGGAAAAAGCATGGCAGTGTTTGCGCCACGCTTCTTTTATGGGAACTCATCGCGTGATTTCGTGGAAAGTGATGACGATTTTAGCGAAGAGGACAATTATGTGCCTCCATCAGACGACGATGAAACATCCTCCGCTGACTGCAGTGACAGTAGCGACGAAGAAGCATGTGTACAAGACGACAACAACAGTGGACCCTCTCCTCCACGTGCGCCGGCATTGTCCTCGTGGACTGCCTACACAGACGATCTCCCAGACTTCCCTGATGTGGCGTTCACCGTTAGCGACCCTGGACCACGGGTTGGATCGTCAAACCTCGGCTCCGAACTTGAGTTTTTCCAGTTATTTTTACGGATGAACTCATCGGAGAAATCGTGCAAGAAACAAACCGGCATGGCCCACGAGAAAATTTCATCCATGGATTCGCTCGCTGAGCAATCTATATGGAAAAGTTGAGAAGACGTTTCTTTAGAAGAATTCAAGGCTTTTCCTCGGTGTTCTCATGAACATGGCCCTCAATCCCAAGCCGGACATCAAGGAGTATTTCAGCCAAGAAATCTTGAAGATGCCATTTTTTCCCGCCGTGTTCACTCGTACAAGATTTCTCCAGATATTTTGGATGCTGCACGTCTCTCCACCTCTGCAAGGTCCCTCACACCAGCCGACACGAGGTAGCAAGGTGAGAAACATCGTAAAGTACATCGACACAAAATGCCGTGAGCATTTCAAGCCCGGCCCAAAGATTTGTGTCGATGAGAGTACAGTTGGCTTCAAGGGCAGGGTCTCGTTCAAATGCTACAACCCGCAGAAACCAACGAAGTGGGGCCTCAGTGTCTATGTACTCGCCGACTGTAGAACGGGCTACGTGTCAGCATTCGAGCCATACTACGGTAGCACAACAACAGAGAGGCTCTGCCGGCCAGACCTCCCCTTCACGTGTCAGATCGTCCTGCACCTCCTCGACAAAGTGAAATGCGCTTCACTCGGAAGTGGGTACCACCTTTATACGGACAGGTTTTATACGTCCCCGCAACTTGCTGAGGAGTTGCTCTCTCAGGACGTTTTGCTCACTGGCACTGTCATGATCAACAGGAAGCATATGCCCCAGCAGCTAAAGAGGGTGACGTAACAGCGTATTGGAAGGGTGACTCGTACATGGCCCTGGCTTGACAAGATAAGCGTCAAGTTACCATGCTGAGCTCAGCACACAATCCCTCGATGAAGCCTGTGACAAGAACACAAGCACACGGCCAGGCTGTGACACTGGGAGCTGAACATGGGAGCTGGCAGAGAACATGGGAGCTGTTGATCGAGCTGACCACTACTGCGCGAGTTACGCGTTCTGCCGCAAGTCCCTCAAGTGGTGGAGAAAGCTTTTCTTCTGGATCCTTGAAGGGGCACTGACACATCAAAATCATATTTTTTTTTATTATCCGAAACGATTGAAAACGATGCCGGGACATTACCCTCAAAATTTGAGATTTGGGAATTCAGTATTCGTGAAGTAAAAAAACAATTTCCAAATGCCGAATTCGAAGTTCCCGCGCGATCGGCGCCGGTGCCTTGACGTCAAAAATTGAGGAGACCTGAGAGTCCACTTTCCTGTCACCACTCCCTGCTGTTGCCATGGCGACCCAAAGCGAGGAGGATAGGAGCGAGCGCCGGCTAGCGCCGGCGTTGCGGCGGACCGGTTTTGAGCGGTGTCGCCTGTTTTCCGTTGGAGGATACAAATCCAGGAGACGGCACCATAACGAACTCCCGATTTTTGGTATTTCAAAAAGAAGGGCCGTAGTGCGTTCGCAATTGCGTTAAAAAACATGTTTTAAGATTGCCGTAATTAAATGTTATAGAGATGTCGCCTACAAAGCTTCTAAATTTCCTGATTTTTGACGTCACCGATCAAAAGAAGCGAGGAGGCGAGAGGCGGGAAAATCAAACGCCAAAAATAAAAAGGTGCGTGCGCGCGCGGGAAAATTTTTTTTCGCGATGCGGTTTTTTTTGCGTGTCTATGACTACAACTTGCATCGTTTTAGACATTAAAAATAAATACGACCTTTGGGGTGTCAGTGCCCCTTTGAGGTTGCCATCGTCAATAGCTTCCTGCTAATGCAGATGCAACAGGCTGCTCAGGGACTGAAGGGGCAAAGGCACCTCAAGTACCGCCGTAAGCTGATCGAACAGCTGGTCGGGGACTTGCGAGTGCGACCAAACAAAAGAGGACGAGCATCACAATCAGACACTGAGGAGAGATTAAATGGAAGGCAGCACTTCATATACAAGCTACAAGAATGTACCAGCAAAGACTGCGCAGTGTGCAGCGATCGAAAGACAAAAGGAGGCAGGAGAGAAACAGTTTTCTACTGCAAGACTTGCGCAAAGAACCCCGGTCTCCACCCCGGAGATTGCTTCGAAAAATATCACACGCTGTCAAAGTATCGCTAGAGAGCGCGGGAATGCAGAAGCTCTGCGAAAATAAATATTTCTTGTTACCTCTGTACGCTGGAGTAGTTTTTCTTTCTCCTTGCTAATGCGCACAAAATAATATCTGACCGGAACCACCGTCAAGTTGGTCAGACTATCTGACCTCGAAGGGTTAAAGCCCATTGCCCCCTACATAACAAGGAACCACTAGGCAAAAAATTTCTGCTAGAATCATTTTTGAAGAAATACAGAATGACAGGATATTCCGCAACAAATTTTGCCCCAATCTACAAAACAAACAAAAAAACACTGAGCAAATAGCCAGAATTTTTCGGTAAATACTGGAAAAATAAATACTAATGCCAATCATGTGCCAATAAATGCATGTAGGGCAATTCAGCAAAAGGAAAAGAAATACACTGAAAATGGCAGGTTACCAAGAGAACAGGGTCATCACCTGCCAATTTATGCTGCTTCCAGCAGCACGTTAGCGGCAATCACAAGAAATTTTATTCTAGTTAGTTTACTTAGCTTCGCTCGAAATAATTCCAGAATTGCCCGTCCCCCCCGAAATGCCCAGAGTTTGGCCCATCTATTAGTAAAACTTTGAGCATAACTGCTCCAACTCTGCGCCCCTCCTCTTTGCTCTTTGGGAAAGTCGCCCAATGAGCTATGCTTGGAGTAGCGGCACTCCATTCCCCGACTGTCTTGTGGGTGCTGCCATTTTGGAGCCCGGTGAAAAGCGGGCACAATTGCCGATAGTTATGATTAAAAAACTGCAACTTCTTAAAGTTTAGATATGGTGTCGAGGGGTGCTTTAGGGTGTAAAACAAAATGGTCCCGGTCAAAATGGTTTTAAGTGCAAACCCAGACAAAATGGCCAAAAGTGATTTGTTGACATTTTGGGTGCTCTGAAGTTTTAGTGAACTGCTGCTCTGAAGTTGTATTCAACACGTGTAATGTATGTTTTAATGTATTTAAGGTTCTTGTTATATATTTGAGGAAACAACTAATGAAGTCCAAAAGTTAATTTAAGTTATCGCTCGGTTGGCTCTATGGCTCCAATTCGCACAAGTCAGAGCGCTGTACAAAGCTGGAGCTTGGAAGTCACTAACAGCGCAAGGTAGCGATGCACTCTGCAACTGATTGGACTAGCCGGTAATAACATGCCCAAAAATTTAATGAACGCCATTGTATGTTTTGTTTTCAGCACTGCCTGATTGGTCCTATCAGCTCGTGGCGTCGGCTTCACTGTGACTTTGGTCAAATGTAGTATAGGCGTGGGAAGAAAATATAGAAAAATCCGACAGTATTTTTCATGCATATAATTTTGAATTAGCCCAATGGCGCCGCAACAAAACGTATGTTCATGGTGATTCAGACATTATCATGCACATACTATATTTGGGAGGGCATGTGTGCAGTTATGTATCGCTACTGTATGACGCACGTTAAAGACCCCAGGCATACTGCACTGGCAAAGTGTCTCGTCTACAGCGTAAACCAGTGCCGCTGCTCCTCAAAGTCAGACTGACCTTACACTGCATAAGCACGAACATCAAATATATTTTTTGCGATGGCGTGTTATGGAACAACGTTTTTCGTCTCGCATGGATTATATCAAATGTTATTGACAGATTATTTTATACATATACTTGTATATTATTTTTATAGCATATTTTCACCTTCTTGGCTCAGATACTGTCATGCAATGTGTTTTGAATTGAATATGTAAACTTTAAAATGGTTAGCGTTTCATGCCGTAAGTACTTTAACACCCTTAATGTTCGCGAGCCCTCAATTTTCGCAAATTTCACGAATTGAAGAATTCGCGAAATTTAAGGGCGCGCGAAAATTTCGGTCTTTAAGATTTTCAACGCAGGCGTCTGGAATTCGCGAAATTTAGTGGTCGCGATTGTGTCATCTATGACTAGGGTTCGGAGTTTTCGGTTTAAACCGATAAAAACCGATAAAAGTACGCCGAATCCATTTTCGTAAATTCGGTTTTAACCGAAAAAGGTCAGGTTTTAGGCTCGGCCTTTTCAATTTAAACCGATAAAAACCGATAAAAGTATGTCTAATTCATTTTCTAAAATTCAGTTTTAACTGGAAAAGGTCACTTTGACCTTCCAGTCGTACCGCAGAGCCTTGGCGAAAAAATGGAACGACAGTGTCTATAAACAGATGTCCGAATGTATGGGATAGAAGGATGCCATCACGTTGTTTTGGTTTAATGTGTGCATCATCGCACATTAAACCAAACGTGAAGTCCGAAATGCTTCATGACTTCGGCATGTACGAGCGTGTTTTCAAACTCGTTGTGAAAAAAACTGACTTGATGCAAGCTCTGCATGGTGTGTTGTGCTTCAAAACGTCGCACCGTGTCTCTTTTTGCGGTCACAATTGATTTATTGGCCGATTTTGGCTCAGGCAGCGCTTCACCTCCTCATCCGGCCACTGTCCAGTGTTAGCGTTACGAGGGCATTCTCGAAGCTCAGGGTCATATTAACAGGCAAGAAAGGCTGCGGATCAACGAGGAGAACCTGGGCAAGTACATGTGTGTTTACTAGAATAAGATCACATAATCCTGATGTACAAAAGGTGAAGTTTCATGTTATTTCGGCATAGGCTTCGTATATGACTTGCTTGTACCTCTGTTGTTGTTTTCTTGTTTCTATTACAGTTGCACATATTTGCCGAATAAAGTGTCCATTTATATTTCAATGTATCTGTACCGTTACTCTTTGAGTGATAACAAATATCAGAGCTAGAAGGACCATCTTATCCGGTGTCCGTTGGTGTTCATTTTATATTCACCGAAAAAAGCCGATAAACTTTTATGGGCATAAATATACGCCGAAAAAAACCGAAAATGGATTTTTAAAATAAACACCGAAAAAAGTACGCCGAATTTTGAAAAATTAGAAACCGAAAACGCGGAACCCTATCTATGACTGATTCGCGAAAAATAGGGGCCGCGAAAATAAAAAGTTTTACAGTATTCGACAAAACTTTTTTTTTTTTTCTATGTCCAATTTTTAGCAAGGGCAAACAATCGACTAACCCCCAAAGAACACGCAAACTGTCTCAAAATTTGCTTGGGACCATTTTGTGAGGGGCCATTTTGACCGGGACCAGTTTGTCTGGATCCCGGTGTCAGGAAAGCGATATTGTTTATGTCTGTCCCGGACTATTTTTTGGCATTTCTGGAAGATGGAAAAGAGTTTCCTGCAATCTAAAAAAAAAGCTTCGGATAACTGGCAAAAAAAATGTTAAGCGCAAAGAGGGCTGAAGTGTCGTTGCTCTGAAGCACAGCTTATCTGGCGACTCGAGGGGACCTAATAAAAATTTGCCCCCGTGGCGACAGTGACAAAAGCGACCCTAGGATGCACGACGTTAATCGGGCATGTTTCATCTCCCGAAAACTGCAGAGGCATGTCCGGGCCACACACCCATGCGGGCGTACGTCTGCCGAGACCGGTTGGCGATGGTCTTCTTCTCCATGCGGCCCCAGTCCCAGATCTTGACGGAGCCGTCCGCCGAGCACGTGGCAAACAGGCTTGTGTTTGGGATCACCTCAAGCCTGTGGCAAGAAGCATCCATACACTGGCTCGCCTCAACTGAGCAAGTGCACCGGACCCACTTCTACCCTGTGTGCTCATATACACAATGAGCGCAGCAAGTTGTCAATACACACTGGCACCTAAACGGATGTCACTGGAGCCAAATGACACCTCATATTGTTCTTGTTCATCAGCTACAACTAAAAATATCCATCTAACCTTGAATACAGGGGTTCATGGCATGCTGTAAGCCCTCGTGCGTATGGAATGCTACAGCATGCCATAGCACAAAGCCCAGGGCTTTGTGCTATGACACGGGGGCCTGGGCTAACTTGAAGTAAAGACGACGTGTTGAAAATCTGTAGCAGTTATGCCAGTGAATTGGAGTCAGCTAAATAAGAAAGTTAAAATCAAAGTTTTTTCTCACCAACACTAGCTGTTCATGCATGAGACATCTCAAGCTAGTGTATCTACAACAGTCACAGATTCAATACTTCTCATATCTGTACTTCCCATTTCTATATCCTGTGCCCAAAGTTTTATGTTATTTGGTTTCGCTTTAGTTCTAAACAGTAATCAGTGTCCACCACAATTATGTGTCAAAACACTCCAACTTTTAGTGTTTCCTGGTTAAAGTTTACCAAAAGTCTCGCACTTATATTGAAGAAAGGAAACCCTTGATAACTATGATGACAATTACATATGTTCTATTTTAGGCTGACCTCCGGTGCACTGAAAACAAAACATTGCAATTAGTGTTCGGAACTTCCAACGGCATTTTCATAGTTACGAACTCTTCAAAGATGAAACTATTGACAAACTGGAAGAATGTATCCAGGTCTCCTGAACACCAGAGTCAATGAAGGCATGCAATAAAATAACATTAATACTATGGAGATTTCCCTAATCCTCACAATGCTTTTCCCAAATTTTCCGATATCTCCCAAAAATTTGGAGGCCGAGCGAGTTCCCCAACAGTCTAAAGGTGTTCCCATTAGTGGACACACCTATAATTGTGTCTTTGTTTGTGCCAGCCGTTGACGAGGGCATCTTTGAGCCCCACAAACCAAATAAGCACTGCCCCTTGTCTCACAAAGATATAATAGCGGTAGTACTACAGTGCAACCCACTTACAACGATAATGGGAAAACCCGAAATTTCAATCGTTATAACCGATTATAGATGTACAGTAAAACCTCGTTATAACGAAATGGGATATAACAAACTAATGGATATAACAAAACAATCATAATTCCCCTTGCTTGCTATTAGTGGAAAGAAATTGACATTGGCTATAACAAACTAATGGTTATAAAGAAATAATTACGACCGCTCCTTCAACTTTGTTATAACGAGGTTTTACTGTATCTGGACTAAAAACTGATCATTTCCAGTCTAGAAACTCTAGAAGCTGATCGTTATAAGCGATACGTCGTTATATGTGGTATCGTTGTAAGTGGGTTGCACTATAGTACAACTGCGGTGCCTGGAAGGAGTTTCTGACCGGTGTATTTAGCGCATTATACCACCCATGCATCGAGGGTGGTCCCGGAGCGCCAACCAATTACGCCGCAGAAGCCGGCGTGCCATGCTGTTGGATGTCACGATCCGGGCAGTGGGTCGTACAAATTTTGGCAAAAAAGATGAGCGACCGCAATGTCGCTGTCGTTGCAGCATCTCGAGTTGTGGCTGCTGAAGATTCTGTGGATTGTCGCGCCGGAAAGTGGCTCGCAGCCGAACGGGCGTCTGCCGCATTCGCCTCCTCCGCCGTGCCACTGCCAGGATCATGGCAAGCAATGGTATGATGTAAGTGCAACGTAGTCGAGCGGAAACCGAGGGACAACACCCAAGGACGGGGTAAACGCACCAGTCTGGGACACGTTTACGCATCACACTACAACTATAGTCACCAACAAGGCGAGAACGGCAGGGCGTCTCTTTTCAATGCCCGGCCTCCAGCGTGTACGCAACATTAGCACGAACGAGAGTTCACCGATTTTTTCCGTCTTTCTCTTAGAATCAAAGGGCTGTCATCGAAATTACTAGTGTGGCGAGAAGTTCTCATTTGGGGCACTAACCTAGGTGGTAAAGTTTGATGCACCCCTACACAGACGTTGCGTTTGCACTAAGAGCGTCATGCAGTGTACCGTAGCCGCCTCTCGCCGTGTTCTGGCTGTGTGTTCACGCTTGAAGGTCACGAGATGTTAAAGCGCCGTCAAAGGTAGCGAGCTCGCGTCAGAGGCCGGACACCGAAGGATCTTCCCGGCGTTCTCGTCCCTTCGGCAACTATGGCACACCTGTCCCGTCGCGCGGGCGCACCTGTGGATGGCTCCCCGGTGCTCGTGCATGTGAGCCACCAGTGTTCCCCGAGGTCTCCACTTGGAGGGCAGGGCCTTCTCCTCCTTGGAGGGGTCGTCGCTGGCCTCTCGGATCGTCTGCTCCCGCGCAAACTCGTAGCGCTTCTTCTTCAGCAGTAGCTGGAGCTCCGCGTGGCACGACAGGCTGTGCGCTGCATGCGTCGGACGGTTTACTTATGCCAAGGCCCTTTTTGCAAGCAAGCTGCTAAATCGTGTAGGCTGATCAGAAGACACAGCTTTATGTTACTGCAATGACACTTAAAAAAGAAATGCTCAATCTGTATCTTAAAGGGATACTGACAGGGTGCTTACGCTTGGTGAGATTTTTATTTTATCATGACCTATAAGAGCCCAGCTACCCAGAAAACAATTTACGGATTGAAATTCATTTTTTTTTCTGCCCGAAATCAGCCGGTCGAGAATTCGTCGGTTTCAGTCATGCTCACTCTCGTTGGAATGGTCACGTGGCGTTCAAACTACAGCAAAATACCGCAGAAGCACCCACTTCATTCAAGCACCCACAATTAACATTTCCCAAACTTGGGAATTCTGCAAATTATACATTAAAGCCGGTTTTCCCGTTTTCTTACGTTACGTTACGTTACGAAAGTCATGTTTTCAGTGAAAATGAGGTGGGTGCTCCCCCGGTATTTTATGGTATGTGTACAAAATATATTATCTTATCTAAAACACATTCAATATTAAAAATAGAAAAGAATATAAACCCTATTTTACGTGACCTCTAAGAAGCTGCAAATATGCTGATCAAAAAAATAAATGTTGCAGAGATCACACGAAGAATGTGTACAAGTCATTCTCAATATGCCGGCGTACCGCGGGCTGGACGACGCGATGGTGGCACAGGACGGATCAGCGTTGCGACGGACGTGGGGTTGTTACTTCGGAACTGTCATTCGTGGTATCGTCCAATCGATCTTCCAAGCACAGAAGATTGAGCGGAAGTAATCATATAAGTGCGAAACAATCGCACGACAAACGGTTCACGCAAGTTCGTAGTCGTCGTCGTTGTCATCTGCTTCAGATGTCAAAGAAGCGGAGGAAAAAAAAATGCGGTTGGGTGTAGCCACGTGACTTTCAGCCATGAGCTTCCTTGCTCGTGCTTTGGTTTCGGTTTCAAGCAGTCAAGTTTACTGACTTTATTAAAAATGTATGTGACTCTGCAGCAAAGTATTGATTGGGCAGCTTCCTGACACCAAAATAAATCACCTAACAAAATATTTAAAAAAAAAAATTTTAGGGGGGGTGTTAGTGTCCTTTTAAACCTACGGATAAAGTCTATGCAGCCGAGCCCGGTTATATCGCACCCGGGTATTTCGAATTATTGGTTTATATCAAACAGTCCAAACTTCCCCTTGAAAATCACATGTCATAGTATAGTAGCGTTGTTTTTCTGTATCGAATTCCCATCGCAAGGACACTCGATATAGCAAACTAAAACGGCCGCACGTCCCCGCGGTCGGATTGGGGATTGTGACGGCGGCGAGCCTAGCTCGCGCAGCGGCGCTGGCAGACCGCCAAGCCAGCATACGCACACAAGGATATGGAAAAAAAAATAAAAATAAAAAAAATAAAAAAAGTGGAGGATGGCAAAAGCAAGGGGAAGGGCAGGTGCGCGCACGCGCATAGGGAGGGCAGGGAGTGCTTGCTGTTGAAACGGTAGCGTGCACTCTTTCCCCGAGCACCGCTGTCGCTGCACAACTCCTCAGCCCCAAAATAAAATAAGCAAAAGAAAAGTCTTTGTCAAGTCTACAACAATGGTTGAGCAATCACACTTTAAACGCCTTATCTTTGATTACCTTTTTCTTTCGCAGTTATAGCTTTGCCCAATTTTTTCTTTTTTTGCCTTTTTTTTTTTGCTGCCTGAATTTTGTGAGGTTTTTTTTTCTTTTGCTTCCTTAACTTTATTCTATGGATCGAAAGTTTTTTTATGCAGCTTGCTTTTTCTGTTTTTTCATTCTTTACAATTATTTACGTGTTTTGTTGTCGGCACTGTGTGGAGGTTGTGGCCACGCGTAAACGATCGTAAACATCATCGCAAAAACGCGGCGGTTTTTGTGATCTCCACCAACTAAGCTCTTAGAGGCTCTACTTGGTAAGGTCCCGTTTATCGCAGCCTTCAATATTAGCAGAACCGCGCGGAAATTTAAACCGTAGCTTAAGTTAACATATTTTTGTATATCAAATTATTGATATATCAAACTATTTTACGATCCCCTCTGAATTCGATATATCTGGGTTTGACTGTGCACAGAATATTTTTCTGCTGCATTCTTTGGGGTTTGTGGTGGACATTGCAGGTTTTTTTTACAGTATTATATTTCATTTTAAACTCTGTCTTCCTTTTATGTGGAGGTGGGCACGGCTCGGGCTTCTTGTTTGTTCCCATGAAATGTGTGAATGCAAACGCCGAACACAAATGCCGTGGTGACCAACACTTGCGTCCAGCAATAGCTGATTGACGTTCACAATCAGACAGTTAGTTGATACCACCATAGTAGAGCCAAAGCCAGCTAGCTTTGTGCCCACCCACTAACACCCACTAATTGGTGCAGTGGTCGAATATTTCGAGCTCACAATCAGGGAGTTATGGGTTTGATTCCCGTTGGGGGTGCATTTGGAATTTTGTTCTTTCTTCTCAGTCTACCACTCTCTTGTACAAATCGTCCTCTAAAGTATGGGTTACACAATTGGTAGTGGTTTCTTTGACATTCCGTCACACTTCATCTCAGGGATCCCAGTTTTAAACACATTCTGCGTTAAAACAAATGAGTGAATGAGGAACTGAATGAATGGATGAACAAGTGAATGATTGATTGAACGAAAGTGTACCTGAGTCGACAGCTATCCCACAGAAGCTCCTGTGTGGCTGCTTGGGGGACGTGTTGCTAGAGGGCACGGCAGAGTCGGCAGATTCTGCTCCGGAGACGTGCAGTTCAGTGTCTCCGGCAGGAGAGTGCTGTTGCTGGAGCTGCAACTGCTTCTGAGGTGATGAACTGCGTGCCTCCACGGTTCCAAACATGCGCTGCCAGTCCTCGTTCTGTGGTTCACCAAGGGAGAACAGTCAAAGCCTGAAGGCCCTTTCGAACCACTGTTAAAGAGCAGACCATGCAAAACGCAACTCTCTCCAACTTTATTATTATGTTTAAGTTTCTCAATGTCCTGATTTGTTTATAATAAGGATGTTAAGGATCTTCTGTCATATATTTCGCTAATGTTGATATTTTGTGTTTTGTCCCTGCTGACTTCTGTAAGGGGGCTGATGGTCGCGTCATACTTTTAGTCCTCTTGTGCTGCAGTGTTGATGTTTTCTTTCTTTTAAGTTTCAATTATGCTAATGTTTCTTTTTTTGTGTGCTGACTGCTGTAAGAGATGGCTGTGTTGGAAGACTTTATCTTTTTTTTTTTTTTTTTGCTGCAGCCTGCCAGACAGTATTATCATTATTATAAGAGTAGTACATGCAATCAGCTTTGCAGCTGATCTATAAAATTGTGTCCACTAAAAATCAGAACAAGCTGCGTTTTGTGTGGACAACCCCAGAGTCTAAAATTACAACACCAATTCCTTCCCAACAACAATCAGGTACCAAAGCGTTGCTGAAGAGAAGTGAATCACGAGTTTACTACCCCTGCTTGTGGTGCCAAGTTGTCAGAGCAAGAGCCTCACATGAGTGAACTTTAGGAGACTCAAGGAAAGTTTTCACTCAAATTAAACTTCACTATGGTGCGACTGCTCTACACTATAGACTTCATGAAAGCTTTTTTTCCCAAATCTTTTTGTTCTGAAATTGCTCATTCTGTTGAACAGTGTCCAGGCTCAACTCGATATCTTTTCCACACCTAGCTGTTTTTTTTGTTGTTTTTTTCAGAGGAGGTCAGTATGTTTAGAATCTGTGTTTAGTGTACCCCAAAGCTTGCATAAAACTACAAGAGGGGCGTAGGAATACACCTACTTTCCAGAAACAGAATTTCCGTAATTTAAGCTGCTCAATTCTCGAGCATACCTGCAGAAGGTAAATGTATAAATCCTAGAAGTACCTCTTCCCAAGAAACCAAATACGCAGTTTTAAGATTTAGAATAACATACGAGGGGTGATCAAAAAGTTCCGGGACTGATTTTGTAACGTAGAAAGTGGGGGAATACAGTGATGTGCGCGCAGCAGTCAAAGTAAAGAACCTTCGTGTCTCATTATACCAAAGGGCATTGCTCTGTGAACATTTGGAGCTGTGCTAGACTAGTTTGCTTGACCACATGCACAAGACGATGGCGATCTTTCCATACACTGCAAACCAAGGCGAGAATGAACATCAATTTTATGTCAAGCTCAGCAAACATAAAACAGAGACCTCTAAAATAATTTAGAAGGCTTATGTAAAAAAAAAAAGTGAGGTGTGCGAGGCGTTTTGAGTGGCACTCGCGCCTCAAGAATGGCAGAACGTCACCGAAATCAAGGAGAGGTCGGATAAAGTCGCCCTACCGCTCTTCATCTTCCAGTGATGTTCTGACGTTCCTGAAGCGCGAGTGCCACTAAAAAAACTTCGCGAAATTCGCTGCTTTTTTACACAAGCCTGCTGAATCATATCAAAGGTCTCTGCTTTATATTTGTCGAGTTTGATGCAAAATTGATGTTCGCTCTCGCTCTGGTTTGTAGTCTATAGTAAAATCTCCATTGTGCCCATGCACGTGGTCACGAAAACTCGTGAAACGCAGCTCCAAATGTTCACAGATCGGTGCCCTTTGGTATAACAAGACACGAAGGTCCCTTTTTTCGACTACTGAACGCGCATTGCTGTGCTGCCCTCTCTTTTTACGCTACAGCTTTCTGATTACACCTCGTACTAACAGCACGCATACCCTAATGACTGAAATGCCCCTTGAGATCCTATTTCACCTTGAAATCAATTTGCCTACCGTTCAAGAGCTGATTTCTATAACAAATGCAGGTGCAGCCTGGCTGGTACATTGGAACAGTACACCCTATATACTGCTCACAAGCCGATTCTTTGTTCCCAAGGACATACCATGGTCACCTGCGGAGACTCAACGGCGGGGCCTCTCCTTTTTGACACCCTGAAAAGAAAACATTGGTTTAGTCGGACTTCGGAAGTTGGAAAACAACTTTGTGCTCGATCTTATCAACAGGCTAGCATAATTTTGCTGTACCATTAGCAACATGCAAATTTTCTGAGTTCCTCGTTGAAAAGTACAGTGAAAAAATAAAAGTGCTGAGAGCACAGTGAAAGAAAGATAGTAAAACAATCAATGCTTGGTTTGAATTGCTCCATTAAAGGTGCCCTAAAGACGTTTCTGAGATTGACTGTTCTTGCGGGTAACTCATTCTATGGGATCTTAGCATCCCAGATATCAAAAAATTATATGCTCGTGCGACGTCTATTTCTCTACTAAAAATGTAATAGAAGTTTGTGCCACGACCCTTTCTGAGCGGAAAAATCTGCAGCGCAGAATTCAGCGGAGGCATTGGCGGCTTCACAACGGGCGCACATCAACCAATTGCAAGTTGCCTTTCCGAGAGAGGCAACTTGCGACTGGCTGGCATGCGCCCGTCGTCACGCTGCCGGCGCCTCCGCTGGATTCTGTGCTTCAGATTTTTCCGCCCAGAAAGGGGCGTGGCACAAACTTCTATCACATTTTTAGTAGAAAAATAGTAGTAGACGTCGCACAAACAAAATTTTTGGATTTCAAAAAAAAAAATTGGGTTGCGTGTATGTTTATACAGCCTAGAACTTGGTCTGCCTCAACGGGCGACGAGTCTCCCAGCTGTAGATGAGAAATTTAGCCAGCACAGTACAACCGCTAGCCTGGGGTCTTTAACGTGCACCACGGAGTGGTGATACACGACCGCACACCGGTACGATGCTCATCCAAACCGAAACGGGCAGGGCCCATGATCCTGGGTACTGCAGCGTGAGCTTTTGCTCCATGTGTTCACAGCTGGTGTGCGCTCTAGCCCACTCGGCCACTGATCCCCCTTCTGGATTTCTAGGATACTTGGAGCCCGTAAGACAAGGTATCACCAAGAAAAGACAATCTCAGAAACGTCTTTAGTGCACCTTTAAGGCTTTTGAAATATCTGCTGAAGAACTGTATTACTCTGCGACAGTCTTTTTCTTTGCCTTTGGTGTATGCCTGCTAAAGGAAAGGATTAGAGATTAGCCGTCTATTTACTGTACTGTTTCCGAGAATATGAAGTTTTGTATGTACGTTACCATCTTTAGCTTTTAACCTTATGTAGTAATTGCTATTTTGAGAAAAGAGGAAGTAGGTATTTTTATACTCTGTCTTACCTTATTACAGACTGCTGCAAAATTTACAAGTGGAGATGGATAGCTTTTGCAAGTGTTGCATATATAAAGATAAATGTGCAATACTTTTTGTACCATTGTGCTTCAAATGGTGAAGCATGTCCTCACACAGAGGAAGTCAAACACCTCCACTTCAATGAATCACAGAGATCTGCTCAAAGGACACTCCGGCTCACTAATAATAAAACACGAAAAACTGGCACACCATTGAACCTTGCATCAATCACAGATGTATTCTAGCATGTTATTGCTGTAAATTTTTAGAAAAATCACTCCCGAGCCATTCACTGATCTACAGTAGTCAATCACTCCTTCCTCCTCCAAGCATGGTCACATTCACATCATCCCGTCTAAAACAACATAGTGAGCAGGCCTTATAGTTTATCAGAAGAGGAGACTTTTTCACATACTGTTAAGTTAAATTTGTGTAGTATAAACCACTTTATGTTGGCCAAGCAAAGTACAGTGCTCATGGCAGCGCTAACGCAGCACTTCGGGATGGTTCGTAGATTGCTACGTCACAAAAGTGTTGCTCAGCTGCCGCCAGGAGAGCACTCCCACAAGAAAAGACAGTTTGCGTGTTCTGTATAAGTTTGGTGAACAATGTACACCCGTAACGACTGAGCAAGCACGTTGATTTAGATTGTGGGAAAGCAGGACCTGTTCTGAAAGTGAGTGGGCAGGGGCTCATCTCCCATCTTCAATGTGAGCAGGTCCGTGCTTCGGCACTTCACGGGGACATAAAGCTTCTCCAGGTTGATTTCACCGCTGCGTAGCTTTGTGTCCGCCTTTCCAGACTCTGAAGCACTGAAAAGGGCCCTTATGTCAGGTGTGCACTGTCAACAACTGGAAACAGATGTGAGCAGAAAACACCCATTACGCACCTCCTTTTATATTTCTGGATCTTGAGCAGGTGTTCTTTCATGGCCTGAAATAGAAGAAAAAATATTTCAGCACTGGCTCCTCATAATTTAAGCATCTGCATTTAAAAGGACCCTGCAAGACAATTTTGTGCCTTCTGTGGTGATATTGTTATGATGTATGCCTCTCTACTGGTTGATTCCGAACTACCGTATAATCCCGAAAGAAGCCCACCCCCCTATTTTCGGCTTGATTTGCTATTTTCTGTTAAACACAGAAAGATAGCCCATTCCTAGTAATCATAGCGTTCGGATCAGTGATGACCATGGCATAAATGCGTCTAGTTACCTATGGCAGAATAGAAGCAAGTATTGCTGACTGGAAAGTACAGTTATCTGTGCTTCATTGTCCCTCGCTGCGATAACATGTTTGACAGAAACAGATGATTTAAAAATACTAGTGCTTTTTCTACTCTTCTTAACTGCACACTGAAAGTTAGCCCACTCCTTATTTTCACCAAATTTCCTATTGATTTTAGAAGGGCTATCTCAGAATATTATGGCAGCCATGTGTTTACATGTTCCATGTGTTTACGCAATGTGCTGTGTCATCTGAAGCTTTTTTTATTTGTCTTGTAACGAGGAAACTTCTTTGGCCCTGTTTGCATAGTGTGCTAATGGGTTCAAAGTGCTAACTTATGCACAAAATGAAGACCAGACAGAAAACAATAGGAGGATTTCTTCAAGTGGAGTTAATTTCTCTTTTTACTTTTTCATGCACATGTCACCCACGCAAACTATTTTTTTCCCCCCTTAAAACAGCTACAGTAGAACCACGTTGATACATTCTCGGTTCATACGATTTCCCGGTTCATACGTTCACGAGTGAGGGCACACAAAATGTTCCATGGAGTTGCGCTGTTTCTTTTCCGATTCATACGTTCCCGGATAACATGATTTCCCGAAAAGTGCGCTCAACATTCTGCCAAATGCTTATCAGATTACATGTTTCTTGGCAATCAACATTGCACTCGCATATTAAGAGCTGCGAATATCCGGTCTAAACGAACGAGCACCAAGCAGCCGTCCTCGGGGGCATACGACTAACGCAGCGCGCGGATTCAGAGCGGTCTGCTCGCCGATAATGCCGCTGCTGCGTCTATTGTTCTCCGCAACTTCTGAGAGCTGTCCCGGTGCACAAAGGCATTTTGATTGGAATTACAGGACACACAGCGCGGTTTTATTGTCTTAGCTCATTATTCGAGTACCGTATTTACCCAAAAATAGGTCGACCCCTACTTATTGAACCCACCACGAATTAAAAAAAAATAACTGAAATATAGGTCGCTCTTTTTTAAAGAACAGGAAAGTTTGGGCAAAAGAAACAAACAAACCTTTATTTACAGCACCCTCAGCTAAATTACAGCGCAATGCCAAAAACTTAATCATTGTCAGACCTTCCGAACATGTCATCGTCGTCGGAAGCTTCGTTAGCTTGGTTGACATCCTCACAAAATCGCAACAAGTACCTCACTGACACCGTTGCGAAATGACAACAACAAACGAAAGAAAGTGGAGATGGGCGAAGCGGCGAAAGACCAATACAAAGACGCAAGCAACGCCGCGGTTGTCGTGAGCAGCGCGCGAGCCGCCATGAGCAACAAATAGAAAATTAAGTTGTTTTTTTTTGTGCGTGTTTGCGAGGGAGAGAGGGATGGAGGGGAGGGGAGGAGCAAGGTGCAAGGTGCCACTGCACTCCTCTCTCTCCCCTTCCCCCCTTGCATAGCGATGGGAATGTGTAAGCGGTGCTGGCAGCGGACAGGCGCGAAACCAGACGCCTGAGGGATGCGTGCAAACGGCGGCCATAGCGGGCGGGCCGCCGGCTGCTGCTGTTCGGGTGCACAAAAACCTTTCTGAAACAAGAAGCGGTGTGGCTCTACGACGACGCCGACTCGGTGACTCGATAGCTCCATGCCCTCGGTAGGGTCGCAAAATTTGGTCATCAATGTAGGTCGAAATTCTTCGGTCACGATTCACTCTCGATAATTCCAGCAAGCATTTACCTAGAGGCACTGTTTGAAAAATTGAAAACACCGATTGCAAGAAAGCACAAGAGTAGCTCTAGACTAGGGTGTACAAGGCAGTATACGTAGTAGCGGTAGTAGTAAATGAATGAATCTGGCATTTCTTTGTTTCTTTCTTTGCATTGGCTCAGGTGTGGTTACTTCATCAAGTTTCGCCAACGCTTCAGCAGCTTTGGCTTCGCGCTCCGCCCCAAGCCTGCGCCATCCCATTTCACTATTTTTTCTGTGCCGTGTAATGTTGTTTCTTTCTGCGATGGCGCGTGACGCCATTGCAGAACTGCTTGTTATTGAACTACTGCTTTTTTTGTGTGTGTGTGTGTTTAAAAATGGTAAGTTCGGTATGTTTTCCCGGGTAATACATTTTTTTTCTCGTGGTTTCTTCAAAATGCATCAACGAGGTTCTACTGCAGGCAGGTATCATAGCTCATAATCTTTCTAAGTATAGCTTCGAAAAATAATGAGGTAGCTTCATAAAGTACAGCTTTACAGAAATGTACTTACAAGGATTTTATCCTCCATCGATTCTGTCATGCCATCCGACTGCAGCCTCCGATACACCTGCAGGCAGAGCAAAGTTTAAAAAAATATTGCTTAAAAAATGCAAACAAGAAATCCTGTACATCCTTGAATTGTCTTGTCAAACTCAAAAAGTTCAAGACAGTCTAAACTTCACTCAGTGTTTAAGAATGTTGCTGTCGCTTGAAACTTTAAAGACAGCATATTGTCGGATAAGGATACATCCGAGCCTGGATATAATTAAGTTGACGTGAAGTGTTGGTACATAACCTTGTTTCACACATACTGTGAAACCTGTTCTGTAAAAAAATAAAGAAACAATTTATTGTACACAGAAATATACCGGGTGTTTCACAAAACACCATCCACAGGTTTTGGTTAGACCACTATGCACCGTACAGAACAAAAATATTAATTCTGTATCTGCCCCCCCCAAGTGATCGATTTGGGTAGGTGTGTTAACCATACTATACAAGAAACTAGCTTTCTATTAGTAGAAATAAATATGGGGTTTGAAAGAGAAACTTGTTGGGCATCAATGAGAATCACTAAATCAGTCAATTTTGGAGACTTGAAGCATGTGAAAAGTGTGGTGGTGTGCAAAGGTTACCACTCAAGCTATAAGCACAAGACTGGAGGAGCGAAAATGCTAAATAAAAAGATATAGGCACACTGTCACTGGACACATTTTTGGGACCCAAAAAAGTGAAGCATACACTCTTAATCTTCCTAAAATTGACTGATTTAGTAGATTTTGATGATGAACAAGTTTTTAATTGGAACTGTAAATTTATTTTCTTTAAGTTACCTAATTATATTTTCCCTAATTAAAAAGTTATCTAATTATATAAAACTAAGTGTAAACTTACCTACACACCATGTATCTCTGTGCAATTTTGTGTATTTCTGTGCAATCTAGTTTTTACACTAAATTTCTGTCTCTCATTTCGTCGAACACCTGGTATAGTATACAGGATGTTCAGTTAAGCTCTACAAATTTTTAATAAAGGAATTATGAGAGGTACAGAAAATCTGTTTTTGCTCCTAGGTTATGCTCCCAGACAGACACTTAAGTGCAAGGCTAATGCAGCTGTAAATTTCTATTAACTAAATTTTGTTAATGAACTTTTTAATCACTTTAATTAGGCATGTGTTCATATTGGAAACTTCAAAACAGCCGTATTTTAAGATTTGCACTTTATATAATTCTCTGTCCAGCCCATGTTTCAAATTACGTAACTCATGCTGGCTAATTCTGCATTCAAAACCGAAAAGATAAGCGAGAAAGTCCTTCCCAATGTGATGCAGGTCGTCGCATACGACATTCCATATGACAATGAGGCAGAGCTGATAACAGTTGCGAGTTCATGCTGCGTTAAAACTCTCCAAAGATTTTGTTGACATTCTCTACGAACACAGCAATAAAGCAAATGATGCCGTACAGTTCAAACATCCCTCTCCCTGCTTCTCCCCGAATCTGCTATGAATGAGCCCCTCCCTCGTTGGAAAAATCCAAAGGGGTCTCCGGACAGAGAACCACTGGCATAAACAGGAAAGGCCATCTGCTCTCCCAGGCTTACCGACTTGAGCGTGTGGTCCATCTCGGAGTAGGAAGGCGGATGCCCAGCTCTGACGATGGAGCGCAGCACCTGCCGGTCGCGAAGGCTCTCCAGGAGGTTCGGCAGGTTGGGCAGCTTGATGAGGTAGTCGAACATGATGCGGGGCAGAGGCTCATGGACAGAGCTCAGGACGACCACCTGCGACCAATGGCGGTAAGGCCTGTGGGGATCTGCAGTGCTTTCACGCCGTCACGTCTATATCAAGGCTAGTTCACACATTTGCATTTGACTGTGAATGCTGGTTCACACAGTTGCGTTTGACCATAAAGGCTGGTCCACACAAGTGCATTTGACTAGGAAGGCTGGTTCACCAAGTTGCGTCTGACCATAAAGGCTGATTCACAGAGTTGCATCTGACCGCAAAAGGCTGGTCCACACAGTTGCATTTGACTGCGATGGCTGGTTCATACGGTTACATCTGACCATAAAGACTGGTACACACAGCTGCGTTTGACTGAGAAGGCTGGTTCACAAAGTTGTCCGACCGTAAAGTCTGATTCACACAGTTCCGTATGACCATAAAAGCTGGTCCACACAGTTGCATTTGACTGTCAAGGCTGGTTCATACAGTTTCATCTGAGCATAAAGGCTGATTCACACAGTTGCGTCTGACCTTAAATGCTTGGAGCCACGAAAATGAAGTGTGCTTGGAAGCTCAGCGTGACGTTCACATGCACAGGACCTCAGTGCAGACTGCACTTTTGAGCCCCAGTTTTATCAATGCCACATTGTCTCTTGACCTCATCAATTACCCTTTATACATGTAAAACTTGTAAAAGCAGTCCTGCCATGTCACCGCCTTTCACAAGCCTGCATTCGAAGTTGTCATAGACATCCTAAATTATATTGTTTTATCTCTGAAATGAATTGTCCTTGCTCATGGTGTACCGTATTTACTCGAATGTAACGCGAGTTTTTTTTTTCAAATTTCCCTTTCCTTATTTGGGGGTTCGCATTATAATCGAAACGCTTCAAAATTTGCCTTGGCGGTGTCGCAGCACAGGCTCTTTAAAATGGCTAGGACAAATCTCGCGATCTTTCAGTCTTGTGCTGGCAACATATAAACGCTGGAAACAGCCAATCCAATCTATTCTTGTTTGCGACTCGTTGTGCCCATGTTAGGGTTGCGGGTTACCTTCACAACGCTTTCTCTTTCTGTTAGGGTTACCGTACCCATGTGCCCGTGTTGTCCGTGTTTTGTGAGCTGCTGATACGTGCTTCCGCGACTGGACTCGAGCAAATGGCGACGCGACGAGCTCAGTACGACGCCCGCTTTAAAAGAAGCGCAATTATGATGGCTGAGGAAATCGGAAACTCTGCCGCGGCTCGACGGGTAGATGTGACAGAATCGACTATCCGTGGGTGGAGGCTCCAGAGTGAAGTGCTCTTCAAATGTGAACCCGGCCGAAAAGGCTTCCGCGGACCACGTTGTAGTAGTACTTCTTAAAATACTTTTTTTTCCTCACTTAAATGGGTACTCCACCGGTTTTTTCATTGTCTCCGATTTGCTTGAAATTTTGCTAAACTAACCAACAAACATTGCTAAAATAGTATCCCAAATATTAGGTCCAAATATTGTTTTTTCGCGAAGTTATTGAATTTACAGTTTTGGTCTTCACCATGTTTTTCAAACTGAAAGTCTCTACAGGCAACAACAACAAAGTGACGTCAGTGGAAGGCAGGGGTTAACTTTTTGGACTACAGAAGTTGTTCCCAACGGATTTGAAGCAGTTTCATGGTGTCAAATGAGTGCTTTGGAAGCTCGCTCCCGTATCCGCGCTCCAGCACGAAACAAATGATTGGCATATTCTATTTTTAGACTACTTGCTCGACTGGCAAGCCTGCCTGCCACTGACGTCACGGCACTGAAAAGTGCGCGAATATTTGAATATTGGTTTTTGCACCATTTTCATTTGCCGATTTCACAATACCTATTATGAATTTCGCGATGCTAAATAGCATACCGGAAAGGCTAAAGGCCGGGGAGTCAGAAAATATAGTTAGTTGAGGTAGCTCAAAAAATCGGTGGAGTACCCCTTTAACTCGCGTTACATTCGCATTCTTTTTTTTTTTTTTTTCGCTGTGAAAAGTCACTTCTCGCGTTACAATCGTGGTCGTGTTACATTCGAGTAAATACGGTAATTAAAAAATATAATTGTGGTGCACGGCATGTTTGGCTTGCTAGGCTACTTTTGTCTGCGGGCATACAACGAAGTAGTATTTATGCGATTCTAAGCACCCCCACCCTCAATTACCCAGCCAGAACGGTAAAAAAAAAAAAAAAAAACTGTTTGCACGCGATTGTAAGCACTCCTCTTTTAAGCGCGATTCAAAATCTGAGAGTGGCGCGCCGCTGTCCCTCAGCGGAAGGAGAAGGAGACACAGCGATCACCGAGCTGTTGGCTACGTTGATTGCTGGAAATAAGTTTCATCGTCGCTGGATAGATGCAACACATGAATTGCGCACTTGAGGCGCGGACGCGAACCACACGGGCAGGCGAGTTTGCTTGTTCTTTCTCCTTTTCTTCTCGAGGAGCATCGGCTGCGTCGGCGTCAAGGAGCCATCTTTGTTTTGTTTCGGCGGCTTTTGATGAGTCTTTGATCAGTCTCGCGTCAGCATGAGTGCGAAAAGAACTTCCCTATATGTTCAAGTTCAAGAGAACAGTGACCTCATTAGTGGAGGAGAATGGAAATCACAGCACTGCTGAGAATTTCAGCTTGGACAGGTCCTGCGTGATTCGATGGAGAAAGCAGCGGGAGCTGATTTTCAAGAGCGCATTGTGGTCAAGTCCTTCAATAAGTGTCGCATTATGAAAAGTCTTGACATATCTGCGCACGACCACTTGTTGGACACGGAGAGCAACCGAAGCAGCAGCAGCTCGGACAAATGCACGCAGGACTCGCCGTCGAGTGAAAGTGATGGAGTGAAGCGTCCTGCATGGTGTACTGTGAGCCGTGCCGGCAAGCAGAGTGACAATCTCTCATACTTGTATCCTTCGTGTTCTATTTTACCTTTTATTTTACTTAAAATTAAGTAATATTTCTTTGCTAAAATTTTGTAACATTTAGTGTCCTTCGAATCTAAGCACCCCCCCTCTCGTGAAGCATCGCGGATTTGAAAAAAAAAAAGGGGGTGCTTAGAATCGAGTCTCTAGGGTACTCATGCCCCAATATTCACAAAAAATGCCACACAACCAAAGGACAGTAAGTGACCCCAGAGCATCCATAGTCCGACATAATGAGATTGGCAGGGTGAATCTTTTTAACGTCAGGCCTGCAGCACGCGTTCCATGCCTTCCGCTGCGCTTTGGCAGCGCAAGCGCACACCAGGTGCACAAGACGCCGAAGCATTGACGAAGGTGGGAAGCTCACAATGGAGACGTGACAAGTGGAGCTCTATTCTGCCATTCTCACCTTGCCACCGACTATGACACGCACTCGTTTAGAAGAAAAAATAAAAATGCTTGAAAATGCTAAAAAAGAATAGACAGGTTTTCTCGAAGTGACATGTTCATGCTGTACCTCCTTGTCGACCTCGATGACAGGGTGCTTGAGGTAGGGCTGCAGCATGGGCTTGAGCTTGCACTGAATGTCTGCCAGGGACAGGGAGGCCGTGACGGCACACACAAAGCCCACCGTGTACTGCCGGATCCACTTGTTCTGCAGGCAGATGAATGGTCGTTGCAAAAGCCTGCTAAGAATGCACCTGGCAGTCCAGCCTGACCTGAACAAAATCTCACCAAATCACACCTAGAGTAGCCTATGCACTACTAGGGCCAGTTCACACACACATCACAGCACTAAATCACAGCTAGGAACAGCGCTGACTTCAGCGTAACTTAGCATTGATGCGGCACTGTATCAGTGCTGTATTACTAGTATAGAGGGAAGTCAGTGCTGCAGCATCAAGGTCAGCACTATTTCCAGCCCTGACTAATAGCACCAAGGTAGCGCTGTGATATACCGTATATATGCGTGCAATGGTCACACTCGTGTAATAGCCGCACCACTAACTTTAAACAAAAAAAGCAGAAAAAATATATTTAAAAATTACCCGTGTATAAGCTGCACCAACGATTTCAGAATGGCTGGAAGCGCCATCTAATTCGTAACGCAAAAAACTCGTTCTTTTTTTTTTTTTTTAGGTATTGTTGGCAGATGGCGCTTACCCGGCTGCGGCAGCCAACAACTTTGAGGCACCCTATCGTGTCTGTTCGCGCCTCTCGCTTTATCTCAAACAATCTTGAACCAGACACAGTGCATCTCTTTGCGTTTGCGAGTACCCCCAGTTTCCCGCTGTCATCCACTTCAGGCTCCTGGATGGGCAAGTAAGGGAGTTACACGGCCGGCTTTAAACTCAAAGTTGTTACCTTTGCTCAAGACAACAGCAAAAGAGCGGCCTGGAAGAAGTTCGGTGTCGACAACAAATGTGTACGCCGGTGGTGCTCCCAAGAAGATGAACTAAGAAAGACCAAAAAACAAAATGCGCTTTCCGAGGCAAGCAGAGTCTGTTTCCCGAAGTTTAAGATTTGCTCCTTCAATTCATAACGAGCACCCGGAGCAATGGCTATGCGATTTCGACGCAGATGCTTTGCATGAAAACGGTTGATATTGCACGAAGCAAGGAGATACCGGCGACTTTGTTCAAAGCCAGCAATGGGTGGATTCGGCGTTTTATGAAAAGAAAGAACCTGTCCATCCGCCGTCAAACAACTATGCGCCAACGTCTACCAGAAGAGAATGAAGAAAAGCTGCTCACGTTCCAGAGCCTTGTTATCAAGATGCGGAAAGACCATGGCCACATACCGTCGCAGATAGGCAATGCGGGCCAAACGCCAGGTTGGTTTGATGCACCAGAAAACGCGACTGTAGAGGCGAAAGGTACCAAAAGCGTCCATGTCCTCCCAACAGGTGTCGAGAGACAGTGATGTATGGTCATGCTTTGTATCACAGCGGACGGGCGAGAACTTCCACCTTACATCGTTTTTAAAAGGAAACGTTCATCCACGGAGCCGTTTCCTAACGGCATATTCGTTCGAGTACAAGAGAAAGGATGGATGACGGATGAACTGGTGAAAGACTAGTTGACCTGCGTTTAGGAAAAGCAACCAGGTCCGAACCTCGACACGCAATCGCTCCTCTTCTTGGATAGATTTCGGGGACACCTGACTGAGGGTGTGCGAGAACGCCTTAACATGTCTAAAACAAATTTGGCCATCATACCTGGAGGTACGACCGGCGTGCTTTGGCCACTGGACGTTTCAGTGAACAGGCCCTTCAGATGCGGATTTCGCCTTGCGTACACCGAGTGGATGGCAACGACCTTCCACCAGAAAACACCGACTGGTCGGCTAAAGAGGGCGTCCCTTGTAGAGGTGGGTGACTGGATTCTCGAAGCGTGGGGCGCGGTTTCCTTCAATATCGTGGGAAAAAGCTTTAAAGTAACTGGAATTTCCAACAAGCTGGATGGCATGGAAGATGACCTTATCTGGGACAGTGACGCCGAGACAAGTTCAAAGGTGAGTGTTCTACTACAGACGAGTGAAAAGGACTTTGCACGCCTGTCTATGAAATACCGATAAATGTTTTCTTGTTCTACTAAGAGGTGTGAGTACTTCCATTTAATAAAAGCAAGTAGTGAAACTTTTAACAAAAAAAAAAAAAAATTCAAAATTTTTTTTTTGTTTTTCTTTGTGTAATGGCTGCGTCCCTAGTTCTCGCCCGAAATTATAAAAGAATACCTGTGGCCATTACACGCGTATATACGGTATCTATGAACAGGCCTTTATAGTCTCACTGGAGCCAACACTATCAACAGCCAGGTTAACCAAGTGCTGGAGAAAGGCACATCACCTGTGCATCCGTACGTAAAACAGTCAGATGTATGGGAGACTTTTCGTCTGCTACCGAATTGTCACTTGTTTCCTCCCATCAGAGCATACTTATTTGCGACATGGCAAGTTCAGCAGCACTATTAAAGACTGTTTGAGAATTGGAAAGAAAGCACCAACTGGTGCAAACAACTGTAAGGCTGTGTAAATTATGATGCAAGAATACTTCCTTGCAAACAAATCAGAGACATATGTAGTGCTAACTGCAGATGCAAACGGGCCTGCAAAGGTGGGTTATCAGTGAAATTGTCTCGTAAACAAGATTTAAACGACAACAATAAAGTTATTGGGCTCTTAACTGAAGTACTGTGCAGTGGTAATGCATTAAATAACTACAGTAATCCCTCATTATAACAAAGTCAACGGGATGGAAAATAAATTCTATATAAGCGGTACTATAAAGAGTGTCCTTACAAACTGGATTATCGGCTCCATTAGAAAATGAAGGCTTGAAGCTTGAACTTCCATGCTGCCATAAAGTGATCAGACAATGACAAAACTAAGACTAAACGAACAAGCAAGCACCTGATCTTTCATCAGGATGAAATCCAAGATTAGCAAAAAATGAAAGAAGGAAGAGCATAGCTTCAAGGCAAACTCACAGGATGGTAGAGGAGAGAGATGGTTTCCGCAGTGAGCTCGTACAGCATCTGCTTGCGGAACAAGCCCATCTGGGCCAACTCGGTCATGGCCCTCAGCGTCTTGCTGATCACAAATTCTTCGGTATCCGCGAGACCCTGCAGAGAACCGGCATCCAACTTTCAGAGAGCAGCACTCCTACAGGATGGGGGTGCAAAGAATTGAAGTGGGCTTTCCGCTGCCCCCCGCAAACAAGAGCAAGCCGTCATCACCTGCTGAAGAAGGGGCTTCAGGATGGGAGAGCACTGCCAGCCAACGTAAGCGGAGACTCCAACAATGCTGTCGAAAAAGGAGCCCCTCAAATGACGGTCCTCCTGCGAGAGAAACGCAAACGGTCGGCTGTGCCCTTTCGCCCTCGCGTCAACCAGCAACGACGACAAACCTTGTCGTTGAGAAACGTGATCATGTGGGACAGGAGAATGTCGTTGGCTGAAGAGAGAAAAAAAAAAAAGAGTCAAAAACTGTTTGTCAATTTCAACCTTCAGGACACGAGTATGGTGCCTGGAACGCGTCTTCGACTGGTTCATTTACCATCTTATCCTGCGCATGCATTGAAAGCAGTCCCGAAGTGACAACAAATCATTTCATGGGAGGTAGCATGCCACGCTGTCGAATGCAGTTGGTCATAGCAATGCTGGTGAAAAAGGCGAGCAGAAGCAAGGGTCACTGTAGTCGCTGCATCCCAACTCCTGGCTGCTCTGGTTTTTGTCGACTGCCTTGCTGCAGAGCAATCCACAGCAGAATGGGTGTCTGTCACACCCACCTGCTCTGGCCATTACCAAGATTGCAGCAGGCAACGGCATGCTACTCTCATGACGTTGTTGGACAGAAATCGAGGAAACGCTTTTGAGGGCACAGTAAGCACACCAGTTTGAGATGCGCTCCAGGCACCACAGAGTGTGAAACAGCCTTTGGAGCAATAAAAAGAAAGCAATGCTTCACCTTTCTGTTTGCCAAAGAATACGCAGAGCTGGGTGATACCCTTCTCCAGCAGCATCTGCTTCACAATGTTGTTGGAGTCGCTGAGCAGCGTAGACACTGCCTGCTGGATCATCTCGTGAAGTGCTTGCAGCTCGGATTCAAACGAGCCCTGACATGGATGGGGCATCATTGTCATGTTTTCGTTAACAGAATGCATGTTTATGCAAAATATTGTAGGCTGGGGCATTCACTATATTTTAGGCATGTGCGAATATAGTGCATTTTGAGTTTCAAGCATGCTCGAAAGGAATACCTAGTGGTTTTGGCCGAATATTTTTCGAGACGAATATGAAATAGTTTCTCTAACCCTTTCACCACTGCACCATGCTCAAACAAAAACTTAGCTGAACTTGTGAAAGTTGTTTTCAAGCTTCGACTTGTTAATTTCTAAGGTAATTCTAATCTGTGTTTATCAACTGTAGCCTCAAAACTCCGATGTCCGCATTGGGATGGCAAGTAAATGACGCATGTGACATAAAATGGAACTTTTACAGATTCCCAGCTGTACCTAATCGAGGGGTATATAAATATTCTTGGCTATACGCAGATATATTTTCTTCACTCACGAATGTTTAATGCAGGTTGTCAGCGCAACTTTGCCTAACACATGCTCATATATAATAGCCAGTTTAATTTTGAAAATTTTACTGCCCCCCCCCCCCCCCCATGTAGATTTCAACACTCATAAAGCTTCCGTGTCTTTTTAGGTACAACAGGCGTGCATGTGCACCATTCTACTTTGAGAGTGTGCTTTCCTGCTGGGACGCAGCTGCAATAGTATTTGTGCTTTGCAGAGTGTTGATCGCGGCATTTCAGCCTAGTTGAGTGCGCTTTTTACTGGGCACTGGTGCACCACAGAAGCAACACCTGCGAAAACAAGCTTCGTCTGTGTCGCTTCTCAGGTCCTCGGTAAGAAGCACACTCAACTGGGCTAACCTGTCATGGTCAACACTTTGAAAATATGAATATATCTCAGTTCACCTCGACGTGAATATCAACTGGTATGTGCAACCTCGTTTGCACATACCAGTTCTCTCTTGTTCTTCAACACTGGCGCAATTAACTAGCTACTCTTTTCTATTGCTAACAGTTAGAATCGCCGAGCATTGCCACAGCACCGAAATTTCCAACCTTCATTCCAGAATAACTTCAAGCACTCACTGCAACTGAAGGTTTCAAAAAAAGAATCGCTGTGGAATTAAATCTAACTGGGATAGGGGGGGCTGGCAGAGCCTGCTTGCCACCCATTATATAGGCTACTTGCAACCAGCCATAAGTCAGCTGTTCAGAGCCCCCATGCAGACGTTTTACATGCATGCTGTTTACTTGATGGTGATGATGCTGAGCCTGGGCATTGACTTCCGAGTTGGTGCCATCGGGAGAGCCAACTTCATGCTGCGTGGTCATCTCGAGAAACCTGCAGGTGGTAGCCAAAGCACGTTATACAAACGAAATAGCAGCAAACAATCTGTACCATATCAACTTAGAGCAAACAAGGCAAAAAGCTAGTATCTGCAGCGCATCATGCTTAGGGCAGGCTGACATCCCATCAAATTTTTACAGAGATTTCTATAGGGGCTACAATACCTACCTACCCCTGCTGAGCAAGCTGCCAAAACTAAGAGCACAACCTAGGAAACGAGACATGTTTATCTACTCCACCTCAAGAGTTCTATGTAGAATAAAAGGGTGCATGGGAAAGAGAGACTGTCTTTAGAAAGTGAAGTTCTGGCAAAAGTGCTTGTGTAAGCAAAGCATTTTTTCAGAGCTACACTCTCGTGCCTATGTCATTGATAGTGCTCCACTCAACTTTGGATATCCCATTTAAATGTGCATTCACTGCAGTGCAAAACCTATGATTCAGGAAGACATTATAAAACCACTGCAAGTCAAGTTTCTGAGCTGTAGAGCACAAAATACTATACAAGATTATTTTATAGTTTCTGCTTTAGAGAGTTGCAAGACTGCATAAATTCATCTTTTATCTGAGAACTGAGTATGCATCAGTCTTTATACAATACCAATAAAAAAAACGAAAAACTCATCACTAATAGATTTGTTTAGCAGTAATCTTTGGTACCTACCTGAGAGCAGTTTCAGCAAGAACTGCAATGTTCTCAGCAAGTGCCATTCTCACAATGACTGCATTGTCTTGGGTCACATGCATCTGGACAAAAATCAATGATCAGCATGCAATTACCATATTTTCCAGACTATAGTCCACGGACTATACATGTTTAAAAGTTGAAATTTTACCTGATGCAGACTACTATCTACAGGTACGGGCTATAAGAGGATTTGTTTTTTTCTAGATCATTTACAGTGACAAGACGTGAAGGACTTTATGAATAATGGGGTATATTAATGCTGATTTATGTATGATACAAGCTTTTTTTGTGAGCTAATACAGTAGGCATTTGTTAAGGTGCACTGTGTATGATCATCTTCACTTTCGGACTATTCACTAAGTCTGGACTATCAAAGCAAAAACTTTTATTTTTGATCCCAAATTTGCTCTTGGGGACTATGCACCGGGTGTGCATTATAGTCTGGACACACAGGCCTGCACAGCAGCTACATCCATAAATCGCTCCTACATGTCTCTGTTACATCGGCTGCCGATGCCACTTAGAGCATGAATAGGTGCTATTTATTGCTTATGGCTTTTAAATTGCTGAACGATAAGAAAGCATGTTCAATAGCATGACTAGACTGATTTGGAACTGCAGTCCTAAGCATTGATTCATGTTAAAGTGCTATCATTAGCATCAATGTTCATGCTAAAGTGTGAGACAGTTCAACATGATTATTCCGTAGTAGCCATTGTACCACAGAATATGCATTAGCAGAATCAATACTTGGAAAAGATTTCACTGAGCTGCGAACACATAAAATTGAGAAGTGGTTTGGACGAAGAATCCTCAACAGGTTTTACTCGAATCGCGCCTCTGGTAGTTAACCTTCGACTGAGCTCTAGGGAGACGCTTCCATGAACAAAAGCAAAGGTAATTTGTAACAGTAAGTAAGCACAAAACAAACAGAGGGACGAAAACAGACATGTACAAGCTTTCAGTTTACAACATATATTTGACGCCAGCGAAGTCTGCACCAACAACCGTCGGTGGGGGAGGGGGACGGGCAAGAGGGAGATAAGAAGGAGGAGAAGGTCGAGAGGGAAGAAAAAGGGGGAGGGAAGGGAAGATAGCGTTTCCGCATACGAAGCGGATTGACGGCCGAAGGCCGAAGGGGGGTCTTGTTGTTCAAGGTTGTGCAATTGGAGTCCGAGAAAACGCCGGCCTCAGAAACACCAGTTCTGGTTTTTTCAACTAGAGGGATGGGGAAGCAATGTTTTTCTTGGTGGTGGTCATCCTATAAGCTTCAATCTCCCATAGCGCTCCCGGTGCCCCCCAACCACTTTTGTCTCGTTGAACAATGGCGTGCATGCCTGGCACTCCTTACCGTGAACTATAATACTAGGATGCAATGACCCCTCTGGCTGTGACGCGCATTCAATGTGGTGTTCTCGGAGGCGATCATTTATGCATCGGCCTGTTTGGCCGATATATTCCGTACCGCAGGTCAGAGGAATTGAGTAGACTTTTTCTTTTGCGCATCGAACGAATTGAGAGCCGTGTTTTTTTTAACAAGCTGGGGGGGAACTGGCATTGTTAACCAGTTTGCACATGGAACCCAGTTTGAACCTGCATTTGAAAATGACCTTGGTGCCAAAGCAAGACGCGAGAGACTTGACGCGGTGCGCCACGTTATGCATGTAGGGAATGCAGGCAATCCCCCCGCCCGGAGCAGCTCGTGAAGTGCGGGGAGTTCGATTTACGATGAGCCTCTGCGTAGCAGAACTGAGTAGGTCCATCGGGTAACCTGCCTTGAGAAGGCGGTTAAATTGTGTTTTCACATTAGTGACTGCACGACCTACTGCGTGCAGAGGAGATCAATGAAGTGACCACCCCCGTCTTAACGGACCTGGAATGGGAGCTGGAAAAGGGAAGAACTGGTTTCTCCGAACGTTGCCGAAATGCCCAGCAGATACCCGTCGCTGTCGTATACAACCTGATGTCTAAGTACTCAGTCCCTCCTCCGAGGGGTCCTCTCTCTTAAAGTTGAGGCTGCCTGCTGCACTGAGAAAACAAGGCGAAATAGAAGGGACCGGGGTTCCTGTGAGGTGAATTACAAGATAGTCATCCACATAGCGCACTACCTGACACCCGGGCACGATGCTCCGTAGTTCCTCGTCGATTATCCTATCAACGAAGGAAAGATAGATTTCACTCAGCACTGGGCAGGACCCAATGCATACACCTGATTTTTGAATAAACACTTCTCCGTTCTGCTCAATCATTGTAGAGCGGAGGTAAAGCTGGAGCAACTGGATAAACCCGGACAGTGGAACGCCTGAAGCGTTCTGGAACCTGCACAGGCCGAACTCATTGATGGCCTCATCCTATTATAGTTCACGGTAAGGAGTGCCAGGCATGCACGCCATTGTTCAACGAGACAAAAGTGGTTGGGGGGCACCGGGAGCGCTATGGGAGATTGAAGCTTATAGGATGACCACCACCAAGAAAAACATTGCTTCCCCATCCCTCTAGTTGAAAAAACCAGAACTGGTGTTTCTGAGGCCGGCGTTTTCTCGGACTCCAATTGCACAACCTTGAACAACAAGACCCCCCTTCGGCCTTCGGCCGTCAATCCGCTTCGTATGCGGAAACGCTATCTTCCCTTCCCTCCCCCCTTTCTTCCCTCTCAACCTTCTCCTCCTCCTTTTCTCCCTCTTGCTCGTCCCCCTTCCCCACTGACGGTTGTTGGTGCAGACTTCGCTGGCGTCAAATATATGTTGTTGTAAACTGAAAGCTTGTACATGTCTGTTTTCGTCCCTCTGTTTGTTTTGTGCTTTCTTACTGTTACATCTGTCCCAACACGCTCGTCAAAGTCTCCAAAGGTAATTCCTTAACAATTAGTGACAATAAATCCCTTTAAGGGGAGACACCCCCTGGGAGGGTTAACTTTTGAACCCTTGGCTTAAAATTAATGAAATTTACAGGGTAGGCTGGTGGTCATGCTAGAGGGTGCATAACAAAATTTTAGGTCTGTCGGTTAATTGGGAAGGAAATTAGGACAGCTTCTATCAGCAACACCCCTACACTGTTTAGTTAATCTATCGTCAGAAAACTATCACAATATTAAAGATTTTTATTCGCTAGATATGTAGCAGAATGCCTAGGAGGTGCACCTATGGAAAGGTTTTTGTAAAAAGTAATTGATTTCTATCAATTTTGTCTTCTGCGAAATTGGTCAACTTTTTGGTCTTCTGTGTCTCCGACAAAATGTCAACATTTTTTATAAAAGACATCCGTAAAGTGACAAACAAACTCCATAGGCGCATTCCTTATTAAATTTCAGTCAGGAAAAGTGAAGAACGAGCCTTGCCTGTATTTCCATTCTCAAACGATAGATTGACTAAAATGGTATTTATACAAAAAAGTGGAACGGAGAAAAATGTGTTCAAAGTGCTCCAAACCCTACCTTTCCTTTAGCTTTGGTGGACAGAAAATAATTTATAAAAAATTAACTATGCAGTGTAAACTAGTGAAAATTTCTGGGAATACTCTCTGGATGTAGATGGATGTAAATATGTAATTTTTCAAAATCAATGTTTTTTGAAGAATCTTTTTTTCTCCGGGTAGTGTCCCCCCTTAAGAAAATACATTTCAAAATCACCTCTGGCATTCATTATTGCCACAAAAGGTCGTAATTACCTGGTGCCTCTACATTCAAATTATAAAAAAACTGTAAATTCCTCCCGCTGCCTCGAGCTTGTCTACCGAACAGACAACTGGCCCCTTCCTTAGAATACTACCAACCTCTTGACTTCAATAATGGACATTCATATTCATATACTAGCAGCAATAAATAAAAGAAAATGAGCAAACTTACAAGGTTTGGAAGGATGTATTCTGGGAAAACATTGGCATCGCTGGAAAGAATGAAAATCATAAAAACACACATATCCAAGTTAGAAAGAAAAAAAAAGCATGACACTGAGTTAGCAACGAACCTTCTTGGAACAGTCTTGACCAGGGTAAGGCAAGCTGTCAATGTTTCAACTGCGGCGGCTCGAACGCGGGGGTACTTGTCATTCACAAGGTACAACTAAAAGAGAGAACCATCCACTCAATTAGACAGATATACTGTCAAAGCACAGCAATAAAAAAGTTAAAAACAATGGACAAGTAGAAGAATGATGAACACCAACGATTGTAACTTTCAACTAAAGTTTACTAACGAAAAGGACATATATACACAGTGGTATCACAAAGACTTGTGACCTAGCAGGGCCTCCCCAATGTAAAAGCTGCATTCAGTTGTGTTCATAATTTTTCAACTTGTACATCGTTTATAGCGCTTTTATCCCCCACAATGAATTACCAGCTAGCTCAAGTACATACTCTCTTACCGTCCCAAGGCGAAAGCCTTCCTTGTCCCATTACGCGAAAAAGAGGCGGTATTGTGCCCGAAAAATGGTCACACAAATACGTCATCAAGCATGCCCCTCAGAAATACCGTACAACAGATAGGAAAGCACAGCAACGCAGATGCTTTCTCATGGAAGCCTGTGGGGGCACTCAAGGTCAAAGCGGACATGCCTCAGGACTATAACAAAAAGAAAAGCACAGCAATGCTGATGCTTCGTCATGGAAGCAGTCGTGAAGCTGGCGGGGTTCGCCATGCCTGCGCAGTGGGACAGCGTAATGTCACCACCGGAGTGCCATGTGAAAAAGGAAAATGTGGCGCGCTGCTCGTAGGAATGCGCTGCATGAAGGAATGTGAAAGTATTTCTACATGTAAGCAGCTTGAAGTTTCTCTGCTGAATCGTTTTCTCTCCTATCGGTAAAAGAGTAGCAGACTTCAAATGACAGATAGTATAACATTCTTCAAAAAGATTAAACCGACTTGCCTTAAAAATCTGTTCCAAAAGGGGATGTTTTAGATAAATCTCCTCATTTTGACAATAAGGATATGCTTTATTTTGAGATTCTATCATGCAGTGCAAGGTCAGCCTGCCTTGTGATATGGCAGTTTCCTCCACTACTATGGAGAATTAGTTAAGCCAATGAGGTGCAACACAGAGTCAAAATTAACAACTAAACAAGAGCATGCTGGCACAATGTCTAACTGATAGAGCCTTTCGGTACAAAAAACAACCACTGTGTCAGCGCACAAACCAATTAAAATGCTAGCAAAGTGTTTTTGACATTCAGCCCACGCCCCTCTAATTATCTCTGCTGCTCGTGCGGTTATCAGAATGGCCATTTGAAGAACACTGCGTGACACTGCTAGCACAAACATGATGTCGGTGCTGTCTTTATATTTTACCTCTTAGGTTAAAGTCGCAAATGAGCACTTTTCATGACACAAGACAGTTTTAGTATAGCGTTATGTGCGCAATAGTATAGCATATGCTAAAAACTACCTGCTCGGACCGATTTCAGTTGTGGGTTCCGAAAACATTGCCGAGTGAACACCTCACGTGATCTTGTTTCAATTTTCCAGAGTCATAGAATTCTGGGTGCTTACAGCTCCACCATGCTCCTCAAAAGAAATATTGAAAATAAAAATGTTCCTAATCACTTTATTTCAAATTAAGCCAAGCCACAGCTGCCTGGTCAAGTGCACTTTTCTGCGGGATTTGGAGGCTATGAGGTTGAGTGCGTAACCAAATTCGATCACGAAGCCTCCGTCAATTGTACCGTGGAAACGGCACCTTTTATTAATGCTACCGTGGGAAGAGATCCATGACCTACTGATGTTCAGCGCACCGTGACAACCTGGGCAATTTTTTCAACAGTCGTTCATCTGTCGGCGATGAACTACATTGGTGGTTCTCAAATGGGGGTCCGCATACCTTTTGGAGTTCGCAAGGGCATTCTAGGGGTCCGCAAAGCCCCGCCTCATCAGTCAAGTTCAACAATAAAAAAGCTTTTTTAGATTAAAAAGAAATGTTTTAATTTTCGGGTGAGTTTTCTCGTGTGTGTCTCTCAATGAAAGAAGTCTACTCTACACTGGCCCTTAGTTATATTCATTTTTTAAATCATTATCGTAATAAACCTATACCTTTTCCTTCCCCTCACCACGAAAAGGGTCCTCCATCATCTTGGCCAATCCACAAGGGGTCCAGGAACATCAATGGTTTAGAACCACTGAACTATAAAAGAGGCTGTAGAGCAGGTCGCAGCATTCACGCACATTGCGAGCTGTGAACATTTTTACTATGCGCTAGTTCAGCTGCAGTAGGTCCCGGAAAGAATTGCTCAGCTGAACACGACGCAGTTTCTCATCGCCCATGCTGCGCCAGTCAAGGTAACTGCCATCTTAAAGCTGGTGCTCTCGCTGGGCCTGAGATCTCTCGAGAGCTCCCCGCAAAGCCCTCTAGACCGCAGCGCAAAATCCCCAACGTTGCGTGCGTCCGCAATACGCTAGCCCTTCCATTGCATTTTGCACATGCGCACTCCCGACCGACAATTCCTTTGCGTACGCAAAGCTTTAGCGTACGGTCCACTAAAACTAGAACTAGAAGTTTTGATGACAACCTTTAGATACTAAAAGAAAAGCATAAAAAAACAGTGATCGGGCTATTATAAGGGTTCATGCTAACAGTGCTGTACGGTGTACTTAGAAACAATCGCCGGTTCTTTCTGCTTTTTCTCTTAGTATTAGAGGGCAATCATAAAAGCTACTAGTGTGGCAGAAAGTGCTCGTTCGAAGGTCCTAACCTAAGGGGTAAACTTTTGTGCCCTATTGAAGTAAAATGCAAAAAAGCGCCAAAGTTTTGTTTTTGATAATTGCATCATGCGGCGTACCATGTAGGGCAGGAGCCTGTCGAGGATGATGTCGCAGCTCAGGTGCAGCGTGAGCTCCTTCATGAGCTCCAAGGCCTGGAGCTTGGCAGAGAGCTGCTTCAGAGTGCGCAGACAGGACGTGAGCAGGGCTACCACGATGAGGAGCCCGTCCGAGCCCGGGTTACCCCGTTCCTCGTGATCCCCTTCGCATCCCACCAAGGGGTCGACCGCCCTGGAGTGCTTGGACGAAACCAGGGAGTACAGGATGGCGTGGATGTCCTGACGGAGCCTGAGAACCACATACGAGGAGAACGTTAGACGGGTGACAGTCCACAAACAGCAAACGAAAGCAGGCAGACTGAAAAGTCGTCTGGCTTAGACATTTCCTAAAAAAGTAATGAAAGTGCAATATAGCACTTGATGGGTTTATTCGACAGAACAGCACTTGCTGCCAAAACAATATGCAACGTGGCACGTGGCAATGGAATTGTGAACGTATAAAGAACTTCTATTCTTCATCCACACACCTCTTCCTTGAGGGTACTGCATCACTTTCCCTAAAATGCTGCTGCACATACAGTCCGACGGTGAAATGCCTTCACTCCTATAAGATTATTCTACTAATACAGAGTTCCTACCCTACTATCCAGCCCCCGTTCCTACGCACCAGTGAGAAAGGAGAAAAGAAAGGAGAGAGCTAGCACAATGCATACCCACCAAACCTCACCCCCCCCTTCTCAAAACCTGAGTATGCTTCATTTACTATATGGGATCCAAGTAAATTAAGCTTAACACTCTAGAAGCTGTTCAAGATCATTCTGCTCATTTGGTTAAGCTTACCTCGCCACTTTTTCGTCGGGCGTCAGGGCCAGGGTTGCGAATTCCTTGACGTAGTCGTAGAGGAATGTGTACAGGTACTGGGGAAACACGCGATCACGCTGAGATTCCAAGTACTCCTCGGCCGACAGTCTCTCACTAGGATCCCTCCTCAGCATGTGACTAATGAACTCCTGCGAGACACATCATGCAACTTGATAACCACTCCCCGAAACGCAGTCTTCCCAACTCTTATAAAACGACACCTTTCTCAGTGTACCTGATTAATTTATGTCTGGATTTAATTAAAAAGCATCACAAGGTGTTATTCAACACGCCGAGAAAATTAAGCGACTTAGCCGAAGCTTCCAAGGCTCCCTAAAAAAAAAAGACAAGCAAAAATTTCAATTTTTTTTTTTTAATCTATTTTTTAAAACAATTTTTTTGGTTTTAGAAACCAATCACCGTAATATCCTGGGCGATAGCCCACCTAAAATTGAGAGCGAATTGGGTGAAAATAAGAAGTAAGCTAACTGTCGGAGTGCAACAAAAAAAAGTTGAGGAATGCTATTTTAAGATCATGCGAGGGGCAATGAAGCAAAGAGGGCTGTACCTCCCAGTCAGCAATGTTCACTTATATCCTGCCATAACTACCTAGCAGCATTTACGCCAAGGTCATCATGGATCTGAACACTACAATTACTATGAGTGGGCTATCTTTCGGTGTTTAAAAGAAAATAGCAAATCAAGCCACAAAAAAGGGTGCGTTACCTTTCGGGGGTGGGGTACCTCTTAGGATTTTACATGTGCACCCTTAAGCTAAATTTGACAACCATATGCCAAATAGTTACGTGAATATAGAATATTTTCAACATGCTGTGAAGCAGTAACGAAGTAAAGGAGTTCTGAGTTTGAATGCATTTTTCTCAGTTCCACTTTTAATGCGAAATCATTAACTGTCTCATGGAGCGAGCTGACGTCATCAGTTTGAAGCGCGAAAATGGCAGATAGTTTCCCCGATCCTTCGATTCCATTGGCTGGCGCCCGTCGACGGGGCTCCCATTGGCCGCTGCGCTCATCAGTTTCCACGACTGCTCACCCCATGGTGCTGCGTGTCCATCAGCACGCCGTTGCTCCCCTGGGCTCGGAGCATCCAAGGTCACCGTGCCCCGGGGAGCGCACGTGCTGACTGGCGACGAAAAGTATGCAGCAGACGAAAAAGGGAGCGGACGAGCGGCTTGCACGCTTTCGCGTTCAGAACTCGTACGGAATGCTTAGGTGTGTCTCAATCTTTTTTTGCTGCAAATTTCAAATGAAAGAATCTTTTGTTCGAAGGTAAAAGCATTCTAATACCACAATCAAGATGTCTCTGAACTGAAATTTACTGGGGCATTGGGCTATCTACTTCGTTTTGTTTTAAGTTAAAGTCCTCATTGAGAGAAAACAAGGTTTTAAAAATTGACATAGGACAGACATGCATCTCAAATTTAGAGGTTATAACTCTTCCTGGAATATTTACATTTTAGTTATAAAAACTAGATGGCCCAAAGTCCCACATCCCCCACTTTATATTCACGTAGTCAAAATGGTGCTTAATAGCTTCATTTGCATATCATAGATTTTGTAACAAAGAGCAACAGATCATCTTCTACAAGTATGCAAAATTGTCCCAGAGAGCTGAAAGTTGGCACAATACACCTATTTCTGATGTTAAATCTCCCCTGCAAATTTAATTCCAATCACTCGAGCAGAAGTTAAATCTCTAGCCAGTGTCCCCCCTAAAGGAAATAATTTTTAAAGTTCCTCCCATCAGCTTTTGCATCTTTCGTGCTTTGTCTGGACTAGGTCGGCACAAGCATTTTGGTCACCATTCTTGTGTTGTCCAGACTATGTTGGATAGTCCCGATAACACATCCCAAAAGACTTTTAGACAAATACTAGCTGTATAGTTGAGTGGAGCCTGTTGTTCTTCATAGCAACTCTGACTAATACAGGAGACACTTAACACTGCTTAAGTATAGAAAAGCTTTTGCATTCCTACACATAAGCTCGTAGGAATGAACTGCATGTAGGAATGCTCTTGCATTCCTACAAGCAGCGAGCCCCGCTGTCCGCGGCACAGAGGACAGCGGGCAGCGTGCCCCACTCCTCCGCGGCGTTACAAGGCTGAAAGCAGAGTGAAGAACATGTGAGGAGTGGGAATTTCCTGCTCCCCCCCCCCCTCCCTCCGGACATCGGCCACGCTTGACATGTGACCCAAGAAGGGGGAGAACGGGGCAGCCGCGGGCGCGCCACCCTATCCCTTTTATTGGTGCACTAGGCTGCAGCGCCATGGTGTGGCACTCCTCAGAACTATGACGTGTCAAAGCCAAAAAGAATTTATTCCTTGTTTCGCTGCTACAAACAACAGGCTTCGCTCCATGGGACAGGGCAATTTAGGTGCCGTTTTTCGCGGCTTCAAAAACTGGTAACACCGGTTCGCTCTGTGGGACAGTTAATGCTTTCGCATTAATAACAAAATGCTAGTGACATTCAGCAAGCACAAGGACCCTGAGCTGCACGTCTTCAATCTTCTCCAGGATCTTTGACGGGTTGTACTCTCCGCTTCGGTACGAGAGCAGCTGGGAGAAGTCGAAGGGCGGGTGTCCCTCCGTGAAGAGCTCTGTCAGAACGCATCTGCGAATTCAGAGGAGCGAGCTATCAGTTTAGAGATCTGCAGTAACTCCAGTTTAGCTCACAATGGTGCTACGTCCTGAAAGAAAAACGCACTAATACAGTCATTGACAGAATGAGAATGGCAGGGTGTGTCTCTCGAATGCCAGACCTCCAGCATGTGCTCCGTGGCTTCCGCCATGCTTTGGCCACGTGCGCACGCTGAAGGAGCACGAGATGCCAAAGCGTCGTCGAACAGGTGGGAAGTTCGCGCTGGAGGTGGGACAACTGCAAAACCTCCCTGCATTTCTCACCTTGTCAGTGACCATAGTACACATACACTGCTCACCACATTGAACTGAAGCTTGTGCTGGGCCTACTCTTTGTCAGACACAAGCATTTCCTTCTTCTACGCAGGCACATGTTTTATGGCACCATTGCCGTGGGTCTTTGTTACCCCCTCCCACATCCAATTGCGGCACGCGCAAATATCCTGAAGGAAATGGCAGCTGAGAGTTCACAGGATATAAATTCATGCCCATGCTTCAATTAAGTGTGTTCAAAACTGCGTAATATATGAAAAAAAAAAAAATTCAAATCCATATATTTATACAAAATGTGAAATATAAAGATAGCACATGCAAAAAGTGTTATTAAAATTTGAGAATTATTTTCTTACCTTTAAAGTATCTTCACTATATCTAGAGTGTGACAGATTAATATTATGTGACTGCAAATTATAAAATAAAAGCTTTTTTTTTTTATATATAAAAAAAGATTGGGATTAAGTTTGGCTAAGAAATAATTGTAGCAGTCCTCAAAGATGAAAAGAAATCTCTAGGCACCCATGTTATTTAGAAAAATGGTAGTTAATGCTAGATTCTTTTTAAGCCTATTGTCTAGCTATCTTTCTGTCCATCATGTCAGCTTAGCAAAGTGGAAACAAACAGAGTTAGGATTTCGCCGCAGACATCTGAAAGAGCACTAGTATACCCCAGCCATTGCGGAGTGAATGCCAACCACCTATTATTTATTGTCTGCACAGGTTATGTACCCATATCAAAATGGACATTTGAGCGAGCGTTTACTTTATTTCATTTAACGATTTTGTCCCGAATCTCAGTCCCCAAAAAAACAAAAATGCCAGGATGTTAGCATAGGTAACTTAATTAGACAATCATCTAAGCCGGTCTCTCTATCTCTGTTATTTGTGATGTTCCTTATATTATACCGTATTTTCAAGACCACAGTTCGCACCCAATGCATACAGTCTGCAGGGTGAAATTTCTGTGAAAAAAGCACACCTTGACGGAAGCCAGCTTTATTAGCTCACAAAGAAGCTTGTATCATACATAAATCATTATAAACAGACTGTAATTTATAAAATCCGTCGTGTTTTGCCATAATACTCTATCAATAAAGAACAAATCCTTGCATGGTTGGCACTTGTAGATAGTTTGCGACGCATAAAATTCCAAGCTCTAAGCATGTGGACTATAGTCCACATGCGTAGGTAGTTGCCACAGCCTCAAATAAAAATATAGGCCTGAACTTCCTTCTGAATATCCCAGAGTTCACACGTCAAATGCAGAGGCAGGCATCCTGAGCTGTCCCACGCTTTTTCAAACAAAAAAAACCTTGTACAGGAGCCACTACCCTTTCGCCCAAAAAGATATGTTTGCACTCCCTCCGAGTGGCTGACGGCATCCCGAACTGGCCGCTTTTTTAGGGGCGAAGCTCCTTAGGGCCTAGCCTTGTCCTTCCGGCATCCGTGCTCACATCGATCTTCCAGGTGCTCATGCTTGTGCTCGTAAGCTCACGTGCTCATGTGAAAAAAAAAATGATGAAAAAAAAAAAAAACAAGTTTGAGCAGTCGACAGGATTTGAACCTGTGCGGGGAGACCTCAATGGATTTCTAGTTCATCGCCTTAACCCCTCGGCCACGACTGCGGGACGAGTGGGGGGCTTCGAGATGTGGTAGTAACTCAAGAGCTGGGGATGTCATAGATGAAATGTTGCATGTAACCGCTCAACGTCTATACAGGAGAGGGCACTGCGATGAAATGCGTATATAATTGCGTTAAACTTTGCATGCATTGGCTCAATGTTTATAGACGAGAGGGCGCTGCGGTCAAATGCTCAAATGCGTATACTATAACCACGTTCCATACCACGCATTCTCTTTCTGACATGAATGAAAACGAACGAAAGGCTCGGCATGCTGTGGCTCAGCGTCTATGCAGACAAGCACCACCAGAGCTTTGCCCCAATCATCATCATTCACCACGTGGAGATGCAGTCAATTTTTACTTTTGGGCACAAGTTCGCCCCATTAAACGTTTCAGTTTCCCCTAGTCATTTTTGCCAACTTTTACCCGGTCATTGCAGAGCGAAACCGCGATGTAACTGCTTTCACCGGCAGGTGGGAAGATTGGTTAGAGAGCCTAGATTTAAGAGAGGGGGAAACTAAAACCACGGCACACTTTTTCAATTTAATGGAGGGACACCACCTGAACCAATCTATTACAAGCGTGCATGCGTTGCGTCGTTGCCTGGTGAGGAGGAAAGCAGGCGGTGAGGCGGAGACGTTTGCAGACGCGGCCAACAATCCACGTGACCCCGATCGGGCCGTCGTAAACGTTCAGTAATCTAGGCTCGCTAGCACTGACACAAATCCATAGGACAAATAATTCTGAGTGCCACGATTAAAAGACTGGCCTGGAAGCTTCACATTTTCGAACCGGAACCTTTGTCCGCAAAATGTAGGGGATGCTTCGTGTTGGCCGTTACCCGAGAGAGAAGATGTCCATGGCAGGCGTCAATTCCCCCGTCCCGATGCCCTCCTCCGGAAGGAAGTGGCTAGAGTCCGGATTGAGAGTCTTGACGAAACGCTCCGGCGCAATGTAGCACGTCCTTCGTCGCGACGTGTCGAAGAAGTAAGAGAAGTCCGCGGGATTGTCCTGCGGGGAAGAAGAGAGAAAATAACCTCAATATCTTTTGTGGATGCTTAGGGCTGGCTCGTGCGTTTGAATTTGTATGCAATCGACTGCGTTGCAATAGCTTGTGACCTCTTACGAGAGAACATACTGGTATACTGGTGCCGTCTATTGGGTAGCCCTGGAACAGTTCCGATCTGCATATAACTAGACTGGAGGTATTGCAGTCTTTGCAAGATTAATCTATGCATTACCTACGAGAAATTATAGTTTTATACGATTTTCACTTATTTCGAGCACACGGCGAAAGGATGGAACGTAACGTGTGCAGGGAATTTCTCAAAACGTGAGCCATGTCATTCCTGTGAAAAGTATGTACCGCGCAGAAAAAAGGGTTAACGTTGTATATTCCCTCTGCCAAAGGGGCCATTTGGAAAAATTAACAATGTTCGGTATGATTAGTGTACTAAATGGCTTTGAGCAATTAACCTTTTAATTAGTGAGGTTATAAGTATGATTACAATTAGAAACTTGCCGCGGATCGTAGAGAACAACCGAATCAGCTCGCTTTAGAAATACAGAAGGCACTTAGCATTTCTAGCGCACTCTGAAAAAATGCTCTATTTTGGAAGCGTTTCTAGGTTTCGGTTTTTTACTGGAGTGCACCTATGCGCTGTCGGTCCTGCACCCCCAAGACCGAGGCGCGCAGCTACCGCTTTACCTCCGCTCTAAGAAGGACAGAAGCGCGGTGCACGTGCGCCACGTCACGCTACAATTTCTCCTACGAGGAAACCAAAACATAGGTATGAAGGACAGAAGCGTGGTGCACGTGCGTCATGTCTCGCTACATTTTCTCCTATGAGGAAACCGAAACATAAAAACGCGTCCAAACTGAGTTTTTTCAGAAGGCAGAGAATGCTATACGTGCCATCTATATTTCCAAGAATGAGTCGACTTAGTGGTTTTTGACGATCCTCAGCAAGTTTTACTAATGGAAACTACAACTATAGGCCAACGCGCAGTTTACAAACAAGCCCCCACGAAGGAGGGGGGGGGGGGGGGGGCTTGTTGCCGCACGAGGTGTAGACACTGCGCGTGCGCAGAAACCAGATTCGCGTCAAGTGGAGCGTTTGCGCATGCGCCCTGCCAAAAGCAGCGCCGCCGCAGCAGCGTGACATCAAAGCCGTGTGTGGGTGTATAAGTTCACGCGTTAAAAAGGTAATCGCTCTAACGTAATTAATACACAAATTATAGCGAAAGTTACCAATTTCTTTAAATGGCCATTTCAAGGTTCTCCCCATGGTAGGCGGAAATAGTTTTTCCGCCCACTACTCTGACTGACCACCCATTGCTCTGACTAACTGCCCACCTCTCGATTATGCTGCAGGATGACAAAGTGATTTTGCCTGCGCACATGGCTGCAGACCGCCGTACTCAGCGCGCCCCACGCCGCCACATTATTGGATGTCATCGCATCACCGACTGCTGCCATTCCTTCAAACAAGGAGAGCGGAGCGCTGACAGGGGTGCGGGGAGGGCAAGGAAGGAGGGAGAGGGGGGGGAAGGTTCAGCTGAGGAAAAACACAAAATAAACAGATGCGACGAACGCGCACTGCGCAGCAGTTCTCTCCACAGACAGTGGGTGGCAGAGAACCGAGAGGATTTTTCTTTCGCTGCTCAATGCTTGCTCATGTTGTGGCTTGCTTTATCTATGCCTCTTCACTTGCTTTGCGCTTTTCCCTCCCCACTGACAGCCGCTGACAGTTGCCTGCGGAGGGCGGACTGTAATCCGTTTCATTTTAAGTCCGACAGTTACCGGCATTACGACTCGATGTAGCCAATCGAGCAGTATAAAAAAAATATTGTTCCACGGCACTAATAGTCTTCATAGATTCGCTATCACCGACTACACCAATCATGCACAATGAAGGTGCCGTGATTCTGCGCTTTTCTCTTGCGTGATTTGTTTGGCTGGAGATAGCAAGCCCCCCCCCCCCCCCCAAAAAGAGAGCACCGTGATTATGCACCTTTTGCACTACTTGACTGGCACCATCAGACCGTGGTGTCGGCTTAAATGGGATTTAAGTGGAACGATGTTGGTCTAAGTATGACTCGCCGCCAACGGTCGTTGCGGACAAAGCGTAATGGACTAGGTACGACTTGCCGCCAACTGTCCCGAACTCAGTAAGCTGGACTAAGTATGACTCACTGTCAACGATCGACTGCGGACTAAGTGTAACTCGCCTTTGATGGCCACCTATATGCTGAACCAAGCATGCTGGACTAAATATCACTTGCTGCGGACGGTCGTGTGCTACTGCAAGCGATCGGCGGCGGTAAGTCATATTTAGTCCAGTTGTCTGCGCTCTTGTTCGTCTCCTATCTGTGGCACCGAGCAAAGATGTCGAACTGCAGATCAAATGGTCCAGGGTTTGGCTTTTGCTGAGCTCCTTGGCGAATCTCTCTGGTTTCGACTGTTCATTCCCAGTTATGACTATGTATGAATTATATTAATTCATTATGCCTTCTATATGCTTCCGCATTGCCTGCTACGGGCTAGATGCATTCTTTTGATGCTTTGGCCTGCATGTAACTTTTTCATCACACTTGAGCGTTCCACTTTTCTATAAAATCCAGTCCATAAACACATTCTGCGTTAAAAGAGAATACACCGGCAATAACCTGTTTGCACTAACAGTTTCAAGTTGCCCCCTAACATTGCCCCCTAACTTATTGCTGCCCGTGATCGCTGGATTTCGGTGCTTGCTTTTAGGGCTAATCCAGTGGCTATCTATTAAGGGGAGAGTGTGGTCTTTAACATTCTTCTGTCATCTTTTATCCAATTTATATTAAATTCTTGCATCTACCATAATTTCTCATGCAAAGCCGAAACATAAGCTCGTTGTGCAAAAAACATATCACGAGCCATCTCCAGGAATGATGTGGTGCTTTGACAACTTGGTATGCCTGCCCCAGCCAGTCTAGACAAAGGCTGCTGGCAATACTTTTAACACATCAAGGGGCTTTACCATGTGCCAGGCAGTACATAAAGGGTGGACATCTGAAAACACACAGGTTCGTTCATAAATAATAGCATGCCTAAAATATAAATATATATAAACAAATTTGTAAACACCATGTAATGTGACCATTTTAGGACCAATGAGTAAATACCCTGTCAGGGCACAGAAAAATCTGTTGCCATTAGCCTCGTGACTATGAGTGGAGTTTAGTTATCACAGATTTGCTCAGTAACAGCCTTTCGTGAGCAACAAATATGTAATTATGTTTGAGGCTTTATTTAGAGCTCACTATACTTCTCGGTGCAGAAGGTAAATATCAGATTTTCTTGGAGGGGGGAAAGACGAGCCAAGAGTGGTGCATTTTATTCCAGCTCACTTTTCAGTACTGCATATATATAATCACTGACTAATGCCTGAACATTCCTTAGACATGATCCATACACATGACAAACACGTAAATAAAGTATTTTTCATTTGGTTTTCACACAGCCATTTTTAGCAGTGTTTTTAAAATATTTTTCAGTTTTCTGGTTTTTTGCTTGTCATCAATCATGATATGCTTCAGCACCACTAAACAAGAGAGGCTTTTCGTTTTATCTAGACATTTCAAGCTTTGTGTGCCTAAATATTGAAACTGGGGAGAATTCTTTCATGAACAGATATCACACTTGAGAGTTCAGTGTTATTAGCTATGCATGATCTCATGCACAGCAGAAAAATGTGAACACACTACATGAGCCAAATAAATCTGCAATTTTCTCATGAAATTGCAACTAGTGTACAGGGTTATCCTCCCCCCCTCAAAAAATTTTTAGCGTTTTTTCACTGTAAAAATAAACTATCCACCGCCATATGCTTAGTCTCTTCCCAAATGTAGCGACAGCACTCCAAACCAGATGACCGTTTCCGAACTAACGAAAATTGTGGCCGACAAAGCCCACGAATGCATGGGGATAAATGGTGTCAACTACTCGCAACTTTCAACAGTGGTGGTACTGCGGTGTGAGAATCGCGCACCCTAGCTCCTGGATGATCGGATTCAAGATGATGGTGCTCGCTTACCCTGAAGTTGAAGTATCGGGTATGACTCATATAATGCTCTTATTTCAAAATTAAAATCACTCGCACGTCGCAGACCCGACCTCGTACTGCTGTTCTATGACTATCATCCAGGTGATAGCCATTTTGACAGTAACTAGTGCACCAACGTTTCAGAAAACCACTTCTAACTTCTGGATAAGGTAACGGTTAGTTCTGATACTTTGGCATCTGGTCTCGATCACCAGCTTTACATCTGGGCAGAGACTGAGAGTGCTGTGATGCACAGTTCATTTCTCCGGCGAGAAAAACACTATTATCTTTTTCGTGGGCCCACTGAATTTTGAGCTTATCTAGTAAATGGAACAAGAACATTTTCTCATGTCGGCGGCAATGCGAAAGCAACATGTCCTTACCTCTGGCAAGTAGGTCGGCTTGAAACTCGCAAAATCCGTGAGCAGCGCCCAGTTCCAACCAGTGACCATGATGTTCTCAAGCTTGATGTCCCCGTGGCAAATCTGCAAACAAAACATTTTACATGTTTAGTTTTTGAAAGCAGTGAAGCAGTGCACAAGTCTACAAACCTACCTGTAGACTTGTGCACCGTTTCACTATTCTATGTATGCCAAAAACGAAAGGCATCCCTCGAAATTGAAAAGTCTGAGACCCGCTGCGCTTAAAGGGACACTAACAGGGTATTTATGCTTGCCATGGTTTTTATCTGTAAATGACATGTGAGAGCCAAACTACCCAGAATACAATTTTCGGCTCAAATTCATTTTCTTTTCGCCCGAAAACCGCCGATCAAAAACTAGCCGGTTTAAGTCGCGCTCACATGCCGTTTTCTATGGTTTAGACACAACCACCAAAGATAATGAAAGTCATGGGTCATCAAAGGCACACATTCAATAATAGAAATGGACATAAAATATTATACCCATTTTTTGTGTCTTCTAACAAACTGCAAATACGTTGGTTGAAAAGAAAAAAGTTGCACAGCCACGTGATTTCCAGCATCTTTCTCCTCCTCTTATATTTCTTCTTCCTTCCCAGTCCAGTTTTGGTATTGAACAGTTGCATTTTTTTAACTTATTAAAAATATATATGACACTGTAGCAAAATACTGATTGGGTGGTCTTCGGACTTCTGACAAAATGGCCTGGCAAAAAATTTGAGAAAATTTGGGGGGGGGGGGGGGGGGGGGGGCAGTGTCCCTTTAACCTTATAGACTCCAAAATCACTGCATATGAAAAAAGAAACCTATCTGATATACTTGCAGTGCAGCAGTGAAAATTAAAACACAAAAATGCGAGGTGCTGGAAATGAGGCACCACATTCAAGCAGCACATTGAGTGCTCGCAATTTCTAACAACGGCGCAAAGCAGACAAAATTTCCCACACGTACCCCGTGAAGATGACACGCTGCGAGCGCGTGCAGCAGCTGGAATGCGATCCAGCGCTTCTCGATGGAGTTCAGGAACGGCCGCGTGCTGATCCTGTCATAAAGGTTGTCCTTGACGAACTGGCGGATGACCATGCCGGCCTTGTCCGTCTCCTAGGTTGGGATGCAAAGAAGGCAGACATTTGTAGGGTCCTGTCAGCTACCAGATGTGACCAGCAAAATTGTGCATGCACAACACTTCCTGTTTCACAGCGATTGCTGTTATAGGGACTTGACAGTTGCATTTGCAGCGTTGTGCCAGGCAGAAAACTCTGTTCAACGAGCTCTCACGCGTGCATTGCCCTGTAACACCGCGAAAAGAGCGTCCTTGAGGCGTTTTTGAGACGGCAGTGTCTTCTACGTTTGGCGGGGATGCTGCTACAGATTCCTCATGGTAGAACATGGTTAGCATGTATTATCAAATGTCAAACCACCCACCACTCGTACTGGTACCTGCTGCAGTTTAGTCTTTGGCAGGGACGCTGGCTTATGTGTGCAGTGTGTACCCTTTCCTACATACTTCAGTGGCAACGACAAGGCTGTGTTGTGTGTGATCAAGTAAATAAAGGATGGATATGCATAAAAGTGGGTTGTACTTTGTGCAATAACAGCTATAGCTGTAACTTCTTCGTGCACTGTGGCGAAAAGCTGCGGACATTTTATGGAGTCGGGAACTCACCACCACTTTCTGGAAGGGTAGGGTGTTCGGAACATTTGCAAGGACCTGCTTGATTTCTGAAAGGGCGAGAGATTGAAATGAGACCAAAGAAGTATGGAAATCGGGGACCATTCGAGACGATAAAATCTATGACTAGGAAAAACATACAAAAAACTATGGGCACAACTAGAGTTACAGAAGGCATAACATGATGGAAGGCAATGTGCGAGTGCTGGAAGCGAAGCTCTTTCTATGGATCTGATGTCGCAACATATTAGAGTCGCTACTTGAGAACTGCGCATGAAACATCGATAACCTCTCTGCCCATTGTCTGCCGGCACCACAGCAGTCATTCCTTCATTCACGAAATGAAACATTTATTTGAACATCACCAGCTCCGGATGAAAATGTTATTTCGTTTCATTGTACTTCGTAGGCGCAGCTGGCAGAAGACATTCCTTTGAAGTGTAACTCTGTGTTTTGGATCCTGTGTAGAAAGATACTGGCAGCGCCGTTTTGCTCCGCTGCTGCTGAAGCAATAGGGCTAAATGTGAAGAACCGCCCCTGTAACTCCGAAGCTGTCAGCAGGTTCGTTCAATTTAGGAAGACATCTTGAACTAGTTTCGACCAAGTCCATTTTTATATTGCAGGAATCATTTAGCAAGGATGCAGTGCTGGTAGCCGAAACTTCCGGTTGAATCAAAGGTGTATTTGAACAAGTCTGGTTACCCTAGTTCACACAAATCGAACAAACCTGGCCATGACTGCGATAGTTAACTGAAGATTGTAAACATACTTTCAAGGGCTTCCTTGTGGGGTGCGAGTGGAAGTGACGGGTCGTGGATGGCAAACACCTTTACAATTGCTAAACCCTCCCTGAAAGAAAGAAAAAAAAAAAAAAAAAACGAGCAATAGAGAGGTAATTAGAACCGAACAGTAGATTTAAAATTCATTCTAGCGGGTAGTGGAAAAACGGTTATTCATACTTATGCTTCACACGAGCCACCTTCAAGAACCGTGTGCTTCCCAAACTGCAAACGTAAAGTGTTTCGGTGGTTAGTGCGACAGTCGAACCCATAATAGAAACACAAACTTACTTTTTCTCGTACGTAAAGTCGGGTAACTCTGTTAGATAGTGCTCCACCGGGTATATCTGGGATGGGGCGATGCCAGCCAGCTGGTTCCCCATTGTGCCTTTAAAAGAACCGAGTACGAGCGTGTGTCAGCCGAACTGTCCGAGTTGTTTACGTCCTTTATGATCAGTTCAAGTACCACCAAACACTGCTCTGGCGTTGTCGACACGTAGTGAAGATTATATTAGTGGCACTTGCCCCTCTCGCAAACGAACGCAGAGCTACGATAAACAAACGATTAGATCACATATCGAGAAGATAATTCCTCAGTAAACACAGCTCAAAACCTAAGACGGAGGGCATAAACAGTGACATAAATGCACAGTAAACTTGTAAACTTTGCTTGAGGGGGGTGTGCGATATAAGATAGAGTTAGCAAAGCCGTAAAAACCCATGAACAAAGGAGATAAAAAAATGTCCATAAATGCATTACACTTATAACTACAAATAAATTTTACATGTAATTTTTATGTATTTTAACTACTATAAACATAAATAGTTTGATTTTTAATAAAAAGCCCATTACGAAACCATGGCCATTGCAATTGATGGAGTAAACATGGCGGAGTATGTAGCCGTCGGCGACAAGTTTACGTCGCCGGGTTTCAGCCCGTCAAATTGTAAGTATTATTTTTCGCTCTAGCCACGTGTAAAATGCCTCTCAAAAGAATGTTTGAGACCATGTTGTTGAAACTGCTGACCTGCTAGGTAGCTAAACTCCAAGGCGAAAGTTTCAACAGCTTATGTCCAGGGGCGTTTGCAATGTTTATCGAATGCAGACTCGGCGACTCGGCCAGGCTCACGCAGCTGTAGTGACTCGGCTGTCAACCTCAACTTCTTTCTTTTTTTCTTTTTTTTCTTTTCTTTTTTTTTAACATTTGAATGTTGTTGATTCGTTTCAGATGTTAAGGATTTGGTGCAGAACTCAGTTCGGATTGACGCCATTCTGAGCGAGAGACAGCAGATCGCAAATCTTGCGGACGAGACGAACAACCTCTTGAAGAAAAATGTCTACAAGAACTACATGCAGTTCATCGAAACTGCGAAGGAGATCTCCTGTATCCTTGTATTTCTTTTGTAAATTCTATTCTCTTCAACATGCGACTAATTAACATAATCTTTTCTTTAATAATCTCAGGTAATCCTGCGTAAGATTTGCTGTATTGCTAAATCTATTAATGTTAATTTGCCTCAGCAGTGCACCACATAAACAATCAGCTAGCTGACGTAAATACAGTGACAGCTCCTTGACTCTTGCTGCACCTCGGCAGATCTGGAGAGCGAGATGTACCAACTCAGTCACATGCTCACCGAACAGCAGAATGTTATGCAGTCCTTGTTGGAAATTTCCATCACGGACAGCAAAGGTAAATAGCACCGGACCTGACACTTGAGATGAAGAAAATGTGTTGGTTCAGTACCGACACTGGCTGGGATATTCATAAAATGGAAATAATGGACAGCATAACATTGTAATGTCCAATTCTTTTTTATTCTTTTCTGGGAACTTGAACCATGTCTTCAATCTTATGCGATGAGTTTTGAGTTTCATAATATCCAGGCAACAAAATTTACTTCCATTTGGAGATGTTTGCATTTCACATAAATATTAATGCACCAAGGAAAAGGGTCCAAGGTAGTTCTTGGAATGACGAGTGCAGGTGCTCTGTAGCTGCTGTAGATAAGACGTCAAAAACTGTTTCAACATTTGATGCAACTTGAAGGTCACTGAAATCGAAAATAAATCACGTAGCTTGATGTGGCAGGTCTGACCTAGGGTGTGATTCGGCCTGGTTCACATCTGGAATTACGCTGCGCCAGGTTCGCACAATAACTCTTGTCATTGGTACCCAAGCAGAGTTCACCAGAAAGTCACCCACATCAGCCAAGTTCACATATCGCCTGCTCACAAATGACTTTCATAACTTCCCTTGTTGTATCTCATTCGCAAGTCACATGAATTTCACGTCATACCCAGTTGACATGCCATTCCAAATTCACAGATCCAAGTTCACTTCACAAGGTGACGTGCAGCAATTCTTGCCAATCACATATCATGAATTTATATGTCGCACTAGTATGTGATTGAGTCATGTGAACTTCATGTCACATAGTCACATGTTGCATAGTGCTCACTTGTCGCCACCTCACTCGTAGCACAAAGTTCACACATCTAGATTTACATCACAAATCGGCAGGCAGCTGCTCTTGTCTCCAGAAATTAGATTGCCCTCTGGCAGTAATTGCACAATCCTAGATTTCTATGATCAGTCGATTATCGACCTCAAAAGTTTCTGGGTTAAAGATAAAAAAGCTCTACTCTTTAAGATGGACATCAAATTCATTTCTGTAAAGATTACTCACCCTGAACACCGATTGTGAGTCACATTCTTCGCAAAATGTCATTTAGCAATCCAGGCAGTGCCCCCAAGTTGACCTTATATTTTGTCCCATCCAGGATCATGCTCAGGATCATTTACTGCTATGCCCAAAGTTGACTCTAAAATTTTACAAGAAAGCTGTAGACAGCAGTACCAGGGAGAGGGTTTTTCCGAAGAGAATTTTACGGTTGGAGTGCTCGTTTATGGTTTCTTTTTGGTGTTGAAGACCATCTTCACAACATAAAGGGCTGTCTGACTGTACATGTTCACTTTGATTGAATTGGCTGAGAACTTCAGATATTCTTTTATTTGGTTTACAAATATCAAATAACTTTTTCTTTATTGGACTTCAATCCATTGGTAGCCTGCTGTTTCCTAATGTGAGTGAGGTCACATTTAACTAGGTATTGACAGGGCCATAGGATTTCCATCTACAGTAACTGCAATGGGCTAAAGTTAGTTTTCAAATTCAAAATTAATTCAGGTTGGGTTTTAACCATTTTGCATGAGTCTAGCAGCCTCATCAAAGTGGAGATGTCCCCAAGCTGTTCAGGACACTGCTTTGCCTGGCTCACGCATTTTGTCTTTTTATACGACCCAGGCTTGCTCATGGCTTAGTTAGTGGCTCTGTCAACAAAAGGCAGCACTGACATTTTTTTTTTCTTAAATTTTGCTCCCATTCTATTTGTGGCTAGAAATTTAATTTTGTAGGCCACAAATAAAAACGGTTAATGTTTAAAGAGCAGGTTCTGTGCTTAGCTGTTGAGCAACTTAGGATTTTAAAAGCAGGTAAAACTTGCATTAGTTACGGGGGTCACAAACCATATAGACTTCATTGCAGGGCACACAATGTCACCCCTAGGGCAAACAAGGTCACCCCTAGGCTCTATTGTATCGATTGGACTGAGTCTTCATGGTATTAATGGCTTTCCAAAGCCAAATATGGCTATGACTAAGATTATGATTAATTACTTCAGCGTATAAGCCCAACTGTGCCATGCTCTTTTGACAACAGTACAAGTATATCAGATCAGTGAATCTCTTCCACTCCTTTGTGCTGACTTAGTTGTATCGAGTATAATCTACTTTATTTTGTTTTTCACCTTCAGGATCCACAAACAATGTCGGCACAAGTGAAAAAAAAGAAGAGGACCCACGACGAAACATCTCAACCTTACTTGAGAAAGTGGAAGGCTGCACCGTAAGTTTTGGTACTCGGTGATCTTTTTAGATGAACCAGTGAAAGTTATTGATTCATCTTTTCTCATTCTTGTCCCTTTTCTAAATTGTTTTGTCAATTGCTACAAAAGCAAAGAGAACTTTACATACTTCTCATTATTGGAACCCATGGATAGTTAGACCAACAATCATGAAACAGTATGGTAGCATTAAAAGAAGCCTATCCAGCTTTCTGAATTATTCCAAAGAGAACTGGCAGAGCATTTCAACGTTAGTGCATTGGTGAATGAGTGACTGTGTGTTGTTTTTAGGGAGCTTGCTCAAGTTCAGCTCTCATGACTGAATTGTTCAACGGAGAATACTGAAAACTGGAGTAACAACAAAAATATTTTATTGGAAAGACAAAGGTTAATCGGGCTGATTTAAACCGGCAAATAAGTACCGTATAGGTTTTTTCACGGATACCCAAGACTGAAAGGATAAACACTGTTTTGAGAACTTTAATGTTAATTCCCTCAGTTTTCGGTGTCTGTCATAATGAAATTCTAATTTGAAATGCTACCCTGTGGCTAGTATCCTAGCTTTTTAAAACATACTAAAGGAAATTCCAATACTTTTGTCCAACTTGTGGTTTTCACTTTCTAGGGAGAGCAACAGATTAACCAAGTTTTATTCCAGAACTTTTTTTTTTTGTTATTTTGTTCTTGCACGCAAACTAGTGATAGCACAAGCTGCAACTCCTTTTAGGCCTGGAAGGGAAAGAAAAAGAGTGTGACATGACATTTTAGTCAAACTGCACAGACAATTACCAGAAATTGAAAAGTCATACTTGCATTTTCGTTTTATGTGATTAGATTATCTCTTACTTTTCAATTTGTTAAGCAAAAAAAATATTTTTTCTTTAATTAATGCTTAGTATTGTTTGAGGTTCTGCTGTGCATTACAGCTGCAGAACTATAAAAGTATTTCAGTGTCCCTCCCCCCAGGCTAAGGGGATACTGAACTGAAATTTCGAGCTCACAAAACAAGGCTGGAAGGATAGGCGGGACGTTGCAAAACCCAAACACATCACTCACACAGTGATATCTCTAACAGATCGCTGTATTTCTGGAAAAGAAGTGCGGCGATAGAACACGACCGACGAGACATGTGACATCACTATTCCCATTCCCCCCTTTCTCGCTACGTCCAATCAAGCTTGTGAACCGAAGTGAGGAGGAGAGAAGCGAGGCCGCTTCCCCTCATTCTCATATTTTCTGGGGGGACAATGATGTCATAGCCCTCGCTTGATTGCGCCCTTCTTTTCCAAAAGTATGGTCATCCGTTTGAGATCTTGAAATATGAATGAGGTTTTAGAGTTCATTGCATTCCGTTCAACACTTCTGCGGCCTTATGTTCCAAAATCCAAATTTCCGTTTAGTATCCCTTTAAGTTAGTCAATGGGTGGCTTTCCATCACTGTATTATCGCGGACTCTGTTAGCTGTAACATGCAAGCGGCGGCTGTCCCGTACCCTCGGCGTTGCATAGCAGGCACCTTTCTAAACCCCGCGCATGCGCCGTGTGGTGGATTCGCTCTCCCCGCCAGCGACCACACCTCCGCTTTGTTGTCTGCTAGGTGCAGAGCAGCCAACGTCGCAGCGCTTGCTAATTTTTGCTGAACACGGTTTCGTGTTCAGCAAACCACCATGTAAGAGGTGTGTAAGAGGCGTCCACAGTTTCATGGGCGCCTCTTATGCAGTGGTTGAATTCCTGACTCACAGATATGCATCCGCCTGACTGAGGATAATCATCACAACTAATTGTATATTTCGCGGTAGATTACTTTATTTCTGTTGGTCAAGCTTGTAGTTGACGGTCTATTTCTGAATCACACCTGCTGCGTTCATGCTGGTTCACGAACGCATATTGTTGAAAAATGCAATGTGCACAACTGCTTCCAAAAAAAAAATGTATGCCACAATGACTTTGCAATCTGCCCCAATAAACATTGCCTGCCTAGAATGAGTTCGACACCATTTCGTTATGGCAAGAATATCAAACGAGCAGATACAGCTGATAGTCGATCTGTGCCTAAATAGGCGCCCACAAAACCATGTTCACCTAACATTGGCAGATGACGCTGTGACATCGTCTGCTCTACGCCTAGCAGACGACAAAGCTAGGGTGTGCTCGCAGGCGGGAAGAGCAAGTCCGTCACATGGCGCATGCGCAGAGTTTTAGACGGCACCTGCTTTGCGGCGCTGGGGGTGCGCGACGGCCGCCGCTGGCATGTTACAGCTAACAGTGTCTATGATAGTACCTTTCCTTTGGTTGTAACAGGATTTGAATAGGCTACCTGTTCCAAACTGCTTTTGGTGCTTGGACACAATTAGAGAATGTGTACAAATAAGATCGAACATGCAAGTCCGGTTCACATTTTTGTTTTCTTCATATTTTTATATGTTACTTCCTAATATGTGGAGAAAACGAAATCAGAAATGTTTTTTAAAAAGACCAAATATCTCTAAAGAAAAGAAAAAAGCATGACTGGCCCAAGACAGCAACTCAGTTTTGGGCTGTGTCGGATCTGTCAAGTTTGACTGCATGGAATAGGCAAACTTAAAATACCAAAAACCCTAATATTTTTCAAGAAGCAGTGAATTATAGTTACTATATTCTTTAATGTTTACAGAATTCTAAAAACTATATATCATGCATAAAAAATTCACAGATGTTTTTTGAAAGTGAAATTTTGATCCTATTTTTGTGAAATTTGAAATTTTGATCCTATTTTTATGACTCATTATCTTATTATGTGTTAAGGAAATTAAACAAACTTTTTCATGTCCTTCATAAAAGTGTCTCTATATCGAAAAATAAATTGCTGCTGTATTTTATAATCCAAATTATTTACGGCGCTTCAAACATCCGAAATTGAAAATTTTTCGCAACTTCAACATGCAAATAAAAAAAAAAAAATTCATTCTTTTTTTAAGATTTGCGGGGAAACTCTCCTTTACACCCTCGTAAGGTTCCATTAGAAACATGTTGCATCATTTTGTTTCCGGCAGAAGTACAGCGCTTTGAAATATACCTCCCCATATGGACATTTTTGTCCAAGGCCACTGCCACAGAACTTTCCACAATGTCCTGTTTTTTACTGCTGCACAAGTCCGAATTCTACATCTGGACAACTCTAAATGCATCTCTGAAGTGCACATAACTCAGGACAGCACTTCGGAGCATCGAAGATGCGAACTAAGACGAGCTCGCCCTTCGTGTTTACCTGATTGTTGCATAGGTCACTGCACGGCCGCACAAACTTAAACACAAATCATCAGCACGAAATGATATACAACACCTCGGTTTGCGCAGTAAACGTAAGAACTGAACTTAACAGCTTGGTGGGATTGAGAAACATCACTTTTACTACCTTTTTAGGCAACTGTTCTAATGTATCGCTGACATCTTGGCTTGTCTACTCGTCCCGGCTGTCTTTTGGTGCGTCGTCTGTCATTGTTATAAAATAAATAAAGATTCATTGGCATTCAACATGTTCAAGCAGCGGTTATAAAACAATGGTCATCGTTGCGCTTTCCGCGGTTCAATAAACAGTCAATTCCGAGTTCTGTCCCGTCGTCAGAGTTCGCCATACGTGCCACTTTTGAATTCCCGGGACGGCTTGCTCGTTGCTCTACTCTTCCTTCTTTTGGTTCCGAAACTCCACAAGTTCAAATTCATCCAAGTAGAGCAGCTTGACCCCCTTTGAGATATTGCGACAGTATTCGTGACATGTCTTGGCCATTTTGTATTGCCATGCTTGCCGGCTGTTGCAAGTTGTGTATAGAGTAACCTGATGCTTCACAAGCCCTCCAACACCATCGCATGCATTTTTGCCATTCCCAGTGGCAGAAAATAGCCATTTGGCTGCAGGGTGCTCTAATTTTCTGAACTTATGTAGTTGATACTTGTTCTTGAAGTGGCTCGCTGCTCCATCGCTTACAAAAGTCACTTGCAAGTGCACGGGAGCATTGTCATCAAGCCAGTCTGTTATTTTTCCAATTTCACAGTAGGCATGGGCAGAGTCATGGCACACATTTTTGCTGATGACAGCGAAGCTGCGCCTGGATTTTCTTGTTGTAGCAACGCATCTGAAAACTGAAACTTGCTTCTTGTGCCAGTGGTAGGCTTGGACTTCATCGGGAAGAACAGTGGTCCAATTCTCAGCAAAATTGAAATGCATCATGAGGCTTCTCTTTTCTTCGCACCGCTTTTCTGTGGTCTCTCCTTTCCTTTCCTTGAATTGACCTGATCTGCTTATGAGGAATTCACCTTCGCACCAATGTCTTAAGTTTGTTCATGGATGTCACAGAGTCTAAAGTTTTTTTTATCAGACTGCCAGATTCGCATGCTGCTATCAAAACCTCTGCTTGTTCTGGGACTCCAAGCCGCTCGAGCGTAAAATAGCAGTCCTTGGGGCATCGTGTACAATCGCCAAGTCGGCATTCATTGTTCGGCGGGGAGCAAATATTCACTAATTCCAAGTCCGAGACGTTGACAACCCTACCGCCCACGATTTCAAGAGCCGCAACGCAAAGCTTAAAATTTGTGCAATATATACATACACAAACTTCTCTCTGGGGCGCACACTTGACCCACCAGCGTCGCAAGGAACGAAACTTTGTGAGGCCAATCTTGGTTTCGGGGTGATCATTTTTAAACACACAAACTCACAGATTTTTAAACACACATGACTCATGGATTGACCTCGTCATGAAGTGCTTGGACGTACTGTTTTTGTCATTTAGTGAGACAAATTACGTCTCTCTGTTTTGGGCTTTGTCTTGAGCAGCCCAGTTTGCCCTTAGTAAAGTGCTGCAGTGCCAGTGACAATTCCTCTGTGCTCAGCTTGCATCTCGAGTAGGGATCCAGTATCAACCAAACACTATGGTCATCTCTCAGTTTGCGAGATTCGTTGGTGATGTACCTCGGTGCCTCCATCACAGCACTTTCAGCCACTTTCCTCATCAGGGATGAAGGAAGGAGCGTCAGTAAACGGCAGCGTTTCTGGTCGGAAGTACATGCAGCGTGCTCCAGGCGAAAGTTTTTCATCCACTCGCTGCACGTGTTGCACTTATCTTGCGATGGACTTCCACTTGTTTTCACTCTCAGCTTTTCGGCCGCATGGAGGAGAGGTGGAAAGGAGGTGAAAACCGACTTAATCAAATCTTGTGCCGTCAATATTGCTCGAAAAAAATCATTTTTTCTCGTAAAATTAATTTCTTGACACTCTTGTCCCAGCCAGACTGTTTAAAAAAAAACTTTTTTTTTTTCTCTTTAGGGCTCTTTAAACAATGTTTCAGTTTGGGGAATAGGAGAGAAGCTCTTGCGACAGAAAGTTAATCTCTTTCCTAGACAGGCTTATCAAGGGGAAACCAAAGTTGTCCTTGGAATGATGCAGGACAACTGTCTTCTTAATCTCTCAGCCAAATCTGGAGGGATGATTGCCAATTCTCGGGGTCGACAAAATGTCAACTGAGCAAGAACTGCAATCCGACTTATGTTTAGCAATCGGGTGTTAATCGATCTCAAAGTCACTGGCGGTTACCTTCCGTCCTTTACGTTACTCCTTCCTGAAACATGTATCCATTACCAAAAGAGTCGTTTCTTTCCTTGCAATGTAGCAAGTTATGCCTTTAGTTTGGTATCGTAGCAGCCATTTCCGCATGTCTACGTTTGAATTAGATTCCACCACGGTCAGTCTCTCACGCGCCGCTTTTAGAGCCAACAGCTGGCCGCTAAAAACTAACTCTATTGCGCGGCATCAAACAGCAAGTCAAAATAAACGTGTGCCGCTCTACACTGCACGCGTTTACGCTTTCGTTCTTGGTTGGATGACGCACAGATGCATTCATTTCATACCTCGGGACTTTAAAACCAATAAAGTCTGAAGCATTCTCTCTTTCTCTCTGTTTCAGCATCGGGTACTTGGGGCGTGGCCAGGAGCTGTGTGGCATATGCTTTGCTAATACGCGTCGTGTCAGAATGGATTTTTCAGCTGTAGCAGAGACTTACAGCGTCAGCAGAGTTTTTTGTGTTGACTATCTCAGCAAACACAAAAAGAAAATTACAATGCAGAGAAATTTTCACAGCATGCGAGATGTCGGTGTCAACTCCCTGAAGATTTTGCCCCAGGAGACATCCGGAGAAGTGAAAGAAACAGATTACCTGTGCCAGCATTGTTTCTGTTATTTCAAAGCTGAAATACAAAGAGCTCCGACAGTGGTGGGGACACATTTATCCCAGAAAGTGAGGCCGTTGAGAAGCTGAATCGCTTTGTACTGCCTACAAAAGTGTCATCACTCAAGCCACCAAGTCAAGTAGCAAGCCGTTGTAGAGAGTCTTATGAGAAGAGAAAACAAGCTGAAATAGAGGAGGCCATGGTTTGCTATGTTTATACGGGGATTCAAACAGCCTACGGGACATCCAATGTTTCAGGACCATCGCAAGATAAGTGCAACACGTGCCGCGAGCGGATGACAAACTTTCGCCTGGCATATGCTGCATGTGCTTCCCACCAGGAACGCTGCCGTCTACTGATGCACCTTCCCTCATTCCTGCTGAGGAAAGAGATTGAAAGTGCCGTGTCAGAGGCAACGAGGTACATCACTAGCAAGTCTCACAAACTGAGAGATGACCAGGGTGTTTGGTCGATAATGGATCCCTACTCGAGATGCAAGCTGAGCACAAAGGAATTGTCACTGGTGCTCGTGTACCTTACTAAGGACAAACTGGGCTGCTCAAGACAAAGCCCAAACCAGAGAGACGTAATTTGTTTTGCTAAATGACAAAAAACAGTACATGTCCAAGCGCTTCATGATGAGGTCAATCCATGAGTCGTGTGTTTAAAAAGCTGCGAGTTTATGTGTTTAAAAATGCACACCCCGAAACCAAGATTGGCCTCGCAAAGTTTTGTTCCTTGCGACGCCAGTGGGTCAGGTGTGCGCCCCAGAGAGAAGTTTGTGTATGTATATATTGCACAAATTTTAAGCTTTGCGTTGCGGCTCTTGAAAGCGTGGGCGGTAGGGTTGTCAACGTCTCGGACTTGGAATTAGTGTATATTTGCTCCCCGCCTACCAATGAATGCCGAGTGCTTGTGCACGATGCCCCAACGACCGCTGTTTTACGCTTGGGCGGCTTGGAGTCCCAGAAGAAGCAGAGGTTTTGGTAGCAGTATGGGAATCCGGCAGTCTGATAAAAAATACTTTGGACTTAGTAACATTCATGAACAAACTTCAGATACTGGTGCGAACGTGGATTCCTCATAATCAGCCTTGAGCCATTCAGGAAAAAAGGTTTGACGAAAAGGCTTCATGCTAGCCAGGAGTTTTGTGTGAATCAAAATATATGAATAGCGTGGCATGTGTATACAATTTTCGGGACATGACGGAGTCTTGGGGGTGAAGGAAGAAAAGAAAGCGCAAAGTAGTCCTAAAATTTCGGTAGTGTACTTGCTGGCAAGAACAAGCCTTTAAGCCCATTTTTCTTGTCCTTTAGCACATCCTGGATGTCAAGGACAGGCACATAGTGCACAGCGGCGAGGTGAACGAGCTGAAGGAAAACCAGAGCAGCTCAAAGATCTATGCCGTGCTTCTGTCCGACTGCCTGGTCCTGGCCGATTGGCTGCCTCACAGGTAAGCGACGCCCCCTACCTTTCTACTCTTGTAGCAGGACGTGCTTGTAAAAGGCTGGCCTCGAATGGTGGGCCGTGAGCCACCGACAAGGTGAGAGCGGCAGGGAAGAGCTTCAGGTGCCCCACCTCCAATGCGAGCTTCCAACCTTCGACAATGCTTCGGCGTCTCGCGCACCTCGAGCGGGTGTGCGTCGAGGAGGCCGGGCATTCGAGAGACGCACCCTGCCATTTTTATTCTGCCAAGGACTTGCTATGGGCATTCAGCATTGGGACTGTTGCCTGGCGAAAATACTCGAAGAGGTGCGGTACGGAGCCTTCTTGGTAATGTAGTCGTCATGTTCGTGACAAGATCAGACCACAACCGGTTGTCGGACCTTTTTAAAACCGGTAGTTTTAAAGGGCCAACCAACCTTAGGAGCCATGTAAGCACATACTGTGTTGGTTGACCAGTCCGTAACCGCTTAACAATCTTAAAAAAAATGGCAACCGGTGCCAGGTATCAAACCCCGGTCGCCGGCGTGAAAGCGGAGTGCGCTGCTAACTGAGCTACGGATCCAGCACGCAGAAGCAGAATAGAAGCAGTTGGTGTGAGAAAGCATGTGGAGCGGAGAGGGGTCGAGAGGACAAGAAAAAGAGGAGCAGAAACAGGTGGTGTAGAAAGAGTGTGCAGAACAAGGAGGCAGGAAAGCATGCTTCCCCTCTTGGTGACTCACGAGATTCAGTGCAAAGGCTTTGTATCCAGGGGGTGCTGGAGGCAAGCTCATGCAGCATCACAAAGAAACAATGGCAAGGTATATAATCTGTTTCCATACAAACCCCTACCTTAAACACCACCTGAACAAAGAGCACCACCCACCCCAGGCAGTGAAAGACTACTAAACATCATTTTTCCCTCCGCACCACCCAAACTAACAGCACCACCCACTTTGTAAGCTACCGGATTTAAACATGTTTGGCAGAATGATGAAACATGAAGCCAATTGTTTTTGCAAATGTGTTTCATGATCAACTCTGCTATTTCAGTTGGAGAGCTGTACTAATAGCTCTATATAATTGTGTTGCTTTCAAAATTAACCCACAGTTAAACTAAATTTTAGGGCCAAGTTGGAAATTATACTTTAGTAGTGTAACCTTATTTGCATGCATTTGCTTTGCAAATACAAATGGCTTTTTCATTCACAGAGCTTTAATGAGCAAAGCATTTCTGATTTTTTTTTTTTTTCTTTTTCTGATGCTCCTATTAAAGTGTGCTCTGAACGTTTATGCTTATTTGAAAGCAGTGTTGTATTTGACTTCCATGTTTGTATCACCCCCTCCTGTCCTGGTCCTTGACTGGGCTGGCAGTATTGTGAAATAATAAAATAAAATAAAAGCACACTCAATGGAGCTAGAACACTTGCAACAGATTTTCAAATAGAATATTTGTAAAAATCTGAATTTTTAAAATATTGCTATTAATTTCAAAGATTGAATCAAATATGCAAACCGGTATTCAACACTTGAGAATACTGTTGAGGTGACCATGTGAAACAGCATGTCTATTGATGATGGCAGTCTTTTTTTTCTTTTCAGGCGAGGTCCAGTGCAGTACCGGTTTCAGGTGGCTTACGAACTGGACAATCTGGCAGTGGTCAATGTCTCCGAAGACCAAAGTGAGTTCTCTTTGTCAGTTGTGCATGCTGCTATATGTCAGACATGTGCCCCAGGAACCCATTAATCAATGGCATTGAAGCAGGGGAAACAGGGGGTAATATTTCAGACATTTCAACATTTCAGACATTTCTAGTAAACATTTCGGGAAGGGAAATTGACCTCTCCCACTGACGTCACCCCCTTTCCCCGCCTCCAAGACACTTTGACCCCCTGCCATGAATTGCTACGCAGGTGGGATCTGAAAAGCTTTGCATAGCACTGTCTTCTGTTTCAGAGAACACAAACTCCTTCAAGATACTGATGTTCCCTCACACACGGCTCTTCCAGTGTGAGACAGCTGCAGAAAAGGTATGAAATTCATTGGCCGCTTTGAATTTTTTTTTTTACTGAACTTAAATTGTGGATTTTGTATTAAACCTTGATTTGACAGTAGTTAAGGGGGGACACTACCCAAAACAGTGAATGTTTGAACCGCTTGTTTCATTTAAATTAGATTTACAGGGCTTGTTTCTGTTAACGTTGAGAATATTTCTGCCAAATTTTGTTAACCTGGGTGATGTACAAAAAAAATTGCAAATGTTCAAAGATGGAAGCGGGCCAGTTTGTGTAGGAAAACTATCATTTTGAAATTACTTATAAATTTGTCATTTTCATGTTTTATATTGCTTTAGGACAGTTCAGAGCAGATAACTATGGAGCTATATTTCTATATTATACCATCTTTCATGGCAGAAAAGCCAGAGAAACACAAATACTGTTTTTTAGATTTCCATCCTTTGTCCAAAAGTTTAATTTTGAGCATGAAAAATTACAAAAATAAAAAATACAACCTCATAGTTATCTTCCCCTTAAAATTTCACCCCAGAAAAACTTCTAAAAGTGAATCCAAGTTAGGTAATAACAAAACGATAGTTTTCCAAAAGTGAAATTTCTGCCAAAAACTGGAATGGAGAAAAATGCATTCAAAGTGCTCCAACCTCTACCTTTTGTTTAGCATTGGTGGACCAAAAAGATTTATGAAAAATTAATTATGCAGTGTAAACTAATGAAACTTTTTGGATTAATACTCTCTGGATGTTGGTGGATGTAAATATGACATTTTTCAAAATCAACCTTTTTTGCAGAAATTGTTTTTTCTGGGGTAGTGTTCCCCCTTAAGAGCAAGAGAGAAAAAGAGGTATTATTTTGTTTATGAAACTAAACATCAGTTTTCTTGCACTATTTGTCAGTGAGGAAAGTACAAAAGAAGTCAAGAAATTTTAATTGGGTCAGCTGCAAATGATAATGATATAGGTTCACTTGCTAGCTGAATGTTTTCTAAATGGCTTCTGATTATATATACTCTAAAGCTGCTTAACAATAAAGTGCTGCATAACATTTGGATAGTATATATTTATAATGACCCGAGTCTGTCGTCTCATGTAACGTCTGTAACACTAGTTATAAATTTATTGTGTCCAGTTTTTTTACTGATTACGCTTGTCACTCCCCTCACTCAAATGAATGAACAAAAACCAACATGGCAGAATTCAGAAATTCTTTTTTTTTTATCTGTTTGGAAGAACTTTAGTACAACGATTTTCAAAATGTGTTTGCTAGAAGAGAACTAGGGTAGAATTTGCACATGCTAAGCCCTATTCAAAAGTTGATGGTCCTTTTTGTATGTTTTTCCTAACAGTAGCTCGATCGAAGCAGGCATGTCACGAGTGGAGGTTCCAAATATTCTGGCACGCTGTTCTTTGGTCTGTTAAATCTGTGTTCTGGCCTACTATGCTAGATTTATCATGTTCTGAATTTACTACCATAAATATACCTGTAAAATGTGCTTATCAAAATATGTTCATTGCAGAGGACATGGATGGAGATCATCGAACAGACCAAGCAGGCAAAGATGGCGGCTGTCACTCTGAGAAGGGAGTCTGCATTGCTTGACCCCAAGGGGAGTCTCCTTGGCGACGACAGCAATCGTGAGTTCCTGGCTGGTTCTGCAACTTATTATAGAGCTGGTTAATAGTTTTCAGTCAAAGATATGGAGGGTCGTTACGGAACATATACTGAAGCTTGGGAAATGAAACCAATCAAATCATTAGTATTTGTCTGGTTTGCCTCAGAATCTGGTCTTTTACAGTGACAGTAGCTGTTAGTGCCCCTTTCTGACGATATCCAGCGGCATCAGTGTACAAAAACCGAGTTGATCTCAGGGCGCACACCACCTCATTGCCGTTGCTCCTCGCACAACCATGTCGTCTAATGCGAGAGCAGAGGGGCAATTAGTAAGTTGAAATTTGAACAAAGGTTGACCGAAATGGATGGTGCGCGGTGGGCACGGAAGGTATTCAAGTATTTATACATGAAAAGTTTAAACACAAAATGGACAAACCGAACCCAAATGCTTACATTTAAATACCTACATACTGGTGATGGAGCTGAGCACACTACTTCAGTGGAAAAGGGAGTGAAAGGGGCAGAAAGAAAAATGTGGGAGGTAATAATGCAGGAAAAATCGGCTCTAACAATGTACATGCCACAAAAGCAGGACATAAGAAAGGAAAATGTGTTTGACAACTCACTGGGAGGTTTTTTACAGTCGCCAACCGTTTTTTCGGACTCCGATAATTCGGATTTGTTCTATATTTCGGACCTAAAGGCGGAACCGTGACTTACCCCATAGAAATAGTGTATATTCACGACCAATGTTTCGGACAGCTTGAAGTCCGAAAGTTCGATTATTCGGACAAAATCGTCGCGAGCGATGAGCGGAAAACACCATAGAGAAGCGGCCATTTTGAATTCTTTTTGGCTGCCAATGGATTGGCTTGGTTTGGCAGCGCTAATTGAGCACTCCTGAGTCCTACCGCCTGGTGACGCTATGCTAGCCCTTTTTTTCCTAGGCAGCCTCCCTATTTTTTCCCATTTAGCTGCACGTCATCATCATCATCATTAGTATTATCATTTTGCTTTGTTTTTCGTTTCTTCGCGTCTCCAGTCGCCATTTTGCGCTCGTGGATTTGCACCTTTTATCTCGTTCAGACAACACTGGCTTGGACGTCATGGCCCCATCTGTTGTTCTGCTACTCGACCATAACGCTAGAAAAGAAGGCAGCGATTCTCAAGCTAACAGAAAGCTGTCGAACGGAGACGGAGGCGTAACCTGAAACAAGGCACGCAGGCGTAACGTGAACCAAGGCATTATTTACGGCTTTTTTTAAGCTCACTTGGAAGTAATAAAGGCAAGTTTTTCAATCTGCTGATTTTTCGGACTGCTCTATTATTCGGACGTTTTTTCGGTCCCAGCGAAGTCCGAATAATCGGTCGGCGACTGTACTGTTTGAGATGAGAATGGGAGTTTTGAGGACGAGGATGTATAGGGCTAAATTTTGGGAGACAGACGCACTACGTGCTGACTGCCGTAATGAAAGCGAGACACTAGAGCACTTAATATTGAAGCGCACGGGGCTTCCTTTTGTCCTCCCTGAGGGGTTAGCAGATTTGGCCACGGCCCTGGGTTTCGCTGGCGATGTTGGAAGGACGGAAGAGAAAAGAAAAAAGGATTACAGGTACAGTCACAAAGAGGCAATTAGAGGATTGGTGGGAATTATATAAGAAAAATTGAATGATGCACAAGTTAACTAGCACAGCTGGGGACAGGCGGGACAGAGGAAAATTGGGACCCCTTCCCACGTGGCTCCGGCCCAAAATCTCAGCACTGTCCCCAGTGGGTCCGGTGCTGAGTAACGCCAACAAGGTTTGACCAAAGGAAGATTGGTGACTCCCTCGGCGGGGGAGGAGGCTATGTTTTTTTTTGTTCTTTTGCCTGATCTCCTGAAGGTTATCCTTGTGATATCCCGCACTGCCTGGTGACAGTCAGGGAGAGAAAATTGGCTTAGAAAGGCGGGAGGAATCATATGTTTGTCTAGCGCCTCTACAAAAGGTTCTATAAGATCATTTCGGTAGTTTGACACTTTAGACCCACATCCAACGAGAAATAAACCAGCCACCGGATGACCGAGATAACATGCTTTTCGTGTCAGGCTCTTCAAATTATAAACTGCTGGAAAAATCGTGAGCCATTTCACTCTGTGAAGGTGGATGACCTGCGAAGCTGTTTTGCACACAACACAGACCCGCCCCGAGGAGCCGGAGGAAACTAGACACGCGCGACGGGACAGCCACTCTGGGAGGGCGGAAGGAAAGGAAACTAGGCACGCATGCGCTTGGAGCGACAACAAAGAGAGGGCAGTGCGAGCATAGACATGGCCGACACAGGTTGCACAGTGGCAAATCTTTGAGAAACCTTTATTATCTACCTGAGAGTCTACCGATCATGCAAACGGTGCCTATTGATAACTAATCTACTGAATAGACCTATTGCTAAGTTACCCAAGCATCAAGGAGAATGCAGGAAATGGTGTTCCACGTGCCGCATGTGCCGGCGCGTGCAGCAGTAACTGTCCTAAAGCAAAAGCCTAAAACAAATGGCATCTTGCACGCTCGTTCATCAACGCTTTATTTTGGTTACTTAATTTGAATCTTTCATATGGGGAAGGCGTGCACGTGCGGCGGTGCTAGCGTAGAGATTTGTCCCACACAGGAAAAATCCACGGTACCATGAACAACATCATTGTAAAAAAAGTTAAAGGGCTCCTGAAAAGAAAAAAGTTTTTTTTAAACTCTGTGGTTGGGACACGCGTGTCAAGAAATAAATTGTATGCGAAAAAAAAATTGACCGCATCGCCACGTGGTGAATGATGTTGATTGGGGCGAAGCTCTGGTGGTGCTTGTCTGCGTAGACGCTGAGCCGCAGCATGCCGAGCCTTTCGTTCGTTTTCATCCATGTCAGAAAGAGAATGTGTGGTATGGAACGTGGTTATATACGCATTTGAGCATTTAACCGCAGCGCCCTCTCCTGTATAGACGTTGAGCGGCTACATGCAACGTTTCATCCATGGCATCTCCAGCTCTTGAATTACTACCACATCTCAGAGCCCCCTACTCGTCCCGCAGTCATGGCCGAGTGGTAAAGGCGATGGACTAGAAATCCATTGGGATCCCCCCGCAGAGGTTCAAATCCTGTCAACTGCGTAAACATTTTTTTTTTATCTTTTTTTTTTTTTTTTTTTCCTACACGAGCACGTGAGCACATGAGCTCACGAGCACGAGCACCAGCAAGATCGATGTGAGCACGGACGCTGGATGGACAAGGCTAGACCCTAAGGAGCTTTACCCCTTAAAATATTTTTTAGAGCAATATTGACGGCAGTGGATTTATTTGAAATTCTGCGTGCAAAGTTCATGACGTCACGGAATGGTCATTCGCTCTTTCGACCTCAACGTGAAGGCGAAGCCGATCCACTTCTCCTTCATGTGCCCGAAATGCTGAGAGAGAAAACAAGTGGAAAAGAGGGTGACTACCTACTAAATCGCGTCTCGCACTGTCAATATTGATCTATAAATTTTTTGTTTTTTTTCGCGTAAAATTTATTTTTTGACACGCGTGTCCCAACTAGATTGTTAAAAAAAAGCATCTTTTTCTTTTCAGGGGCCCTTTAAGTCCTCATTTTAAACTCTTTTCGTTCACGATCCACTCATTGAGAATGCAGCGAAAGAGCCCGAGTATGCACCTGATCTTGCCACAGCACCGTCCACTTTGGCACAATAAAGTCCACCTGATATGATTACCAAATGTCAATTGGGAGTGTGTGACACCTAAAGGGGGCGTGCTGTTCCACCTTGGCAGCTGATTGGCAGTGCTCCCACCGACAGCATCTGCATTATGTTGTCGCATAGTGAAGCGCCACCTGCTCCGACCTTTCCTAATGCGACTGCATCGTCTTGGCCGTGCCTGTGCCTTCCCGCACCCATATTTCTCAATCTTGCTTTGGTGGAAAGGTTTGGCACCTTGACATTTGAAAATGCATTCATATCCAGTGTTGCCCTGCGTGTGTTCTCACATCATTCAACCTGCAGGAGTTGTTCGGAGCTCGGGTTCAATATTGTCCCCCGCAGTTGTAAGTGGCAACGACGGCAACGCACCGCCGTCCTTTTCGTGTGGTACCTGCGCTGGAATATGCCTTTGTGAAGCGTTTGTGTGTTTGGCAGTCTGGATAATATTACGATACAACATTCTCCACTGCTAGTAATTGATAAACTTTATGTGAAAAGTATTTTTCGCTCCTCTTACTATCGGATTGTTCTGCGTTGCTGGTGGATCGAGTAGATGTACTGGGACTGAGACGATCATGGCTGTTTTCGCCAGCATGTGGAAGGGATCTGCGTTCTCAATTTCCAGGTCTGGTGTAAAAAATGTTAGTGCCAGGTGCGGCTTTGTAGGGCGCTGTGCTCGGGTAAGCTGATATTCGACTAAAACTATTGTTGGCTGCTATACGGGATGTCTATACAAAATGCTTCCGCTAGGAGCCGTATCATGGCACCACTGTCCTGTCAAACGCTTCCAATAGACGCACACGCAAATGCAGCCTCTGAACACGGCTACAGCTGCGCCATTTTCCGAATGCAGTCTGTCATCAATGTGGCAACGCTAATTTAGGGTTGATGTTTGATGTTGATGCTTATTGCATTCTCAAAAATACCATAAAGGTTTTGACAGTGGTGCAAAGCAGACGTCGCTTCTACAAAATAACGCATAAAAGATCAATCTAACATGCAAAGACATGAAACAGATAAGTAGCACATTGAAAAGCCTACAATTCACAATAAATTATATTAAATAGAAATTTTGGCATTTGAATGTAACCTGAGGCGAGGAAAAGAAATTCCACTAACTGAGGCTGTTGAAAAAAAAATGAATTCGATGCATTGGTTATTTTTCAATTAGCTTGTGGGGAAACACTTCCTGGAAGCCTAGCTTGAGCTCGAAGCCAGGCTTCCATACAGACCGCACTTTGTGCAGTTGCCCTTTACTTCACTTTGCTACACACAGGGAAGATTGATTGCAATCTTAGGCCCAAGCGTGCGCCAAACCTTGTTGGTACCGCCAAGGGTTTGACAGGCGACTGCTTCCTGCTTTCAGTGTCAACCTTCACGGTGGCGCTTCCTACCTTGGCCTGTGTTACCGCATTTTCTTTAACAAACAGCATTCTGAACATGGCATTTTCTGTTGCTGGCTTTAGACGCTACATTTGCACATTCGCCATAAAGAAGACAATTCTTTGCCACGGTGATGCTGACCATAGCAGACAAACTTAATTGTGCGGAAGGAGATGCAGGGGTGGCAAGAAAAGGTGCATTCTTGGGGTCTTGTCATGCTTTTCAGTGGGTGCAATGTGGACAGAAAGATTATACTAAGGCCTTGATGTAGATGGCTGATTTTCTCCAGTGCCTAATTTTTTTCTGAGGCTTACACGAAAAGTATGTTTTCAGCTCGCCATTTGGAGAAAGTTTTTTGTAGTACAACATGGGGCTAAACTACGCATGTGCTAGCATTTCAGCCAGAAAGCTCTTAAAGTAAATATCCTAAAGCAGATAAACTAAAAGCAAATCTCACTTTATGTGTTGTCCGCAAGCATGCAAGCAGGGAACTATCTATACCACATCAAGGCAAGGGGTCTCAAACTTCTTAATCTTAAGGAACTACTACTGTTTGCCTTGAAAGGCAGCTGAGGAACCCCTTTTGGTCTTGGCATTGATCCAGTAAAGCAGTGCAGAGGTTCACAGGCCTTGTAACCAATACTAATGCACATTCTAAGGAGTGTTTGGTTCATACTTACCTATGTCTCAATGGGTGGCTCGGGCCTACAAAAATAGCTTGAACTGAAAAAAAATGATGCCGAAATTGCTGTCGTCGCTACGCTGATTCTCGATGAAATGAATTTGAGGGGTTCCAACTCAGCAAAGGATGGGAATTTCAACCCCGCAACGCTCCGCATACTGTTGTCTTCGGAGAGTTAATCTTTCCTCCTGGGTGTCGGCCATTTCACGCAAACGGCATTGTCGCTGCCTCTCGATTTTGCATTGTTGCGTGCTTTGTGACACAACCACTCAACTCCCTCCTCTCCCACTTCCACAGCACATCATTAGAAGCCTGCCATAATACTCTTCCTCTCGTGTAAGAGAGAAAGTGGACGTAACGAGCGAACGAACAGAGTGAAAGGACACAGTGAGAACCATGGCCTCCCGAAACCAGTTCAGTTCAAACCAACCAAACCAAACCACGACTGCATGCAACAGGGCAATGAGTGCTAACACATTTAAAAAAACACTTTGCTTTGATCGAGGAAGTTGGGGTGCTTGGGGAACTCATTCGGGTACTCTTGAGAAACCCAGTTTGGGAGGCCATGCCACAAGGTACGAATTCAGAAGTGTTTATGGGCAGAAAGTGCCGACAAAGCTAGATGTCTCTGATGGGATTGCAGCTTTCGACGAGGACGAGGGTGAGGACGGGTACGGCTGCGAGGCCGCTTTGGTGCTGCCGGAGTGGCTCTCGGGACTTCCCGAGGACCTGGACGTCTGCGTGGCCGAGAGGGACTTTGAGGCGGCGGTCAGCCTGGTGCTCAAGACGCAGGAGCACCTGGCCCTTTACCCCAAAGCCAAGGCACTCGAAGATATGAGGTGGGCCCTTCGTTTCTCCCACCTCTAAATTTTTATGTGGGTGGGGTGGTTCCTGACGGAGAGTTTGGAGATCCTTAGAGGTCCGCCGAGACATTTAGGGGAGGTGTTGGGCAGGATGCTTTCCTACATTCCGTTCATTGGGCTTTCTCATGGCACAGGGTTGTGCATTGAATCTCCACCTTGAGCTCGGGAATTGTTTGTGGTTTGCTGGCATAGAAACGAGATTTCACAAACACCTAAAAAACAAAGTTGCACTGTTTCAAATCACGCATTGTCGGTCGCCAATTCTGGTTGCCATCATGCGAGGTGACGGGGCCAGGATACTTCTCTGGCAACAACGGGAAGAGTGTGCAAGCAGAGTCAGAGGGGGCATTTATTGGATATTACGTTTCACAGTTAATTGCTGTGTGTTTACTTCATTCTTCAGTTAAGTATATAAGCACTTTGTGAAAAATGATGTGTTTTACTACAAAATTATATTTTGCATTCTTGTTGAGCGTTAAGGGGCAGGGGTGGGCGGCATTGTAGAGGTTAGGAAGATGTTGTTCTTGCAAGGGTTCCAGAGCTGTTTCTTTCAGAAGAGAATTGAGAAAGGAAAGAGATTAAAGAGTAGGATGGAAAATATAAAAGTATGATGATAGAGTGACAAGTGTGAAAACACTAGCATGCGCATACACACACGCACAGATGCAGGCCAATACGCTCGCTTGGCTCTGGCAGGACAGAGCATTCTTCGTTTTTATGCTCCCTTCACGCTCAAGCTGATAGTGTGGTGAGAGCTACGCATTCACCAGTCCAACTGATCGCCTCCCGTTTGTCACCTGACCCACTTCCTGCACGTGACTACGGACAGGAGCATCATCACATGGCAGAAGATAAACGTACGACTGGTCCAATGAGCGCACAGCTTTCACCGCTCTCTCAGCGTAGGGGTGAACGAAGTAGAGCGGAATGCATCTCCTCGAAGAAAATTGGGACATAGATCCTTTACGAGCTAATAAATACATAGTAACAATATACATTGGCGGTAAACGCTGCGGTGTCCCAGGCCCCGTATTGACCACCGGGTGAAGAACCTGGTGGATGTGCTGACCAACGAGCTGCACGTGTCTCCTGGTCGTTCCCTCCAGGGCGGTCCACGGGCAGCACGCCGGGCCGTCAGCCTCCTCATCAAGCTCGGCAAGTCCTCCCAGGTCGGCACTGCCTTGCCTTTCTCTTGTCCCCGTGGGAAGTTCACCGGGCACCTCATTTAAACGAACCTCGAAACAATTTTTTTACTGGTTGGGGCACATTCTCCTAGTCAATGGGAAGCTCGCGAATTACTTATATTTTTTATGTCACTGTGCCATTGCTCCCAAATCAAAATCTAAGTGTTTGTCTATCGTATCCGATAAACTCAGAGACGCATGAAACGTGTTTTAAACAGACTGGGCACATGCTGCATTTGTGTGTGACATGATAATGTCAAGCTACGTCACGTGACCTCGTCACATCACAGGACGTTGCGTGTCAAGCAACACCTTGACGTCGAGGTTGTATAAGCAATATAGCCTCTATGGTCTTTATTGCTTGTACGACCTCGACCTGTGTGTTGGTAGGAGTGTAACCTGTCACTTTTCTCACGAAACCTAGCCCTATAAAAAAAAAACTCTGTGTTATATGTCATTTCTCAGCCGGCAAGCGCAAGCAGACAAAATTGCCCTGAACCTAAGGTGCACCTCATAGCATTCATAATGCATTCATTAATTTTTTCTTTTTTTTTTTTTTGGAGAGGCATTTTGTAGCATGCATCCAAACTGAACAGTTAAAAAAAATGTAATTTCTTAAAAAGTGCTTGTTTTTTAAAGTATATACTAGTTAAGTTAAGGCTACAGGTGTGCACCCAATGCTCTGGCAGATTCTCAGGCTCATGCAACTGAAATGCCTTTCAAGGCAAGGTGTAATGACCTCTGCTATGCTCATAGTCAGAGTTTTTAGCAAAGTGTTCTCCATACAATCTGGGCTCATCTTCAGTAGTGAAGGGGTTAATATTTTATTGATCTCGGCTGAACCATAAGCATAAGAAGTGCATTAATTACTCAAAGAAGACAATCTTGTCACACACATATCGATGACGGTGTTTGACGATTCTTGGGATGTGCATAACTTTTTGGTATTAAAAACATGTGCTAAAGCAACTGGACAACGTATGTTTTTTTGATCATATGGTTACAAATTTTCAAATGGAACCTATTATAAAATGTTTTTAGCACTTTTTCAGTGTGTTTATGTGCTGGTAAGGAGTGAGTAGTCTGCGATTCAATATTTGAAAGATGGTAGCTTGCAACCTTCCAAAAAGAACCAATTAGGTTCTCATTTTTTTGGAAAATATCTTTCTCCAAAGTTAGTGGTGGTCATAATATACCAGTGTAGCCGCTACACATGAGGCGATTTATTGCCTCTACTTCATAATTTTCATAGTTTGTGTTGTGCAGGCGTGCGATCTGTTCCTGAAGCACCGTAGCGGCATCATGAAGTACTCAATGCGCCAGCAGAAGATGGAGGGAGCCACTGCACCATACATCAAACGACTGTGCGAGCTCTTCTTTGCCAGCATGGTGGACACGGGCAGGGAATTCAACCAGGCTTTTGGAAACAGCAATAGCTGTGCCTCGGGTGAGCATTCAGGAACTCTGGAACTCGGACGCCTCACTCACACTCATGCTCCAACTCGTGAACTGAAACTTGCAGTGCAAAAATTGCAATGGGCTTGGGTGGTGGTAAGGACTTTTGCCTGGGTCAGGTGGACCAGAACTCTCCAAGACTTTTGCAGTATGCATTTGAATCTTTTGTGAGCAAAGCTTGCAGGCTTAAGTTCCCGCACGACAAGCTCCGCTCATTTGCATTAGCCAACCATTTGATTTACACGAAACCATTCAATGATGAGAGGGAGATCATGTTTGAACTCAGAATTGTGGTCCGTACTTGGTTTCTAAGCAAATCAATGTCATGCTCAGTAAAGTAGATTGGATCGCTCTGCCAAGTCGAAATGTTCCCTGTTCCTCCAGTAAATCACCATGATTCCCTCCTCGCATGCTGTGTAAGAAACTAGATGCATGGGCTTTAACTCTTTCCTGGCCACAGGAAAAGTAGCAATTTTCAAGGGATCCGTGCAAACATTTTTATTTTTCTAACTTACGTGTGAGCAAAATGACACATGAAAATGTGGTCAATTATTTGTTCTTTTAAAATAAACAGAAGTGGGTATAATGTGGGAAAAATATTTCCAAATTTTATTTCTTAAAAATGCAACGTGCAGAAGGCATATAACCGCCGAAACTTCCATAGCTATATCAAATTAAAAGACAAATAAAAAAATTTCAGAATATAGAAAATGTGCCCCAGACCCAGGGCTATTGTTCTGAAAGTTAGAGTACTTTAACTTACTTTGTCTATTTTTGGTTCGTCGGAGAGTTAGCCTCTGTAACACATGTGCTTTTCATTGAAGGAATGCTTATATCGGTGAAGCACAGATAGTACACCTCACATCCCCAACAGAATGCTTTCTTTGTGTTCTACTGTGGAGACTGGTTATAACGAAGTCAACGGGATTCGGAAATCACTTCGCTATATCCGCTATTTCGTTATAACTGGCTTCAATTATAACAAAGTGGAAAAGAAAATGGGAAATCGTGATCGCTTCGCTGTAGCCGCTATTTCATTATAACCGACTTCGTTATAACCAGTCTCGACAGTACTACCTTGGTGTTTTCATAGCCTCGATTGCAGTTCCATTATATTTAGAAATTTTGTGCGCCTTGTTGAGAACATAAAACGTGCAGCTCAGGAAGCTCAGGACAGCCTTGGAAATTATAGTGATGCTTACTGACAACCATCTGTTAAGCAATGCCTATAGGCATTGCTTAACAGAGCTCTGGGGACACTTCGAATGATGTTATATATAACATCATTCGAAGTGTCCCCAGAGCTCTTGAGGTCTAAAACAATATGCCACAATGCAGTTGAATTGTGTAAATAATGCCATCTTTGTTATGAAGACTGATGCAAGCAGTTAGCCATGCTAGACTAGTGCAACCACCGTTCCCAGGACTATTTTTGACAGCCCACCACCTTGTGATAAGGCTTAAACCTACCTTGAAACCAAAACTAACATTCTTCGGCTATCCACAAGATTGTGAAATGTAATTCTCTGCACTAAATTTATTTTTCTTGACAGCGCCTAAAAACCATCAATCACCGGTGATTGATGGCCTATGGGTATGGTCAGGAAAGAGTTAACAAAGGTTGCATTACTAGGTTAGAGTGAGCATGGTACACTTCATATTACTAGATTAGAGTGAGCATGGTACACTACAGCAGCTATTTCAAACTATTGCACATTCATCTGAGCCCTTGCTCCAAACAAGCATGTTTTTGGAAACAATCTTTCATTTTTACAAACAAAGGTAAATCGGTACTCTAACATATATCAGGGTTTGTGTGGGGAAGAAATATATTCTAACCTAAATCAAAGAATTTTCACATTGCCCCAGGTGTTCACTCTCAAAGCTCTCACACATGCTTTATAACAGCTTTAGATGGGAGTGCTAGTGAATTTTTAAAACAAAATCTGTTTTTATAAGCATTCTAAAACATAACTTGAGAAGACTGGCAAATAGCATCATGTTGCATCATTGGTTACGGGAGTAGGATAGCAAACTACCGCACATGCTCGCACCTATAAATGGTATATTTAGGAGGTTGACAGCTTGGTCATTTTTTTGTCTTGGCGAAGGCAAAAGTGTAATGACCTTGCCAAGGCGTAATAGTAGAGGGTATGCTGAGTGCATAGGAACTGCAATCTCATAGTTTGTGATTGTGTTGTCTGCTTAAAAAAAATTAGAGTAATTTATTTTTATTTGAGACGCATGAAGTTATGCTTTTATTGAATCAAATATGAATCGGATGGTCACATCATTAGAACAGTTTGATACCTGTATTAATAATTTTGAATGTATAGAGTGGCTACAGTGGATCTTGCACTGTAAAACGAGCTGTAAAAATCATTGCCTGTACGTAGAAAGCTCGAGCATTTACCAATTATGCATTGAGGTGGTGCATTTCAGCTGATGACATTTTAAGCCATAGCTCTCTTTTTATGAAAATGAGATTAACTGTCTTACCAGGGTCAACGACAAAGAAGTTCGCAGACGACCGAGTTAGCGATGCTTGTAACGTGTGACGCCATTTTCCGATAGGCATAGTGAGCAGGTGACGCAATCTGTTGTCTGCTCGTAACGCTAGAACTTGAGATAAAGGTCTGTGCCAAAATGATTTGAGAGCAGGTTGGTAAAGATGATTTGAAAAACACACAAGAATAGAACATGTAGGGACGAGGCAGACAGTACAGTTCTTTCATAAGTTTAACATTTCATACAGTTATTTCATTGAAAGAACTGTACTGTGTGTCTTCGTTCCTGCATGTTTTATTCTTTCGTGTTCAAGTTGCTACCAGTTTCTTTCTAATAGGCAAATGTGGCTTACCTTCTACTCTTCGCAGCTTTTGTGGTGTGGGCCAGGGACCAGCTGCACAACTTCGTGAAGGTCTTCTCGAATCACGTGTTCACCACCCAAGTCTCGCTGTCGGAGGCCACCGAGTGCATCCTGGCTGTCCGCACGCACTGCGAACAGGTGAGGCTTCATTCAGGCCTTCTTGAAGCGGCTGTTTCCACTCTGACTTCCAGCAACACTTCACATGGTACAAGGCCATCATCTGTTAGCCATAAATTATGTACTGGGTGAAAGGAGAAAACTGGACTGCATTTTTTTTCTCTGCCAAATGTAGCACTAGCAGTTTGGACCAGGTGGCAAAGTTTCAGCACTGTTAACCTGATACAAAAGTTATAAGCGATTGTTGGAAAGTTTTATCAAGATAATGGGGCGCTTTCTTTGTAGAAGACACCTTTCATCTCCATGTATTCGCGAGGTCCTTCAACCACTATTTCCTGACTGAAAATTTCCGAAAATTGCTGGAAACTTTGGAGTTGCATAACGGTATATGCTGAAATTTAAGTATCTGGTCCCAGCTGCTAGCACTACATTTAAGCAGAAACTAAGCGTTGGTGACACATAATTTTATTTTTTTTTTAAGTGAGAAAAGCACGGTTTTCTTTTCTCCTAAACACCTGGTATTTGTTTTATCTTGGTTTTCAGGAAAAAATGTCTGATCACTGGCATGCATCTTTAGTTGCTTTTTACACATTATAATTATTACTCTAAAACTTTCTTTACACATCCTAACAATATGGTTTTCCCATCTGTGTTGTGCACGTTGTATATTTCTATGCATGTCCCTTGTATCAAGACTTTGAACATTCTGAAGCACGGAATAATAAATGATTAATTTTAATATCATATGTTGTGCACGTTGTATATTTCTATGCATGTCCCTTGTATCAAGACTTTGAACATTCTGAAGCACGGAATAATAAATGATTAATTTTAATATCATATTGCAAAGTTCCTGCAGTCTTGCCACTTTCTGCCACCTTTCGGTGTTTCCTCTCAGCTGTGGGAGATTGGCTTGGATCTGTCGTTCATGCTGGAAAGGCTGCTGAAGAACGACGTGGAGCGCATCATCACTGACTCCCGAGACAAGGCCCTGGAAGCAATCAAGCTGAGGGCGGCCGACGACCGCTGGCGGGCACAGAACCTCTACAAGAAGTGAGGCTGCTTCTGCACTCCTTGGGGGCTGGGTCATGGCCCTCGCCCACTCATCCAAGTGTTGCATCTTGAATCAGTGGGCAAGGCCTTAGCACACTGGCATGCCATCCTTCAGGTAGCCATAAAACTGCATAGAGCTAGACTAAGGTTTTGCAGTATTTGCAAAACCTTAGTCAAATAGGGTCATAAGGTTTTTCAATACTGCAAAACCTTAGTCATAGAAAGTTTTGCAGCATTATTCAGAAAATATTGTCTATAAGAAAGGGTCATTTATAAGTTATAACATTGTTAGAGCTATTGAAGCCCACGATTAAAACATTCTATGAGCCCGATCATGCTGACGAAGACCAGGGTGCACAGATGTCTCGCACCTACTATACTGTGCTATTTTTTTTACTTTTATTATCTAGTTTTTTTTCTTATTTTTATGTATTTTGATTTTATTTTATTTTTGATTATATTATTTCTTTATTTGTCTATTTATCATTTATTTTATTTGTTTATTAGGTTTTTCTTTGTTATTTTATCATTTTCGTTCAAAACGTGCCACCATTCAAATAAAATAATTTAGTATTCCTCCAGAGCAGCTGCGGTACACAGCTGCCCACGAATCCAGATAAAGCCATTAATGTGACCGCATAAATTGGCTTGGTAATGTACCACGCTATGATTTACCACAGAGGTGCCCAAAGGTGGTGGAAGCATTACATAAAAGTTTCAAAGAACAGACTTGCCGAAGTAAAAAGTAAAAATTATAACTGGTTTTCTTTACTTATGGCACCCGTCTACCATCCACACACCCTCTGCCTGGCGCAACAACCGACAGATGGCGGCAGTGGCCACAGCTCAAGCTGGTTGCACCAAAAGCAGACAATGTTTTGAATAATAACTGTCACGCATATTACCTGAACACAAAACAAATAAAACCAATGGTAGTGATGTGATTGCTGTGCCATTTGTGCCAAAGCCTACCCTACTACATCCTGCTACATTTGATCAAAATGTGAGGAATTTGCACCAACATTGCACCAAAACTTAATTTCAATTTAATTATACTGAAAATATAGCTCAAGCCTCGCTACCTGGCTCTCTCGTTACGATATGTTTATTCAAGTTCTTAGAAATTTTGACTATCGCCTCAAATAATGATTTATTTGATTGCATTTCATATCAAAGACTGACAGTACTCAGAAGTGCCGCAATCATTATCATGCTCATTGTCTGTTCTGGCGGGTTAGTTAGTTTCGTTGAGTGCACTTCTCACCGCGCACTGGTGTACTGACGACAACCGCGGATTAGGCATCGTCATTTTCTGTGTCTTGCTTCGCCACAGCGCACCCATACGCGAAGGGGAAAGCACTTTTTCAGAGAAAGACGCAACAATTTCCGAATACAACCTTGGTTTGTATATATGATAGACTGTTATAGCCTTGTGGTTGCCTTGTCCAATTCGAGATTTAGCACCGATACTTTTGTATTGCAAGAAGATTTGTATGCACTCTTCTGTAGGTTTATATCTTATACCAACTCATTTGTTTAGCTGTCACTGTTTATGGGTGTGAGTGAATTAGAACTAAATTGGCACGAGCAGTGAATAGGAGCTTGGAAAGAACCTTCACAACTTTGGTGGGATTGCTTTTAAGAAGGCATATATACGTTCACATGCGAAGTTTTGTTATGAAGTTCAACAAGTTAAATGTAATTAACTTTCATAATCAGATGATAAGTGTTTTGTTTTTTATATAAATTATAAATTGCAGTTTGATCACAACCCTTAGAACTGGAAGGAAGCATTAATTTAGGTGCTAAAAAAATTGTATTCTAACATTATATCAGTGGGATTCAGTACCTAAAATAACCATTCATGGCAGTTGCTGTCCTTCATCAGTCTTCTTGTTACCGTGTCTGGTGCTTCTCCACGCAACCAAATGCTAGTTTTGTGTTTGAGAGAATCGCTCCTGCTGTGCAGTTGATGCTAAAAAAAAGGTTAGCACATAAGTGAGAAGGCAAAGTAGACATTGACTTTTAGTTGAACAGGCTGACACATTAATCTTAACATGATATTTGCAGTGGTATGAATGAAAATAAAGTGTGCACTTACGCTCCAAAAGTTATTTTCGCTGCTCTAAAATATATATTTTTCTGCTCCAAGAGCTGCACCAAAATGACTCAAACCAATCACATCACTGCGACAGTTCATAGAGTAATTTAAGCTACATGTCGTCTGCTTTTGGTGCGACCGGACGGCAAGCCTGCGTTAGGGCCGCTGCTGCCATCCGTCGGTTGTTGCGCCAGTTATAGATTTCGTTGATAGCAGACTGGTGCTGTAGGCAGAGAAAATCAGTTAATTTGTTTATTTTACTTTTTACTCGAGTAAGTTTTTTCTTTGAAATTTTCACGCAATGCTTTCACCACCTTCAGGCACCTCTGTGGTAAATCGTATAGTCGAGCCCAGTTATATCGCGCCCGGGTATTTCGAATTATTGTTTATATTGAACAGCCCAAACATCACCTTGAAAATCACATGTAATAGTATAGGAGCGTTTTTCTGTATCTAACTCCCATGGCGGGGAGACTAAATATAGCAAATTAAAACAGCCGCACATCTTTTTTCCTGTGGTCGGATTGCACCGGCGGTGAGCACATAGCTCGCGTTGTGGGGCTGGCAGACCGCCAAGCCAGCATAGGTGCACGGGGATACGCAGCAAGAAACATTTGTAAAAAAAAAGAAAAATAACATGGAGGATTTCAAAAACAAGAGGAAGGCGTGTAGGGAGGGCAGGGAGCGCCCGCTGTTAAAACGGTTGCGTGCGCTCTTTCCCCGAACACCGCTGTTGCTCAGTGATGTGATTGCTGCGCCAATTGCGCCAAACTGCTCCAAGGGGCTAACCCTGCTACATCCTGCTACATTTCGCCAAGATATGGGTAATCTGGGCCAATCCTGTGCTAAAGGACCAATTTAGGTCGCCTTTTAAAACCGAAACTAAACTGAGTACTGTAATTGAGCAGGCGTGTGTTATGTGGCGCAAGCGGCCGCCTAACACAAAGTAACGTACATCAATTGTCCAGCCGGTCTTGCATGGTTTTCCCGGCGTCTCGTGTTTCGCGCTCTCGTCTTGTGGGTCTCGTCTCTTTTTTTTTGTATATTTTCAGCGATAGACGCGGATGTGTGCAACGCTCCGACGCTAGCGTGCCGGGTACCAGCCATGCCGTCATGCTGTGAAACAAAACCACGTTTTTGCGTGGCAGGAGTTACTTTGTGAGCTGAAGCAACGGCCTTGGGAAAACTATATTTGATCACTGCTTTTCAGTCACCGTGGTCGCGCACCGTCAAATGTTGCCGTCCCCACATCACTGCAGATATGGTACTCTCTAAAATGAAACTAAGAACCGCCGCATGTTCATCAACATTCCTGTTCTTGTTTAAATCATACGTGACTACAAAAATCCATTTTTAATTCAAAGACTGCTCTGTCAATCAAAGTATTGATTACCTAGGTTTCTCTCGGTGGGCTTTCTTTCGAGAGGGATCACGGTACGTGAAAAATCTGCCGTGAAATAAAGTTAATGAAGAGAAACGAGCTAAAGCAAAGAATGCGATGTCTGCACGCTGAACCCGCACAGCGTGCTTGTTTGTCTCAAGTTCAGTCGTTGCACAAAGCGCTCCAAGAACTTTTTGAGGCTGGCTCGCAATGTCTCGCATCGATGTGCTCAGGTTCTTTTTTTTTGTGTGTGTTTAGCTTGTACCTTGTTTGCCGGCCTGGCAAGCACGCGCCACTGGACTGTTTTTGTCGCATGCTCGAAAGTTACATTTTGTGTACAATTTTGGGGGTAAGTTAGCGACGGAGCTGAGGGGCATGGTTTCGGTTTCGATCGGACAGCTGTTGTCTGCACTCGCGCGACGAAGGATGCCCAACAGCAAGCCTGTTGAAGCTGGCCTCACGTGCATGCGAACATGGTTGCATGACTGAGGCACCAGCTGGGACGCTTGCAATTCATTGTTTTACATTTGCTTACTTTTGACGAAAATCTGGCACGTCGGGAACCAGTAAGACGGTGGCAAGCGTTTTTCGAAATTGCTTGGCAATGCCTACAGTACTGTACACTTGTGGGATGTCTGAGCAGTAAAAACAGAAGCAGCGAGTTCCGTCATGAACACAACACAACACAAAGTGCCCTTCGTTTGTACAGCACTTAAAACAAATATTTTTATTTTTTTAAGAATATCAATTTGCTCCAAAATCCACTTTAGCTGCTCCAAAACACTGTCTTGGCTACTCCAAAAGCCGCTTTTTCTGCTCCAAGACACTGTTTTGGTTGCTCCAAAGGCCACATTTGCTGCTCCAAAACACTGTTTTGGTTGCTCCGAAACGTGCGCCAAAATGAATGAGGCCAATCACATTACTGTGTTGCTGCATGACTCCTTTGTCCCAAAATAAAATAAGCAAAAAAAACAAGTTTTCTTCAAGTCGTCGACAAAAATGATCAAGCAATCGCACTTTGAACGCCTTATCCTTGTTTACCTCTTTCTTTCGCTCTTAGTGCTCTGCCCATTTTTTTTTCTTTTTTTGCCTTTTTCTTTGCTGTTTGAATTTAATGAGGTTTCTTTTTTTTTTGCTTGCTTAACTTTATTCTATGGATCGAAAGCTTTTTTTTTTTATGTGGCTCGCTTTTTCCGTTCTTTCATTTTATTAAATTATTGTCGGGGCTATGTGGAGGTCGTGGCAGGTGTAAACAGTCGCACAGATCGTTGCACAAACGCGGCAAGGTTTGTGATCTTCACCAACTAAGCCCTACTGTATTGAGCAGCTCTTAGAGGCTCTATCTGCTAAGGTCCCGTTTGTTGCGGCCTTCGGTGTTAGCAGGGACGTGCGGAAGTTTCTACATATTTTTGTATATCAAATTATTGATATATCGAACTATTCTATGATCCCCTTTGAATTCGATATACAGTCTGAGCTCATTACAACAGACCTGGTTTGAACATATAATTGGATATACTGTACCGATTTGTGAAGTTTAATTGGTTTTCCTCTAACTGGTGATTATGTACCATGCTGGATGAATGTAAGAAAATTAGACAAATGTTCTTTTTTTATTTTTGCTGTTTTGTGCTGGAATTAAATTGGAAAGATTTGGTCGAAGCAAATTTTTATATCCCACTGTAAATTTTATCATCCTTCATCAAGAGAAGTTAGCTGGTTTTCATAACCGTAGAAGCAATATGTTGATAGCTGCCTACAACACACTAGAGGCCTAGTTATGTATTTCCTAGTTTGTGTGTCTGCTAAGAATGTTTTACTTGGTAGATTTATAAACAGGCCTTAAAAAGCAATGATGTGGTTCATCATTGTACTTTAATGCCTATGGGGGGATCGGTGGCCGAGTGATCTAGCGCACACCAGCTCGGAGCACATGGAGCGAAAGTTTGCGCTGCAAAACCCAGGGATCCTGGGTTTGATCCACACTCCTGCCCGTTTCGATCTGGATGAGCATCGTACCGGCGTACGGTCGTGTATCACTACTGCGTGGTGTTCGTTAAAGACCCCAGGCCAGCGGTTGTATCGCACTGGCTAAATAGCTCATCTACAGCTGGGAGACAAGTTGCCCATTGAGGCAGACTAAGTTCTAGGCTGTATAAACATGCACACAACCCAATTTTTTTTAATGCCTATGGGCTTTAGTTGAACTTTAATGTTTCCTCATGGCAGGGATGCACTTCAGAAGTTGATTGACGACATGGCCAACCTGGGCATCATGAACATCTCTCAGTATGTCTATGGTGAGTTGTTTTTTAATTTATTTATATTAATGTTTATGAGTGATCGGATTTATTGTTTTTTACCAGTTGTATTCAGTGTCATTAACATAAAGTGAACGTTCAAAGCAGACTGAAACTCTGACAGAAAATTCCCCTTTAGAAAATTTTCGATCACGTTACTAATTAGACATTGGCAGGTGTTGGCTTGTCCACATTTTTAGTACTACCACCGTCCTTAGATAAACTATTTACTAATCTTGAAACGTCGGAGGTTTCTGCCCTAGTAACTGATGCAAGTACAACAAGTTAAGATTAATTTTTTAAAAACACCTTGAAAAAGTTTAATAATCTTTTTAGGGAGGATGTACATAGTCCCTCACGTGGCATTTTAATTATTTTAAAAATAATATGGGCCCTAGGTGTGAAGTATAGATAATGTTTTCTTTTGTCCATCTTTTCTATCTGTCTGTGGGGTTTTATGAAAGAGCAGACGCATCCAACAACCTTCTCTACGGCGGCTTCTCCGGACCTACGCCCATTCAATAGTGTTCTCCAAGCAATCTGATTGGTTGACTCTTAACATTGGTAGCGTGCCTCTGGTGATCGAAATCATCCCTAGGGAAAACTCCCATATCATGACGAAAAGATGCCAGACCAGGTAATCTAAAGACCACGATTCCGCAATGCCTGGAGCGCGCCTCCAACACGTACCATGTCCCTAAAAATGGCCCCCATTTCTGCCGGATGAGGTAATGGAACACCACCGCGGTGGTGTTGCAGAGCGATGGTGTGTGTGGCAGGCGCTCATTCTGCTGCAGGTTCCTCTCCAGTTTGATGGTCCACGAAGACTTCAGCAACCAGGAGCTGGGACTCGGCGACGAGACTGACACTCACATTCATTCATACTTTTTGCCGACACTTTTAGCGTTAGCTGCCAGGGTCATGACATCCGAGGGCACAATCTGCCGGCTTCTGTGGCACCACCTGTTCCCACTTTGAGACCACTTTTGATGAACGGGCGGGAAAGGACACCAAACACTCCAGTCAAAGTTTCGTTCCAGGCACCTTAGTGGTACAACATACGTAACTGAACTGTTCGAGCTTGTGTCCTTGTGCAGATGACTGCTGGCTGTCGCTGTCCGCCAACACCGTGTCTTTCTGCAAGACTTTCCTGAACCTCCTGGATGATCTCCTCAAGCTTCACACTCCCATGACTCGGGTGCTGGTGACAGAATCGCTGGTGACCACCTTCAGGGCTCACATGCGTCACGTCGATGCGTCTTTGGGAAACAAGAGTCTAAAGGCAGAGGTATCGGCAAGCTACCACCACACATTTCCTTTTTTGCCTCGTAAAAAAACGCACCATGTGGTGCATAGAAAGAGAAGTCAATAGTGCACTGCACGGCACTGTTAAAGAGCAACTCTGCTTCATTTTTGATATTTAGAAAACTGTCGCCCTCTTCAGTATCATATAGGAACACCCCATGTCAAATATTACGATCTAATTCCGTTTATATATTTAATAAACTGGCCAGCAAACCTTCAAACGAGCCAAGTCGCCGAAATCTGCCAACTCTAGCGTGCGGCACGAGGCGCAATCATCAGCGCAGTCAATGCCACGGAGTTGGAGCGGCCAATGTTGAACCGCTGCGTCAGAGGCATGACTATGTCATTCTCACGTTTTGCTTGTTTTTACTTTTCGGAGCGAAATTGAACGATGACGTCATGAGTTTCTCCTCCCGGTGTAGGCTGACCGGGCGTTCACGTGATCACCGTAACCCGGATGCGCTAGTTTGCACCGCCTTGCGCGCTTATCAGTCTGTTTCTCCGCTCCCCTTCTCTTTCGTCTTTTCTCCCCTTCCCCCTCTCCCCCGGACCATCACCGTCTACGCCATAAAAAGCTACCTGCCCGCATCCAAAAAAAAAAAAAAAGACCTGCCCGCATTGCGTGTCCTGTTCCTCGCTTCCTCCCGAACGTCACAAGACCACGTGGTTCGACGGGTCGTGGCCATGACTCTGACGACCCGAGACAAATGTTGCCTGACGCAACCGAAGTTTCGGTTTCGGTATCTGCTGATGTTTAAATTGGGATTACACAAATAATATTCCAGATTTCGCGAATCCGAAGATGTAGAGTTGTTTAGTAGTGCTTTGTGAATGCGAATCACATGGAAGCCTAAATTTTTCGGAATTGAGCGGAGTTGTCCTTTAATGTGAACACGGCATCGGCACTTGTTTGAATTTCATATATAAACGGTATTGGTTAGCATCAAATTTGAGTGCTTAGGTTAGTGCCCCAAAGTGAGTACTTTCCACCAGATTATTAGGTTTGACGACAGCCCTTTTGTTTTGAAAGTACAGAAAAACCGCAATCGCTCGTTAGCACTTACAGTGTTGCCCTGTGTACATATCTCTCGCTTCTGCGAAGTCTAGTTCAGCAATCTGGAAAACTTCAAGTATAATCTGGTAGGTCTAAAAGAAGATACTGCAGCATTTTTGCTTGGGCACCGAAAGGACCTCAGGAAGCTATGAGCATTTGCTTGTCTCTCTCGGAAAAGTGAAAATGGAGCATTCGGCAGTGCAAATAAGCTCTTCAGATTTTTTACGTCGGGGGTTTCGAGAAACCCCCATCTGCCTTGACTGACGATTGAGGAAGCCCTCTTGGTTTTTGCGCTGATGCAACAAAACAGTGCGTAAGCCTACGGACCTTGCAACCATCAAAGCACACACTGCGGGTGTATTTGACTCATAGTTACGCTTCAATGAGGGGCTCAGATTTTCTGAATTTAGCTAGGAAAACTCTTTTCTTGAGGGCAGGGATGGTCAAGGAAGTTTGGAAACTCGGGGAACCCATGTGGGTGCCCTTGGGAGTCCTTGGGTTCCTAGGAACCCAGTTTGAGAACTTGTGCTCCATGTAAAGCTGCAGACTCAAAATGAACTCGCAGTTTGAGGAAGTGTGCTTCACCATGTGCCTATGTTGCAGCAGTTCTCTTGTTACCTAACAGGTGGCCCTGATTCAGAAGAATGCCTGTTTTCTGCTGGAGACCCTGTTGGATGTTGCAGAGAAGAGATGCGAGGGAAAGTTACACCATCCACTTGTCTTCTGGTCAGACCTGAGACAAGAGTTTAGTTCCTGCATGGGCTCCAGGGGCACCAAGGGCTTCACAAAGTACCCAGCCACAACCTTCCTGTGATTATGAGAGGGTTGCCACTGAGCTTCCAATCTTTTGCATAAGCGGATTATAATGCTGTTATATTTATACTTCTCTCAGAGAATAAACACAATGAACTAGAACTCCATGCTCCTTATTCTGCCTGCCTACGTCGTTTCTTACAAGTAACTATCCTGAGTTGGTATGAACTGAGTAGATATATGTGGCATTTCCAGATCTATCATATTTACTCGAGTAATAGGTGCACTGTCAATGAATAAGGCCTGCGTGTCTGCTTTCCTGGTGCGCAGACATCAGCTTATCATTGCACTCTACATAACCATTGTGAATAACGGGATCAAAAAGGCTATTCTCTGAAAAAATGCAATCTGCACAAATGCCATTTTTGTGTAAGGACGTTATCTCCCTCCCTTTAGGTGCTGGGCCTCTTGTGTCTAAAGCAATAATTGGCTATCTGCTTGATCCTTGAGGCGGTAGGCTCGGAGGCTTTCTTAACACTGCATTTATACTCCAGTTTAGGTGTGAGTGCCACAGAAGCTAGAAGAGCGAGCCTTGGGCTTTCAGCACCTTTGCCAGGCACCTGTTCTTATGCCGTGCGCGCATCTTGGCAGCATACTCAAGATTGCAGCTTCGGCTTCGCTCAGACGAAGCGAAACAAACTGACTATGTGTATTACTGGACTAAATGTGGTATACGGTGTCCGTCCATACAAGCCTTATTTGTTTCACAGAGCACCCGAGCTGAGGGAGAAGCGCACTCAACATAGCTAATACAAAATCTGTGCACAAATCTGAGAAATATTCGAGAACATTAAATACTAGTACTATTTCGTTTGGAAATTAAATGAAAGCCCTCCTGGAAAAAGTTTGCTTTGTGCTCTCGTGGAAAACGGCCCCCATGACACTTCCTGTGTTTAATACTGCCACAGAGCACCCAAACTTAGGCAGAAGTGCACTAAACATAGCTAAAACTGCAGGAAGTGGGGGAGAGAGCGGCCGGGCATTACAATATTTTTTTTTATGAACAGCCATAACAAGTTTAAACAATATATGCACCCTCCTGGAATGCACGTGACCTTGTCAGAGGCGAGTTGAGTGGTAGGTTATATAGGATCTGGGCCGTAACGTTGCGCTCGCTTTCGTCTGATAGGGTTTATGTGAGTGAAGCAAGGCCGAGGCACTGAGTAGCAGACGACGGACCACGATCATCTCATCGCAGACTGTCATGCGTCCGAATGGCTTTACCAAGCAAAACTCGAGCGGAAGCAGTGTGCGATGTGCCAGCTGTGCTCGCCGGAGTACTGCACTTTCTGTCTGGTAGGTTTAACGAAAGCAACGTGAAGGCAAGACCTGCGATATGTTCAAAACCTTGATTGGCGGACGATGGACCACGACGAGAAAACGAGCCGAGTTGCTGAGCGGTTTGAGTAAACAAAAGTGTCGCATTGCCGAGACCAAAATGCTTTGCCACAGAGCACCCAAGCCAAGAAGCGCATTGAGAAATCAGAAATACTTGAGAACATTAAATACTAGCACTACTCCTTTTGGAAACCAAATAAAAGCCCTTTTAGAAAAGCTTACCTTTGCGTTGCGTGCCGTAAGAAAATTGCCCCAATGACTATCGCCGTGGGTAGCGCTTTGCCACAGAGCACCCAAGTTAAAACAAAAATTTGTCTGCACGAATTTGAGAAATATTCTAAAACATCCAATACTAGCACTTTGAAAACCAAATAAAAGCCCGTTTAGACAAGGTTATCTGCTGTATGCGCCCTGGGAAAATTGCCCCCATGACGCCATCGCCGTGGGTTTCGCCTTGTCACAAAGCACCCAAGCCAAGGGACAAGCACACGCAACCTGCACGAATTTGGGAAATATTCGACAACATAAAATACAAGCACTACAATTGAGAACGAGCGTGTTGGTTAATAGATACAAAACTTGAAAGTGTAAAACAAATACAAGCACTATTCCGTTTGAAAACCAAATAAAAGCTCTTCTAGAAAAGGTTCTCTTTGCTTTGTGCGCCGTGAAAAAATTGCCCCAATGACACCGTCGCCGTGGGTAGTGCTTTGCCACAGCACCAAAGCTAAGGGAGTAGTGCACTCAACATAGCTCAAAAAGAATTTGTCTGCACAAATCTGAGAAATATACGAGAACATTAAATAATGGCACTACTCCGTTTGGAAACCAAATAAGAGCTCTTCTAGAAAAGGTTATCTGTGTTGCGTGCCGTAAGAAAATTGTCCCAATGACACCGTCGCCGTGGGTAGTGCTTTGCCACAGCGCACCCAAGCTAAGGGAGTAGCGCACTCAACGTAGCTAAAACAAAATTTGTCTGCACAAATCTGACAAATATACGAGAACATTAAATAATAGCACTACTCCGTTTGGAAACCAAATAAGAGCCCTTCTAGAAAAGGTTATCTGCGTTGCGTGCCGCAAGAAAATTGCCCCAATGACACCGTCGCCGTGGGTAGTGCTTTGCCACAGCGCACCCAAGCTAAGGGAGTAGCGCACTCAACATAGCTAAAACAAAATTTGTCTGCACAAATCTGAGGAATATACGAGAACATTAAATAATAGGACTACTCCGTTTGGAAACCAAATAAAAATCCTTCTAGAAAAGGTTATCTTTGCGTTGCGTGCCGTAAGAAAATTGCCCCAATGACACCGTCGCCGTGGGTAGTGCTTTGCCACAGAGCACCCAAACTAAGGGAGTAGCGCACTCAACATAGCTAAAACAAAATTTGTCTGCACAAATCTGACAAATATACGAGAACATTAAATAATAGCACTACTCCGTTTGGAAACCAAGTAAAAGTCCTAGAAAAGGTTATCTTTGAGTTGCGTGCCGCAAGAAAATTGCCCCAATGACACCGTCGTCGTAGGTAGTGCTTTGCCACAAAGCACCCAAGCTAAGGGAGTAGCGCACTCAACATAGCTAAAAAAATTTGTCTGTACAAATCGGAAAAATATACGAGAACATTAAATAATAGCACTACTCCGTTTGGAAACCAAATAAAAGCTTTTCTAGAAAAGGTTATCTTTGAGTTGCGTGCCTTAAGAAAATTGCCCCAATAACACCGTCGCCGTGGGTAGTGCTTTGCCACAGCGCACCCAAGCTAAGGGAGTAGCGCACTCAACATAGCTAAAACAAAATTTGTCTGCACAAATCTGAGGAATATACGAGAACATTAAATAATAGGACTACTCCGTTTGGAAACCAAATAAAAATCCTTCTAGAAAAGGTTATCTTTGCGTTGCGTGCCGTAAGAAAATTGCCCCAATGACACCGTCGCCGTGAGTAGTGCTTTGCCACAGAGCACCCAAGCTAAGGGAGTAGCGCACTCAACATAGCTAAAACAAAATTTGTCTGCACAAATCTGACAAATATACGAGAACATTAAATAATAGCACTACTCCGTTTGGAAACCAAGTAAAAGTCCTAGAAAAGGTCATCTTTGAGTTGCGTGCCGCAAGAAAATTGCCCCAATGACACCGTCGTCGTGGGTAGTGCTTTGCCACAAAGCACCCAAGCTAAGGGAGTAGCGCACTCAACATAGCTAAAAAAAATTGTCTGTACAAATCGGAAAAATATACGAGAACATTAAATAATAGCACTACTCCGTTTGGAAACCAAATAAAAGCCCTTCTAGAAAAGGTTATCTTTGAGTTGCGTGCCTTAAGAAAATTGCCCCAATAACACCGTCGCCGTGGGTAGTGCTTTGCCACAGCGCACCCAAGCTAAGGGAGTAGCACAGTCAACATAGCTAAAACAAAATTTGTCTGTACAAATCTGACAAATATACGAGAACGTTAAATAACAGTACTACACCGTTTGGAAACCAAATAAAAACCCTTCTAAAAAAGGTTATCTTTGAGTTGCGTGCCGTAAGAAAATTGCCCCAATGACACCGTCGCCGTGGGTAGTGCTTTGCCACAGCGCACCCAAGCTAAGGGAGTAGCGCACTCAACATAGCTAAAACAAAATTTGTCTGCACAAATCTGAGGAATATACAAGAACATTAAATAATAGGACTACTCCGTTTGGAAACCAAATAAAAATCCTTCTAGAAAAGGTTATCTTTGAGTTGCGTGCCTTAAGAAAATTGCCCCAATGACACCGTCGCCGTGGGTAGTGCTTTGCCACAGCGCACCTAAGCTAAGGGAGTAGCACAGTCAACATAGCTAAAACAAAATTTGTCTGCACAAATCTGAGGAATATACGAGAACATTAAATAATAGGACTACTCCGTTTGGAAACCAAATAAAAATCCTTCTAGAAAAGGTTATCTTTGCGTTGCGTGCCGTAAGAAAATTGCCCCAATGACACCGTCGCCGTGAGTAGTGCTTTGCCACAGAGCACCCAAGCTAAGGGAGTAGCGCACTCAACATAGCTAAAACAAAATTTGTCTGCACAAATCTGACAAATATACGAGAACATTAAATAATAGCACTACTCCGTTTGGAAACCAAGTAAAAGTCCTAGAAAAGGTCATCTTTGAGTTGCGTGCCGCAAGAAAATTGCCCCAATGACACCGTCGTCGTGGGTAGTGCTTTGCCACAAAGCACCCAAGCTAAGGGAGTAGCGCACTCAACATAGCTAAAAAAATTTGTCTGTACAAATCGGAAAAATATACGAGAACATTAAATAATAGCACTACTCCGTTTGGAAACCAAATAAAAGCCCTTCTAGAAAAGGTTATCTTTGAGTTGCGTGCCTTAAGAAAATTGCCCCAATAACACCGTCGCCGTGGGTAGTGCTTTGCCACAGCGCACCCAAGCTAAGGGAGTAGCACAGTCAACATAGCTAAAACAAAATTTGTCTGTACAAATCTGACAAATATACGAGAACGTTAAATAACAGTACTACACCGTTTGGAAACCAAATAAAAACCCTTCTAAAAAAGGTTATCTTTGAGTTGCGTGCCTTAAGAAAATTGCCCCAATGACACCGTCGCCGTGGGTAGTGCTTTGCCACAGCGCACCCAAGCTAAGGGAGTAGCGCACTCAACATAGCTAAAACAAAATTTGTCTGCACAAATCTGAGGAATATACGAGAACATTAAATAATAGGACTACTCCGTTTAGAAACAAAATAAAAATTTTTCTAGAAAAGGTTATCTTTGAGTTGCGTGCCTTAAGAAAATTGCCCCAACAACACCGTCGCCGTGAGTAGTGCTTTGCCACAGCGCACCCAAGCTAAGGGAGTAGCGCACTCAACATAGCTAAAACAAAATTTGTCTGCACAAATCTGAGGAATATACGAGAACATTAAATAATAGGACTACTCCGTTTGGAAACCAAATAAAAATCCTTCTAGAAAAGGTTATCTTTGCGTTGCGTGCCGTAAGAAAATTGCCCCAATGACACCGTCGCCGTGAGTAGTGCTTTGCCACAGAGCACCCAAGCTAAGGGAGTAGCGCACTCAACATAGCTAAAACAAAATTTGTCTGCACAAATCTGACAAATATACGAGAACATTAAATAATAGCACTACTCCGTTTGGAAACCAAGTAAAAGTCCTAGAAAAGGTCATCTTTGAGTTGCGTGCCGCAAGAAAATTGCCCCAATGACACCGTCGTCGTGGGTAGTGCTTTGCCACAAAGCACCCAAGCTAAGGGAGTAGCGCACTCAACATAGCTAAAAAAATTTGTCTGTACAAATCGGAAAAATATACGAGAACATTAAATAATAGCACTACTCCGTTTGGAAACCAAATAAAAGCCCTTCTAGAAAAGGTTATCTTTGAGTTGCGTGCCTTAAGAAAATTGCCCCAATAACACCGTCGCCGTGGGTAGTGCTTTGCCACAGCGCACCCAAGCTAAGGGAGTAGCACAGTCAACATAGCTAAAACAAAATTTGTCTGTACAAATCTGACAAATATACGAGAACGTTAAATAACAGTACTACACCGTTTGGAAACCAAATAAAAACCCTTCTAAAAAAGGTTATCTTTGAGTTGCGTGCCGTAAGAAAATTGCCCCAATGACACCGTCGCCGTGGGTAGTGCTTTGCCACAGCGCACCCAAGCTAAGGGAGTAGCGCACTCAACATAGCTAAAACAAAATTTGTCTGCACAAATCTGAGGAATATACGAGAACATTAAATAATAGGACTACTCCGTTTAGAAACAAAATAAAAATCCTTCTAGAAAAGGTTATCTTTGCGTTGCGTGCCGTAAGAAAATTGCCCCAATGACACCGTCGCCGTGAGTAGTGCTTTGCCACAGAGCACCCAAGCTAAGGGAGTAGCGCACTCAACATAGCTAAAACAAAATTTGTCTGCACAAATCTGACAAATATACGAGAACATTAAATAATAGCACTACTCCGTTTGGAAACCAAGTAAAAGTCCTAGAAAAGGTCATCTTTGAGTTGCGTGCCGCAAGAAAATTGCCCCAATGACACCGTCGTCGTGGGTAGTGCTTTGCCACAGAGCACCCAAGCTAAGGGAGTAACGCACTCAACATAGCTAAAACAAAATTTGTCTGCACAAATCTGACAAATATACGAGAACATTAAATAATAGCACTACTCCGTTTGGAAACCAAATAAAAGCCCTTCTAGAAAAGGTTATCTTTGCATTGCGTGCCGTAAGAAAATTGCCCTAATGACACCGGTGCCGTGGGTAGTGCTTTGCCACAGAGCACCCAAGCTAAGGGAGTAGCAGTCAACATAGCTAAAACAAAATTTGTCTGCACAAATCTGAGAAATATACGAGAACATTAAATAATAGCACTACTCCGTTTGGAAACCAAATAAAAGCTTTTCTAATAAAAGGTTATCTTTGCGTTGCGTGCCGTAAGAAAATTGTCTCCATGATACCGTCGCCGTGGGTAGTGCTTTTCCACGGAGCACCCAAGCTAAGGGAGCAGCACACTCAACGTAACTAAAACAAATGTGAACCGTTTGATAAGGGGGCAGTAGTACTAAAGTTTGTCTTAAAACGTGCCGCACGAGCAGTTGTTTTACTGAGCACCTTCCAATGTCATTATCTTACACTTTTTTCTGCATGAGGAAAGCAGGGCTCATTAATTGGTTGCTTATAGCCATCTTAAAGGGAACCAAAAGAGGTTCTTGAAAAAAGAGTTGGAGATGAATTCTAGAGTATTTTTATCCTGTAAATCTGAACATCGCATTCCTTTTCCCGAAGATAGAACTAAACGCAAGAAAACACACGAAAAACGTCCGACCAGTCGTTGTCATAAAAGGATCTTTCGGCTGCTAAGCGCGTGTCACTCGTGGGCAGCGCATGCAATTGCAAGCTTGCCATTTTTGCTTATTTTTTTGGCAGCGCATGCAATTGCAAGCTTACGTTTTTGAAAATGGCAAGAGTATGCGTGCAGAGTTTTGATAGGCGCTGAAGATGTGCGAGAGCGGAGTTCCCAAAAACTCCTAATACGACATCATGCTTCGGGAAGGAGGAACTTCAGTGGCTCTTTGAAAAGGACTTTCTGCAGCCTCCGTGCACTAAATTAAAGAATAATCTCGATGTTCGTGATCCTGGAGGCCAAATGATTCAACTGTTTTTCCTGAAATACAAAACCGCTTAGTTTTTCTTTAAATTTGGACACTCACTACCCAGAAAAAATAGACTTCTGCAAAAACAGTCGATTTTGAAAAATGCCATATTTACATCCACTAGCCTCTCTTTATAAAGTGTATTCCAAGAGGGTTTTATTTGTTTACACTGCATATTTATATTTTTATAAATTATTTTCGGTTCATTGATGCTATAGGAAATTTAGAGGCTCGAGCACTTTAAACACGTTTTACTCCATTTCACTTTTAATGCAAAAGCATTAATTGTCCCATGGAGCGACGCCTGTCCCATGAAGCAACGCCTCTGGCGCCGGTGTGGACCTACGGTTCAGACTGGCATGGGAGCAGCTGCAGTTTCGGGATGTTTAGCCCAATTTGCCTTACAGCCCAGACCTCGTGCCATCAGACTTTTGGGTGTTTTCCAAGATAAAGAAACATCTGAAGGATACAACGGTTTGCATCTGACGGCAAGGTTAACAATGCTGTTAGCGTCACCAACAGCCGTCCTCTATTATCAACGACTGCATGCGGAGAGTAGTGCACAGGTAGCGGAAGTGCGCCGGTGGGGACTATGTTGAAGAGTTGTGCTCCTGGGAAATTTGAGATTCCAAACTTGCGTTCAAATGTAACATCTTTCAATTCCATCACTGGATAAAAAAGTTACAGCCTTGAAGGCAAAACTCATTGATCACCGTTTATATATGTAGTTTAGAAAGGCCCACATAAAATCAACATAAGATGCCCCAGCGGGGTTCGAACCAATTCGAACACGGGTCTATGTGGTAGCAGTCAGATACTAAGGTATAGCTACCAAGCTGCGTAGCAATTATCTGGAAGCATTGCGCTCCCGGCAAAACGTGCCGGCGAGAGCGGCAAGTTTTGAATAAAAATAAATAATAAAAAATGGTAAAAATGAAATACAAATACATGAATATAAAAATTGACAAAAAAAAAAAGAACAAAAAGAAACTAGCACAAACCACATAAAGAATGTGGTTTGTACGGGACACATTCGGTGCTTCCATGTCTTTGTCAGCATAATCAAGCTTGTACAATTTATTTGTTTTCAGTAGGGATGGGCGAATATTCGGTTATTACAAATAGCCCACTGAGTTCTGTTCTATTTGGCATTCACTTTGAATCAAATTTAAGTATCTAACAATATAGAATTATTCAACCTTTCCGAATACTCTGGCTTGGATTTACGGCCAGGTAGCACAAGCTTCTGACCATTTCGTGCTCCCGAACTGGGTACACTTGGAATTTACAATTACAGTATTTCAAATACTGAATAAGGGCAAATATAAAACTACAGTTTAAACATATCTTGTGGTATTTGTTGCTTGTACTATTCAAACTATTTTATTCGAAATTATTCAGCCAAAATCACTATTTGCTTTGAATTCGATTTGGACCCAAAATCCTCTATTTGCCCGTGCCTAGTTTTCAGGGCTCGATCTGTTTTCCCACAACATACGATTACTCAGTTCCACGTCTAGCTATTTTAAAAATAGAAAGTTGCAAGCCAGGAGGTGTTCTATTTGTAGCATAGAAGAAATTTTCAGCAATTTTCTTAACTTTGTCTTTTTTGTTACGTGCCATTGTCTTATGCAGGTTTTGACAATGTTCTCAAGGGTGAATTCCAGTATACTTAATGTTGTCGTTTTCCACACAACTAACAGAAACCTAAATCTTTACTTTCTGCTCCCTACTAAGTAGATAAAAAGTAATTAGCTGCAACTTGAGGTAATTATCATCCTGCTTACATCCTTTTCACAATTATGTCATAATTGTGATAATTCTTTATTCTCAAATTGCTGAAGCAAAAACAAGGCATTTTGACTTCGGTAGTCCTCTGCTCTGAGGGGAGGTGCATTATTTTGTCACAAACTACGCCTGCGACACTCCTAAAAATTGAACCCTCGAGCCGAGCTGCAATTCGCTCTACACGGTCCCCGTCGCACAGAGCTGCCCGAGCTACCGCAAGAAACATTCGAAACCTTTTATGCATCAAATAACTTTCTTGTTTCTCTTCTCGCCTTCTTGGCATTTCCATCAGGTTCACTTTCCACAGTTACATAAATAGTGGTTGTAAATATGGGCGCCGCAAGAGCGGAAGCTGCTGAAGCCGTCGTCTGCGCCTCCCTGCCTCGGCTGGAAGCTTTGTTGTTTCCCCGCGTGTAGAGTTCCTAGTTGTCGGCCAACAGGTGTCACTGGCCGCTCTGCGCCGCCGCCAGCTCCTCCTCCACGAGTTTTCTGTACTGCGAGAACCCGCCCTCGATGCTCTTGACGCTGCCGTTGCTGCACACCCACAGTTCCTCACACACCATGTGGATGAGACGCTCGTCGTGGGACACCAACACCACGCCACCCTGGGGGAAGGAAGCAAGGGGCAGAAGGAACACAATGTGGACCCACTTCTCGCTCTGTCTAGGACCTCGGGGTTTAGGACCCTTGCCCGTTTCAATCAGGATGAGCGTTGCACCAGTGTGCGGTCGTGGATTGCTATTACTGCGTGATGCATGTTGGATCTAGACCCAGGGCTAGCTGTGATACTGTGCTGGCTAAATTTCAAATGTACAGTAGACACACAAAATGCCTACCAGGGTTGACTAAGTTCCAGCTGTCTAAATGTACACGCAACATAATTACCGCTTGAGTCTCAGGCAGCTGTTTCGAACGTGAAAAACAGCTTCAAAGATATCCCGTTTCTCAATGAGACTGCCTAAAAACGTTGACTCACCTGAAACCGTCCTAGTGCGTGCCCCAGTGCTTCTATTGTTTCGATGTCCAGGTGATTCGTGGGCTCGTCCAAAATAAGAAAATGGGGCCTGCAATGCCAGGGGAATTGATGAGTTGCTGTCAACAAGCGGTACATACTAAACTCCACTAAAAGATGGAAGCAGCACACCTTTGACATAGCCCAATGTTCACTGAATTGGCAATAGCAGCTTCAGCAACTGTTATTGCCAGTTAGTGCCAACACCATGCAAGCTGTTCAAGGACATTCTCATGTGCCACATCAAGTAACCAAGAAAATACAAGCCTATCATAAAAAAAAAATAATTTGATTTGCAATAAACATATAGAACATTACCAGCCAGTTAGAAAAACATCTTGTGCAAGGTGCTACAGCAGTGGACCAACATTATAAGATGTTTAGAATTGACCGAGGCCTGCAAAATAAAAAGGACTCTGAACTTATTTAGAGCAGTCACATATTCTTACATGTGCTGTGAAGACCTCAGTTCACGGTGCCTATTCTGCGATCAATTTTTGTTAAACTCTAGCATCTCAACCATGGATTTATAGACTGGCATATTGGTTCGGAGCCACTAGGGCAGCTGATCCAACACAACAGTGCATTGATTCACGAGCTGGCAAGTACCTAACTGATACATCCACAAATTCTGCAGCACAAGGCTAACAGTCAAACTAACTATAGTGCTCTTTCTCCACCATAAGCATAACATACTACTATATACAGTCGCCGATCGATATTTCGGACATGTTCGATTCTTCTGACATTTTCGCCGAACCGTCACTCACCCCATAGAGTTAATGTATAACACTGACCAAAATTTCGGATGCCATAAAGCTTATTGCTCGATATTTCAAACAAATCTGCGTGATTTTCTCAGTTTACAGCCACAAAACAGCCGCTAGAATAGCGCCGCGAACTTAGTTGCCACCATTTTGGTTGTTTTGATTTTGCTTTGCAGCTTCGATACCATGTTATACGCAATAAACAAGCTGGGTTGAGGCTATAGATGGGTTTTCCGCTTTCGCTCTAGCCAACATGGCCGCCGTCTGCCCATTCTTATGGTTCTTCCAGTTCTTCTCGTGGTCTGTGTTTTTCGAGTGCGACCGCCAGAAAAGCGGCTGTCTGCCGTTCTTGTGGTCTTTGAGTGCGAAGGTTTTTTGCCGATAGGCTTCGTATTAAAGCGAGCTTGGTGGACTAAATGTTGTCTCCAAATAGTGCCCAATGGTGCCAATTTCAGCTTCACTGCTTGTGCCAACGAAGGCGCCGACAAGGCGCAGCACCATGATCAAACAGACCAACAAACAAGTGAAAAGTGAACAGTATGAAGTGGAAGTTGCACGAGAACTTAAAATTGACATGAAGCAAATGGAAAGTGGCCAATGCGCAGCGGAATATGTGCAGAAATTTGATATTTTAACTGAAATTAATTTTTTGAACTGCTTGATTATTTAGACAATTTCCTGGTTCCCTCTGAGTTCGAAAAATTGTTCGGCGACTGTATACTTTTAGTTATATTAGTTTCAAACTGTTTTGTTGACTCTGCTGTCCAGAGATCTGTGCATAGCAAATTGGTAGGCCCTACAGCCTACCAATCTGCTATAGAGACATATATTAACTAAGTAACCTGCACAGTTTTGACAAGCTGCCTAACTTGCTCGCACAATGGAATGCATCGCCCACTGTGCTTAATGACACGATTACCAGTGGCCAGATTATGCCATTAGGAACAACCGAGTCAATGGCATCAAGCTCATCCCCCAAGCCATCTCAATATTTTTTTTTTTTTTTTTAAGATGAGATAATGTTTTATACATTCCTGAAGTGACAACTGGTGTCCTTGTAACAACTGTTACCTCTTCCCGTCGAGGGGCAGCCTTTGTAAGCAGAGGTCTGCATTCCCAATGGTTATGCTTTCATTTTCTTTTCTCATTTGTGAAAAATTCTTCGGTTTTGAAACAAGTATCTGTTTGAAACTTTCGAGTTTCAAAAATATGCCCGTAACATACAAGTCTCGGTGAAGTCGCAGCGCAGACCATTGCATGTTTAATTCATTTTTCGAGCTCTTTCAAACTCTGTACCTCGTCGGAAATACCCCGGGGCAAGGTAATGCCATTTTTAGCCACCAAAAGCTTTAGTGGGTCGCCACCTTAATGATTTCGGTACAGTCGTGTATAGTAAATATTAAAACCTCTGTTTCCCCAAAAATTGTCCGTAATGCGAGTGGCCTATTATAACGAGACAAGTATTTGTGCCGAGTTTGTCCTGAAAAGTTGTGTCTATATAGTGGGGTATCCACACAAACGAGGCATCCCCAATCCTCATTTGGTACCACCATAGGGACTTCAATCGCTCTCCGTGTCACCGTTGTAATGCCTACATGTTCGCCGTATGGGACAACACTAGGAGAGGTTTCCACTTCAGTCAGTCGTGCTCATTTAGAGATTAGGGCAACGCACGGGGCAGGGCCACTCGCGAGCCGAACAGAAGCCGACTTGCCTTAGCATGGACATGAGGGCAAAGGCCACCCTGCTCTTCTGGCCCCCTGAGAGGCTGCCAATGGACTGCAGTGCCAGGTCACCCGTCACCCCAAAGGAGCCTAGCTGCTGCCGGTAGTACTCAGACGGCCTCCCTGCAAGGTGGCGTGGGAATCGGGAGCGGGTTATCGACGGTGAGGGCAGTACTATACCCCAACACTATTCACACTCAATTTGTTTCACGCTTTCCTGATCGGGTTTGTGGTTAAATTTTATAGCTCGCACGTGCCTAGTTTTATTTTGGGGATGCTCTAAATCCAACCTTAAAGCAAGGCTATGAATGTGATCAACCGAGCTATGACGTGCGTTAATCTTTAATTCGTGGATTCTCAAACTGGGCTCCCAGGTATCCAGTGTGCACTCGTGAGTTCCCTGAGCTTGCGAATTTCCTCGATCCTCCCGCCCCTGAGTATTAGTGTTTTTCTAGACTAAGCACTATTTAAGCTGATCTGAGCCACGCATTGATGTGTAACTAGGAGTCAAACGCTCCCCACTATGAGCGGTGCTGTTTACAAGGTCTGTAGGCATCTGCACCGCTTTACTGCATCAATGCTGAGACTGAGAAGCTCTCCTCGGCTATCAATCGAAAGAGATAAGCATTTCTCAAGAAGTTTGGGTATACCTGCAGTTTAACCCATTTGCGATGTAGTGACTCGACAGCAACGCATGTTCGATATATTTACAGAGATTTTTTACCCTATTCACACCAACTTGCTTCCCTGGGTGGACGCTAAACCGGCACAGTACTAGATACAAGTTAAAACTCAATCTAACAAGGTTGGAGGGAGCCGCGAATCACTTTGTTAAGTCGGACACTTCGTTAAGTCGGAAAATTCGTCAAATAAAAATTGGCATTTTTTTTAACTAACTTCGGTAAACCTAGTTTTAACGCAACAGCATCCAGAGTGGTGTCGCAATACGGCATTCACGAAGTAGTCACGTGCCAAAAACGTGGTTTAAGACTGTACGAGTTTAGTCCACGCAGACGACCCTACCACTTGTGGGTGAAGGAAACCTGAAAACTCGCAAGAAAATTAACTGAAACTTTTTTTTGGACACCACAATCTGCGCCCCCTGCACATGCCCCTTTGTCGGCAAACTGCAAGAGCCGGCCAGGGCTTGCATTGAAGTTCACATGCCCCACTAGGGATGCAAAACGAATGCCCTTTTCGATCTAAGTGCGAATGATTTACATGCTTTCTTTGAAAGTGAGAACTTTTCTTCTTCGAGGCATCATTTCACAGCAATGCAGAAGTCAGTAATAGGAAAAGCGCATGTCGTCGTCGCCTTTTTCTGATGCTTAGCATCGAGCGCACACGACTCGCTGTATAGGCCTCCTGCGCTGCAAAAATGGACTTGCTAGGACTTGTTTTGGGTAGTACAAACTTGGGTGTCTCAAACTGACACACATGTAGAAGCCTGCCTGCCCTGGTGTGGAACGCGAGATCACAAGAAAAATTCAAAGAAAAAGCAAACATTCCAGTGCCGTCAAAGCACAGGTCAAAGCTAAGATGCTAAGAGCGCGGGCCAAGAGACGCCGTTTCATGCGTTTCCAAAGTAGAAATGAAAAAAAAAGAATAAAAACAAAAGCGTCGCGACACACATGTTCTGACGTCAGCACCCAGAGATAAGGGACATATACCCTAGCGGTGGTGGCATGAATCTGGCACTTTCAGTTGTCTTAAGACATTGAATCTCCCCGATTTAGGACGCCTCAAGGTGTTTTTTTTCTTCTTCAGCAGCACACAGAAAAATAAAAAAGCTCAATCAATGTACCATAAGTAGTGTGAGGCCCAACCAGATGAGCTTGTGCTACCCAAAATGAGGGCACCATAGTTTGTTCAAACCTTCAGCGCAGGAGGCCTATCCGGTCATGCGTTGGCTCTGCCTGCACGCTCGAAGATTACGAGACACGGGAGTGGAGCACATAGCAAGGATTTTGTTTTTTCCTACGTGCTTGTTCCATGACAAAATGCTGCATGAGGGGGAGGGGCGAGAGGAGGCCCCAGCAAAATGGAACATTTCGAAGGGGGGGGGGGCCTTCCCCTGTCTACGAGCCTGATGGGAATGTAGAGTAGCGAGTGCATGCAGGAGGTGCGACGACTAAAAACCTCTTTGCCGTTCTTGCCTCGGTCATGTCCTGCTGTTCGTATCTGCCACGCCTGTTGTCAGGCCTAATGCCGTGAAAGAGCTAGAGCCGTCTAGCATAACCCACTAAAAGCCTAAAGTGCAAAGTTTATTTTTTCTTAAAAACGAAACCAAGATTGCGTGATACTATTGCTAGCACACCACAAACAAATTTCGAGGCATTCTTAACAAAAGTGCATTTTACATTACCCCCTTCTTGTACTTATATTTTTTGGGTTAATTCTTCGTTAAGTCGGGTTGACAATCAAATTTATTTGGTTATTCCGAGTTCATGAAAGCATCGAGCCCTGCGGGTATTTGCGGGGGAATTAGAATTTGTTCGCCAAATCGAGAATTTCGTAAGATTGGGTTTCGTAAAATTTGAATTTCAACTTAGCCGAACCAAATTTATTTTCGCGAGCTCCATTTTTTTTTTTTTTTTTTTTTTTGCAAAATTTGCGAAGTGTGGGTTTTGGAAGCACTTTGCGGGCACAAAAATTTTGCAATTTAGAGAGCTATGTTATGAGTTCATTACAGTAGCCCGATAGATTCGTAGTACAAGTTTTCCGTGACACTTACTTTCCAAATTATCCAAAATGAGGTCCCCACAAATGTTAGGTAATTTACAGTATCCCTCTTGCCTAGTTTGCTAGCCCCACCTTCAGCCAGGGTTTTTACCACCAACGACGGGCACGATGTGACCGAGACTACAGCATCTCTCGTCCCGCAAGCTGCTTGGCGGCTGCCAAAGGAAAGCCGAAAAAGGAGCGGGAGTGCGCACCGGGAAAGGTCTTGGCCATGAACTCAAGAGAGGAGACGCCAAGCTCCAGCTGGTCCACGTGGTGCTGGGTGAAGTAGCCGACGACCAGGTTGCGGTGGACGTGTCGCACCCCAGCGCTCGGGTTCAGCTCCCCATTCAGGATCTTCAGCAGGGTCGTCTTCCCCGAGCCGTTGTCACCCACCTATGCGACACCGTGGTGGCAACTGTCAAATGCTGCAATGGCGAGCTCCTGGGTCTTTCGTGGCCTCCTGCCTGTCACAGTCAGTCACATGGCCTCGAGCGGGAATTTCAAACAACCCACAACACTCACGTGAAATGTGACGTCACGTGTGAAATTAAAGTGATTAAAAAACATCATATGTAATGCAAATTAAAGGCAACCGTATGTCTCAAATGATTTCCCTTTATAAAGTAATTCAATTGCCCTAAAGAAAAATTTGAAGAATTTTAGGCATGATTCAAACCCACGACCCTTCGGTTGCGAGCTAGACATGCTACTGACTAGGCCATGTTTGCCACACTTCCTGCTCACTGGCAGGAAGAGCATGGGAAACGAGTGAAAAGGCGATGCGAACGGGGCCCAATAATGCCATCACGCGTTCCACTCTTCAAGGGCCCCTGAAGAAAAAATTGTAGAGCCCTTCCACTTCACGTGAAGATGGAGGACCAGAGAAGCTGTTATTTTTATGTTGTCTAGGATGATGCCTAGAGGACAACGTCCAAGACAACCTCAAGGACGACTTCTAGGACGACCATGAAGACAAAGCCTAGGACGACCTCGAGGATGATGCCTAGAGGACGATGTCTAGGACAACCTCTCGGACGACTTCTAGGACAACCTCGAGGACGACTTCTAGGACGATCTTGAGGACGTCTAGGATGGCCTCAAGGACGACTTTTAGGATGACGTCGAGGACAAAGCTTAGAGGAGAACGGCTAGAACAATGCCTAAAGGACAATGTCTAAGAGGACTTCTAAAACAATCTCGAGGACGTCTAGGACGGCCTCAAGGACGACTTCTAGGATGACCTCGAGGATGCCGCCTAGAGGACAACCTTTTGGACGACTTCTAGGACGACCTCAAGGACGTTGCCTAGAGGGCGACCTCTCGGATGACCCCAAGGACGACTTCTAGGATGGCCTCGAGGACGATGCCTAGAGATGATAACAAGAGATCAGGACCTCACTATTTAATAATGCCAAGGAAGGCTGACGCAAGCTGGTTGCCCCACCAGCCCCCTTTTATTTCATTTATTTATTCACACTTGCCACGACCTATGGGGAGTTTTCTGTCAACATCCGCAGACACATTTTTTCCCCGATCCTAGCACATAACAGCTTCTCTGTAAAAAAAAAGCTTTTTTTTTTTTTTTTTTTTAAAGTCTGGTTGGGACACAAATGGCCAAAAATAAATGTTACGAGAAAAAAAAATTTTTGAGAGCAATATTGACGCCGACAGATTTCCTTGAAGTTCTATGCACAAAGTCCATGACGTTATGAATGGTCATTCGCTTTTTTGACCTCATCGTGAAAATGAAGCAGATCAACCTCTCCTCCACGCGCCCGAAATGCCGAAAGAAAACAAGTGGAAAGGAGGTGACTACCGACTAAATCGTGTTTCACGCCGTCAATATTGCTCTAAAAAATTAATTTTTTGCGTAAAATTAATATTTTGACACACGTGTACCAATTAGACTGTTTAAAAAAAAATTTTTTTACAGTGGAGTTGTTAAGGGTTAGGTTCCCAAGGATCGTGTCCGGTACCAAACAAATGTTGACACAAAACTCTGGGCAGCTGCCGCCATCTATAAGCGACGGCGGCAACCAGACAACCGGTTTTCTGTCCTCACTTATAGATGGCGGCAACCTTTCCAGCCTTTCCACTCTGGTTTTCACCAGAGTGGAAAGGCTGAACTTCCCTAGGCATCGTCCTAGATGTTGTCCTCCTCGATGTCGTCCTAGAAGTCGTCCTTGAGGTCGTCCTAGAAGTCGTCCTTGAGGTCGTCCTAAACGTCATCCTTGAGGTTGTCCCTGAGGTTGTCCTAGGCGTCATCCTTGAGGTCGTCCTAGGCGTTGTCCCTGAGGTCGTCCTTGAGGTCATCCTAAAGAGCATCTTTGAGCATCCTAGACGTTGTCCTTGAGGTCGCCCAAAAAGTCTTTTTTGAGGTCGTCCCACCATAGTACAGCTTCGCTGGTCTCCCTTTTTCACCAGAGTGGAAAGGCTGGAAGTTTTTTTTTTTTTTCAGGAGTTCTTTAAAGGAGAAGCTTAAGCGTCCTTCATGTTTTGATAAAGAGAGCACACAGGCCTGTTTTGCGGATGAAATTCTGCTTTCGGTTAAAGCGGTGCCACGCTTCCGACTTAGAGGGGCACCATATATCCGACGCTAAGTTGGCAGACATTGGATTTCTTTTAGAGTTTAGCTGTGAGAGAGGTCTTAGTGAAGGAATGTAACACATTTTAATTCACTGCATCCCTTCACATTCTATTTTAAAAAATCGGCTATCTCTGTGGCATTTTTCAGAAACATTCTAAATGTTACATCCTCCCAAAATTGCACGGTCTGTCAAACACGTTACAGACCGCGCCGAACCGATTGTCTTCCGTGAACTAGCTTGAGCTGCCGGTAGGCTGCTATGTAATGGCAACTGGCTCCCATCACTGCCGGGTCTGGCGCTCTTTTTTTCGCAGCCACATCCCTTGCTCCTCTTTTCTTGCCCTACTGCGCTCGTCGCTGTCGCTGCCGTGTCGCTTTAGGTGGTGCACAAAGCCCGCAAGCACAAACTCTCATAGCACATGTGTGCCTTGCCGCCACGGAGCCCTCACCGAATAAAGTTCCCGCTCTGAGAGGGGTTGTGACTGCATGTGGAAAAAGCAATTGGCAGCTGCTTGCTCTGCGCTGCATGTTTTATCGAGGCTACATACCAGACTCTAAAACACAAAAGTGTTAGAGCTGGTTCTATAAATGCAATACATTTAATATTGGCTCATAATGCCACAAAACCAGTGTCCACCAATCTGTTACCCCCCAGTTAGAGCCGTATATGGGGAGAGTTTGGCCAGACTATGATCTCGCCGCCGTAACGCTCTCCTCCCAAGTGAGCCAATCAGCACGCGGCGTAGAGCGAGAGGCATGAGCGCATGCGCATGAACTCCCGGCTGCTCCCACCTGAGTGGGGAGGGCCGCCATCTTCGATCATTCTCCCGACGGAATGCGTGGAATCGACATCTAAATCTCGATTATTGCCTTTTATATCGCTGGCTCTGGCAAGAAAATGACATTCTGTTATTCCTCGGTGGGTTAAAAAGCTAATAGATAAAGATTTTTTGGCGTACGGCCACAAACTTTTATTCAGGCGAAAAAGAAGTCGGCCCGTAGCAGACGACGCGTAGCCTCAGCAGTGCTCTTCTCCGACCAGCCTCCGACAGCGTTGCTCAAATATGGCGGTCATCTCTCCGCTCCCTTCTTTCTCTCTCGCTCCTTCGTCGCTCTCCTCCCTTTCATTTTCTTTTCTCCTCTCCGGCGCTTTCGTCGCCACACCCACTGGCCAAACTCTCCCAATATACGGCTCTGCCCCCAGTGTTGTAACAATTTGGTGGACACATGACTATAAATAAGTGGATGACTCATAGTAATCCACTGATAATCATCAAATATGCATGTTATGTCAAAGGTGCTAAAGTACCAGAAGACAAAAAGGTTTCTAGAGACCAAACTGGAATCCTGCATACCATATGACTACTTTAGTTACAGTGAAACCCGTTGAGAATGAACCCAAGTACAGCGAATTATTATCAATATTGTACTCACGGAAAATTTAAATAAAAATGCATGTAAAAAGTACTTTTTATTCAAACAACATATTGGCTATATCAAGCTTTTTCCCCAGGGAAGGCTTCCAAAAACGTGCAAACAATCGTCTTCTAGTGTGTCCCTTCCTTCCTTCCTTCCCTCCCCACCCCCCCTGGAGAAAAAAAGTAGGAAAGAAAGAAAATTGCAAAAGCTTAAGCCGTGAACAAAATTGAGCGAAGAGAAGCAATTCAGAAGGGAAAAAAGCTAAAAAAAAAAACAAAAAAACTCTGCATGCATGCCAAAAAAAAACAAAAAAACTTTGCAGCGCTTTGTTACAAGGCGGAAGCTAAGAAATAAGAAAGAAAGAGAAGCTCTCGCTTTAGAATGAACGCATCCTGGAAGTTCGTTGTAAATGGTTTTTGCTATATCAAACTGAATGTAGCGTTTCCTGCTGTTCGTTATAAACGAGTTTGACTATATGACAAACATGCTACGTGCACACTTTATGCAAGAATAGTTCTCTACTAAAATACAAATTTGGCCTTGCCAACACTGTTCAGTTTCATATGAATTGTATCACAAATGCCTTCGATTTACATTCCCAAGTCGACTACCGAAATCAGCTAAAACCTCCGTTAGTTTTGCATAACGGCAGTGTCTACACAGGTTGGAATAAAAAAATCTATAAATACTTTCTTAGGTTTTCCTCAACTCTTTGTACAGTCTGTGGCTGGGCTTGCACAGGGCCGCCTAATTCCTATATGACACCAACAATAGTATACAAAGGGTTCCACATGACAGCATTTTTGGAGGAGGAAATAAGCTTGAAGTCATATACGAAAAACCCACGGATACTGGTAAGGTCAAAGTTTAAGGCCTTTGGCATACAATATCGACCACACCTGCATGGCCATTTCACAACTTTTCAAAGCTCCTTCTCTATGGCCGAATTTGGGTCCGTATCAACTCTTCACAACTCATTTTCTGAAAACACATTTCGTGGAAACAAGTTTAGTGGAAACACATATCATAGAAACACGTTTTGTGGTAACACATTCTGTGGAAACACATTCCAAGGAAACACATTTCAGGGAAACACATTTTGTGGAAACACGCCTCGAGGAAACATGTTTTGTGGACAGCTTTCCATGCACACACGTTTTATGGGCACATCTTTTGTCGACACTGACATTTTCTGGAAACTCAATAACTCCTACAACATTTTGTCACACAAAAGGCAATTCTTTTTGCTAGGTGGATTAGATCGGAATACTGGCTTCATTTTGCTCAGTGCTAATATTTCAGAATTGTTTATAAAATGTTGCACATCGACAAAATGATCTGTCAACGTAATGTCGTTCAACAAACCGATTGCCACGAAGCAAATTCCACTAGCCATTCTGGAGTGGTTCTACCACACCCAGCCCCCAAAGCAGATGAAGACCGATCCTGTAGACTCACGATGCAGATCCTGGACTGGAGGTTGGCGGACAGGTTGACCCGTTCCAGAACGTTCTGCCCGGGGGTGTAACCGAAGGACACCTCGTCCAGCTGCAGGATGGGCGGGAACAGAGGCTCCGGGTCTGGGAAGCGGATCGTCACGGCCGCCTCCTTCTCAATCGGCTTCAGCTCTGGGCTGGAGGGGGACAGGAACGCACCGCTGACGACGTATGCAACTCCAGACTGTCTTAGAAGGCTGGAGTAGTGTGCCTAAATTTCGGTGTTTTTAACTGCCCGAACGGTGTTACGTGGCTTATGGCCACGCGGCACCGAACGGTGTCCGTGTTTGCAAGACGAGTCGCGAGGAGGCGATGAAAGTGTTGATCGTCCGCAAGTGTCTCCGCCTTCTCCGCCCGCTTCCCCCTCGCCACATGACGAAGCGACATACGTGACCAATCTCCGCAGAAGGCATTCTCCGTTAGATTGCAAGCGATCCCCATGGCTTCAATTGCTCCCTCTCTTAAATCTAGGCTCTCTAGGTTGGAGCGCGCTCGCCGGCACCCCCGTGCCGCTTCACAAAAAATCACGATACCACTCCCATGGCATTCACTCCAAACTGACGAGTACCATAAAATCCCGTAAGAACGCCCTCCCTCAGGCGATTGCCCATTTTGTTTCTCTGGCTAAACATCCATAACATAAAAATTGCAAAACATTGTCCACCCCCCAAATCATATTGACCACGCGATCTGCGGCAAGCGAGTTTGTAGCGGGATCCTGAGATTTTATTTGCGATCTGCGCGTGCAGTATTGGTTCCCGTGACTTCCGTTCTCGTGAAATGCGTGTGTAGTGGGTTTCTCCATTTTTTGTTTGCGATCTGCGCAAGCGATATCGGTTCCCGTGGCAAGCAAGTTGTAGCAGGCTTTTGCAGAGCCTCCAAGGGTGCTAAGTCAAGCTGAAGCAACCTAGCAAGAAAGCAAAGGGGACTCACAGCTTTTCTAGCATTTTTAGCTTGCTCTGCACAAGTGAGGCACGTTTTGCATTGAACCGGAACCTGTCTATAAACACCTGAAAGAAACAAAGACATGGACGTTAGCAAAAGAACACAAGATCGTTGTTTCGGAGACAAAACAGACAATGAGCAAATAGTAGCTTTACGAAGCTAACTGAAACTAAGCATAGGGTAACCACGAAACGAAAAAGAAAAAAGATAGTGGACAGCGTTATTATCAAGACCTTATTAGACTTTAAAATCCACAAATTTTTCAAAACATAAGTGACCACACTTCGTTTCACCTTGAGTTCAGGCGAAGCCGACGCCACGAGCTGATGGGACCAAGTTTCTGTACGCGTTCTACAGTGTAGACCGCATATAACGTATGTCGCGGGAGTCGCGAAAATCCGCTCTATAAGCGGTACCGGGCATTACCAAAACATCAATTTTTCAGGCCAAAATACATGCCATGAGACAACTTACCTTTGTAAAGCAATTTATTTTTATGTTAGATGAAAAATAAAGCTTAGTTTGAGGAAAGTCTTTATTTCACCAGGCTAGTACACTTCTCTCTCAAGTGTGTCACACATTTTGAAAGAATTGAGCGACTTTTGCCTGGCGCAGCCTTTTAACGGCATCGCGGGTTGCGGACGGACATTGCGAGTGTTCAGGATTCCTAACCCTAATCACTTTTCTCCGGCGATAAAACCGCGTGAAAATTTGCATCCTTTATACGGTACACGCCAGTAATACCTTCAACTTGAGCACAGGCATGAAATGCTCCAAATAAGAAATCCGGGCGATGTTCGAAAACACAAATGCTCAGAAATCACCACTGTAGTCGAAGTAAACAAACACGACGACACGGGCGTTTCTGCCGTCTTGAGAGTGCCGCCGACATCGCCGCACAAATAGGTGGATCTTTCCTCCTAGTACGTGCTGGGTTATCATAGCGACACACAACGAAAATCCAGTCAAGGATAGCGCTTTTACGGGGAACGATGAACGTCCACCACACCGTCTACGTCGACGATCACAACCGACGCCATGTTTGCGTATAGAAGCAGCCGGCTCGCGACCAGCATGCAACGCGCGCGAACACTTTTCCTCGACCTGCGATTGGTCTGTCGTTGCGGTTGTTTCTAACGCACAGAGCGGAGGGACACACAGCACGCACGTGAACGACACGTGCGTGCGTCCCTCCGTCGCTATGGCAACTGAAGCCTCTCTCTTCGCTTCTCCCCGCTTCTTCGAGCAACCTCCTTGCCCCACGAGTGCCGCTTGCGGCTAGCGCCGTTATTTAATGTCGCACAGGGAAGCGTGCTCGCTGCGTCGGTTGGTCGCTGCGGTCGGCGGGCTGTTACAGAAACCGCACTATAACCGGTGTTTCCCTTCGTGCACCTGCATTTTAAGCGGTATGTAATTACATGGAGTTCTATGGGAGGCGAACCGGTGGTTTAAAAAAGCCGCGTTATACCCGGTCCTGCACTATAAGCGGTTACGTTGTAAGTGGTCTATACTGTATCATCGCTGAAGCAATCAAACAGAAAAGGCCTAGTGACTCGTGCTTCTGACACTGCTTGATTGCTCCCATTAACTCGTAGTGTCGGCTGCGTCTGGACTCAAACTCAAACGGAGTATGCCAATAAATTTCAGCACCTTTAACGAAAAGATGAAAAAATAACCAATCGCTTTAAAATAATGCGGCCGAATTGAATTGCTCGTAACTCGAGGAACCGAGATCTTGGCAACGTGTAAGTTTTAAATCCTATTACATCATAGTCAGCGACAGTATGATAATGGCAGGGAAGTCTTTCGGTGGCCCCACTTCCAATAACGCTTCACGTCTCGTGGGCCTCGAGCACTTTATGCGCAGCTAACACACCGCAGAAGGCAATGGGCACAAACCGAAGGCCAAGCATCCCAAAGAGATGCCTCGACGTTCCCATCATGTCGGCGACCACGAGAATAAATACTCTTTCGGGTTATTTTAGTTTCCAAGCTCTCCAGGCTGCAAGTCTCTTGGAACCCCCAGTTGACAACACATTCGCAACCTTTCTTAACAAAGAAATTAAACAAAACCAAACAAAAAATTTTTGAGAGAAAGGTATTTTAAACGGGAGGCACTGTGAATTGAAAAACATCTTTAAATGGAAGACAACTTGGAGGTGCAATTCGGAGGCAAGCGTGCATCGAGGTGCGTGACCAGCGACCCACCTGCGCGTGTGCCCTGAACTGCTGCTGAGCCTCGTACTCCCTCTGCTGGTTCTTGAGCCTCTCCGTCATGACCTTAACAAAGTTCTCGTAGTTTCCCCGGTAGCTGTTGATCTGCTGCGAGTGGAAGTGCAGGATGTCCGTGGGCACCGTGTCCAGGAACAGGCGGTCGTGGGAAACCACCAGCAGCGTCGAGGCCCAGTCCTGGTACGGACGGAACGCCCGAGAATTAATGGCTGCTCGGCAAAGACCGTACAATCGGAGCTAGGTTGCACGCACGTCTGCAAAGCTGACCTAAAGCTAGGTCGAAGACTCCTCTCCAAGCTGACTTTACTATGCGCATCAGTGGCATCTGTCGGGACACTGAGGTTGTAAAATATACTATTAACGGAGAAAAAGCAGCCTTCGGCGGCACCCCCTCAATTCATGTACTGCAAAATTCTGTACGACCGCTTTCCCCCAACAGGTCGACAATCCCGTTTTTATGGACAAATATTTGTAGGCTAAATATTCCAAAACATTCCCTTGCCCCCCTCCCCCTCCCCTCCCCCCTTCCCAATTCTTATCATCAGGAATCGCATCAACTGCATGATCTGTGCCAATACGTGTGCAAGCGAGTTTGTAGTGGGTTACCGTGTGTTCATCGTACCATGAAACCCCACGGCCTACATGCCAACATAGATTTGTAATTTGTAACGAGTTCCCGCACATTTATCGCACCACAAGACCCAAGTTTGCCGCAACCACTATTTGAGGTATTGGTTTCTGTGATACAGTGAGCAACTTTACAACTTTATCTTTGAGGGCTTAAAATTTTGCAATTTTGGCAAAGTGTGGATTAGGGGATTATTTCGTGGGTACAAAATTCCACGATTGGGAGTGCTACACCATGTATTCGTTACCATAGGGTAATATGTTCCCCCAATCTATTTTTGTCAATCTTGCAAAAATTAGGTCCTCACGAAAATTAGGTTGTTTACGGTATGTGAATTCGTAGTGAATTCCCAAGTTTTTAATGCATTGTGGAATGTGAATCTGATGTGCCTGCAATCGGCAGTATCAGTTCCCCTGTCATAACGCGAATCAATGTACCCCTGGTGTTCATCATTCCTTCGCTCAGTACAGATTATAAAGGACAAGAGCACAAAGGACACGAACAAGTAGAAGGACGAGAAAGGACAGGACAAAGCGCTACTATCAACTGGCGTTTTTAATGTGAAAGAGGAGAACAAACCTGGAGATTTTTTAGTGATAGAAAAGGAAGAGGAAGGTTGCTGTCAAAGCAAAGAAACTAAAGGAAGGAAAACAATATTTTTTGATGAAACGCTTTTAGATTTTTCTTTAAAATTCTTTCTTTTTCTCCAATTTTTGTTCCCAATATTTTTTTTCTTTTCTTTCTCTAGTCTCGTTTCCCCAGTACTGTTTTTCTTAAGGGGGGACATGGGCCTAAAGTTTTTATTTTTTTTTAAAAAATTCATTTTTCAATTTTGACGTTTTCAGTTTTAGAAACAAATTATACACCCTTACACCAAATTTGATAACCATACGCCAAATATTTACGATGATATAAAATATTTTCAACAGTTGTGAGGCAGTAACAAAGTAAAGGAGTTCAATGTTTGAATGCATTTTTCTCAGTTCCACTTTTTGCTGCAAATTTCATACGAAGGAATCTTTTGTTCGAAGGTGAAAGTGTTCAGATACCACTATCAAGATGTTTCTGAACTGAAATTTACTGGGGAATCGGGCTATCTACTTTATTTTGTTTTAAGTTAAAGTCCTCAGTGATAAAAAGCCAAGTTTTCAAAAATTGACATAGGACAGATTTGCATCTCATATTTTGAGGTAATCACTCTTCCTGAAATATTTACATTTGAGTTATAAAAACTAGATAGCCCAAAGTGCCACATCCCCCACTTTATATTCCAGCAGTCAAAATGGTGCTTAATAGCTTCATTTGCATATGATAGATTTCTTAACAAAGAGTGACACATTTTCTTATGCAGGTATGTAAAGTTGTCCTGGAGAGCTGAAAGTTTGCACAGTACACCTACATCTGAAGTTAAATCTCCTCTCTAAATTTAATTCCAATCACTTGAGTAGTTAAGAAGTTCGACCTCTAGCCAGTGTCCCCCCTTAATAGCTTTTCATTAAAAAATATTATTTTCCTTCCTTTAGTTTCTTTGCCTTGACAGCAACCTATCTCCTCCTTTTCTATCACTAAAAAAATCTCCAGGTTCGTTCTCCTCTTTCACATTAAGAACGCCAGTTGATAGTAGCGCTTTCTCCTGTCCTGTTCCGTTCTTCTACTTGTCCGTGTCTTTTGCGCTCTTGTCCTCTATAACAGATAAAAGTTTGCTGAACTGCAACCCCAAACATCACCTACCCGACATTTTCCATCATCTATCTCTTTACCATGAGTGGGCGCTTAATCGGAATATTATGGCAGCATAACAGCACAGGGTGTCTACCAAGTTGACATTTTCAAATTCCCTGAGTTTCCCAGGTTGTCCCCGAGTACTTTTGTGAAATTCCCTGAGTGACACAGAACTTCGTTTTAGATCAAGATGGGCTGACACCATGTTGCCAGATGCTGTCCCTCTCCAAAAATCATGTTGTAAAATAAAAAAAATCACATAATACACTTTTAATGGTAACGAGTAACTTTTATTAGATTAAAAAAAAAAAAAAATGAAACGGAGTGGTTAGTAAAATTCATAGCGAAGAAAATATAAAAAAAGGTAAACTGAGGTTTACGTGACCCCCCTCCCCTCCCCGTGAGGTCATGTGACCTCGGAGGGGGGGGGGGGGGGGGGTTCACGTGACCTCACGGTTACGCCCACGGCAACGCTGCTCAAGCCGGAAACGGGCGCCTAAGAGCTGCACTCTAAAAGAAAAACGGGAGTGATAACAAGGAAAGAAAAAGGTAAACAAAGATAAGGCGTTCAAAGTGCGAGTGCTCAAATTTTGTTGTTTACACACTCCACTTGACAAAATCCTTTTTTTTTTTTCACTTCATTTTGGGGCTAAGGAACCGCGCAGCGACAGCGGTGTTTGGGGAAAAGAGTGCACGCGAGCGACCGTTGCAACAGCCAGCACCCCCTGCCCTCCCTAAGCCCGCGGGTGCCCTTCCCGTTTCTTTTGCCATCCTCCCCTTTTTTTTTTTTTAATTTTTTATACAATTGTTTTTTCGCTGGGTATCCCCGCGCGCGTGTATGCTGGCTTGGCGGTTTGCTAGCCCTGCAACCCGAGGTATGTGCTCCCGCCGGCGCAATCCGACCCGGGAGAAGCAAAGGACGGCCTCACTTGGCCATGCTTCGTCTTTGTTCCCTACATCGAGTGTCCCCGCCATGGGAGTTATGGACGCTCGATACAAAAAAACAATGTGATTTTCTAAGGGATGTTTGAACTGTTTCATATAAACAATAATTCAAAATACACGGGTGTGATATAACCGAGCTCGACTGTACGTTTGGCCCATTCCATTGATATCTGAAGAATTTCAGAGTGTGAGAGTCCATCTGTAACACTTCTAAAAAAAAAAAAAATCCCGGATATAAGCACAAATTCTACGAGTTTTCCCTGAGATTTTCCAGACTATTCAAAATCCCTGAGAATTCCCGGTTTTCCCGGTTGCTAGACACCCTGCAGCAGCTACACTCCATCTCAAAAGTTGCATGTGGCACGACCAAGGGTACACGAGTGGCAGCGAAACTCTGCAAAATGCTTTGCTTTCACAAACATTTGCTTAGGAAAAGCAGTCTCTAAGGCAGTGGTTTTCAAACACTTAAGTTTCGGGGACTCCTTCTGGATCAAGAGAAGTGATGGGGACCCCCCCCCCCATCCATTGGGAAGGAGGAGAGGGTATTGGACGATTACAATAACAAAAGCGTAAATGAAGAAAACTAAATGAATGCCAACAACACGCGTGAGAAGGCTCTGTAAGCCTTCTCACGCGGTCGACATGGTTGGGTCTATTTAGTTTAGTAAAACAACCAGCATAAATTTAAAACAACAAAACAACTTTACTAGTCTTGTGCGAATAGTGGATTTTGAGTTCGAAGCGAATTTGAAGCGAATAGTGGTTTAGCCCGAATATTTTCGATTCGAATATCGAATAGCTTTCCCACGCCTTTCACTACCATTGCATAATACTTAGAAGAAAACCCAGCTAAACTTGTGAAGGTTGTTCTACTTGTTCATTTCTAAAACAAGTTTACTCTATCCATATTTATAAACTGTGACCTCAGAAGGTCTGGTGTCTTGGGATGGCAAGCAAACGATGGACTTGACATAAAATGAATCCTGTAGAGATGGCCAACTATGCCCAAAGGAGTGAATTTACAAATCTTGCTATATAAAATATTCTTTCTTTAATCTGGAATTAAAAACGAATGAATCGTGCATGATGAACGCAGGTTGTAAGGGCATTACTGCCTAACATAGTATACTATTGCATAACAGTTTAATTTTGAAACTTTTGCTACAATGTAGATATACACATTCACAAACTTTTCATTTATTCTCGAATACAGTCGGCACAGGTGCACCATCCCGCTTTGAATGTATGCTTTGCTTCCAAGCACGCAATTACGATATTCATACTTATCCAAGTGTTTACCGTGGCGGGTTACCCCATTGAGTGCGCTTCTTATCAAGCACCGATGCGCTGCGGAGAAGCAACACCCGCGGAGCTCACTTTCGCTGGTATTGCTTCTCCGCAGCGCACCTTCTTTTGGTGAGAAGCGCCCTCTACGGGGCTAGCCCGGCGCAATCAGCACTTTAAAAAACGCAAACAGTGCAGTTCTCCTCGAACCGAATATCGAACAGTGTATTATTCGGAACTACAATTCGAAATTTCGAATATTCGCACAACCCTAAACTTTACTGCTTAGTTTGACTGACAGACTAAGGCTTTGGGAACCCTAAGAAGGCCTTCAGGGACCCCAAATGGTCCGCAGAGCCCCCTCTTAGAGAACCACAGCTCTAAGGTAATGTACTACAGCCCATGAATGAAATTAGAAGTAGAGTTGCGACATAACACTTGCCTGTAGGTAGCTTTCTAACCAGATGATTGCTTTCATGTCCAACATGTTTGTAGGTTCTGAAATGATGAACACAAGATTTAGAAGACAGCTACATACACAGGGTGTCCCTTTCTCCACAGCTTGCTGCACTACCTCATCCTCAAACAAGTATTGCACAGGCACTTACCATCGAGAAGTAACAAATCAGGTCTGAAAAAGAAAAAGAGAAGCATGCATCTTAATGACAGAACAGACAAAATAATACAAACTGGTAGCTGCATTTTAATCTACTGATCCAACCGTCATTTACAGAACTGCCATGGATGAGAAACAGAGATTTAGGTGGTATTTTTTCATTGGCATGCTTTAATTAATATTGGGACGCCGAATCATGTGGTTCAGTGTCACATGACACTGTGGCGTCATGTGACCCGACGCCACACTACACGTCCCAGCATTAAATATGATGTCAGGTGACGTCATGTCACATTACACCACGACGTCTTGTGACTTCGCATCACACAACGTGGACATGTGACATGACATGAAGCTGCTGTGTCATCCGATGTCACGTCACATGGCATATGGTGTCATGTGACGTCGTGATGTAGCGCAACACAGTCATGTGACTTCACGATTTGACACACGTTACTAGATCCAATAAAGTTGTGGACACCCTCATGTCACATGATGCCAAGTCACAGGAAGTGTCACACACGCCACGGGTGAACACGAAGTCTGGGTTAGCTTCCATTAGAATGCGATTCTGCATTAATATCAGGGGCGAATCCAAGGGGGGGGGGGGCAACGGGGGCGGCCGCCCCTCCCCCAAACAAAGTCGACTCCCCTTCCCCCCTCTCCCCTTCTCGGAGGGCAATTTGACATGAGTGGACCCCCCGGTGCACACAAAAGAATAGGAGAATAGCATACTAACAAATTTTCCGCCCCCAAAACAGAGTTCTGCATCCGCCTGATTAATGTGCGAGTGAACCTAGCAAAGGGACCTGAACAATCCAGTACTGGGCATTGGCGACATAAGAGAGGAATGTCCAGGAATCAAATCACACCCTATTTAACTCCCACATGGCCCCGTTCCACACAGCCCACGAGGAGCCGATCACTGCTGTTTACGGACAGAAAGCAGATACTGAGGGGTCCAACAAAAGATCTCGACTTAAAATAGCAATTTGCACTCCGTTAGTGAGCAAATGTTAATGTGCACGGAACCCTAATGCGCATCAAACATCTGAAAATTATATATTTCATAATTTTTTGGACTTTTGTGCTGTCCAGATGCCTTGAAAACAGTACATGTGCATGCTTTGTTCATAAAAAGGCCCCATTAAATTCCAGTAAATGGAATATTAATTTCTTCGAGACAGTTTTTGAGGGACAAGAAAAGAAGTCTCACTTTGTGAAGAGTGCTCTGGCAAGAGCAATGCGCATCCTCCATCCACCAGAGAACTCGCTGAGGAGGAAAAAAAGGATGCATGGCTTCACACACGATGGATGCAACTCATAGGAGCTAGCTCATTTACAAAATTTTTCAAGTTTGGAGCTCATCCAACATCAATGGCAAACTCTTGGCTAAAAGGGCAACACTGGAGATAATAAATGAGCAATGAGCAGCAAGAGAAAAGAGGAAATGAGACAAATTCAAAATGTTTGGGATCCTGGAGCATCCAGGATATTATACAGCAAAGAGCTGCAACAATGTTCTAGTACCTATGCTGTTGCACTGTTTTCATTGCATGGTACTGGGCTACAAAGTGAAGTTTCATCAAAAATTTCTTTCCTGCCTCTATCACTTTTAGAGCCTCCTGTTCATATTAGTCTCAAATTTAGATAGACTCAACATATGAAAGCTTTTTCATAAGCTCATTCAGAAACAGGGGGATAAAAAATATTTAAAGATGCTTCGTAGTGGGAGTTTTTTTCTCTCCCTAACTAAAAACTCAGAGCCAGCAAGCAAACCTGGGTATCGGCCCGCTCCTGAGAACGGAAACCTTTCACCACCTTCTCATTGGTCCATGTTGCCAAAAAGTGTGTGTCGCCTTTTTTTTTTCTATTTTTATCGAACAACTTGCAAGCGAGAAATGGGTAGCTTTCCTAAAATCATTCGCATTTCTAACAAGTACAAACGTTTCGAACACCTGCCAAGCTGGCAATAGACGGCCTCACGCACAACCGCTCAACAAAGCCATCTACGCTAAAAGGATACGGCAGTCTTTCGAAGGAGCCAACACTTTACGAAGCACATATGGGAGGTCTACCGATTGGGAAGCCTCACCGTGTTTTCTTCTGCTGCATGGCTGGGGAAAAGCCCAAGCCGGCCAGGATGACCGAGGCCCTGGCGGGGGCCTTGTCCGCCTCCATGTGCAGCAGCTCGGCATACACTTGGGACAGCCGCTCGCTCAGCTGGGGGTCGTCTGCCACCGCACTGCATCACCGAGTAAAAGCTGTCTTAAATCACCTTCGAGAGGACGCAAGACTTGGAACATGCATACCGGTATTTCGTCCCCGGTGTTGACCTACAGCCTCTCCACAAAGTGTCAATGACAGATTCCAATAGGGAATACAGTGAACTTTCACTTAGGCACTTTTCCTTGAGGTTCCTCAAAGTTTGTTTGAGTTGTGTTTCACTGTACATACTAAGTACACTTTTTATAGATGCTCTGTCCAAATGAAGGTACGGTGAAAATTTGAGTGCTTTTTGGGAGTTGACACACTATATTGTGAAGGATCTTGTAAAGTTGGTTACTGAATTTGTATATTAGTCTATCTCTATTTGTTGAAATAAAGTTTACAAAAGGTTTGGAGAAATAAATATAAAATTATAAAGTTTATATACCCCGGTGCGTTTTCACACTTCAAAGAATACAGAGTTCCGAGCCTCAAAGTTGCCGGAGTTGTTTCCTCCTTCAGGCAGACCCATCGAAAAATTAGACAATCGATCTGTACTCGAGATCTTGGGTGTCTTATCATTCCGAAATAATTGAAACACCGTGTAAAGGGTGGTAGTACATCCGCTTTAAAAAAGCTTTCTAAACTTTCCGAAGTTTTTTTTATATTTTATTTTCTAAATTACCTCTTTTTTTTTTTTCTTCACTTTCTAAACGATAAGTTGCCACTTGCGGCGACGAAATTTACCAGGGCGAAAACTGCTGAAGTCCGCAGACCGGCGAGCAGTTCAGTCGAGAACCGCAACGGAGTTAGGCACGCAAGGAAGAGGCAGGCTCTCACACTTTGGCCGTAAGCTCCTTCTCCTCGTCGAGTAGCCGCTGGCGTCGCTCGTCGCACGACAGCACGCTGTCCAGGGCCGTTGTGTCGTCCCCGACCACCTCCTGCTCCACGTGCAGCACCGATACGTGCGAGGGGATGCGCAGCTGCCCACTGCATGCGCAACGCCCACATCAGCGCGTCAAAGGGCTGCTGTGTTGACGGGGCGGTCGACGGCTACTATTGTGAGAAACTGCCAAGACCCCCGTCAATTGCCGACAAATAAACAAACAAACGATGTTTGGGGAAACGTTACGAAACTGCCGAGACCGCAACAAGGCGAGCGACGCATTAAACGTGTAATGATTTTGCATCCCTGCGAAACAAAAAAGTCTACTTCAGGGAGCGTACTGCACATTCAGCGCCCGAGTCGGCATGTTGGCAAGGCCACTGCACCCCTCCTTTGACTGCCGACAAAAAAAAAAAAAGAGTAAGGTTTAGGAAAACATTATGAAACTGTTTGAAGTGTGACGAGGCAAGAGTAAGTCTCGGATGGAGAATGTGGCTGTGAACGGCTTTTAGATTTGCGCGTTTGATACGATTCCAATTTTCTAAACCACGCTTTTCTTAATAACTTGCAGGAACTGAATTTCGGGATCAGAGACAACCGAGTTCACGGACTGTAAAGTTATTTGTACTGCAACCGGTTGGGATCTTCTTAAACGTTTCCTTCTCGTTGAAATAAGCACTACCCGTTATGTACCTATGCAAAATTCAATTCATGTTGGATAAAAGAAGAAATGTTGGCTCTAGTCCAAGTTGTTCCTTACTAGAGAGAGGGAGTTCTCTTTTCGGCCGACACAACTTTAACATTTTGCGGTGGACATTTTATTAGAGGTGTGCGAACAGTGAAACATGAACTTGAATAGTGCCAAATAGCGGCCAAAAAGGCAAATATCGAATTGAATATGAATAACAAAAATATTATTTGCAGTATTTACAAGACTAGGCCTGCGTTTCTGCGGTGGTTCGTTGCTCAGACTGTGCCGAAATTCGACATTATTGTTTGTCGTCTCAGAAGGCTATAACCCACTGATTAAACTGCGACGAGCCCTATGGGATGCAACAAACCACAAGAGGTTTGTACATTTTCATTCATTAAAGATGGTCATACTCAGCACGTCATTGCTTCTGTTCAGCTGACTCCTTTTTAGTCCGCTCCTTGCAAGACATTGGGAAGACTGTGGTACGTTCAGTGAGCGCCTCCTCCTGCGCCTTGTGCATGCGCGCCATAATGAGAAGGACGGTGCATATGAGCTATCGGGTTCCATTCTCTTTGGGGAACATTTGGAGTTGTATTACTTCTCCTCAATTTATTCACTTATCCCTCTCCTGTGTATGTGCTTGTGTTTCGTGTTACAGATGAGAATTTTCTGGGGTAGGCTTCCCAAAACAGTCATATCGTATTTAATATAACACTCCTGAAATCTTCATTGTTGAGCAAGAAAAACCTTACACGTTTATTCTCCTACAGGACACACACAACGAAGAGAGGAGCACGAATGAAAATGGTGTCAATGACTACACTTCAACTGCAGAAAACACAGCCAAAAAGTGGCCCCACCCGTTTGTGCGAGGATACGCAGCATGACCAATAAATTAACAGACGCAGTTGAACTGCTTGAAGTGGGGGTACGTCCTGTACCACCCAGCCATAGCACTTCGCGGGGAGCCACGTGTAAACGAAATGGGCGGTTCAGTTCTAGGAGCCATTCGCATTTTGATAATACAGTCGACTCTCGTTAATTCAAAATCTCTTAATTCAAACTTTCGGATAATTCAAACTAACGTGCAGGTCCCATCCTATGCATCTCTATGGGAAGAAACTCCTGATAATTCAAACTTTGCTTTATTCAAACAAATTTTCGGCCCCCCTCGAGTTTGAATTAATGAGAGTAGACTGTAATTTGTCCCGTTATAGGCGCAAGAACTGAAAATAGGTTTACAGAGCAGAGAACTGACTGCAGGTGACGAAAGATCCTTGAATCTAAAAGAGCGACGTGCAGGGTTTAAAGGTTTTTGTCAAGCGCATCCAAGAAGCTGTTCTATACGCTGCCTTGAACGAAGCATGACTGCTTCATTTGAGGAACACAAGAAACAAACCATATTCCGTCCAGATGGTTCGTTAGGCAAGCAAGGTTTCTGAACGCAGGCTTGATTTAGATCCAACACAGCCATGAGGACTATTTCGCCGTACAAATGGAGTGTAAAAACTGTGACATTTTGCTAGTAATGCTCAGGTTCGATCTATTGAATTATTCAAAAAATCAAATTCAAGGAATCCGAAAGTCAAATAGAATTACTCGGACAATCATTATTCGATTTGAAAATTTGAATTCAAAGCCTGAATTATTCGTACACCCCTATATTTTATACAATGCTTAAAAAGATTCTAATTGGAGTTATGCAAATGGCATCACTACTCGATTCCTACACAACTAGGCCCAAAAAGCCACCATCAGCATAACAGATAGCAAAGTTGTGGGTCCCAGACACAGAGCAAAGCAGTGAGAACTTGCCTGGACAGCATGCGTAGCAGTGTTGTTTTGCCAATGCCATTCCTACCCACCAAGCCGTAGCGCCGTCCGTATGCCAGCGTCAGGTTGGCTCCCTGTAGCAGTGTCCTGCGCAGGGATTACATACCTAAGTCGTCAGCTTAGAGCTCTCCCCTCGCCAAGCGAAAGAAGTCACACATATGCATTCAGCTTCTAAACTGCCACAGCACCGAGTGCCTCGTGTATTTTAGCTTTTGTTCCAAAACAGTCAAAGAAAGTTCACAATAATGGTTTGAGTAAGGCATGTCATCGACCAGTCACAAGTTGACAGTCTGTTATATTTCAATCACGAAGCAATAAAAAATGTAGCATCTGTTAGGCTTCGGGTTGATGAAGCGGCGACACCTTCAGCACACGAGGATCAACATCGTAACGACACTCCTTTATTTCCTCGACTCAATGTGGCCACAGCGAGCCGCGCTTGCCTCTCAATCCCTCTGAGAGCAGGCGCTCTCTAGCACCTTCTCCGGAAACTCCGGAAAGGACCCCCTGCGCCCTCTCTGGGTGTGATTCAGAGACTGGAGAGTCTGTGCATGGTCCCGGTCGTCGCCATTGCCATATGCTCCTTACACATCTCTACGCGAGTAGCAACTTAAACATCTTATTATTGACGTGGTTTCACCACTATATTGAAGCATGTTCAGTATCTTAATACATTTCTTTCTATGCTTCTCCCATAAACTCGTTCTTGAATTTAACAAAGAATTTATTAGCCTTTCTTTTTCTATCTATTGTTGTGGCACTGCCTAATTTCATGTATTTGTTCATTGTAATCAGAAAATTTCTGCACATAATGTGATATACTTCTAGCCTTAATATGAAGGCACTATCTTCTACTCAACCACCACACAATCACCCTCAAATATGTATATTAATATCAAACCCCCCCCCCCCCCTTTCCCCCCCAAAAAAAAACAAATTCCGTACAAAATTTTGTACCAGCCTTACTCAAAACCGAGCAAAGCTCTACAAAGTGACTAATAAAATATTGTATGGACAAAATCAGAAAACAAAGAGTGCAGCAGGTTTCGAGCTGTTCCCACCATTGGGGCGACAGTTTTTTCGCACCATGATTATACTATACTGTCGAGAAGGGTTATAACGAAGTCAACGGCAATAAGAAATCACTTCGCTACATCCGTTATTTCGTTATAACCGACTTCGGTTAACGAAGTGCAGAAGGGAATGGGAACTTGTGATCGCTTTGCTGTAGCCGCTATTTCGTTATAACCGACTTCGTTATAACCGGTCTCGACAGTACATACCAACTATCGCCACGCTAACCAAAGCCGCTATGCTAGTTCAACAGATGGGGTATCGGATCACTGCGCGAGAGGTCGGTAGATCGATTCCCACCAAGGACTGTGGTCATTTGTAAAGACAACTAACCGTGTTTTCATATGCTTTTCATTAAAACACTGCACAACACTATAGGGAGTATTCACTGGCGGCCATATCCGTGTGCGCTACTGCTGAGCGCGTGCTTATGGTGAGCTTCCGCAGTCCTTTTGGAGCGTGCATTTAGCACCATCAAGGTTGCCGGTCTTAGCAGGCTATTAATGTGAGCTCGTTCTGAGCATGCGCTCTAAACAGCACCCACAAATATGGCGTCCAGTGAAAACCTCCTATAAACTTGGAAACCAGCCCTAAAACGCTATCTGCCCTATAACAAAGAAATTTCGTCGTCATTCTGATACTCCAGCAAAGCGGAGCAGACCACCATGGAAGGGTTTCAGTCGCGGCCCTCACTTGTCGCCGAAGGCAATGTCGAAGTTCTCCACCCGTATGTCCTGGGCCCGGTTGCTTCCCTTGTTCTCCATGCGCGTCTCCCGCTTGCTCACTGCCTGGCTCGCTGTGGCAGCCTTCAACACTGTCTGGCTGCAAGTGCATAGACATCAGAGTCAGCGCAAACACGACCCGAGAGTGGGCCACGATTCCTGGAACATGTCTCCAACTGGTTCGATTTACTGCTTCCTTATTTTGAACCCTCGGTTTTCGCCTGACAACATCGCAACTAGAGACCGCTGCGGATTGTCGTGACCTTGGTGATGGTCACCAAACTCCCCAAAAAACATTTTTTTTATGTGCCTGGATAGAACAGTACTAGGTAACGAAGTCTACAACACCCTCCTTCCCCCCCCCCCTCCCAATAAATAGCACAAAGAAGTTGTAGAGCCCATCCACTTTACGTGAAGGTCATGGGCGTACCAACTGAGGGGGCAAGGGGGGCGCTTGCCCCCCCAGTTCTCAGAGTGGGGGCGCAAGGCATGTGTTTTGCCCCTCTGAAAAAGCCGCCACTGAGCACGGCAAACACTAGCCGGCGGTGCCACAGGCGTACCAAGGGCACTGCCCCGGCCATGGGGGGGGGGGGGGGGGGGGGTTCTGGTTTGCCCCCCCCACTCAAAAACAAATTGGTACGCCACTGGTGAAGGTGGAGGACCAACGAAGCTGTTATCTTTACGACAACTAACCGATTTACATATGATTGCAATGAAGGCACGTACACGACTTTATTGCTTAATTGTCTTTTTCGAGGCACACCTTGAGGACAGTTTTTTCCAATTGAGCCCAAGACTCTTTATCAGCATTGCGGAAGCAAAAGAAAAGAAGGTTAGATCGGAATGTTCTACCCTCGGCCTCATCACGGTGCACTCTTAGCTGAGACAAGTCAGTAAGCGTAGATGATAACAAGGAATCAGGACCTCACTATCTAATAATGCCAAGGAAGGCTGACTCACGCGGGTTGCCCCCTCTTTTTATTTATAGTTGCCACAACCAATTGGAACGAAGGAGCGCTGTTTAAACAGGAGTTTTTTTTGTTAACATCCATGGACACATTTTTTTTCCAGATCCTAGCACATAACAGCTTCGCTGGAATATTTATGTCACAAAACTCATCTCAGTGATTTCAAAACATGTTTCTATTTCGGGGATGATGTCTCGAAACAGTAGTGTGTTTTACAATCGCTCCAAGCTCCATAAGTCCTGTTTGGGAAGTTTACTTTGCAACATTGCAACAAGCATTTAAAAAAAATGTTTGTCGGAAATTTGGCATCTTTTAACAGAATCCAGTGCAGTTTTGGGGTGGGGACACTGAGAAACCGGCGATGTTGATGCCCGTGTTTCTTAGGCCGTCGCCTCTGCAACCGGCGGCCGGGGTTGTGACAATTCGTAGCGTGTCTCTCACAGCTCCTTAGCGTGTCTCTCGCAGCTCCTACGACACGTTTTGGTATCATTTCGAAGACGGCCTGCAATGCATGGACAACAGACGCCGGTCCAGAAGGGGGCTCTGGGAAGCCATCCCCTCGGACGTCGGTGTTTCTGGTGCGTGCTCCCTTTGCTCGACAAGACGGAAAGGTCACGCTGCAGGATTGCTTTCATCAGGCACTGGGATGTTACTTTTGTAAACGGGGGAAGGGACTTCGATAGAATGCTAGACATGACAGCCAGAGACGCCTTCCGGGCAAAGATACCGATTGTCTGCACTCACACTGGTGCCACCTTTTCTCCCCCAATCTCCCTCTTTTCTTGTTTCTGCTTGAGCTTGGCCTCTGCCTTCTCCAGTTTCTTCTGGTCCACCTGCTGTTGAGATTAAGAAGACAGGCAAGGTTACGCTGCTCTTGCACGCATAGTAATGCCACATGCTTACATCTGTCATCTTCAGTTCTTGAAGCAACTTAGAGAAAAAAAAAGAGTTACCTGAATCTAATATTGCATTACAACTTTCAAATGTCTAACCAGACAAATATTTGTTGCTCTAACTGCAGTGAAAGAAGATGCCACGACTGTTTTTGCTGTGTATCTTGATAGGCAGGAGCCGCCGTTTTTCGCTTCACTCTATCTGATACTAGATTGCACAGCTTCGTTAGAGTTCACAAATATAGAGCAAGCCTAATGCACTCCTGTTTATGTAGTGCACATATGGAAATATAGCAAACACCTTTAAAACCTTCACTTAAATTAATGCCTTAAAGGAGCTGTGCAACGATTTTAACGTTGAAAGAATTGGCATCTTCTGCTTTTGATATTGTTCACCTTGTCACAAATACTAACAGAAAACACACCTCCTTTCATCGAAATGTTGCGATTCTGCCGTGTAATAGCGAGGCGAAACTTAGAATATTCCCCGACCCGCAGTCGCGAGCGGCGGCCATGAGAAACACGCAGCGTGACGTCAAAGGGGAATCTTGTAGAAAGATAGCAAGTTGTGCGAATACCTGCTCGATAAAAGGTAACTTTTCTATAAATCTTGTCGTTCCAACATATATAAATGCGTCAAAAACCTAGTATCATCGACAAAACTTTTATTATACGGAGTTTTAGTGGTGCCATCTGTCCTAGGTCCACAAAACCGTCAGCTCTCTCTGCTACCGCGAACAGCCGAACAGCCGCCAGAAGCCGGAGGGGGACAGGGCCGGACGGGCTATGGCCGGACCCGGATGAGACTTTCCTCCTTTCACCATATCGTTCGTGCCACACCTGCCAGCACGTGGAAACGCGGTCGCAAGCGGATGAGTTCTTGCTGCTCACTGATGGCTCTAAAGAGAGAACTTTTCCGGAAGCCCGTGCCTACCCCCTCAACATCACTGCGCACGTGACCCGGAAGACGACGTATGAGTTGAGAGGTGGCAAAAACCTGGATCTTTTTCATTTTTGTAAATAAAAGCTAGGGTATCCAGGCAAAATCTGTTTTCTGTAGTTCACTTCAGAAGTGGCAGGCATCATCTCAATTCCCTCAAAAGCTCAAAATTCAAAAGGGCACAAACTTGTTTAGGTTGCTGACAATGCAAATTAGAGAATGTTCTCACAAAAATTTATATTCCTTTCAGTCTGTCCTTACGCAGCACATAGAACCTCACTATACTAGTAAATCCTATTTAGAAAAACAAATACTATGAATTACCGGCTATGTAACATTACAAACTTATCACAAACTTAGATAAAAAAAAGAGGGGGTTTAACACTTGTACAGGCATTACAGGCATTTTAATTACTAGTAATATTAGTAAAACCTTAAAGAGTAACCAAGTGCCGATAGTTTTTGTAAATCAGCTTTATCATAGAGGCAGATTTACTGTCATACAGGAACAAGTGTCCTGTCGTCATTTTACTTTCGCCTTTCTAGTAGCAGAGCAAATGAGACTGAATGGCGTTGTTCTATATAATTTGTGCGAAATATTACATCAGGCTGCGTTAAAGTAGCTCGCTGCACACCTTATTTCATTTTTCATAATGATAACTGATTTTCCAAACTGGGGGGCAGAATTCCAAAGAGCAACCCAGGATTTTAGCACTGAACAAATGGAAAGCAGATGTGACACAACTTGGTTCTGACTGCATCTCAAATGCTATCTGCAGCTCCCCTCTTTGTTGTAGCAGTAGTTTACTCCTAGTTTCAACCGGGCCAAGGTTTCGTTCGTACAGTACTACCATCAAAGTGTGTGCATCCAAACTCAACCCGCGAGAAACCTTTCGGCGCACACGCGGACGCAACCAAACTATTCATTAAAATCACCTAGTATTTTTCCAGCTACCGACTAGCCCATTCATGTGCCTCCCGCAATAAATTCGAGATATCAATTATACAAAGTTCCGTTGCCATACGTTAGTTCTATTAGTGAGACTGTTTTATATATATATATATATCTTTTTTTTTTAAATCAAATACATACTCTGGTATACGACTATTACTAATTTTATTGCCTTGACAAGTGACCATACTATACATACGATTGCTCTGTGAGAAGAGTAATGAGGCAATCAGGAGACTACTCACGAGAGTAATCGATTACTCTAGTTACCGACAGGATCGGAACGACAAGGTGTCTGTTTCAGGCGCCCGGCCTCTGGCACACGGTTGTCACCTTCAGCCCGAGAGACCTCCCCGCAGTTCTTGTTGGTGACTAGACGTGCGTGCCCTCCGCCCACTCACCAGGGAGTTGTCCCTCTGCTTCAGCCAGATGCTGGACACCTCGTCCGTCTTGTCGTCAAACTCGGCCGCCATTGCCTTCAGCTGCACCGGGGCACTGAGCACTTTTGCCGGAGTGGTGCTGTTGGCGTCACTGTTGCCGTCGCTGTGGCTGTTCCCCACCTCGCTGGAGAAAGAGATGCGTTAGCATTTATGGGCTAGTTGCAAACATGGTACGTCCAAATCTCTCTTGGACGCAAAAAGAGAACCTCTGGCTTCGATAACTGCCCGCATATGAAGGCTCCTTCACACCTTTGCGTTAGAGTATGAATGAATGCATTGAAACGGCTCGCAACTGCTCACGACGAGAGAACTCGCTGGTTCTATCTGAGCCCTGGAACACTACCAACCTGAGCATATTTTCATATTTTAATGTAACAGTGTTAAGGAGCTCATGTTGCAGGAAAGTCGCCGTCGGTGACAGTGGGATGGGAAAATCACGATTGGTCGATAGGGTCGTGATGTCACCGCCCCCATGATGCGTGGGAATTTCAAACAACCCACAATGCTCACGTGACGTCACACATAGAATGCAAGTGATTAAAACATGACATGTAGTGCGAATTAAAGGTCGCTGCACGTCTCAAATGATATCACTTTATAAACTAATTCATTTGCCTCAAAAAAAAAAAAAATTTGAAGAATTTTAGGCGGGATTCAAACCCACGACCCCTCGGTTCCAAGCCAGACACACTACTGACTAGGGCATGCAGACACGCTTGCACAGCTTGGGAACAAACGTTGTGGGAGCAAGAGTCTCCCACCACAGCCAGAGGCCGCTGCCGAATGCTCAAACTGGACAACGGCCGAGGCGCGCAATAGCGCACGTATATGACAGGCGCAGAAGCCCATAAAAGAGGGCACACGCCCACAGAAAAGGGGGAAGACGGACCGTGGTCACGGAGGCGTGCAGTTCCAACACTCCGGCAATGTTTTACGCTTATACTAACAACCCAATCCTGTTACTCTAATAAATGCAGTTTCTCGTTTTGGAAACCCCGGCTTCGTGTTGTTCCTCCCGAATGGGCATGCAGCAAGGCAACCCTACCACATTTGGGAACAAGCGTTTAGCTATTGTGTTCCACTCCTAAAGGCAAAGCTTAAGCGTTTTTTTGTAATTTTTTATTCATCATTCTTTCACCGTGGGCTTTAAATCATTTTGACAATGCTAGAAGCTACCATTTCTCGTAGATAGCGCATTTATCTCGCAAGTGCTGAAAAACCTTCTATCTAGTGATATGTACACGGGAAGTACAGGGTGTCACAAAAGAAAATTTACAGTCTTTTTTACCGCAAAAACAAACTGGGCATCGCCGAACGCTCATTCTCCGCCCAAAGGTAGCGCTAGAGGTCACAACCAGGTGCCAAAGTTTCAGCCCGGTCCGATAACTTAATCAAAAGTTATAAGCGATTTTTGAAAATTTCAATGAGAAAATGGCGGCCGACGGAGTTTTCGAACACATGGAGCTCTATGGCACCAGAAACCGAAAACGGGCAAAAATGGGCTCCATTTTTCCATTGAAATTTTCAGAAAATCACTTATAACTTTTGATTAAGTTATCGGATCGGGCTGAAACTTTGGCATCTGGTTGTGACCTCTAGCTGTACCTTTGGGCGGAGAATGAGCGTTCAGCGATGCCTAGTTTATTTTTGCGGTAAAAAAGACAGTGTAAATTTTCTTTTGTGACAACCTGTATGTATTCGAGGGTTACCTTCATGGAATAGGATACTATTACCATAACCTATTCTCATTCCATAAAGCACACAAAAACCAATTGTTCAAACTAACCGACTGGAAGCCTGCTTTCTGTTTATTCCCACGAACCAATCTTCCAAGTTCGAGGCACTTCAGATGTGCTTCGTCCTATTCTCTTAGTCACTCTACTTGGCTATAAAAGACTGAGATTTGGGAGTGGTAACAGACCCGAAGCTAATAGATCTTTGTTTAGACGGAAGGCTAGTAAAAAAATATTTTTCGGGCAATAAAGAATGTGCAACACCATTTCTCTCAGACTATAAACTAATCGCTATGGTCTGTATTTCTCTCGAGCATAATGTCTTGGGCAGCTTTAATGTGATTTAAGTTCACGCTAACACATTTTTATTGTCTTTCGTCCTGCCAGGTTGCATGGAAAAAATTAAACCTGGTTTTCCAGACATGCAAAAATAAACTAAGCATTGCAGAAAGCTGCAACTCCGTGTGAATGTAACACTCACTAGTGGTGGCGACAAAATGCGTTAGTTTGAGCGCATCACCTTACCTGGATCAAAAAATACAAAAGAAAAACAAAATTTCTTTACGAGACGACGTCCACCTAGGCCCTATTCGTCAAACCAGAATTTGAGATTGTGGGCGTCTATAGTATTTATTTCAAAGAAAAAGCTTGTCATTAAAGGGGCACTCCGGAGATTTCTTTATGGTCGCTGACTTGCCTAAATCTTGGCTCAACACACCGATAGACACGGCTGGATCAGTTCCCCAAGTGAAAAAAAAAATATTTTACGAAGTTACTGAATTTTCGAATTTCGTTTTCATTCTGTTGCTTAAACGGGGAGCCCCTACTGGCAACATTCAAATGTGACGACAGAAATGGCACAAAATGGGCACTAAGCCATGTTCCCAACTGATTACAAGGCATTTGATGGTTGGAAAAGAATGCTTAGTAGATGATTCACTAAGAATCACGCAAAAAATACTTGACATGCTGTGTTTAAGACTACCTGTGCGACCTGAAAGTTTGTACCATTTGTGACGTCACACCACTGGAGAGCACGCGGAAATTTGAATCTTGGTTTCGGCATCACCTTCATTTACGGTTTTCTCAATTGCTATTTCAAATTTCAAGAAAATAAATATCATAGTGTGAAGACTAAAGTTTGGGTAGTCAGAAAACGCAATTTGTTTGGGTAGCTTAAAAAATGGCAGGAGTACAATACATTATTACGGCGAAAGTCTTACTTGCCCCATTGAGCAAAAATGTGGAGTAAATGGCCATGAAAAATGAAAGATTTTTACAACCCCCTGTAACGCCGAATTAGAGTGTAGCTCTTGAGGAGGAGCAGGGGAAGGTATGAAGAGGAGGGTATGCCCCTCCTCCTCATCCGTACCCTCCCCTCCTAATCTCCTCTTCGCCTCCCATTTAGGGGCAATTTTTCCGCTATATTTAGCGGAAAAATTTCCCTGCTACATTTAGCGGAAAACTTTCCCCACTATCTTTAGCGCAAAAAATTCCCCACTAAATTTAGCGGGAAATTTTTTCCGGTAAATTTAGCGGGGAAATTTTTCTGCTAAATTTAGCGGCAAAATTTTTCTGCTAAATTTAGCGGGGAAATTTTTCTGCTAAATTTAGCGGGGAAATTTACCCATGCAACGCGTGGCGACGTCATCTATGATGTCACTGGTGACCGTCGTGACGTCACACGTGACGTCATCATGAGAAATGTCCCATAATGAACCGCGCGGTTACGCCGACGGCGCTCAATCCGGAAACAGACGCCTAAGAGCTGCGCTCTAAAATGTGATTGCGCAGCACATGCCACTCAAACGTATGAGCATACGTATTACCAATACGCTCAAATACACCAATACGCTAAAACGTATGCTAATATGGCAGCCATCTGTCAAGGTATGCTGTGTACGATAATCTTTACGCTGGGATTAGGCGGTGCAAACTATAGTCCAAAAAAATAAAGACATTTTCTTTCTTGGCTCCTATGATTTTATTGATACCGTAACTAACGCATTTGGAAGAGGACATCAGAATTATTTCAATAGAAATTACATCAATCCCTTATCACCGCCCCCAGGGTAAAGAATGAAATCTATGTCAACAGGAGGTGAAAAGAAAAACCTAGCGCCAACTCAAAATTTGGAGATAATCACGTAAAACTGGGGGATGGGCGCTCGTTAGGTCAACAATATGCCAAGAAATATCCTTTGCGCATTTTTCGAATGTTAAAAAATTGAGGGGAGGTGACTTATTGCGGAATGGGCAGACGTTCGGTATTTTACGCTATATTCTACCAATTCATAGATGGTCACACACCAACTCCCATAACTAAGATCAAGCGGAACATGTCATTGGCCAACGTCTGGCACTTGCTCGGGCAATACTGGCAAAGGAATGGTCAAGTCCACCCAAGCGAGTGGCAGGGGTATGGTTGATCACCTTGCCAGACAACACCAGCCGTCGGTCGAAGCTGACTGAGGAGTGGCTATCCTCCATTTTACCTTACCATGGACTGCAGAGCTCACAAGAGCCGCCGAAGCCAATCTAATGCCGTGCGAGTGTCAAGTGACCTTTGAGAGGGGCGCGGGGACGTGCGGGGCGCACAGTCCCACGATACATTCGCGACGCTGGATTGGCTCGTATGGCTCGTAGCATCCACTGTGGTCTATCGTAAAGAGGAACAGAGTATGATGGCTGCTGATGCCTGGCAGGCTCTGTGCAGCAATGGTTCTCTCACAAAGATACCACCGAATAACTGACATCAAACGATTGCCACGGAGGCGAGCGGTAATAGAATCGATATAGGAACAAAGCAATTTCGCAGGCTTTTTCACCGAGATAACATGGTCATAAAATTTACGTTTATGTGTTACGTCCGACGGAGCCCGAAATAAAAATTGAAGTTACGTTCAACGTAAATTGACCCCAAGGTTTCGAGTTACGTCCGGAGTAACCCAATATGAAAATTAAAGTTTCGTCCGGAGTAACCCAATATGAAAATTAAAGTTACGTCCGACGAAACCCGAAATAAAAATTAAAGTTACGACCTGTGCAACCTACGCGTATGTTTCGCTTTACGGCCGATACATGACGTAAATACAAAACTATCGTGAACTATTACTGCGTTACGTCCAAAGCAGCGTTCGTAAATCGGGTCAAATCTCAACTCTATGCGTACCTTCATCTTTGTTAAAAGGGCTGGAGTGTGTTCCTCGCACATCGAGGCTGCTGAGGCTGGGTGGGTTCGATGCCTGTCACATACACCTTTTTTCTTTCTCTTCTTTCCTCTCCCTTTATTGCATTTATTTTTTTTTATATCAATACCTTTCTTGCTGTTCTTGCCGCGTTTGTTACACTTGCTTGTAGCCCTTGCTGGCTAGGGCTGAGAGCAAGGTTGATATGGCTAAAGGCCGAGGGTCTATTGCCATTCTCAGACCCAGGCGGCACCCTCGAAACAGCTCTTTATTTATTTTATTTATTTATCAATACTATTATTCCAATACATGGAATATAATAGGAGTGGCACAAGAATGAAGCACTATGTATACAAGATGCTTGCAATGTAAGTGTAGGCCCCCGCCACTAGAATGTCGCGAAAGAAACTCTGAGCTACAATTGACAGCAGTGTGTCGGCAAGTATACACATAGCAGTGCATGAACAATTACATAAAAGATTATCTTGCAGACAGTAGCAAATATGACACAAGTGTTTTAACAGTGGAACGCCTTTGACAGTGAGCCGCCGATTGCAAAAAGAAAATCATATTTATACAGTTGATAACAGTTGCTCAAGAAACGAGGAAACACACTCACAGTTGACTATATCTCGAGGTAGTTTGTTCCAATCGGATACAGTACGCGGAAAAAAAGAGTACTTAAACGCATCTACCTGAGAGTGACATTCAATAATTATTTTCGGGTGTGTGAATCGAGTGTTGGTCCTTTGGGAAAAAGCGATATATTTATCTTGAGGTATTCTTATGGCTCCATTCACGATTAGATAAAGCATTTTTAACCGGGCTATCTTTCTTCCGGATGACAGCGATGTTAAACCCGTTTGAAGCATTAATTTTGATGGTGAGTTCATTCTTCCGAATTTGTATTTAAGACACTCTGGAAGAAAACATTGCCAAAGCTAGTGCGCGTGGCGACCTGAGTGGTACGTGAAGATTGTGCCAGTTATCAACAAGTCTACAGGAAACCTTGCTGTTGTAAACAGCACGTTCGTATCACATTCCCATTCTATATCTCTTATTAATTGCTTTGAAAATCTGCGATTCTCAGAAAGCGTCGCAAGAAATTGTATTAAAGGAGAAAAATAATTGTCTTAAAGAAAGGAAAAACATGAGAAAGAAAATAATAATGTGACGGGCATCTGTACCTGGAAATACAGATGGAGTTGCGATTTTAACCAATTAACGAATGCTGCATCGGACGTAACGTAATAATAATTCATAATATGTTTGTGTTTATGTCATGTATCGGCCGTAAAGCGAAACATTCAATAAGGTTGCATAGGACACCAGAAGGTAACTCTAACTTTTATTTTCGTCAAACGTAACTTTCATTTTCATTTCGCGTCCTGTCAGACGTAACTCGAAACCTTGGGGTAAAGTTACGTCAGACGTAACTCTAATTTTTATTTTGGGTTCCGTCGGACATAACGCTAGACACTGCGTAAAATTTACTGCTGAATCGTGAGACATATGTATATTCTACTTCACATACCTGAGAAACAACCAATCAAATACTGAAATTAGGTTTTCTGGATTGGTTGAGTGTACAAAATAGCGGGCGAAGTGGCTGCGCTGCCAGCCCAGTAATCGATGGAGCAGAAGTGTACAGAGGGCTACACGGTTAGCGTATAAACAAGCGACCACCAATTTTTGCTGTTTTGATGTTAAAAGTGAAATTCTTTTACCAAGCCAATTAGTAGTGTGGCAGTTTTCGCTTATCCAGAGCACTAAGGCGGCAAAATTTCCTCTCAGTCAAAGTTCTGTCCGAGCAAAACGAGAAAGAGTGCAGATGTCATGTTTACGCTAACAGTGTCGCGCAGTGTACTTGGTACATACTCTACTAAACCGTCTGCAGCCGTTAGCCACTAAGTGGACAGATCGCGCGCGTGCGCAAACGTGTAAAACACTTTTAAAAAAATCTGTGAAAGACACATACACAAAAAAAGAAAGCGTACCCTTTCATGACGTGAAGTAGCCTAGCGCAGATGTCTCGAATTTCATTTTCGTCTTTGGAGTCGCCAGATATCTCGAGGAACATTTCACCGACCGCTTCGTAGACTTCGTCACATGTGGAGAAGTCGTCCTTTCCCCCGTCCAAGACACCTGGGAAGGGGAAAAGAACCCACGGGATCAATTTACAACCAGCTCTTTTTCCTCGGCTCCGTTCCATTCGTCCGCTACTCTGGCTTCGCAGTCATATCCACAAGCCATTCAACGTACAAATTTTGCAATTTATAAAGTTGAAAAAAAGTGTCGCGCCCGTAAGGCTGGCTGAAGAGGAGCCTTTGACAGCTAGCGCTTTTCCAACTCTTTCCAGTACCTCCCGATTAATACAGACAGTAGTGTCACTCTCAACTTATCAACAAGTTGAAACAATTAGTCTTTATAGACCTATTTTTATTCATACATAAATCGAGTAAAGTGTCGTCGAGCGGTAATCAATTGGCACGGGTTGCGTAAAGCGAGGTACCCCGGTGCCCACAAGCCGCTAGTCGGTTTTCGGGTGGGTTCTGCTGCAAGTTTACATCAAAATTTGTCCGACCTAGGGCGAGTGTTTTAGCACCACTTTCAATTGTACGGACCGCCACCAACCTTCGAGGTAGTCGAACAAGTCCTCATCAATGTCCGGGAATGCATCACTCAGTACGTCTTCGACAGCTTCCATCTTGAGCGCAAAAGGGAGGAGCAGTTGCCAGCCCCCGTTTCCGTTTCCTCCGAAACAGATGATTGCTTAACGAAAATAAATAAAAAATGCAGAGGAAGAAATCTCGTTGATGCAATAAGCTACGCGTCGATATACTGAAAAGAAATGCGCGGTCACGACGTATCAACGTGTCAATCACGTAAATTTAGCATATTTTTGTCAGCAGTTTTACGTGATTGACGTTGGCCGCTTTCCATTGGCTCGTAGTTGGCCAACGGACGCCACGCGTGGCTGCGCGAAACAAAAGAGTACCATTAATATTTGATTAGATATTGCAATTAATAAATATGAGAATAGCTATAAACATTTTGTAACGCATTGCCTCGTACTAATAGATCACACAGGTTTTTAAAAAAATTGGTGGGTATTATAGTATCTTTAACGTGCAATTTTACACGTGGATAGCTGTGCGGCAGGCGCACGCTGGTGTTGTGCTGCCGTGGCGTGCCGGTATCAACAACATGGCTCTTCGCGTGTGCCTCGTCTCTTCAATTTTTTTAATTTTCCTATCATTACCGCAAGTTTTCGGGGGTGGTGAGACGCTGGTATTGCTAGACAACTTAGCGATAAAAGAGGCACATTCAATTTTTTTCAAGTCGTTGCAAGGTAAGGCGACGATATTGAGTCCGATAGCCGGGCGTTTTCGAGTTGCCTGCGTCCGCTATGTGGGCCTCCACTGATTATATTTCTGTATGACCGTTAGATCGAGGATTTAAACTCACCTTCAAGTCTGCCGACGATCCAGCGCTGTCCTTAAAGAAGTATGGAGAGTACCTGTACAAGCACCTAATTCTTTTCTCGCCATCTGTTGAAGGTAAGCACACCAGTCGGGTCCCTTGGGTACGGGCTCGAACTCGGTGAAACTTTCACTATTTTCGTTTTGTCTTTCCAGAGTTTGGAGGTTCCATAAACGTTCAAGCGCTCACAGAGTTTGTCGACGATGGGGGCAACATATTGGCAGCCGCCAGCTCCAGCGTCGGTGAGTGCTCAGCTGTCGTCCTCTGGTTGTGACCATTTCTAAGTAAGTTTGTCTTTTTTCTTTCAAGGCGATGTCATGCGTGAACTGGCGAACGAAGTTGGCTTCGAGATTGACGAAGAAGGGAGCTACGTCATCGACCACTTGAACTACGACGTGTCCGACGAAGGGAAGGTAATCTGCACATGCCTCATTTCATAATTGGTTTTGTACTACCCCTCAAGTTGCTAGGTTTACCTACAAAGATAAGTTGTTTCCAGCTTTTCAACCTGTAAGAGTGAAGTCCAGTGACTCAACTGGTTTGCTCGAGCGCTGTGTGTATTTATGTATAAATGGGAGTATGCGTACCTCGATGAGCACAGGATGTCAGTTCGCCCCTTTCTGGTGGCCAGAAGCGCCTCGTTAATGCAGTCGAAGGTACGCTCTCCTACGCCCTTTTCCCCATTGTGTCCGACCAAGTGACGTCGGTGCAAGCTATGTGTAGCTAGCTGATGTTTCACATTCGTTGCGTTTTTGCAGCACACAACCATAGTTGCCGAGAGCGAGAACCTTATCAACGCCCCCACGGTGGTCGGCAGCAAGAACATCCCTCCCGTTCTGTTCAGGGGTGTAGGGTATGTCTTGGTAGACACAAAACTCTTAGACTTGTGTTCCTCAGATTTCGCAAAATATTAACTTTCTTTTTTGCAGCATCATCTCTGACCAGGACAACCCTCTTGTGCTTGAAGTTCTGACTGCCTCTTCGACAGCTTACAGTTACAACCCGGATAACAAGATCACTGAGGTAAGATTTCGCTTTGCGCACCAAGTCCGTTTGCTCCTCGGGGCACTTTGTGAACTGACAGTGGCGGCATCTTGTTCGACAGTACCCGCACGCAGTGGGCAAGAACACTCTGCTCGTGTCGGCCCTGCAAGCGAGGAACAACGCGCGCGTCGTGTTCTGTGGCTCTCTGGAGTTCTTCAGCGACAAGTTCTTCACCTCTCCTGTCCAAAATGCCCACGGTGGAAAGCGGTGCGTTCTGTTGCTCCAATTTAGATGGGGCCAATTCATTCTCAAATTTCGTCGGCAAAAAAAAAAAGTTGCCTGTGCGTTTTAAAAAAAACATAATTTTGCTGCAAGCTTTAAGGTTGGCAGTTGTAGGACCTGCAAGTACAATTTCGGTGGAAAACCTTTGGCGACCTTAGAGGGTCCGACCCAGACAACGAAACTCTGCTATTCAACCAGAATAAGTAAAGTTGCGTCGCGGGTAGCTTTATCTTTGCGTGGGTGGCACGCTGGAGGTGGTGATAGAATGCAAAATTTGGAGAACACGACATCCACCTAAGCCTAACATTCGTCGAGTTGAGAAATGGCATCGTGGGCGTCTTCGGAAATTATTTCGGCGAAACAAACCCATCGGGAAGAAAGACGATCCCGTTTTCTTTCTCGCCAACACCTGTATTTTATCAAACTAAATGCCACAAGCATCCACTGTGCCATTTCTCAATTTGACGAATATTAGGTTTGGGTAGACTTCGGATCATGGAGAAAATTTGTTTTCCCCGCTTTATCCATTGATCCAGTCAACTTCACGTTCTCAGACTTTGGCTTTCTGCTACGCTTAGTTAAGGTTTCATTTTCTCCGTCGGACCCTGGGGACTAAGAGTAGCGTTAAACCCCGTAATATATGTTCGTAGTGAGGAATTGCCTTCCTGAAACAGGTACGAGAGCTCTGGCAACCAGGCACTTGCCACGGCCCTCTCTCAATGGGTGTTCAAGGAGAAGGGGGTGCTGAGGGCACAGAACGTTCGCCACCACCCCAAGGGCCAGAAGACGCCTCCGGAAGCGTACACCGTCATGGACGACGTCGTAAGTCTCGTGAAATTAGTTTGTTTTGTCGGTATTTCCGTCTGGTGCGAATTCACCAACTTACGGAGTTTAACTTCCAGGTGTACAGCATCGAGGTGGAGATCCTGAAGGACGGCCAATGGGTGCCCTTCGACGCCGACGACTTGCAGCTAGAATTTGTTCGCATTGACCCGTTTGTACGCACCAAGCTGGTCAAGAAAGGTGAGTGCACCCTGTCTTTCCGAAGCCGCTCGCGAGAGAAAGTGCTCTTTGTCGGGGCTTCGTTTTTATGCGTTTATTCGGGCTAGCTTACGTTGCGTTGCGGCTGCGAAGCTGTTTAGAACATTAAAAGATGCTCTGTAATGTTTTTGTTCCACCGTTAGATGTCAAGACCGGCTGCAAAAAGGTTTTTTTTTGTTCATTTTAATAAACTAAAATATAGCTTGAAAAAGCTTATTTTTATGTTCTGGTTATAGAAATTTAGGTCTACAGGGATTACTCAACAATTTTATTTAACCCAGGTCTTCCTTAGCTTTTTATTTATTCTTCGAAGTTGGTTGTCTTTTTAATCTAGACAAACGAATGTGTGGCATCAACCAATGCAGGTCAGAAGTATGAGTCCCAATTCAAGGTTCCGGACGTTTACGGAGTGTACCAGTTCAAAGTGGACTACAACCGTGTCGGCTACACGCACCTCTACACTACCACTCAGGCAGGTTTTTGCTTTTCATCCAAACGTATAACTACACAAAAGCATGGTAGTATTGTCCTTCAATTTGACCTGCGTTTCCGCAGGTGTCTGTGCGGCCGCTGCAGCACACGCAGTACGAGCGCTTCATCCCGTCGGCGTACCCTTACTACCTGAGCGCCTTCTCCATGATGTTCGGCGTGTTCCTACTCAGCTGCGTGTTCCTCCACCACAAGGACGCCCCCAAGACTAAGTCGGACTGAGCAGCCGAGTTGCACCCAGGTCTACCATCATTCATTCCCGTTCAAAGCTGCCTCCGACGTCACCGCCATCTCTCATGGGCAAGGCTGTTTTTTTTGTGTTTCGAGGAGAGAGAGAGCGATTGTTTGTTTGTTTTTGTGAGCATGTAAGGGTGAGGACTGAGATTTCAAGCTGTTTTTTTTATTGGGGCAAGATTTTTTGTTTTTTTTTCCTTCTCGGTTGGGTGAGTTTGCAATAAAAAGTTGCTGCTGGAAGGGCAAGCGTCAAATGAACGTCCTTGCTTCAACAGATCCACGTCACAACAGTTGTGGAGCTTTTACATACTAAAAGGGAAGGCACACTGGCGGTGGCACTGCAACCATGTGCTTGGGAGGCCTTCCCAGCACCAGGTGCTCAAAACGAGAGCTCGACGAGTTATTCTTGCATGGCGAAGGCCTGCGAACAGTCCACCGTTTCGAGGCTTACGAAATCAGTGTCGCAATCCGTTTCTATGTCCTGGGAGGCGCTCGACAAGTCGTTATCAAATGTCAGGCTTGTGGTGTTGGACAAGGCGTCAAAGTCGCTGTCTTCCAAAGTTGTCCACGATCCGCTGGAGGTCAGCTGATCTTTGTCACAGTTTGCCCTCGTGATCGGCATCTCTTTCGGCGATGCGAAGGCTTCGGGCGGCGTTGTCGCCGTTTCCTTTGTCGGGACCTTGAACAGTCTCTTTTGATGGGGCGCTCTATGTGTGGCCTGCATGCCAGTGACGGTTTTTTGCACGCTTCCCGTTTTGGCAGCCGGTTTTTCTAGTGCTGCAACTTCCTTTAGTTGTACTGCCACCGTTGGTACCATGGCAACGGGTTTCGGCAGTAGAACTGTTGCCGCTGTGAAAGAGCCGCTTGCCGGTGCCGTGGCTGGTTTTGCCGGCACCTCGGCCGTTATATTGTTAAGTGTCCTCGCAGGTGTCACAGTTGGTCTTGCTGATGCTAATGCCTTGCCAGCTCTCTCTGCCGGACCCTTAGCTTGTTTTGCAAGTGCTGCAGCATCGTTTAAAAGTTGGGCAACAACGTCTGCGGCTGGCTCCTTGGCACCCGGCTTCTTCAGTTTCTTGGGTTTGCCGTTTATTTCTTTCTTGGCCTTGCTCAGAGTCTTGCTTTTGTCTCCTTTGAAAGCTGTTTTTTCTTTGAAAAATTTTGGGACTCCTTGCTTTACCTGTTTCATAGGAGCAACCTCTGGCACGAGATCAGCACCACTTTGCATTCCGCTGCTTGTTATAGTGTTTCTCTGCTCACTGCGAGACGCCGCGCCAAACGGTGGCACCGACGCCGTTGTCGACTCTTTCGGCATAAGTTGCGAAAGCAACTCTCCGCTCGCTGTTGCATCTGAAGCTGGGACGATTTCAGTTTTGGCGTCTGCCAGGCAGGTCCCATCGTCGGAACGGCCATCTTTTTCCACGTCGTTGCCTAGAAACTGAATGAGGGAATTTATGTTTCCGATGCCTTCCAAGCTCTCTTGAGTCTGCCCTCCCGTGATCGAGAGCAGAGTCTCGGACAAGACTGGTGTCCCATTCGGTAACTTCGTGGCAGAAGCCTTGGTCGCCGGCTTTAGTTGTGCCAGTACACGCGATTGCTCACTTGCTGCACCGAACCTCTGAAGCAGAGGCAAAGTGTCGACTTGAACTTTAACCTGGCTGGCTTGTATCGGGCTTACTGGTCCTTGTTTTTCAGCTTCGATGTGCATCTTTGGTTGCTGATCCTCGTTTGGGGAACAGTTTGCTTGAATCGCGGATAAACAGTGGACGGGATTCGGATTTAAAGCTTTGTTTGGAACGGGGACAGTAATGGCTGCCTCCTCTTGGATCTGAGGTTGCGCTGAAGGCAAATTTTGAAGCACTGCTGCAGCCGCTAATTGTGGAAGTTGCTGAATGATGTTGGTTGCGCCCGCTGCACTCTTCGTCTGCTCCTGGCACTGCATGGTATTCTGGTAAGCCCCAACATCTTTCCTTTTCTGCATTTTTTTTATGGTTTCGGTGGCTGACTGGTATTTTGGCGTTTGGTCACTTTTAGAAGCCGCTATCCTTTCTTTGGCTCCCTTAAATGCCGGTCTGGATGCTTGTCCAAGGCTGCTAGTCGCTGCACTTCCTAGAAAACAATGTGTGCGGGGCTTATGGTTTCAGAACTCTCGAATTAAAAAGAAAGTAAAGTTTTTGTCATTGTGGTTTTGATAGCAGTTTCTATAAACTTACTGTCGTGTTTTTAATGCATACATGCACTGGGATGTCGGTAGCAATGTGAAAGACATTGAAGTAGGACACTTAAAATTGTGCATTCTTTTTCAACGGTAAAAGTTGTCTACTTAAAATCTCGAGAGATGTCCCAACCCCGAAAGATAGCCCACCCCTATTTTTGGCTTGATTTGCTGTATTTTTTTAAACACCAAAAGACAGCCCACTCCTAGTAATAGAAGTGTTGGGATCTGTGATGACCTAAGCATAAATGCGGCTAGTTAGCTATGGCAGGATATAAGCGGACGTCGCTGACTGGCAAGTAGTCATCTTTGCTTCGTTGCCCTTCGCCACCATAACAAGCTTAGAAGAGACATGACCTAAAAATAGCCATTTTTTTTTTTAACTTTTGATCGTACACCGAAAGTTAGCCCACTCCATATTTTCACCAAATTTGCTCTTGATGTCAGGTGGGCTATCTCTCGGGATTTTACGGTAGTCATTTTGATCTGTTGCATTCTTTTATATGTGTCTAGGTAGAGAGTTCATGCTTTTACTGTTTAATATGAGCCTCTAGTTTACTTCGATGTAGCAGCCCTTACCTGACTGCGTTTGCCGAGTCTCTTGAGTAGTGGTCCCCACCTTTGGTGGTTTGCCCCTGGGACGTTTGGCTGCGACGAGACCAATATCAGGTGTTACAAAGTGCAGATTGTAACTAACAACAAAATCTGTCTGTTTTTAACAAATAAAAATTAATTTTAATGTAAATTTGTTCAGCAAAACTGTGCTTTATTTTTGTCCATGCCTTCTCGGAGGCAGGCTTTGGACAGAGCAAGCAGCCCCAAATTTTTAGCTTCTTTTTTTCTTTTCCAAAATATACCTGTCTGCATGTCACTGGTCAATGGCTGAGTGGTGGTCTTGCATTTCGTTGACTTCTTCCTGGGCTGCTTGGCTGCAACATCCAGAGTGTTCTCAATTCATGAGTCTCAGGTGGAGCTATTTTGTTCCAAACCATGGAACTTTAACGCATTTGAGAGAAATGTGAGCCATGTTTTTATTGCGGTAAAATTAAAATATGCATCATCAAGTGTTAAGTCTCTGCCGAATGTAGTATTGGAATGAAATGTGAATGTTGCAATGCGTGGCCTTTGACAGATGCAGCGCTATCTGCACATCGCAGAAAGTGCACACTCTTGAAGCCCTCTCTCCACTCAGCAGTTTTATCAGCCTCCAAGTAGTGCAGCATGTAGCAAAGGCCGTGCATTCGAGTGGTCACATTTTATTTCGTTCCAATAGTATATAGGCTACTGGCTCTGATCAGATATCATTGTCAGAACCCAACATTGTTTTCAATGAACACTTGGCAGCCAACGGAACCCGCAAGTACGAGGAGATAACTAGCGTCTGCTACCAAGAGCGGGCCCCATTCTCTCATTACATATCGCTTAAAATCGCTTATTACTTTTTATTGCGGAGAAGGCGCCGTGGTAACCGAGCTTTGGTTGCACGTCAAAAGCTCCCCAGGTGGTCGAAGTTAATCCTCACTCCTCCGCTGGGGCGTGCCAGATGCCCGTCGTAGGTTTGGCACGTAAAACCCCCAAATTTGACTTTGACTTTGGCTTCTTACTTTTGAATTCAACAACACCAAGTTTTGAAATTTTGACATCTGATCTCGATTGCTAACACTGCATTTGGTTGGAGACTGGACATTTTGGCAATACATAGCTTTTTTGTTTTTTTTGCAGTAAGAAAAACACAATTCAGTAGGGACAGGTAAATAGTATTTTTTTTTTTCAGTTTGAAGCTAATAGTTACTTCGTACAAATAATTGTGAATCGAATAGAATAATTTCGAGGCGAAGCAAGTAGTTTTTTGGCTATCCACACAGTTGAGCTTAGAAAACCTTGAAACTAGCTAGGGAACAAAAAAAAAAAAAGGACCAAAATGGCAAAGTTTGAGGGTTCTCTAACATGATCGTTGGCCAGCTCGCCTGTGCAATTACTTTTATTTCAATACAGTCATGTGTCATTATTATGGACACTTCCGTTTCCCAGAAAAATCACCCTTAATGTGAATCGTCCATAATGATCCTGAGGCTCATTTGCTTAACACTTTGGGGTCATCCATTAGAGATGTCATCCACAATAGATTCAAGAAAGTAGATGTGTTGCTCCTATTTGCATTGCTACTTGTGTTCCAGCCTTGGTTGGTGAACTTATTTCAAGTTACTGCTCATGAACACAAGCTGTTCCACATGTTTTGGGAGTAGGAGCTTTCTTCTGGCAGTGAAAACATTCCCCAATGCTGAAAACAGCCTTTCACTGTAGCAGTAGATACTTCTCCTTCCACCAAATGAAAGGATTTTCTGTGCGAGGCCCGACGGGCGACAGGCTTACGCCACCTAGCCTAAAAATACACCAATTCCTTTGCCCTCCCTCCACATCATAAACCAATACTGTATTTTCCTGTGGAGAATAAACTTGAAAAATGTGTGTGGATATGGAACTCCAAGTTAAAGGTTTTAATATTTACAAGTTACTATACGGTCAGCACTTCCTTCAGAAACGGCATCGTTATTACTATCGCTGTTTACCTTTTTCCCCGCAGTAATGGCACGACCACGACGCATTCATTATTCCAGGCTTCTAGTCCTCATATCTGCAGTCTCCGGCTGCCCATGGCGTACAAACTCATGGGACACAGATTCACCATGGTGCATTACGAAATTGCCTGATGCATCGTATGACACGCCGTTTTGCACGCAAGCCGTCTCGGGAATTGTTTTTAAATCCAACATCTTCAAGAAGAAAAAAAATAAAAAATGCAGAAGATGACAGGCATTGCGTGCATACCGTTTTTTTTAGTCCAAAACTAAAGGGGAACTTCAGTCAATATTTTTTCATTTGAGATTATGACCATTTTTATCCAAAGCAGTGCCCCTGAATTAGAAGGTATAATTGTCTGTAGTTTTATAAATATCGCAGGCTCAGAGTTTGGTTTCAAGCGTCTACAGCCAAACTGAAACTATCTGCTAGCAGGATGGCAGCACTGATCATCAAGCGCACAGTCGCAATGGTATGCGGTACGCCTGATGCAGTACGTGGTACAACCATGCAACTGCAGCTCCCCTGCGACATGACGTCACAAGGGTGCTGCGCCAGTGTTCCTTGGCTAAAAGCTAACCAGCTTGCCACCCGCTAAAGAGCAGCTGGTCGCATCTTTAAAATCTGTTTCAGTGGAGTATCCGGCTTCACTTTGACGTAATATTTCGACTGTGATCATATTTCGTGCCCCTAAAGCGATACAGTCATTTATTTTGGTTTCGTTTCCCACTGGAGTTGCCCTTTAAAGTGATACGGAAAGGAAAATTGATACTCAGCACTGGTATTGTTTGTAGCCGGAGATTTAACCCGAGTGGCCTTCTTGCCTTTAGATATTTAAGCTTCACGCTGTATCAATCGGCAGTTCTAATACCAACATCATGTTCTCCAAATGAAGGGGGCAACAGTGCCTAAAGCATTATTTGCATAACAATCTTCAAAGCATACAATTTCAAGAGAAACTGTTTGCTCGGTGCTTCGATAGCACATGCCATCTTCAAATGCCTCGCGGCTACAATGCCTAAATGAAGTACACTTTGTGACACTGTTGGCGTGAACCAACGTCGGTGCTTTTTGGCACTTTGAAAGTGCGTTGGCGGGCACAAAACTTCACTGCTAGTTTAGTGTCCCAAATTAGCACTTTACACCACACTATACTTCGTCTCATCCCACAATGGACTAAAGCCCAGTGCTGCAGGCCACTAAGTCCAATCACGAGCTTGTTAGAAATCACATGGTATATTTGCTCCGTCGTACGTATTAGTGCATCAAGATGCAACTTGCAGAGGCGAGTTTTTCGTCTGCTTATCGAGCTGTTGCGGCGGCTCCGTCTGCTTCCTACTACTGAGGACTACTGCATGATTAAATACCATCGGGAAGTGATGGGGCGAAGAAAACCCGGTATCAGAACCAATGGCCATTAAGAAATGAAGATGAGTCGGATAGAGTGTTTGACATGGGATGTATGTACAGACTGTTTGCTGAAGAGGCATGCGGGTCCAGGTATGTTTTACATCCACAAAAGTTGGACTGGATGAGATTGTTATGGCTAAGGCGAAACGACTTCATGTCAGTGTTGCCTCCGCGCCGTCCAACTTCTTGAAACAGTTGACATGTTTACGAAATATCGCAGGACCGTTTATAAAACTAAATACCATGTACCTTTATTTCACCAATATAAAGTAGCGCACTATCATAACAGAGAACCATATGCATTATATTAGTACTCTTCGTAGTGTGCGTATCGGAATTTCTCTAGCACACTCTTTCGCAGCGCGGATGCAAGCTCTTCTGAGACAGTGCTCTGCCTGCCAGCCTAGTTCATCATAGGGTGAGACGGAGTATAATAGTTTTGACGACAGCTCTTTGATTCTAAGAGAAGCACAGAAAAAAAACTGCATTCGCTCGTCCACGCTAACAGTGCCGCGCAGTGTACACTGGGTGGCATTATTGACTCAAACCGAGCACCAGCCAAATGGGTAAAATGCTTCACGGGGTACCTTTGGCATGCTCAGCCAGGAAGCGGACTGCTACCGTTTTATGATGGGGAATAGTGGCAGTTCATTCCAGTCTTCTTAACACGTGTATACTAAGCTCATTGCCTCCCACTCTACCGCGCAGGTGCAAATCGGCCACTTACATTTAGTCTGTGTCCGTCGCAGTGACGCACTTCGTAAGGGAGGGTAGTTGTTGATGAAGCAGTACTCCGCTATCCGTTCCTGGATTTGGAAGAAACGTGGCAGCATTTTAATGTAGCGTGCGTCATGGGGCTGGGTTTCACGAGAGGTGTGAGACATTACACTCGAGCTTTACACGACCGGCATCAGTGTGTGCCACGCTACACCCATACTTGTCGTCAAGTTGCGCAATGTTGCGGTGTCGCGCGACATCACGGTATCTTGCGACCCCGACTGCATGTGACTGTGACTTCACGTGATGTCAGAGTCTCGCGACCTCGTGATGCCACACGCACGCACATCACGTGCCCAGCTCGTTCACAGCACAATGCGTGCATCTCCACAAATTTTTCATACAATCAATATTTTTTTTTTGTCCTCGGTGGCTCGTTGAGAATTCGAGACTTAGCAAAATGAGATACCTGACGAAATCATCATACCTCGGTTCAATCATTTATGTATCGTGACTCATACCTGGGCTCTCGACGGGAACCCCATTGGTTGTGGTCGATTGATCACATTTGCCAGCCAATGCGAGTGAGGCTCTACCCGTGAGGTAGCATAGCCCCACTGCAGTGATGACACTATATATTGTTTTCTGTCATGACGCTTTCGCATCTTACATTGTCACCGAGTTACCTTCGCCAAAAACACATTGTATTAAAAAAAAAAAAAAAAGCCTTACCGGAAGGGAGAGTTTGACTGCGAGCTTTGCCCTCTCGACGGCATCGTTGAATGCTTTCTTGTATTTCTTGACAACCTAACGAAGACATACATTATGGTTTGGGTGCTTTGTTGTTAAATCTGATTCTTCCACAGAGAAAAAGTTGTTTCTTGAGCCTCTTTTTATTTACTTGGAGCAAAGATGATGTCTGTATCCAATTAATCATATTTTATTGTATGCATTATGTGTAATTACGATTGGAGCCACATAATGGCAGTGAAAAGAACAGACTGCAAGTTTTTGACGTGCCCAAACAATAATAAATAATTGCATATTAGATTTGGTGATTTCAAATATTGAATGAAATTGTTTTCATAAAATGTGAAACCAGTATAGAAAACAAAGGCTCTCCTAGTGCCTTAAAGCCATATTTCCTTTTTCAGTAGGGCTCATTAGCTGCATTTTTAATTGAAACATTGCTGCAACACAAAATCGGCAATCTTTATGCTCGTTTAAAAAGACAGTTGCAAATTGGTTATGCTTTAGAAATTAGAATAGAAAAATTGTCTGCATGGCATCTTGGTAACAATTTCATAATAGTAGCAGTGCAAGTTTTACTTTAGCAAGCAATATTAAAATGCAGCAAAAATAAAAACAATTTTTTTTTTTATTGTATGCTAACAGACACTGTTGCAGGAGCTGCCTATTCCTCTTGCGCTTTGCGAGAAGGCGGCACCTGCAACGTCCCCCCCCGCCCCCCCCCCCCCCATCATGAATGCCACTTCACCATGGCACAACCGTGCCGTGGGGAGAAGTGCGCTGAATAGAGCTAAAATGATCTCTACAAATTCTCCGAAATTTTCTAAACTTTTAGAGGCTACAGTTTGATTGGAAAGTTGAATCATCAAATATTCCCAGGTCTCTAATCAACAGTTTTATATATTCACACCTTAATTCTTTTAAATCTCTAGTGACAGATAAGCACAAATTCTTTTGTTTCTTAGTAAAAATTATACATCCCACACAGTCCTCAGGTTGCTAACCTTAAGGCGGGGGGGAGGGAGGAGAAAAGAAGAGAGGCAGAACCCAGTCTTTTTGTTGTTGTTTTTATTATTAAAAACGGAACCAGATTGTCCTTCGAACCGTGCAAAACAAACCTAAGAATGAACATGATGCATGCAAGCTTGATTTGAAATTTATATTTTGCTATTCTGTCTTTCCCAATTTTTTATCTTTTTAAGACTACAGTAAAACCTCGTTATAACAAAGTTGAAGGAGCGGTTGTAATTATTTCGTTATAACCATTAGTTTGTTATAGCCAATGTCCATTTCTTCCCAGTATTAGCAAGCAAGGGGAATTATAATTGCTTTGTTATATCCATTAGTTTGTTATATCCCGTTTTGTTATAACGAGGTTTTAGTGTACAAAGTTGGTATAACTATGCAAGAAAAAACAGAGAGAGTGGGAGACGAGAGCACGGAGGGACATCAAAACACCAAGCTCTGGTTGGAAGGATTGATGAGTAGACATAAAGCTAGCTGCCTTTGTCTCCACTGCATTCGTCGAACACTGAACGCCAGTGCCCGGGGTTTGTTATCGAACACGTTCAGACAGTGCAGTGGAGATGCGTCTACTCACTGATCATTCCAACCAGAACTTGGCGTTCTAACGTCTCCGCACACTCTCGTCTCCTCCTATCCCCCAGTTTCTGCCCGCATAGTCACTGACAATCTTAGAACGGTGGGTAGGCGTTTCAGTGGCTCCGCCTCCAATGTGAGCAACGTCTCGTGCACCTGGAGCGTGTGCGCATAGCCAAGCCATATGCTCGGCCTCCAGCTCAAGCTGGAGGCCAAGCATTGAAAAAAAAAAAGGGCGTTCTGCCGTTCTCCTTTTGGCGGTGATTATAGTTAATGCTTTTGGGAGAGCAGAGGTCCTTGCCTTGTTCCCTGGCACGCCTTCCTGACAAAACGGCATGCAGCGATCCTCTCGAACCCAGGCACGGGTCACATTCTTGTCCAGGAAGGTAACGTGGTAGTGAGTCTGCCAAGTGGGAAGACTCACAGTGCTACACTCGGTATGCTCTACACTGCTTAATTGGAAATGTCGGCGAGCTTGGATGTTCATGCAATGTGTGATTTATTGAATGCAACAGCCTTATTGTTCTTGTTGGTAAAAAGGTTGATGCAGTCCAGCCTGGTTAGAGTTTCGGGTGGCCAACAAAGAAGTAAGGCAGTTTTTTTTGTTTTTTTCTGGTTTAATGGGTGCTGAATCATGCACAGTTATGCCGGCCATTTTATTTAGGGTCTCGATGAATATGCATGTGGTTTTCATTAATATGTTGGAAAACGTCGGAGCATAAAGGAGCCTGAGCAAGCAAAGACAGTCGTTTTCCCTATCCAGCAAGCTTTGGCTCAACTGAAGAAAGCTGATTTGGGCCAATTTTTTTCCTTGTCACCAACCTTCTCGTTCTGCTTTCTTCTTCCAGTCATATCGGTTTTTTATTATCTCTTTTTTTTCCAAAATCATTCTGTTCATCGGACATCTTTGTGAATACTGGAAGAAGTTGAGTAGTACTTGTACAGCTATCTACAAAGCAGACAGTTGTACAAGGGTGCACTCATTTTTTTTTTGTAGATGTGTTTCGCTTGTACAGAAGGTCAATTTGTAAGCCACCGTGATTGTACATCATTCCGACTTCTTTTCCACTTACAAACAAGCTAAGAACAGTTACATCGTTAATCTGGTCCATCCTTAAAAATGTAGCAGTGTGTACTGATGCAATGTAATCCAGATGAAACTTTAAACAAAGACATGGAAGTGATCATGCCTAGTTGCTGCTACTCCATGCAAAATCAATTCTGAGGAAGTTGCTAGTATATTTTCCAGCCCAATAATGGTTAATGAACTTACTCTTTCAAGTAAGGGAAAATACTTGTACAAAACAATGCTTTTTTTTTTTTATTACTTAATGACTTGATGTTGCATTTACTACAGTTGTGGACAACAAGAAAAATGTAGGTCTGCATGTTGCCCTGCCTCCAGCATGAGCCTCCTACATACCGATTTGGTGCCACTTGAGCTTCAAGCATGCTGGCATGATCAAGAAACTACAAAAGGCATTTGGCTTGTAGTGGAGGCAAGGCCACGTAGAGACCTTTATCAATTCAAAGGAGGAGGAAAAATTCTGCAATGATCTCACGACGTCGGACAGCAACAGCTGTGCTGCTTATTCTACGATGATGATGATCGATTGACATTGTACCGATTGTGCGTCGTAGGGTGATCCGATATTGAAATGATGTTGCATTCATTTAGCGTCAATACGTCGATGATGAATAAATGACTTTAAGGTCGTGATGTGTTTCCCTGCCAAATTTAGCGGGGAAATTGAATTGGTGCATAGCTCACGCGACATGAATTTTTCCATTAATTTAGCGGGGTACCTGAATTTGTCTGTAGGTCCCATGACGTCGGGTCACGTGATACCAATTTTCTAGCGAACAATAAAGGTTTTCCAATCCAAAATACCAAATTTGGCGGGCAAACTGTATAGGATAGGTCATGTGTCATCAATTTTTTCACCAAGTTTAGCAAAGAAACTGATGGTGTTTACGCTCGTGCTGTCAAAAATCCGGGGAACGGGCCACTCCCAGCTGACGCTGTAAAACAGGAAGGGAAGGTTAACCTGGAAAGTTGACGCCGGCTATCTGCGAGTGACTATCCAATTTAGGACTGTTTTTAACGGTTGGCTCTGTCCAGCTCTGGTGTCTTGGTTAGTGCACTAACACAACCCCTACCACACGATCCTCGTCGTAAGGGTCTTTGTTGCAGACGTAGAGGCAACTGTCGGGGTCGTCGTCGATCATGGCAGGCCACCTGTCGCGACCAATGACATCCTCAGAATTGTGCCAGGTGGGAGAGGAGGACCGAGGAAGCATGCAGTCATGGGAACTCTCTCCTCACCAGGGGTACGAGTCCAGCTTGGCCCACACGATGGAGCCGACAAAGAATTTGGAATCCACGGACTCCTCTTGGGACATGTCCTGCTGTGCCGCTGCACAGCTGTTGTACTGGGTGTCTAAATAAAGAAGGGCACGACCATTGTATTATGCGTTGCCTGCATACGACGGACTGTGCTTTGTTTGGAGTCTGAAGAAGGTTGGAGGATTGGTGCCTGCAGATTTAAACCTAAGGAGAAGCTTGCATTACAGATTCTCTTGACCTTATCTCGCTGAAAATACTTGTCCGCTAAATTAGCTGGGTACCACTGTGATGTATCATATACGAGCTGAAACACCCGGTCTAGGCTTCGTCTCCTTCTGCAGTCCCCAATCCAATTTGGCAAACAATCTGAAGTATGGGACCTTAACTTTGAATTTTATTCCTCCTTAGGGCACGGTGTAGACAATAATGCCACCGACCTATAATATGCTTGCTGCCGTTCTACAGAGGGCAAGTTTCCCCAGTTTCGTGTTAAGCGCTTGGTCTCTTGGTCAACGTCTTTGGTTTCGGAGGCATACAACATGAGGGCACAGACGTCGAGAAGTCCTAAAGTTTTAAAGGCTTGTTCGCACATTTGTATTTGACTGGGCTTCAGTGCATTGCATCGACTCCTAATTGCTTACGGCAAGAGAAGACACTGGCACCACCTATCGGGTAGCCTAGGAACACTAATCTGCTTATAACTAGACTGAAGGTTTTGCAGTATTTGCGAGAGCTTAAATCTATGCACTATGTCTATTGGGAGCGATCTCTTATAACATTGTCAGAGTTATTTCACGCCCACAGTACAACATGCAAAAAATTACATGACGGGAAATGTTCTAGGGCTACCCGATGGACGGCGACAGCGTGCCGGCACATTCTCTCGGCATGAGCTGTTTCGAGAGAATGCCACGCACAGTGCACTCAAAAGTGAAAATGCGAACTGGCCTTTTGTTTGCCGGAAAAAGCTTCGTGAAGTCAAAGAAAATATTGTCAACTCCATGGACTTTATAGTTTTAAATTGTGTCCATCACTTCCCGTGCTAAATACGCTTGCTGAATCCATCATTTTAGGAAGTTGTGAGTTTGAGGATTCTGTTATTAGAGTGCATGAGCACTTGCTCGAGTGAGTGCGAGCACTCCGTCGAGGAAGCTTTAGCCTGTTGCAGGCAAAGAAAAGTGGGACAAGCCTCTCCCACTTAGAGGGTTGCACTAATCGTGACTCCACACCTCCTCTCCATTCTTCACTCCGCTAAAGTGGAAAGGGTCAAGGACTTTGTGGGAAAAGCTTGTCCTGCTTTTCTTAACTTGCAACAGACTATAGATTCTGCTGGCTCCATTGAGCTGTGGTGACCTAGATTGGGCTTCCCTAATGGCCCTTTTGTGCCTGTTGTGGCTTATCTTTCACCCCCGAGTTAGTTTGAAGACAATCCTTCCCATTCCTTCCTGACAAACACACTAGTGCTTCATCCAGGAAATCCTGAACCCAGTTTTCCGCCAGGTGGTGCCAGTTATTTTGGCAATGGTGGATTCAAGGCCAAGAAAACGTAAACGATGGGCACCCTAAACATAAGACGAAGTTGTCTCGGACTACTGATCCTGAAATTGGCCAATGTTTTGTTAAGAAACGGCTTCTCAGCCCTGGAGAAGCTGCGCAACTCTTGGTGAAATTCAGATTACCATATCCTGTTGCAGGTTAAAGGAGCTGTGCAACGATATTCAATTGGAATGTTTTTCTCTCTACACGAGCTTACTGGCACACCTGGGACTCAAGGATACTCACACGCAACGCCACTGGCCAAGAAACTCCTTTGTTGCGGTGTAATTTCAAGGAGAAAAGCGATCATTTTCATTCAATCTCTCCTTTGCAAAATTTGATGACGTAACTCGGGGATCGCAGTACACCCAAGTGACGATATTTGAATGCAGTTCATAGATTGAACCCGAGCATTGCGTGGGCACTCGACTTGGGCTCGTGACAATTGCTAGCTCGAGAAGCATTCGGGTTGTGACCCGTGTCCAATCGCTGCAACGACGACAACAGCCGAGCCATAACAATGTCTGGAACTCAGCGCGTGTCCTGCGCTTTGCCAACCCCAGCGCGTGGCTATGATCAACACTGGCGGCATATAATCGGCTCCAGATCACGTGGCCGCTTGTTCTGGATGCGAGTTGAGGGGGTGAACGCTGCTCGTTTTTCTTAAATTTTTTTCTGGGACTTCTATTGCGTGGGGTGAAAAATGAACGCGTGTTTCATAGGTCATTAACGTTAGGGATTCGTTTTAAGCGGTATTTGTGCACAGTACAAAAATTGTTGCACAGCTCCTTTAAGAAAGGGAGGACAAGCTCCTACCGCGAAGCACACTGCCCTTCCCACTTAGCAGAGCAAACACCTGAGGGGAGGCAAATCCCTCCTCTTCAGCATTCACTCTGTTAATTAAGTGGAAGGGTTAAAGCCTTTGCGGGAGAATCTTGAAATTAAATAGCTCCAATATATATATACATTTTTTTTTTTTTAAGGAAGAGTTTTTTAAAGTTTAAAAGTAGCTGCACCAAGCATGATTAGTTTCAAGCCTTTCCCAAACAGAATTTTGTGGAGTTTTATATTTTTAAGTATTGGTGATTAGCCCTTGAATAATACCCTGAGTAAATTTATAATTACTAGAAATAAAATGTATGTATCGGTGATTTCCTTACACCCCCCCCCCCCCCTCCTTTTCTCTTGTTTTTTTTTTAAGGCACCCCCTTAATTCACGACTCCTCTATTCTCAATGCCCCCCCCCCCCCCCCCACCCCCCTTTCCCCAAACCACCCTAAAAATTTAGACACCTTCCCTAATTTCAATTCCTGGGGAAACCTCTGGTGCATATGTTCTTTTATGTTTTCGAGAGCAAATTGTAAAAAAGGTCTGAAGACAAAAACTTACATACGGCAGAGTCTTATTTTAAATAAGTTGTGTTCCATAATTATTACATGATTTTATCGAAAAGTCTAGTCTTGTGTAGAATGGGCCATAAAAGTATTTCCGCGTGTCAAGCAGTATGCAATAACCAATATAAGAAAATACGTAATTTTTTTTTTTTTTTTTACCCGTTTCGTATCTTAGTTTTTTGGGTCGCAGGTTGTGCTGTGGCCCTCTCTGATGTTTGCTTTTCCTGGGAGCCCTTGAAGGCGCTTCATCCCTCTCTTGTCTCCCCGGGGTTCCCATGATCACAGGCATGGTCCTAAGTTCGAGCAGTGATGACACGCCAATCTTAGCATTTCTTCTTTCTTTTTCACCAAAGATCTTAAATCGAGTCCGTACCTTCCTTCGGGAGCGTCGTCCATCACGAGATCGTCGTCGTTTTCTCGCGGGCGTACGACAATCGAAGCGTTGTTAACGCAGATGGAACGAGGAAGTTGCTTTCGACAAAAAGGTTAGCTGACAGGACGGTTACACTGTAATGTATGATTTCCTAGGTAAATAATACTAGCGCAGTGCACGACTCTGCTTGCGTGATGGCGAACAACGAACAGAAGCTGCGTTCCGTCTGCTAACAAACGGTTTTTCGCAAACTATGTTTGCACAAAATTTGATTGTGATGTCGTACTGAACTATTTTCTCGCAAAAACGCGTAATCACTGTTATCAATTTGTTTTCATTAGTCCGTTCAGAAATCAATATGAGGAATCTGGAAAGGATGATCGTCTGCTACCAAAAGCGCGCTCACGCGCGTGCGCTTTACCGCCGTCTGCTTCGACGACATTACGAGACAAAAAGAAGTCTCATAACACTTAGGACTGTGAAGCGTGGCTGAACTTTGAAGTTTTTCTTTGGAGTATTTTGTTGTGAACAGAAGTTGGGAATATGATAGCTGCCTTTTAACGATGGTCGACCGACGCAAAAAAGTTTTGCGCGTGATTTCGCGCTCATTTTGACGCGCACGTTAGTTTCGATTTGACAATCGTTTACAGCGTCGTCAACATCACAGAGCCTCCCGATCCCCGGATATTTTTCCTGTTCGCAAATAAAACGTATTTTCGTTTAGTTGCAGATCGCCGACTCCCAAAATAGGTCGACGACAGACGGCGCCACCGACACTCCGGGCGATTCCTTTGCCCGAAATCGCTAGCTGCCATTTGCAGTTATGCGGGAGTGGTCGCAGTTGTTACCAGGCGTACGCCTCTGGGCTCTCTAAGCCACTTCCCATCGCCGCAGTGACTCCTTTTCGTCACGACAGATCGTTTTTCAGGTAATACAACGACTTCGAGTTCGTTTGAGTCCCGTTCGAACCGCCGAATGCTCCGAGCGGGCTCTGAGCGGGCTGCCTTTAGGGCTCCGCATTGCCAGCGTCGGAGCAAGATGGCGGGTTCGTACTCTCGAGCCTAGGGGCGCTTCGTTTGTAAACAAGACCACGTGGGGGGTTGCTCCTCCGTGCGACGTCGCGCTAACGTTTTTGATTCGATTTCCCGCCCGACAGGACCGTCGATGGAGACCGCCGTCGAGGTGCCGAGCCTTCACGTGGACGTGTCGTCGAAGCGCGCGGGCGTCTTCCAGCGCTCGACGTGCCGGTCGGCGAGCACGGACTCCCAAGCGAGACCCAAGACGCTGAAACCAGCCAACAACAGCTCGAGGGCGAGTCCCCTGGTTCGGAAGCCGCCGCCTCGCGAGGAGACCGCGAGCAACCAAAACCGGCCGCCGATCGGCGGCAAGTTCGTCCACGGCGGTGGCGGCAACAAGCGTCGCCAGTCGTTCAGCGTGGCGGCCGACTATAAACAGCCGTTTAACAAGCGGAGGCGTCGGGGTGACCTGTTCACGCCGCCGACGAAGTTCCTGCTCGGCGGCAACATCAATGACCCGTTGAACCTCGCGAGCTTCGCCGACGACGAGGTGAACAAGAAGGCGAACGAGGTGACGCCCAAGTCGTCACCGATCCCTACGCCCAAGCATCGGACGCAGGTGGAGGTGCTCATCCCGCCCAACATCAACGACCCACTCAACCTCAACTCGGGCGAGGACATCGAGTTCAACCTCATCTCCCCGCGGAGCAGGAAGCGCAACCGACGCCGCTCCAAGCGCAAGTCGAGGAGCGAGGACGACGGGCCCGAGCAGGCGGACGCGTCGGCACCCGCTGCGGAGGTCTCGACAGACGCGGACGCCTCCGCTCGGGTCGCCTCGTCTTCTTCGACGACAGCGTCGACGACGACGACGTCTCGGAAGGCGTCTTCCGTCTCTGCCGGCGCGCAGCCGTCTTTTTCGAAAGAAGGGGCCGACAAGATCGTGTCCCCCGTGGTGCCCCAGGGGTCCCCGACCAAGTTCAATCGTCGGAAGTCGTCGGCGGCCGGCGGCGGCGCGTCCCGAGACGTGCGTCGGTCCCAGCACCAGGGAGGACGTCGTGCCAAGCAGGTGTACTTCCGCGAAAAGGACGCTCACTTCCAGTACGGCAACTACAACCGGTACTACGGCTACCGGAATAACGGCGGCCAGGAGGACCCGCGGCTGAAGGTGGGTGCCCTTGCAGACGACGGTGGGGCCGATATAATATTCTTAGGTAGTTAGTTGGCTGTACCTAATCCCCTTTGAGACAGGGGGGCGCCAGCAAAAGGTAAATTTACCAGCGCGGGTAAAATACTAGACAGGTGAAGCAAGGAGCTGTCCGATATAAAGGGTTCAGCCGTATATGTTCATCTATTCATTCATCCATGATCAGCTTCCGTTACCAGGCCAAACCGCAGTAACCCTTTCCTTTCCGTACTCGGTCGGTGATTCACCAAGGCGTATCGTGAGAGTTTTACTCAAAAAAAAAAAAAAAGGCGAGCACGCCGAGTGCTTGCTGCACTTGCGCATGAAGTATGTTGCCATGAATGTGTCTTTTCTCGCTCACCAGGAGTTTAAGTTGTTATTATTTATTTTGTCATTGCTAAGCTATCGCCACGGTCCTTATTATTGCTCAATGACAAGTCACGGGTGGAGCATTCAACTCTACATTTCTCTACAGTCGTCAGCACCTTTTACCAAAGCTGTCATTGCGTGAACTTGTGTAGGTAGAGTACTTGGGCCATTGTTTTGACACACTTCTGTATCTGTTTGATAAATCGAGGTGAAATTTGTCAACTCGTTTCATAACATCTTGGCTACCAGTCGTTGGGTCGTCGTCGTTTTAAGAAGGAACACCATCATCCGAAATGAGCTCCCCCTTTCATTTTGGCACAAATTTACTAAGTTGTAATAGCATGACTGGAGCTCAATGGTATGCTATGGAGCTCAATGGTATGCTATAGCACGTTTCAGGTTCAGAAAAGTAGGACAAGTTCTTCCACAAAGCTCTCTGCTTGTCATGAATAGTGGTTTTCTCCTCTCAACCCGCCTCCCCTCCAGCGTTCGCTCTCCTAAAGTGGAAAGAGCAGTGTGCTTCGTGGAGGGAGCTTGTCCCGCTATTCTAGACCCGGAACAGACTGTGGGTGAGAGGTCGTCTGCCATAGCACACACTGCCACCCTCTATTTCACTATTATGGGGCACTAAGGTGAACGCGTCCTTCCTTGCCCCGCAGGTGATGCAGGCCTCGTGGCTGGACGGCAAGGACGTGCTGGACATTGGCTGCAATGTGGGCCACTTCACGCTCTCGCTGGCCCGGGGCTTCTCGCCCCGCAAGGTCATCGGCCTAGACATAGACGGCCGGCTCATCAAGGCCGCCCGCCGCAACGTGCGCCACTACCTGACGGCGGCCCTGGCCGGAGAGATGCGCTTCCCGGTGTCCATGGCCATCTGCCACGGCCCCATCGCGGCTGCCGCACTGCCCGGCCGGGAGAGCGAGCCTGTGACATTCCCCAACAATGTCTTCTTCGTGCAGGTGAGCGCCAGCTCTTGTTTCATGTCATCCGTCCACTTTTTTTTTCCTGCTCCTAAGTTACTACGTCTATCTTAATGGGACACTGACAAGGTATTTATGCTCACCGAGGTTTTTATTTGAATACGCCAATAACACCCTAACTACCCGGCATGCAAGTTGCGGCTCAAAATTCGTTTTCTTTCTGCTCGAATACAGCCGGTCGAGAATTGGCTGGTTTCAGTCGTGCTCGCTCTCGTTTCCATGGTTATGTGGCATTCAAACCATGTGTGCCAAATATATCCAAAGTCGGTTATCGGAGACGCGCTTTCAATATTAAATATAAAAAACAACACGACGAGTCCACGCAAGTTCATCATCGCCTGCTTCAAAAACCGAAGAAAAGAAAGAAAAAAGAAAGCTTCCGTGCTCATGTTTTGGGTTTGAGCAGTTGCGTTTTTTGGCTTTATTAAAAATATATGTGACCCTGTATCAAAAGATTTATTGGGTAGTCTCCTGACACCATATTAAATTTCCTGTTAAATAATAACAAAAAAGAATGGAGGATGTCAGTGTCTCTTTAATCAAACTTGCATGTACTGGTGCCTTGGTTTCAATAAGACCGTTTCTCCCGCTTTCTGTGTTCAAAAGAGTTTGTCTTTCCTCGCTGCATGGGGACGTGCTGACAGCAAAGCTGCCGGAATCTGTTTAGACACGCTTATTCTGAGAACACAATGTTGGATTCCTACGGGGATTGACACTCTTCCTTGACTCGCAAAAAGCAATTTTTTATATTTCCTTTTTTTTTATGTTCCTGGATATGGTTTAGACATGCTTGACCTAGAAATGCAATGTCGGAGGTGTTTGGAGATAGACAGACTTTTCTTGACCACTGAAACTCGGGGGCAACAGAATTTTTGTACCATTCTTTTATTACTTTCTTTACTCCATTGCTAGCAGCGTTACTAGATATTGCCAGTTGGAAAAAATTTCTTGCTTGCGGGATCCGAACCACCTTTTCCCCCAACGTCTCATGAGAGTTAATCTGAGCACCACCTTATTTATGCGCTGCCACCATTCTGTGAAGTGTTATTGATAAGCTTAGTCGTTGCTTCTACTACTGCCGGCGGTGTACGACACCGGTAACGGACATTGGGTTGTGTGGGGGAAGTTCCTATTCCTTTGGATGTTGGCCAACTCAGCTGGTCCATTTCCAATGGAACTTGGCACCCGATAAGTGTGGGAGCTTGCTTCTAGCAGGCAGCAAGCAGTGATGGCTCGACATTGGCACCTGCCCTTTCACACATCCATAAATAAAGGTTCTTGCAGCATGTCGCACGACTGGCAATGAGGCGGGATTCTTGTGAAAGTTCGATAGCTTGCATTTTTGTATTGGTCATACTCGTGGTCTGTTCATCTTTTATTGTCATTAACGTTTTCTTTGCTAATTTCACACTCCAGTAAAAGTTTTTTCTTTTCTTTTTGGGTTAACTTGAATAATCTCAGTTTTTGCACACAGACAGCTCTTACAAAACTGGTATCTAAGTAATAACTCAATTCCTCCCATTAGTAACCCAAGGAACCTCACCTTGCAGACTGAGAGGTGCATTAATTGTAACATCCCCATATAAGATGTGTTGGCATTCTCTTGGCTGACTGACATCTCGCAGTTAAATCCAGAAGCTCACAGCTGAGCAACGATACTTTCTCTGGAACAAATTAACAGGAGCTTTTTGAAACTTAAAAGCCAACATTGTTTTAAAAAATATTTTGACAAAAAAAAAAAAAAGACTTTCAACCTTTTCACTTTGGTGAAGAAGCAAGACCAGTGAAACTGTACTATGGTGATAATGAATTAATGGCTGGCTGCAAGTCGGCAAGCCAGAGTGGAAAGGCTGGAAAGGTTTCCGCGATCTATGAGCGACACCAGCAACCCGACAACCGGCAAACACAACGCTGTGGACAGCTACCGCCATCTATGAGCGATGGCGGTAGTTGTCCAGAGTTGTGTCAACATTTCTTTGCGGACGGGCACAATCCTGGGGAAACAAGCCCTTAACAGCTCCGCTAAAAAAAACAACAACAATTAGGGGGGGTGAGGTAGTAGTGAGCTCTAACATCTTGAGCTTGAGGCAGAAAAAGGAGAGGTCAAGTGCAGAACTATGTTGTGTTTTACGTCTCCTCTCCTTTCTTGAGGTTTTGGGTTAAGACGTTGGGTCACCTTTTCCAACCTGTGGTACATGTCACAGGCTTGCAGCGATTTCCTAATCTCGTTTCCGGAGGACATTTCAGACATGCATGTGTTGGTGGCATCTATACTACCCGGTATGAAGATCATATGCCCTAGTAGCGAGTAGTAGTTCTTGCCTTGCAAGATACGAAGCAGGCTGCCCTTGGACAACTTTATAGGCTACCATGGCAACATTTTTAAGCCTTTGACTGAGTGGCCTCTAAAGCGCAAAGTGCCCATGTAAAACTGTGAAAACGTAAAAGTATTTTTTATTATTAATTATTGCCTTTTAGATTGCTGCTCAACTGTCAGTAATAGTAAAGTTCATTCAATAATATTGAGGTAAAATATAACCGTGGCTACGAAAGAGGAATGTTATTTTTAAAATCTATGCAGCCCTCCATCAGAACTCGTTGTATGTGGCTCTAGCACACTGCAAATAATTGTGCAAATTTTCCGTGTTTTATAGCGCAAAAGTCACATTTTTTTACTATCTTAACTGCACAAATTTTCTCAAAAAGTCATATTTTTCGTTCAATTCGTTTACAAGAATATTGTGAAATTGGTTCCCGCTTGCGCATATGTCGTGATCACAATGTATATGTGCAGGCTTATTGATGCGGTTTCTCAGTGCCTGCTATACAAATATATACTAAGTGTGACTTATACAGAGGTGCAATTTATACACCCACTTTTTTTGTGCAAATGGCCCTTTATGGGACGGTTTAACTTGTATACCAGAAAATATGGTTGTATTCTAGATGAGATGTATTCAAGCACAGCTAAAAAAAAATGAAAGAATGTAACACTGCCACATTACTGAGTCCTGATAGTACCTTCTTCGTAAAAAATATAAATGATTAGGGTGTGGGAGCATCTCAGAAATCGGTGCTCAGTGTTGCGTCTCTTTGTGTAGTTGACTGGCCCATCCAACATGGCATTGGCTTGTTTCGACTGCCGACATCTGTTAGAAAGCTGACTATAGCACTAGTGTTGGCAGACACAAACAACATCTGTTGCGTGACAGTAACATTTAACTCGTTGCGTACAGACAGATACCTTGAGTGCGCCGATCTAAGAAGAAATCGCCCGCGATTGTTCGGCCTTCCGTTTTTGCTTTTGTTCTATTTGTCTGTTCAGTATGAGCAGCACTTGCTGTTATGTGGACGTGGCATTTAGACTTCCTTGCTGTCTCTGGGACTCCTGCTAGACAAAGCCTGAGCTGAGCAATGTTAGGTGCATTCTTCTGACCTGATCAGAAGTGGTAGTCTAGTGTAGCAAAAGGAATGCCAAAGAAATTTATAATTTGTTTTCCTTTGCATTAAAAGAAAGTAAAATGTCATCATTCACCTTTTCTTTTTTTGTGTGTTTGCTGGTATAGAGTTAATTTTTCTGGCGGGGCAATTGTAACGATTTCAGATGCTTTTCCAACACTAGGTTCCTGCTCTGGTTGCAACTTGCAGTTGGGATAGAGGTTATCATGGTATGTCAGGGTGGCGGGAAATGTAGGATTAGTATGAAAGACAGATTTTGAATAAAACAACTGAGGTCAAAAAAGCACCTACAGATGCAAAACAAATTATGGTGAGGCCTGGTAGAAAAACAGTGTGGAGGGTCAAAGTTAAAGGAACATTCATAGAAAGAAAGTACTACTATGTACCAGTTTTTTTTGTTTTTTTTTTTGTATGTATATGTGTGTTGCTGCCCAAAGACTTTTCTTGTTGCTATGGTCATTGTTATCTGTATCTGAACTTAATTAAAAGCACCAAGTGGGTGTGCCCAACTATAGTTTGTTGGCGAGCAAGAATGCTCCCTGCACAGAGGTAGCAACTCGTATACTCTGAACGACTTAATTTTCATGCCGACCCAATTTTCATGAATTTCACGACTTGAAAGTATTGCGAAAAATTGGTCTCTCAAATATATTGCTCCGCTGGAACGAATACAGCATATCACTCCAAATCGCGAAAATTTCTTGTCCAAAAAATATTCCCAAAACTCGCACTTCCAAATTCTGCAAAATATTGAGATTGTAAAAATAAAGTAGTTTACAACACTCCATCCACTCATTTGTTTGTGTAGCTAAAAAGCGAAACCCTACCGCCAACATGTACCAGATTAACGATATTCCTTTCAATATGTCTCTACAAGTACAATATTTAGGTGTCTACTTTTGTCATGATTTGTCCTGGTGCTTTCACATAGAGTATGTGACTACTAAAGCTAATCGGATGCTAGGTTTCCTGAAACGAATTCTCTTCAGGAAGTAAAACATACTCTGTATCTCACGAATTTTCGACCTATTCTAGAGTATGCTTGAGACGTTTGGGACCCTCACCTGCACTATCTGATAAAAAATTGTAAAACTAATTCAAAACAGAGCTGCCAGATTTGTCCTTAATGTATACTCGCGTGGTCAAAGCGTAACTGCCTTGAAACGCAAGCTCAAGTGGCAGCCTCTACAGAATTGTGGTCAATGCTTCCACCTCAAATTCCTCTACAGCATATATTAGAATCGGTGTACAATCGAGAAAACAAAATATTTACTTCCACCTCACTTCATCTCCCGGCGACTGGATCATAGCAAAAAACTTGGGCCTTTCACAGGCAAAACAGACATTTACAAATACTAATTTTTCCCTTGCACTTTACTCCACTGGAATCAGCTACCTCAAGAGATAGTTTCAACAAATGTGACCTCTCAATTTTTTCATGCATTGTCAAATTCTTAATACTTATACTTTCTACGAGCTTCCATTTTGTCTGCATATGTTTACGAGTGTGTGTAGCTTTA